ACGAGAATGTTTCGCTCTCTTTCTACTTAGATCTTATTTGTTTGTCACATCAAACTGATGTTCAGCATACACGTGTACATATACTCTCGCACTCAAAGGTCAAATCTAAACTTGTCTGTATATATGCATATACATGTATGTATGTTCGATAGAGAATTAGATGAAAGAAGTAAGTAAACACAAACAGATCCGAAAAAAAAAAGAAATGGAAAGATAATTGTCCGGACGGTTGAGTGCATGCTTGCCTTCCAGTCAGCTATGTCGATTGAGGTAGTTTATAATCATTGCTATGAAAATAGGATAATCAAAATTGAATTCAATGAGAGTGAAGATACAGATATGAAACGATTCGTAGTTCATCAGTTAATAACACGATATGAAAATCTCATTTGTCTCGACAAGATCTATCGAAAAAGTTAATTGATTGGAGAGAAATAAGAAATGAAGCATATGATAGGCTAAACTAGATGACCGTTCATCCTCATCGGAGTTTGATCATCATCGAGATTTCTTCATTCAATATTCGACTTCTAGCGTCCTCTCAAATTCTGTTCGTCACTCTAGTGTTCGCATGCTTTTTAATACATAGATTTAATCATTACTTGCATTCACGGTATGATTACACAATATCTGATAATTAACAAAATCAATGTTGTAACCGCAGAAAATTTGTATACATAGAAGGTCATTGATGTTTGTAAAAAATTGTCTTTATTCAATCGAAATCTATCTCTGAAATGCCTGTTCCTGCTTGAAAAGTTAATTTCTTATGCAATAAATATATATATATAGAAATAGATAATATTTACAGAGAGAATTCAAATTGTCTAAAATATCTACCCGTTATGTCAGTATCAAAACAAAACAAAAAGAAAGAAAGAAGAAACCAAAGAGAAAAAAAAGATTTTAATATGAAAATGATGTTGACAATGACACTATTTGACTGTTTTAATGTTAGAAGTTTGTGAACGCAGAGGATATTTTTGAAGAAAAAAAAAAGCGAAACACACCCATGAGAAGGATCACAGACGAGCGTGAATAGAAGAAGAGAAAAAAAAGCCTATTGATGAGAATTGACCTAGAAGACAGCTTTGAATATAATTTTGTTTGTTTTCAGTAGTACCAATCAACCAGGATCATTCATAGGTCGTTTAACAAAACCAAATCGACGACCGAATCGACGAAATTTCGATATAATCTCATCCTGCATCAATTTAAATGACATGGCCATAACAATCATACCAAATAATAAAAATAGAGCACACATGGCTGCTTTTCCGGCTTTGGATTCGGTGACCGTACCTTTTCCTGGAACCAAATCACCGAACCCAATGGTCGTGAATGTAATAAAACAAAAATATGCTCCGTCGAGTACATGCCAATTTTCCCATTGAGCAAAAAGTAATGCACCCATAGTTATGTACAACGCAAGGACAGCTAAAGTTGCGACAATTGGTACATGTCTCGCGTCTTCAGATTCCGACTAGATCAGACAAGACAAAAGGTCAAAACAATGCGGATAGCCATCCATACACTTACATCACCCTGCTCGAAACTTCGTCGTGCATCATCTGGTACGCATTTTTTCAAACGACCACGACAAATTTTTCGATACATAAAATTGACCAATTTTGAATAACCAGATATAAATGCATCAGCTAATAGATCACCTGTATATGTCAAGCACATAAACATCAACGGAATACCAATCATAGCGTAGATCTAAAACACAAAAGCATTCGATCAATGATTAACATCAGTTTTCCCTTACCATCGTTGCTATTTTTCCTTCGGTAGTTTTCGGAGTGATGTTTCCATATCCAATTGTGGTTATAACTGTGGCAGAATAAAGCATAGCACTAGCAAATGTCCAAACTTCGACAATATTCTGTTCTTGCTGTTGCTGTTCACTGCCATATTGATTTTTTTCTTCGGCACCAAAATATTGTAACAATTCAATATCAACATGATGTCTCCAGAGATCTTTTTCTACATCTATTTGCCAACCATCATTATGTTCATCATGACGTGATATTCCGCCACGCCATAGTGCGTATTTCAATTCAAATGTTTGATTTAGGACACGATTAAATTCTCGGTATGCATGAACATATAATTGATCGACAAAATGTTGTCGATTGCGTTCTTTTTCCTCGGATCGCTCAGCTTCATAACGGGATTCAATGGCATCAAAGATCAATCCACCAAGAATAACATACCCAACAACCAAACCACCTGAAAGTAAACATATGATTTCTACTCTAGACCAGAAATCTCGCTACTACGAAGCTATCAATATGAAATCTTCTCATCTCTTTCCGAGATACCCATCAGAACTAACAGATATGACAACTGAGCGTTTTCTATAAGGCTTTCTTTTATAAATTTGATATACTTCTGGTTGAAGGAGCATGTCAGACTTGCGAAATCTTCCTTTTTCTGTAATTCGGATGGAAAATAATTAGACTACATGAAACTTCTTGTAAGCAAGAAAATCACTACAAATGTTATTAGTTAGAGGGGATTTTCAAGATGAAGACCTTGTCTTACTATTTCTTTGTGAGAAAAGAAAGATTAAGAAAAGAGAATACTTTCTCCTTTCTCTGTCCTAGAGGCGGATATACTCTTTCGACCAACAGAATATTAAATTGATAGAGTCAAGTTTAAAAGAAAGAAATGATAATTATCAAGTGAACTATTTTTTTTTCGGAAAAATTTTCAGAAACTCGATGCAAAAAGAAAACGTTGCTCTCTTATGATAATAACGCACGGTGAAAATTTCCTGCGAACTGAATATTCCGGAAGGAACTTCGAATTAAGCTACTGCGTGTTCTCTAGCGCTGGAGTGCGTTTTTTTTTCTTTTATTGTTATATATAACTTACCTAAACCCAATTGACTAAAAGCAACTTTGGAAACGGAACGTAATGCGTGTCGGAATTTTTCTTTTCGCGTTCGTTCAATTGATACACTATCGGCAGCTGATTTCGAGCCGGATAGATTGTCTCGTGAATCAATAACATAGGTACTATCAGGAGAGAGTAAACCTAACAGAAAGATGAAATTTGAGGTTATGAAATTCATGTGAGCAGTACGATACATACGTTTCTTTTTAGCAGCCGGTACTGGAATGTCTCCTTCTTCATCAAAGGACAGAATAGGTGCTTGCATACGTTCATATTTCGTTTTCGCCGAACGTACTTGAGTTGTGTCGGTTGATCGAGCCGGAACTTTCGACTAAAATAAACGAAAAGAATAAGAGATTAAAAGAACTAATTCGAACGAAAAATTCAATTGAAATTAATCACATCAATCTCATGGTTCAAACGTTTTTGACAATCAATTGAATAGATATAAGGCGTTTCATTCGTTATATCCGGTATCGATCCAAATCCAAAATTGATATGTGGTGAAAAATGCGAATGGTCATGTACTAAAGAAGTTGTATTTGATTGAAATGATTTTCGATATGTTTTGAATGGATTGATAATGGAATGCATAGTCCCTATGTTCGATCATTTATGTCATCATTTCTTATGTGTATGGCGAAGACAAAAGGAGAGAATAAGTTTTTTTGTTTCTCTCTTTCTTCTCTACTTTACATTCCGTCAAAGTGAACATGAAAGGTTTCTTCCTTGTTTTTATTTCTCATCGTGTTCTCGTTTATGTGGATTCTTCTTCGAGCATTAACACCGCTATAATTTGACGAAAGTTAAATATTCTATTATCATTACTTGACTTTTGTTTTTCCTAGAAATTACGTGTCACGCAAATGGATATTTGGACTCTTACAAACGAACTTATTATGATTTTTGTTCTTGCAACAAAGGTACAGTTGAAGTGCAATTTTTCTTCTATCGACTAATTTCTTTTATTGATTGTTATTGCACATCGTTCGTCAACATTTGTTTATTATTCTTTTGTCTATTATCCTGTACGCTTTCACTCAATAACTCCGATGGTATCTGTCACCATTTGAAGCGTTGTCGACAACGTTTAACGTTTATCAGATAATTATCAATAAAGTATAATGCTATTTCAAACTAAATACGAATGTCTTCTTGAAAACGGCGAGAAAGAGAAAAGAAAACAATAACAGGTCGAAACGTAAGTATCAAAAATAGAACTAAATCTAATTGGAACTGTTGAAAACAGTTCGTCCACTCTGTCAACGCAATTATGCGCTGAAGATGATCGATCGATCGATACATTGGCGAAAAAGATGATAACTAGTATATCTAATTCAGTCTGTTATCGACAGTAAGATAATTCTAATCATTCAAAAAGAAAACACGACGGAAAAGTTGATCTGTCTACCTTTGAATGTCTTTGGGGATGAACGAAAGTGTCTTCATGAGCATCACTATCAATAATTTGAACATCCTCGTAGGGTGATCGACTTGTTTTACGATGTTGTTGAGGAGTGGTGCTATAAGCGCTGATTACGCTTGGCCGTTTGAGTGTTGAACACGAATGTCGTTTTGCATGTAGCCTTGTGGCGATCATGGCAGAAAACGACGGTAATCATACTTCTATTTCTTTGCTAGAGTTATATATAGGGCGGGTCTTTGCCTCACGCGCGTTGTTGTTTTTGACACGAATAAGGACGTTGTATAAATATACCCAATGATTATTCTGATGAGACAGCGATCAAATCTTTGCACCAACCAAGAATGCGAAGGGAAAGTGTTGGAGAAGGAAATCGAGAGATAAAGAAGAAATTAAAGAATAAGAGGAGGAAAGGATGCAACTTAAGAGGAAGACAATAATATTGAATACTTTCGATACGATAATGACCATTGGATCTACTCTTATAACATAGTCAATTGGGTTCTATTTCGAAATATTCTCAAGTTAAATAAGAATATCTCTCGGTGAAGCAAATTCCATTGGAAAGGATAATTATCAGTAGCAAAACTAGTCTACTTGCTTTAATGATATAAACATAATTCTGTTAGATTTGCCTTGGTTTAATTGTCATTTTAGTGGCTGTCGAATGTGACAAGAGAAAAGAAAGTCGTCTACATTTTGATTGACACATCGACATACACTTAGATCCACAGATTCTTTTTATCTGATAAACATCATTTAATAGACTTGATCAGAAAAATCAATAGAAAAATATCAAACAATCTGGACAATTAGTATGAGATCCATTGTTTTCTATTCCAACATACTTCTGCGGTTTTCTTTCCATCTCACTAGTTATATTAAACAAAATATAAGTTCGCAATCAGTATTCTTTTCAGCCGAAGGCTATTGATTGTATTTGATCCAGTGTAAGAGAAAAGAAAATGATGAAGATAAGCATCGACGCATAGAAATCAACTGTCTAACACAAGTTTCTATGTACATATCTGACAGAAGGAAACATATTTAAGAAATAATCCTGCTACGGAGAAGGCAATGAGATAAGCAGGTTTTCTGGCCGACAGATCGACGATGATGCGTAGAGAAGATGTCGAAGACGGTGCTACGATTTCGATGTATCATTCCACGAAGGGCAACTCTTGATGATTGTGACTTAATTATGAAGCGAGAAACTTTTTTCGTAAAACTATTAGTCAAGATTTATGCAAAACTAATTTTGTTTTAATGGATGTCGATGGAAATATTATTGGCTTGCTAATTATCAAACAATCACATTTTCCGATGACACAGTGTTAGAGATAGAAAGAAGAAAAACCAATTTGATTTCTTCTCCTTCTCCTCGTTTTTTTGTTTCGAAACGACAACTTAAAGGAAATAAACTCGTCTATTTTGTCAAGTGTAGTAATGATACTTCAGATTGACGTGGATTCATTTCCGATAGTTTTCATCGCACCTTCTCCGTCAAAGAGATCTCACGAAATATACACAATTCGAAGCATATTTCTAACCAGAAGAAAGAAAAAGAAAAGAAAAGAAAATGTCATCAATGCAACGTGCATAGACTTCATTAATAATCCTATCCGTTTTTTGCTTCTCTCACAGTTTCCCAAAAGAAGTCTTCGGAGATGATTAATTGTGTCCGGTAATGAAATACAGTGTTTTTTGCAAACAAAGGAAAATATCAAAAATCTCTTCTTTCGCTGACAAGACAAACAAGTTTGCTTACTGTTTTCTGGTGTTGACGTTTCGCATGATGATGACCGAGTAGCATGGTTCTAAGCGAAGATGTTGATCATAGTCATGGTGTTCGAGAAAACGCGAAAGATTTGATTGTGTTTATCGTTGTGTATGTATACACACGAGATTAGTTTTCTTGCTAATGTAATAGTTATTAGAGTTGAGCAAGTGACATTTTTTCTTGCTTTTTAATAATCATCATTCCATCACTCGACAAGTGTCTGTTGTCTTTCTTCCTTCTTTTTCTTCTTCTTCTGCTTCTTTCTTTGTTGGCCACAATTTATTTAGAAATGCTTTTTCATGCGCTCGCTCGTTCAATCGATGAATCGTTGTCGCTGTTGAGTAGCCATTTGAACTATGTATGTTTCGTAACGTTTTCACTTGTTTAAGTTCTCACTAAGTGTGTGTGTGTGTGTGTTTCGGAAAGAAAATGAAGACAAGAGACCTAATACGATTTGCAATAATAGATAAAATACCCGTACGGCGAATATTTGGTACAAGAACGGCTTGTGTTTAGATGTATATGTAACAAAAGCGAGAGAGAAAAACAAGAAAAGATATTTGTTCACTATGTAATACGATATGTGAATACCAGTGTTGTTGCTCTACGAAATTATAGAAAAACATAACATACAAATTCTTCGTTAGCGAACTACTTCCTCGGGAGAAAAGAAGACAACAAACGGTGGAATGTCATTGCACAAAGAGTGAGATGATCTAAGTTAGAAATGGCTAAAATCAAGTGAACAGACTTGTTAAGCAATAATTCAGTTGATCTGATGATGACAAGAACAATAATAACAGGAATAATTGCTCATCTTGCCAATAAAATAACGAATAATCATAATTACAATAATAATAATAATAAGAGAAATGTGATATACGAGTTTTCTACTTCAATAAAACCATAAAATGACACGGGGGAAATGGTTTAGAGAAGGAAAAGATAGACGAGGTACGTTGGCGAGAAAAAACAGCTTTAATGACTAACAAACTTAGAGAGAAAATGTTGTTTATTTGAAGTCTAATCCATTTAGGTCGGTACTTCTTTTGTTCCAATCACGTAGACAGAGAACTCAAACAAAAGGTTGCTTAGAAAATTGAGAATCTATTTAGATAAATGAAGGAAAAAAACAAATAAATTGGTTCAATATGGTTAAAATAATTAGAATCAGATGAAAAGAAATGTTTTCTTTGGATTTTTCTCTTATATAAATGATCGGTTCTTTAAAAGCTAGAAGAGTAGGGGAAAAGAAATGCAGAAGAAAAAGATGAAAGGAAATATCTTCCGTTCTATGACTTCTTCTTAACTCAATGAAGATGTTGTCAGCAATACACATCGAAATGAAAATTAAATTTTCGAAATCTCTGAAGACTTTCTTTTGCATCACATAATGTCATCACATCAAATTACTGAGCAAAACAAATCAACTTCGTTCTATCTTTGAATATATATTGTCTTATCTCAAATTTCTTACTTTTATCCATTGATAGAGTGAGAAAAGTTCCAACAAACGTCGAATAGTCATTTCTACTCACAATCGAATATCGTCGTCGTTTATATAGTGATGCGATTATGTTATTTCTTATATGACGAGAAAGTTTACAATAACAGATACCTTTTTATCGGTCATGGATGGTGCGAGACGCGCAGTGACTAATGCCATATTGTGTTTTTTTCTTATGGTAAAGTTCACATACTTTTTGAAAGATTTCTGTTCACAAACTAACTTTCTTTACTCTTTTAGAGATCCTATTGACAAAAAAAGAATGTTTCGAAGACTAATTGCTGTTCGACCTTATCAGCCGATTAAATTATAAATATTTACAGTAAAAATCGCAAATAGGAATTGATGATTATAAACTTGCTTTTGAATAGTAAGTAATGTATTTATTATTACCTGTTGTTTATCCTGTTCCGAATGAGATCGATTTCTTCTGACATGAAATAATCGTTCAATTGAGCGTCTTCCATGATAGACGCGCATGCGAGCACGTCGTACATGGGATAGTTTGTCTTTTGCTTGTTTCGCAGAATCGGATTGTATTGATTCATTATTGAGATGTTCACGTCGCCAACGGAAGATATGAAACATTTTGCTTAATATTATCTTAGTAGAACGATATGTATATGTTTCTGCTTGTCACTTGAGCAAACAATAACAGATAATTCGCAAGACGAGCGATACAAAAGAACCAATCAATCACTTGTAACTGGCATTACCGTTTGCTTTGTACAATTGACTTTTTGGTTTTCGTGAACAGAAACGTATCCGATAACAAAGTGCGAGGGAGTAGAGAGAGAGAGGGAAATATGAAAAAAGAATACTAAGAGCAACTTCAGGAAATCGAGCCACAGGACGAATATGCTCTTTTTACATGCCAGATATTCATTCATCGACGAGCCGACGGCTTTTTTTATTTTGGATAATATATGTACGTGCCCACTGCTGAAGAGATTATTCTATGAGGAGTTCTGTCGATTATAAAAATCTATCATCAATAGCAAATACGCGAACAGACGTTGAGTGTTGTTATCACACCCAAAAAGAAGACGACAGAAGCAACTTAGCCGGTGGAAACATGTGCCAAAATGCTTCAGATATTTACGAATAGTAGCTGATGTGCTCTGAAGGATAAGAGTCGATTGTGACAAACATAATGGTTTACATAATTGTATACAGCACACAAACATAGAGAATCTTGTTAAATTTTTTTTATTAGTTGTACGAGTATTAGACGTAATCTTATTTGTTTTTCTAGGCGAGGAGATAAATAAGTCAATTTTAGTTTGGAACGCCTTCGAAGAAGCTTCTCGTTGATAAACACTAATGAACTGTTGATATAGCTAGACATTCCAATGCGATATCGATGTATATGATCTAATAAACTGTTTCTTCTTTTCTTTCGCGTCTTTGGAATAGTAAAAGAAATCGATAGGGATGCGATGCGAAAGTCTGTGTGTGAAAACGAATGCGTGGCTAATATGAGCTACGTCAAACAAATTGCCATTTTAATTGACTGAAGGTCGTTAGGGGCTACGATAGTTAATTACATCTCTCGAGAGATGTAATTGACAGTAATTTTATCGTAATAAATCTATGTGTCAATCAGTTGTTTAGACATGCTTTGACAAATGTTCGCTCTTAGAGTTCGGTAATTTTACTTTGTTTTTCTTCTTTTTGATCTCTTGCAATAGAAAGCAAAATCTATGTTTCTCCGAACGAACAGGAAATTAACAAAAGTGACACGTTCTATCAATCAGAGAACATCAAATACAAATTAACTAAAACTAAATAACTAGAAAGCTGTTTTCTATGAGTATTCGGTTTAATTTACAAAATGAATAGTATGCTATACCTGCGTAATTTTACTCATATCATGTTGTTCTATTGATTGTTCTGGTCGGAGTCTGCTGAAAGTATACCGTCGGAGAAGCGGGAACAGGTTTCGTTGTCCGCCAGTTGGACGAATCTGTTCGTGATTGGTATGACGATAACGCCAAAATAATCTCCACGGATATAGGTACATCGGAATAGGACTCAGCAGTAAAGGAGTGATGAAATGATCTTTACAGGAGGGTGAATATAACACTAATAAAGTCAAGTGAGTTTTTCGTTAGTCATTTTTATAGCATTTATCTGTCTATATGCCGAAAGTCATTCCTGACTTGTTTATTTGTCTTTTTCTTTCCATTCACTTAAGCAATTGATCAGTCATACATAGAAGTGTTTTCTGCTTGTTTTCTTCTACATTTAATGATAGAGAAAAATCGATATAATCTAAATACCAGATACAACATCCAAATACACATACGACATTAATAAAACCGATCAGATCCTTATTCTCAAACAAAACATTATCAGTTATATCAATAGTGCTTTGCATTCCCAAATCCAACGACGATATCATTTCTGATTTCAAATCCAAAAGGGATACATATCGTTCTATCCTCATATCTCTTCCACTACATGCAGACAACTCAATCTTGCATCCGAGTGTCGTTTTGATTCATTCATTGATCAGATATGACTCTTATGATGCATGTGATAGGACACCCTACAGATGCATTCAATAGACTTTCGCTTGAATAGTAGTTACTTACGGTGTTTATGAATGGTAGTAATTGCCAGATCGTACCATTATATCGTTGTTCTCGTCCAGGTATAGTGGTGTTCCTTGATGTACCACTTGCTGTTGTTATTGATTCAGTTTGATCAGTTAGATTTGTTTGTCCATGTTGGGACGACGATTTGACTTTAATTCGAAGAAGATGCATGTTGTTGTTTTCAATTACTAAACAAACTGTTCAGGCACGACTATCAATAACCATATAGACTATCATAAACAAGTGAGAGACAGTCCACAAAAAAGTCGAAGAAAAAAAAAGAAGAAAGAGAATTGCAAAAGTGGCTTGACAAACACACGACAAAGCCATCAATAATCTATTTGGTTTTATTTATTGAATTTCCTGTATATGCCGGATTGTTCTTCTAACGTTGTCTCAGATCATCGAAGATGAATATTGTGAGTAAAATTTTGTATAGACATCCGTATCCACACACAAAGATCTTTATTAATGATTAAATATAATCAGAGATTGAAATCTATCTTGATCAAATTATTTTAACTAATGTCGATGAAAACGAGATCAAGTTGGTTTTTGTTCTTCGTTTTTTTCCTCTTTTTCTACATCGAATAGGAAATCATTTGACATGAGTCCATGTCTGCAAGCATTTTTCTTCTATCTAATATGTCTATAAAATGTAAATTAAGAAGAATATTATTGATAAGAGAAAAAAACGAGAGTGCATGCTAACTAATAACGATTATATTCCTTCCTGGCTAATAGCGCTTGAAAACATGTTTTTTTTCTTCTTGTTTAGCTTCTATTAAACATATCCATCCTTATCAAATGCTATCTATCTATAAATAACGATTAGGACGAATTGTGCGAGAATTTTATTCAAGCAATTAGATATAATCCATAGTGAAAACATGTTCTGATGTTGTTGCGAGTGATTAGAGTATTTGCTGTCTTGCACTGGTGAAACCTGTTCGTCCGGAATATGCACTGAACATCGGCCAGTGTCGTGCATCTTAACAGTATAAGCAGAGAAGATTAGATTTACATACATTTGATGAGAATTCAGTAGATTTTGTCAGACTGGAATCTTTATCGACCTTGAGTACATATCGATTACTTGACTAATGAAATCAACGTCCTTTTTCTGCGACAGATCTTTTTGGCAGCTTGAATATCACCGATCGAATGATTTGAGGCTTTTTTTTGATAGAATTGTTTAGCAAAGAAGTAATTACTGAACTGTTCATGAGAAAAGTTTCGCCTGTGTAAATAAGCATGAGAATATCAACTCATGAAATCATTTAATCATATCGCAAATCTGCTTTCGATTGCTATACCTGCTGTTTTCAAATTATCATTGAATAGGCTATTGTAGAACAACTTTTCTTTCTATGAGTGCAAGATGTCCAACAAGGATGCCCGAATTAATGAGTACTTCCGACGCGAATTTCGGTGTCAACTAGTTTTTTCGTGTCAGCATGGGTGTCTTCTACAGTCTCAAACTATGTCGCGACGGAATATTTCTCCGTCCAAGTCATCCCTGGTGCAGTTTTCTTGAATGGATATCTGATAGCTCAACTGAAAGATAATCCACTCAAGTCAAATGAATATCCATCGTTGTTTCGATTACATCATCGAATATTCTTGACATCCTTCCATTTGATATACAGAAAGCCAGCTAACGACACATTATGATTACATATTGGCAATTTGTGGATATCATGAAAGCTGTGTCTATGTATTTATTCCTCATAGCTTATGAAATGTCTAGTACACTAGTGACATAATCTCTATAATTACTATTTCTCTCTTTTGGTATATGCTACATCTATACATTATACAGCAACAAAAAAAAACTTATGGTTATATGTTCATAACAGTGGACAAGACATTGCATTTTCTTTTCTTTTTTTTGCTCTCCACTTTTTCTCGCTCTGTTATTTCCATATTCAACCACTACACATCAAGAATGTTCCATCTTGATGTATGTTTGTTCAACAGTATACATAGAGTACATATATAGAAAGGTCGTCCCGCTGTCTACATTATTTATCTCCTTATTCTTCACACTACAAAGACGATGTATACATCGCGGTTGATTGTTATTCCTAACTATGGTAATCTCCGTCGATCAAATTCATCATCCAATTCATCGTATACGTTTCAACACGAGAAATTCCGTTCGACGCTGATTGTTTTACCGGAGTCCAATCGCAAGCGATTTATCGAAGGTATTCAAGTCCGTTGTGGTAGTTTCCTTCATGATCAATCATATCTGAGCATCAATCGTTTGAAATCTCTCTCACCAATTGGCACGCCGAGTGATGTTCTCAGTGTCGATGAATCGATTTGTGAATTATATCCCATTGTTGAAACTCCAACTATTGGCGAATCATATTTTGATGTTCGACATCGTCTTATGGCAAAATCAAATCTCTTCAATCATACGATCAAAACCGACACTGATGTTGATGAAACTGACAGTTGTTGGTATTCATCATCAATCGCACATTCTTCTCAATGTGGCAACAATTTGAAAAAGAAATACAATCGATAGTTAACAGAGAATGTTTCTCGTTTTCTCCTTCTTTCTTTTTTTTTACACCCAATCTTCTACAACATAATTAAAGTACAGCTTTTGATAGTAATAGGCTTTTCGTATGTTATATCTCGACTGCAATCGTAGAAATAAAGTTAAACATGCGAACAACAATATTTACATAAATTGATCAGATTTTGGTATACTATGATGTTTTGCTTGAATTTTATTTCAAAGAATAAAACTAAATCTCGTTCGATTCTCAATACTATTAAAACTAAATGAAAGTCAAATATTGATGATGAATTGTTTTAAACATTTGGAACAAGAAGTTTGCGAATGACTGGATCGTTTTTGCATCTAATCAAAGAAAATATTTGATAAAAATGTTTCGAACAAGGAGATATCTACCCAGCAATAAATTCTTGTTTGCTTAATTTCTTATCACCACTAACATCAAGCTTGGCGATAATTTCCTGAGCGCGATGTTTTGGATCTTTATCACCTTTGCGATCTGTTTCACCGACAAGATCGTACTGAAAAGATATGCAGAGAATGAAATATCTACAGAGCGAAGGAACATGAAGATTTTACCATGGCGGTGAGTAATTTGGTAAGTTCCTTTTGGTCGATTTGACCATCATCGGAAATATCGTACCTGAAGATAAGAAATACACATTGAAATATCGAACGAATCCGTGGAAGAAAGGAGCGTACATGTCAAAAGCAACGGCAAGACGATCATCAATATCACCTTGACTTGTAGCAGAGATGGCTAAGAGAAACTCTTCGAAATCTATTGAACCATCATTATTGGCGTCAAATGTATCGAAAGCAAATCTAAACAGACGCGTGATTCTTGGGAAATCAAATGGAACTGAAAGTGTCTCACTTGCAAAAGTTATCGGCCTTTCCATTAGGATAGAATTGTTTGTAAACTTCAACAAATTTCTTCTTGTCAAGTTTACCGCTTGGACAATCACGAAGGAATCCCTATAAACCAAATTGCCTAACTAAATATCTGTATGTAGAAATTAGTAGGGATACTACGTACTGCATGCCATTCGCGGATTTCTTAATAAGAAGACAATGGCAATTAGATGTAGAAATGGAGAAAAACAAACTTTACCTTTTTCCGAATATTTTGTATTCGCTTTAAGTAAACTAATATCTAAAAACGAATGAAATTCAAACTGAACTGAAATCTCGTGAATATGACGAACGTTTTGGTGTTAATTCAGTTGAATTGGTTTTGTTTTGTTTATTACCCATGTCGACTGATAGTTAGTACGAAATATGAAATGATCTAGAAATGAATGGAGAGTCTTACATCGTTTCAAATTTCGATAAGTAATGAATGTAAATGCATTTGTCAATAGTATTTATAGAACAAGGCGAAGAGAACAAAACTACCCCGTTGGAATTTTTATGCGTAGAAGAAAAGTAGGTAAAAATAGACGAAGAAAAAGAGAAAGCAACTGCAAACACGATAGAATGGAAGAAATTGTCGACTCGAACTACGAATCTTCTATTTGATTAATATAATAACTTTCATGACCAAAAAAAAGAATTATGTAAACATTAAAGAAAATCAATAAGTAGAATACATTTAAATTACCATCCGATAATGAATAATTCATGAATTTTTGCTCTCTAAGTTGAGGAATCAACTTTTCCAGGTGAATAACAGTTAGAAATGCTTTGAAACAATCATCAAATATTACCGACAGCACTCAAAACAGTCGTACGTGGATAACACTGTCATCGATGTATGTTTCTCGAGAAAATATTAGGCTAGCAGAACAAGCGAAAACGTATCAAATGTAAGTAAAAGAATGTTTTCTTGGATACTATTCCGGGTAAGAATAATAGACATGTCGTAGAGATAAACAAACAGAGTTTGCGTTAAATTATGAGTGTTAATACCAATTTTATGGCAGGTTTAGCTATTCCACTTGTCAACCTCCAGTGTAAACAAAAGAAATAGCAACATCAACGACATTTTATTCGAATGATTGGCAGCGATCAATAAATTTAATATTTATGTTTGTGATTTACATTTTGTTTTATTTCTATATGTCCCTCGAAAACAAATGTTTCTAAAAGTAAAGTAACTTTCAATAGCGAAAACAAAATCTGTCAATGCCAGGTGATTTTTTTCTATAAGAACTTTCTTAACTAGGGTTTATTTTTCTAACTTGGTTCCGTTAGTAATTAATCTATTCCCATTAGAAAAAAACAGCTAAAATAGTCGAGAATTAGTTTCGAAAAGATGAAAAGTCAGTTCACACACACGATCGGTGAAGATTTTTAAGCATTTGGAGCGAGTAATTGACGAAGAACTGGATCAGCTTTCAATCTGATAAGAAGATCAAAATAGGTAATAAAAAGTAACACATAAACGAAAAGAATTTTACCCAGCGATAAATTCTGCTCGCGTTATCTTCTTATCGCCAGCTGTATCAAGTTGAGCAATAATGTCTGCTGCACGTTTCTTTGGATCTTTATCACCTTTACGATCGGTTTCACCGACAAGATCGTACTAAACAAGCACTCTTCTCATCGATAATAATTACATTAAATAAATGTTACCGTAGCGATGATTAAGTTACTTAATTCCTTTTGATCGATGGTACCATCGTTTGAGACATCGTATCTACAAGTGAGATTACTAGTGAATATTCGAGTAGAAATATTTTGGCATACAAATCAAATGCAACACCAAGACGATCGTTAAGATCACCTTGACCAGAGGCAGCAATGGCTAGAAGGAACTCTTCAAAATCAATTGAACCATCATTATTGGCATCAAACGTTTCGAAAGCGTATCTAGATGAAAGTTATTAAGAAGAGAATTAACCGAATCATTGATTAATCTTACTTGCAATATTTATCAGGCTTTCCCGTTGGATAAAACTGTTGATAGACTTCAACAAATTTCTTTTTATCAAGACGACCAGTGGGACAATCACGAATGAAACTCTAGAATGACGAAGAAATCGTAGTTGTGCATGAAGAAACACTTTGAGAAGAACAAACTGCATGCCAATCGCGAATCGCTAAAAATACCACAGAAAATTAGATGAACTTCTACAAAATTTAGAATTATGTTTACCTTTTTCATCGTATTTAGTATTTGCTTTGAGTAGTGCAATATCTACAATGAACGAAATGATTTATTTAAGAAGAATAAACTTTGAGTACAAACGTTTGTCGGTGAGTTCTGTTGACGTTTGCTTTTTGGATTGTTTTCCACCCATGGTTAACTATATCTGAAAATGAAACACAAAACTAAGCGAGTTTTTGCACGTCAAGTCCTGTCTGAATAGATATGTTCTTGTTATTATAAATCAATGCAATCGTGAAGGCATTTACAAAGTAATACAAATACTCTAAAAATAAATACCTTGAATATATACGTTTTATCCAGTAGAAAATCAAAAAAAAAACAAAGAGAAATGAATGGTACGGTTGAGCAAACATGAAATATTTTGTTTGTCAATATATGACAGATATTATGATTCTTACAGGTGATGGTCTTTCGGTTTATACTCTAGTTTTTTGTTTGATTTTCTTTCGAGAGAAATATTTGGATGTTAAAACGAACGATTTTAGTACTTAGCGCTTGATTAGAGATGTTTAGAATTTATTCATTTTAAATACTAATTCGTTCACTACAAAAACATAAAGGAATATTTGATTTTGTAGTTGGTCTATCCATTTGAAAAGATGTTTAAACACCGGGAGCGAGCAATTGACGAATAACTGGATCACTTTTACATCTAAGAAAACAAAGATTCCGTATAAATATATTCAATCGCACTACATTTTCATAAAACACATACCCGGCGACGAACTCGGCCTTGCTTAATTTCTTGTCTCCGGTAACATCGAGTTTTGCAATGATATCTGCTGCACGTTTCTTGGGATCTTTATCACCCTTACGATCAGCATCACCGACAAGGTCATACTAAAAAAATATCATAAATTCGATTGTTTCTTGCATGTCACAACTGTTACCATAGCTGTAATTAAAGTAGCCAATTCTTTCTGATCGATTTGATTATCATTGGAAATATCATATCTACGAGCATATCTTTTCCATTGAGTTTAATTCTTCGTTGAACTTACAGGTCAAAAGCGACTTCTAGACGATCATTAAGATCACCTTGGCTTGTTGCGGTGATTGCTAAAAGAAATTCTTCAAAGTCGATACTACCATCATGATTCGCGTCGAAGGTGTCAAATGCATATCTACATAATCATCAATCGATTGGCAAATATCGTTTTATTTCTTCGTCTTACTTGCAATATTTGTCTGCTTTACCATTAGGATAGAATTGCGAATAAAGATCGACAAATTTCTTTTTGTCAAGTCGACCGCTAGGGCAATCTTTCATAAAACCCTAAAATATCAACAATGATTGTTCAATATATGTACACAAAACCCGATTTTCATAAAACTAACTGCATGCCAATCGCGAATTTCTAAATAAACAAGGGCAGATGATACATTAAAAACTAATTATAGGATAGACAGCGAAAGATTTGTTTACCTTTCTCGCTATATTTTGTATTTGCTTTGAGTAAAGCAATTTCTAAAGACAAAGAAAGCAGTTGATATCATCCTCCTATTTAGTGAACAAACGTTTTGGTGTTAATTCAGTTGATGTTGTTGTTTTCTTTGCTTGTTTTCCACCCATCACTTCGATGAATAAATAACGAATAACAGATCACCCAGATATATCGAAAAACCTTGTTTACCTTGTATTGTATCTCTTACCAAATATATGTAAACAGATTATTCGCTATCATTATATATACGTGCACGTGCATAGTAAACAAAGAAACGATGAATAAATATGAGAGAGATAAAAATTTTCACGGGGATAATTGCGCAGGTAGACAGGCTGAATAATACATTTCTAATCAAACAGATTACTAATATTCCGGTTATGTTCATGTTCTTGTCATAAGGATTCAAACAAGACTAATCACTTTAGAGTTGATGTGAAGGTTCGGCAGAGATTTGATGATTGCGGTTTCTTTTCTTTATTTCTTGAAAAACATAAAAGATAGAAGAACTCAACTGAAAATAGAATAGAGCACCAACGCACACGTCACTGTAAAATGAAATTCATGCTGAAAGCGTATCGTCGATTTTGAAAAGATGAGATTCACAATGGAATGAAGACACTTAGAAGTGAAAGAAGAGGAGCGGGACAGAGCGAAAGTGTGAAAAGAAAAAACACTAGAAGGACATTCTTATTAACAATAAACAGAACTCAATATCATTAAGGAATCATTGATTTCTTCATATTTGATGAAAATAATGTTTGATCATCTTCATCATCTGAATCACTTGCCATTACATGGTTTTTTCTTCCATTCTTTTGTCGAGTCATAACCGGTAAATCATTCTCGTCTTGAACTAAGCGTTCATATCGTTGAAAACCAGTACGGGATCGTACTGTTGAACCTTGGCAACATTTCAGATATACGACAACCATTGCAAATAGAGAAGCCAAGATTAAAGCTAAAGAAATCGAAAAATAAACTCGTATTTCAAGTTTGATTTGCAAAAATACGAACCACAAACGCCAGAAATAATAAGGAACAACGTTCGATTAAGAACAAAATCTTTCACTTGACGATACGCTGTTTGAATACCCGATGTTGTCTTGTCGACAAATTTTGATAACGGTCCTTTATTCTCAGAGACAGCTGATGAATCTTTACGTTTTAATTTAAATTCAATGTAAGTAGAAGATTGATTACCAACAAGAATATTTTGTTTCGTTTCCGATTCGTATCTATTTCACAAAGAAAACTTTTTTTTGGAAATAAGTGTCTCAGTGTTTTGAAACATACCCAATGCGTTCAGCAGTGATATCATAAACACCTGCCGTTAATAATCGGAAGAAATCACCATCGCGATATGTCGTCACGTTATGTTGAATATCATGAACATGAATGATCACACCTGACAGCGGTATTTTTGTTTTTGCGTCGTAAACAAAACCACGAATACCGTGCACAACCTATAAGAAAAACAAATAGTATTGTTTGGCCTATAGATATCCATCAACATACTTGAGTAATGTATGCCAATAAAGCTCCTTTATTATCATCCCAATAGGATTTTAATTCTGTTTGTTTGGGATATTTGACGCAACCTAATTCAATTGTAACTTCCATGTCGGATGTATATGCGTACGACCAATCTTGCATGCCACCATCGATCACGTACCAAGCAGCACCATTAGTAATACCATCGTTAAATTTGATACAGGCATCACCTTTATGCATGTTTGGATGAGCCTAGAACAGACGAAATTGATCGATAGTAACAATGAAAAAATACAATTGAAATCGTTTACGTGTGAATATGATCTAGCGAGCATTTGAAAGGTTTGTTCATCCGGCGATTTACTTTCTTTGCTTGTTGAATCGCTGATTCGATTGTCAAATGGATAATTGGCAACAAGAGCACCTCCATGTAGATTTCCCGATAGAACGAACGGATAAATCAATGACCAATGCATGACAGCACGAACTTCAGGCTCAAGATGATGTTCAATATTGGATAATTTATCTAAACGATTTCCACCATTCTCTGAATCTTGTTTTGGTACAACAATATCATTCTTATCAGGCAAATGTTCTAATTGAACTTTCGGGAAATTACGATTTAAATCAATTTTATTCGCATTCAAACGACCGGGTCCTTGAGCGTGTATCGACTGTTTGTATTCATATTCAAATCCATCAGGATTCATTGTTGGCATTATATGAATACGGACCTAAAATACATCGAAAAGCAACACAAGATCTATCTATATTATACATCAATCTCACGTACATTGTTGACGAGCTGAGTGATATAATCATTCTTTCCATAATTGACACATAAGTATTCGATAAAGAGGATTAAACATTCACGTCCTACACTTTCATCACCATGCACATTGCCGATATATTTCACTTCTGGTTCACCAGCTTCGTGAATAAGTGGTTGATCACTTACAATCATAACCCATAAATCACGTTGCTCATTACTTTTACCAATTGTATATAAACTTGTAATATTCGGATATTTACTATTCAGTTCTTTCAATTTCGCAATCATTTTGTCGTAATCATGGTATAAAAAATCACTGCTAGGTTCAATTAAAGTTTTGAGCACTGTTTCACGTGAGTCACTCATTAATTTTTCAGAAAAATTGGATAATAAATTGTAGACATCGTTCGTCGATGAAACATCTTTTGTCAATGATGATGATGATGAGCCATGAGCAATAGGTTGCAGATGAAAATCAAGACGAAGGGCCTGTGACAATATCTTCAGCATACAGAATAAGCTGCCGAATACAATTACTTACATTAGTTATGTTTTCATTGGTAACTTTGATATTCATTTTTGTTTGTGATACATATCCTGCAGCTGTAATAGTTACATTGTATGAGCCCGGCATGAGTAAACGCCAGTAAGCGCCATGTTGAACACTGCGAACTTGATGGAGAATACCTTCAACTTGAATCAAAGCTCCCGAAATACCAGTTTGTGTTTCGGCATCCCGAATGAAACCTTTAATACCAAGGTGACTCTAAAATGAAATCAACACCAGTGGAAATTTTCCTTCTACATTAAATGTCTTTGTTTTTACCATTTCCATATAAGCAAGTAACGCTTCTTTATTATTATCCCATTCTTTTTTAAGACTTCCATCTTGAGCAGGTGGGTATTTGCAGCAACTTAATTCCATTGTTATCTCAAACGCATTACTATGTAAATAGTTAAAGTCTTGCATACCACCTGCCACATCGTACCACTTGGCACCATTTGTTATTCCTTCAGGAAAGCCTTCGCCGCAACCATCACCTGATCACAAGAAAAAACGTCATGTCTTACGCAAAGAACTTCGCTCAGTGTTGACTTCATACCTTTATTCATTGTTAAATGTTTCGAAGAATAAGTTCGTGCTAAGTATCGAAATAGTGAGTCATCGGGTGCTTCTCCGTATGTATCAGGTTTATGAGCAGCTGTTTCATCGTATGGATATGAGGCTACGACTGATCCGCCATGTAAATTTCCGCTCAAGACAAAGTTTTCTTTCAAAATCCATTTCATAACAGCAATTGTTTCGGGTTGTCGTCCGTAGAACAGATCAGCAGTGGTACCGTTTTGCCACTGTTTAAGTGGAGTGTATTGTGAAGGAAAATCTCGATTGAGATCGACTTCCTTGATATTACCTCGGCCACGTAAGCTGCGACTATCACAGACACCTTCCATTGAGTTTTCAAATCCATCCTAGAGTTGCAAACAAGATGATGCTTCCTGTTTTCATTAGATTAACAATGAACGTACCGGATTCATACTTGGCATAATGTAAATATCGGTTGTTGATAGTAAACGAGCAACACGAGCATTCGACTGCGAATTGAGCAATAGATAATAAATTAAACCAATCATCATTTCACGTCCGATCGTTTCATCACCATGCATATTTGCCACCCATTTAAATTTTGGTTTCAATAATTGATCGTCATCTTGTTCCTTTTCTACATCAGCCGCAAGTGGAGAGGTCAAATGCATGACAAATAAACTTCGACCGGTAAAACTTTTTCCTACACTAAATACATGTGATATTTTCGGATACGTCGTTGTCCATTGCTGTAAAAGACGATCAAGTTCAGTGTAGTGATGGTATTTTTCCAGTAATTCATAGACCGCACTATCTTTTTCAACTTGTAACGGTGATGAACGTTGACAAAAGATATTCGATGAATAGATTAAGACAGTTAACACACATAGATATATATACATGATGATGATCTAAAAAAATGAATCTTTTTCAATGAAACCAAACGAAATGTATAAGACAATAGTATGCAAAAAAGAGTCATAAATAGCAGACGGTACGATTCTCATAACACGTCATAGATTAACTTATATACAAATATACATTCTACTCTTGTCTTTTCTTCAAACAACTCAACTTGTTTTTCTTCTATTTTCTTTCCCACGAATATTCAAACGAGAAAAGGAATCTAATCCTTAATAATGAAAGAACGACAACTATGGCAAGAATCCGCTTGTTATCCCATCAGCTTAATCTTCGCTAAATACTAGTTGGCCCTATACTGTCAGATGTTTCGTAGATAAATGTATTGAACTAGCCGATCACCTGCACAGCTAATTTGATTTCTATGGAATCGAAACATGCTGTTTTAAGGTTTCAATTTCGATTTCGATTTCGATTTCGATTACTAATAGATTTTGTAAAATGTGGAATAGCGATAACCGCTGTTCATTGTATACCCAGGGCATGTGGTGAAAAAGCTGAAAATGTTTCTCGTTATTTAGTCGAATAATCAAAAAAATGTTTAGAATAGATAGAGATAGGTTTCAGCCGGCGAAACGACGAAAAAGATCATCCTACAACGATTGACCAATAGCATTGCTGACGTTGATCGTAGCGACACATTTGAAAAATGTAATTTCTTATTTAAAAAATCACGAAATTCACAAGTATTATTCATTAGAAAACAATTGGAATCATTTTCTCAGTATTCACCAAAAATAAGTGTCTGATGGGAGAATCTAGCTTGTTCAACATGGCAGCATTAAATTAAGTAACACGAATGTATATAACATATAGGGAAACTAAATGCATCATAAGTAGAAGCTTATATAATCAAGAAAAATATTGATAATTTGTACTCAATTGTTTTCTCTTTAGATCAAATTTTCTTTAATGTATTATAATGGGAAAGCATCGTCATAAGAAATCATTTTATGATGTGGACGACGACGATTTGCATTCATCTCGTAGAGATAATCGTCATCATCGACGACGACACTCAAGTGAAAAGCAAAACGAAAGAAGACAACGTGTACCATCGATGTCCTCGTTCGTTAATAGTAAGACTGTTGATGACGACGAAGCTGCGCTGCAATCACCGCCAATCAAAAGGCAACGATCATCATTAAGCGGTTCGCAGTCACCTTCAAAGGTTCTGTCACAACTTATTGAGAATCCAGAATTTCTAGCGAACGCAGGCCCGAAAGCAAAAGAATTTGCCGAAACAGCTCGACAATTACTTGCTAAGCCTGACCTCGATCCAACCACACAACAAATCATCTGCGCTATGGCTCAGGTGAGAATTTCGATAGCTATGAAATTCAAGCCATGCTATTTGTCGGCTCTCTTTAGGCTGCAGTCAATGTTGGAAAACGACTGAATTCGTCGTCTTTATCCTCGACACCAGCTGATCAGTGTGTTGACGACATCAGTATCACTAATAGTACAACTTACTCATCGACTACTCTACTATCTCCAACTTTATCGACAACAAGTAGTTCATCAGCGTCGACTACGCCTCAACAACAATCTCATTCTAATGTATCGCGTGAAGAAAGTAAAACGCCAACGGAACCAGAAAGCGATGAAGATATTTTGATTAAACAAATGATTGAGCGTGCGATGAAGTTAACGCAACAAGGTGATACTCGTCATGCACAACATTTACTTGGCGTTATTCACGAGAAGTTATCCAATAAACGAAAACGAGAAGCAGTAGCTGCTGCTGGCAGTGGTGCTATGGTTACACCCTTTACGAATAGTAATGACGATGAAAAACATAAAGGTCAAGTAACTAACGATTTTTATGCGTTACCATCGATGTTAAATGAAGAATTACAAAATAATATCGAACATAATGCACTCTCATCATATGAATCTGAACAAACGGTAAGTGACTTATACAAGAAACAGATTTATTCAACAAGCCGCTACCACTTGTTCGTCGAATTTTAGAATGATTATCAGAATACATCTTGCTTTTCATACCCACCACCACCATTACCACCTGCTCAGCCACCACCTCCGCCACCGCCACCGATTCCAGACACAAATGTCGCAGCATCTCTGTCAATTACAGTGCCACCTATTGAACAAGTACAAGAACTGCTGGCGAATCCTTCAGAAGTTCAAGATATACTGAAAAAATTGTTTGCTCCAAATGATAATGTGAAAGTTTCGCCTCCTGAAGAACATCAAATACAATCTCATTTAACTTCACCATCGGCGTACTATTCTCAACCCCCAGCTCCTTTAATCAATAGCTCGTTTTATCCCCTGCCTCCTCGATCGAATAATCATAATCAACCGGCACGTTTACCATTGCCGCCGCTGCCTTCACCGCCCGCAGCAGCAGTAGCGGCAGGCCCTCAGCCCTACAATTCTTCACTTGCTTTCATGCAAGGAAATCGACGGAATCTACCGCCATTGCAAACGCCAGATCGATGCTTCTCATCATCATCCAGCAGTAAAAGCAACAAATCAGCACTACCACTCCCATCACAACAACAACCGCAAACAACAAATCGTTCGTTCTCGTTTTCATCGTTGACAACATCAACGATACCACCAAACAGTAATGGAATTAAATCATTACTTCCCACTTCAGCGCCGCCTCTTATGACAATCAGTCCTACACTACCGTACGGTTCATCTGTACTCACACCGTTCGAGACAATTCCATCCCGTTGGTCAAGTCCGAACGAGCAGCAGCCAAATCTTCATGCATTTTGGTGTGCTACATGCGCGCTTGGTTTTCCTCATCAAATCGTCTATCAAGAACATTTACGCACTCATGTTTCAGTAAAACATTCATACTCATAATAATAGTAAACAATATGTTTAATGATTTTCATAGTGCAATGTGCCTGGCTGTTCATACACTGCGTCGGAACAACTTGTTCGTATGCATTATCAAAACGTAACTATTGTCACATTTATACAATACTTTATCTATTGATCTGTTTCCATTTTCTGTAATCTAGATGCATGAAAACAATGTACGCAATCGAATGAATAATACTACTTTGCATTCAAATCGTCCAATACAACCATTATTAGATCAACCGTGGCCTTTAATGCGGATGTAGATAAAGCATCATTAATCAGTCTTTATTGATATTAGTATATTTTCCAGTCATTCATTATTTAGATATGAAAACGATCATATCTGATTTAATTTTCGGTAAATGAAATCAAAAGTTACCTTCGCCAGATAGTCATTCATTCATTCATTTTAGTACATGTGATAGATACTTTCTCCTATGGCTTTCGATGATGATGATGATATTTAGATAAAAAAATGGTATGTCATCATCACTATATTGCGTCTTGTTTTCCTTCTATCCGGTTGTTGATGTTTAACTACTACTTTTGTTTATTGTTGAATTAACAATTATCTTTTTTTTGTATCTTCTTCAAACATGTGTATTTTAGCGTTACTAGAATGTTTTCTTTTTCTTCTTTTTGTGTTCACGTTTTACTTTGTTTTCTTTTCATGTTATATTTTGTTATTATCAACGTCTTCATCGATTGGGTTTTTTTCTCTTACAATCTTTCTCTGTCTCGCGAGTAGAAACAAATGAAAACGCTGATGAAAAAAGGAACTCGTGCTACGTTTAACGTCAATTTGTATTGTATTTATCTTATTTTACAAGGATTGATTTCATGTGAGAAAGGATTATTTAGACTGATTATATTTCAACTGTCTTTTGTTTTCTGATGAATATTTTTCATACGGTGATTCTTCAATGAGAATCATTTGATTTTATTTTAGAGATTAATTTAAATTTTTATCTCTATCCCCCCTCGTAAATAAAAAGAAATTTCTTCCCATGACTGTAGTACAGATATACTCTCTCTCCCCCGTATTTATATAAATAAGAAAGATTGACGGGAATTCAAGCTGTATTCACATGTATAATGAAATAGTGACAGACTGATTATTCGTGATACGATTACAACTAATCGAGGTTTTAGATCATAATACTTTTAGGATGAAGGGAAAAAATCCATGAGAATCTCGTGATGAAAGTTCTTTATGTCAGTAACCACATTCAATTTCTAGTACTTCTTGCTTAGTGTTCTTTATCTTCGTCAGCATTATTTCTGATCACAATGCAAATATGAGTTGAACAAGGAATCAAGCAGTACTATAAACTAATATCCTCTCATCATATTCGAAACTGTTTTCCTTTGGACTTTTATTGTGAAGAGAGCAAAATATTACTCTGATGAGAAAATCTCCTTATGTGTATGCATACCATTTTTTTCTTCGTAGAATTGCGAATTTGTTGGCATTCTTTAAGAAGACGACAGACAAAATAGTTGTACGAAATTCAGAAGAGTTGATTGACTGTAAATGAATGAACACATTGGAAATAAGTAGGTCGTACTCGTATTTATTCATTTATGAATGAATAACTATATCGAGAACCTTAGTAAGAATCAGTGTTTATAAAAAAATATCAGTTATAATCAATCGATGAATACGATTCTTAGTAAAAGAAATGCTTGAAAAAAGTTTAAGAGTATCCACAGATGAGCTTTCGATTAAAGTTAGTTGTGGTAGTTTGCAGTAAAATGTGAATTGATCTGTATATGAAATACTAACAAAAAGCGTGTGTCGACGACGAAATGGATCAATGTCTTCTTCACTATCAACATCAAAGTGGTATTTTCGCATCACGTAATTCTATTTCAATCAAATTCTGCCATCGAATCATCATGACTTGTTCACTGTAGTGTTTGTTTTCTCTCGTTTTATGCTTGTAACTATCCTGCGTATATATGTGTGTAAACTAGTTGGTTATTTCAGTGTTCACCCATAATTTACCTTTTCTGTTTTGTATAGGTCATTAACATATTCAAAATTAGTGGCGGACGATGACAAATAGGTAGGTCTGACAGTTTATCAGAGAATGTATTTATAAAATATCAAACGCAATGCGGAATAACATGCTTCTGTGGAGGTATATTTAATTTTCGACGTAGTAAGTAACGTTGTTTATGTGAAAATTCGAGTGACCTCATGAAATATCCGTAGTTAATATTGATCATCATCTCTTTATTTTCGATTGATGACTTTCAGATATAAATCATGCTTTCAATTCATAGCATTCTTCGTTCGAACATATGTAAAAGTCTTTCATCTCGTTATGCTTCGTCGTCAGTAACAACAAGCCTGATCAAGATTTCGAAAACTGACAATGACCAGATCTGTCGTATCACATTGAACAATACTCGACAGCGCAATATTCTTTCTCTTGCAATGATAAATGATCTGATCAAAGCCTTGGAAGACAATGAGAAACAATCACGTGTTATTATTCTGACGGCAGGTGATCAGAAAGTGTTCAGTTCAGGTCATAGTCTAAAGGAGCTATCCGAATTGAGTAAAACAAAAGCCTGCATTGCAGTTTTCGATCGATGCACCGAACTCATGCTAAAGTAGACTGAATACTTTTCTTAAACATGCTATATTCTCGTTATTCGAAGAATTGGCCAGCTATCCATTCCTGTTATTGCTGAAGTCTTTGGTCTGGCAGCGGCTGCTGGCTGTCAGATGGTAGCCAGTTGCGATATCGTGGTAGCTGGTGAGAACGCTTCATTCTCAGTTCCCGGTGTCAAACATGGGTATGGTCAAAAGATTTCTTTCTGTTTTACTTCGAACTTAATTTCTATTTAGATTATTTTGCATTACTCCAGCTGTGGCTGTTCGTCGCTCAATTACAAATCCGAAACTATCTTCGTTAATGCTATTCACCGGCGAACCTATATCAGCAAAGGAAGCTTATAACCACGGTCTTGTCAGTCGTGTCGTTAGTGAAAATGACCTTGAACGTGAGACAAATAAGATCGCTATGCAAATCTGTGCAAATAGTCGAGCAGTAGTTGCCATCGGAAAGAAATACTTACAAATGAAAGATGCCAAAGACGATCTACCTCACGAATATCAGGTAGCAACACGAGGCATGATTGAAAATCTTGAATTGAAAGACACTCAACATGGACTTGACTCATTTATAAAGAAAACTCGGCCAACGTGGACACATCAAGATGATAAGATGTAGAACTATCGTATAGAACTTAAAAACTCACCGTCGTTTCAAAAATTTTTATCTAACCATTCTCTTTCATTTGGGACAATATGGAATAATAACATTTCGTACAACAATCTTTTTTTCAAAATGTAGATTTAGATTATAATAACAGAACATTGTAAAACGAAAACTAAATTTTACTGTTTTATTTGCTTTTTCTCGTTTTATTTATATTTACACGGAAATGTTAGGTCGAGGAAAAGTTCATGCGCCGTGTTATTGAGGGTGTGTTGGTGAGGGTCACGGCACACGCACTTTTTCCTCAGCTTAGTAAAAAAATACATTCCAAAAGTCCTTTTCAAACACTATGAGTTCCGTGTACTCAATAAAATATTGAACAATCGAAACTTCATGTCGATTCATTGGGTAAATCCTGAATTATTTGTTCGAGTTCTTGAATAGTAGCATCGTCTTGTGGCAATACTTGACGATAGATTTGCAGTGCCTGTTCAAACATATCGCGAGCTTGGCTTATACAATCCATGTACTGATAAACCGTGCCAATGCATTTGTACGCTGATGCAATCGATGAATGAACTGGCTGAAAAATTGTCGATTTAATCTCGAGTGACGTTTTAAAGTGTCCTAATGCCAAATGATACTGCTGTAAACTGGTACGGACAACGCCAAGATTGTGACAACACAACGCATAATGGTGACTATTCGTATCATTGCTTTTGATGAGGATCATCTCTACTTGAGAATAATAGTAGAATGCGTCGGTAGATCGTTCTGATTGTAGATGAATATTGGCCATATTCGTATAGCAATCAATTAGAGCTCTGTCCAAATCACCCTTTAATGTCTTCCAGATTTGTGCAGCTTTTTGGTAGTGATCTAATGCTTGATCACAATCATTCATTTCACAATAAACCGAGCCCAAATCGTTGTGAAGTGCGGCCAAATCGAGATCATCGACTGTCGACGACCTTGTCTTCAAATCGAATACTTTTTTATAATTAGCAAGACTTGAATCGTATTCGCCTCTCATAAATTCGAGACGACCCAACACACGACAACACTTCATATGATCCATACTGTCTATTTGTAATTTGTCATGATAATCTCGAATGAGCTTTTCGCCACTGTTAGATAGATTTGTGTCACCTAAAGCGTAGCCGAGAGCAATCTGAAATTGACCAAATCTAACAGCATCTGTTCCACCATTACTATCGATATGTTCTTGTTTTATTTGATTGATCTGCTTTGCTATTTGATTGTCATCATCAGTGCCACATAGTTGCGCCTTGATATTGATAATACCATCTTTTTCATCGTCAATATTGATGATTCGAAGAAGTGATCCCAGCATGACCAAGACTTGATCTGGATCGTTAATTGTGCTAACAAAATCCAGCTTTGCAAATGGTTTAACGTTTGCCGTTTGTGGATCAGCTTCGATCTCGAATAGTAATCGTTTGTATTCATTATTTGAAGCGTCATAAGATACATATGAAATCGCTTTTTCCCGATCAGTATTCGTCCATAGAAAATATTTCATGGCGATAACTCGACCATTTAAAGCTTGCAATCGTTGAAAATCTTCATTGAACACCAGTTCACACAGGTATAATTGAGTCACTGTTGTACATTTGTGTTGTTCGAGTTGTTTTCCAATATCGCCAATGAGTACTCGACTTGAATAAATAGCGTCAACATATCCTCCTTTGCATATATTATCCAGGTATGGGCAAGTGGACAAATCTGAATACAAATACATTATGGCCTTGTCAGGTGAATAATTTGTGCGGAATTCTTCAATTACAGCAGATAACTGTTCATTTCCTGACGATACGCCTTGCCAGCATGAAAGGTAGTCGCCGATTTCTTCTGGCTGAAATGTCATTCGAATGATCAAATCGATATGAGCTACGATAATGTAGTATGTAGTATCCGCTTCATATAAAAACGAACTTGAATTTTGTTCTGGAGCTGGTGACGCAGTTGTCTCTGTTTCACTTACTGTACTTATAGGCTCCTCAGTTTGTGCTACTGGAACTAGAGCTGTTTCATCTTTTGATAGAACAGATTCTTGTGGATTTATCAACGATGTAGCAGTTGTAGGCTGTGCCGTCTCTGGAGGTATGCCTGTTGCTGAATCTGTTCCTACTGAAGGTTGTGCTGCTATTGCTCTGTCATTTGATGGATAATCATTATTGCCCGAACTTGAACTTAATGATAGACTTCTAAGAAGCTCATTGTACTCTGTGAAAACACCTTTTACCTAAAAACAAGAAAACCAAACTATTAGATGAATTCATCTATTTTCTGTTGAAAGAAAGCTTTAACTATGAAAGATTACCTTAGTAAACGTTCTCGCCCATTGCTCATGAGCGTGTTTGTTGTAGCAATATACATGTATACTTATGATTTGAGGCAAAGTGTGGATTTTAGGTACCATTTCACTACCATGAGTACCGCTAATAATTAATTCGATAGGATCATGCGACGATTGAGCTTTTAAATACGCTTCACAATCAGTTGCACTAGTACAGAACCGATACTTTCCATTAATCTTTTCCACTTCCCCTCGAATGATCGTACTTTCAAGAGGTTCGCTCTGATTTCCATTAAACCAGACGTAGGTTTTTTGCGAAGAATTAGTATTACCGCTCATATTGGATCATTGAAATATGGATATAAAGGAGTCGACTATTTTGAAGTTGCTTTTAAATTACTGCTCTATGTTGGAAAAAAACAACTTCAATGAATGAATCATAACCTTCGTAAAAAGTATGTTTACTGCAAGCGCTGTTTTTTTTTCTTTCCTTTTCAAAGCAAACATACGGTGATATCAGTTGTTTTGTTTAACAAAGCCACGTGGTCGCAAAATTACTGACTTGCGTCTTGATAAAAAGAAACAATCGGCTAACGCAGAGAATTCGAAACGCTTCCTGCGGATAAATTCGCTGTTGCCGACGGAGAGAAAGAACGTAAAAAACATATGTGACGTATAATCGTGAAAACAACGAATTTCTTCTGCTTTCATAGACGGTTTTTCCAACTTATACTATATTAATAGATCGGTGATAAAATGAGAAAAATTCGTGAACATTTATATCGAAAACGATGAAGTCGATAACTATCATCGAATATTATGCATAATTTTGTACAACAGTTCGTATAAGAGCAGACAAGTCAAAATCAATCGAGTTTGATACAGCTAACCGATTATATATTTGATTATATATATCTACCCGTGCTGCTCGATGCAATGAACGTGAAAGTCTAGCAGATTCGAATACATGAGCCTCTCCATTTTCGAATTCGAATGCTACCATACAGCATGAACTTGTTGGTTTTCTATATAGAAAGATTATATCATTATAAAAGTATCTTAACTGAACAAACTCAGTTGTTTCCGTTAGTTTCAAAGATTCTTTAATCGGCTTCGATGAAACTAATACTGCATCTGTTGCCGATTCTCTACTTGCTATCGGTGTATCAGCTGATCGCTTATCGTCGAGCCTGAACAGAATATTTTCGTTGAAATCGTGATTTTCCACGAAAACACAGGCGCGTGCTTTAATGAACATTTTGTTTTCAGTCCTTGGCAAATTGTAAAAATAAGTGTCACTAGCCATCTTAGCTGCATGTTTATGAATCGATATCTGTAAATTTTCGCAAGATGAATGACTACTGTTGTTAATATCTATTTCATTGATATTTAGTGGATGTTGTGATCGTTTCGAACCGATTATTTTTGGAAATTCTAATAAGATTTAACAAATGAGAAAATCTAATGGTCATCACAACTGTCCATGCTTACTACTCATCCAGTTTGTTCGATTATAATATGAGAGTAAATGATCATATTTCAGAGTGACTGTTTTTGGCAAAGGATAGTAATTACTTGACGATTGTGCTAATACATCAATACTGTCATTTGATTTCGATTTCGTCGCTAAATCCACTACCCGCGTTGAACTGACATCAGAATCGACCAAGTCTTCTTTATGAGTAGTCATCTAAAGTTTTTACATTTTCACTGCAGAAACACAAAGCTCATGATCGTGAATATGAAAGAAATATTTCGTCTGTCGAACACATACTAATGTCATTTCCTTTAACTATCTGATAGGCAACTAATTTTCCTAAAGATTGCATTAATCAAATGATTTGCTCATCGTCATCGGGTAGGTAACTATCAAAGATTAATTTTCTTGTTCCGTGTTTTACGAATATTTATTCGCATAAATAGCCCGTTTATATGCGTTTTCCATAGGACTCTGATTTCGAGCTTATGAACGTGTGTAGAAATAACTGATTAACACGAGAGCAACAAAGGTATGTTACAGGCGATCGCTATCATCACTAATTGGCTCCCAAGAACATACTATTATATTGTCGTATTTCATTATGCTAGGCGAGGGCTATCATATGAACATCTTATGTAAAATAGGAACAACTCAATAAAAATGAAATTAGAATCGGACTGATTGAATCTGGTTATTTTTTTGAAAAATGACCCACAACTCACACGCTAAAATACATTTACGAGGGTTCCTGATGGCCTACGGTACCTTCTTTGAGCGTAGATCATTTTGGCTCATATACATATTGAGTTGTCGAACAAGACAGATAGCGGCCTTTGTTTGGCTATAATTTATATAGCCAATATGGTGTTCAACATAATGTATACTTTTTCCTCGGCTCGTGTCAATGATACTCCGCCTCTTTTGCATCGAATTATTGCTAACAGATTTTGTTTCATTCATTTGTAATGTTGGTATTATTGTTACTGTTGCTTCATCGTAAGCAGCGTTTGATAAATTATATGATGAAGAATGATCATTTTTTTCTAAATGATTTTGATTACATCTTTTTGTCTTTGCCGTATTTGTTTTCTCAAATGATGGAAAACATCGTAAGTTTCGCTTTTCCTTGGCAAGAAATTGTGCGAATGACATTTCATCGTTAAAAGAATACGCTAATATGCGAACAATATCAGAATATGCCAATGTAGCGGAAAACTTTTCTTCCTTTAATGAAGAATCTTGCAAACACAATTGTATTTGTTTAGATATGAATGCTTGGGATTGAACTCTGTTCTCGAATAGAATATCAATACACATCGATCATTATTAGTTTAAACAGAATATTTTCCTAGGAGTCAGGAATCGATAGTTAACATAAACAATTTAGTGTAACTTGAGAAATAGCGAGAATCTATTTCACGAAAGAATATCAGAATAAATGGCGCTATCAGTGTCTCTATTGGATTTTTACTCTATCATTCTTTCTCCATATAAGCAATGTCAATCAGATTACGCATTGCAATGGAAGTATATATCTTATTCGTTGATTGAAATAGACACTGATGAAAAACCTTTCACATATGTGTACAGATAAAAATCATCGTGTGATACTCGACTATGTCGATACACGGCAAAATATAATTTTCTTTCGGTGATTCTATTGGTTAAAGATAACTAATATTATTTGACTAAAGACGCTTGTAAACAAACGTAGAATATGCAAGGAAATACATTTTTCATGCGTCAATACATTCAACATTGCTTAATTACAATTGAAAAATAAATACAACTTTTTTCGTTCTGCGTCTTTCTTTTTCTATACGAGTGTTATGAGTATTATTTCTCCTTGAATTTAATAGAATGCATTCAACTGAAACCTCCTAAGCATGCAGGGATGTACAGATACGCCAATCCGGTGAAACCACAACTACCAAGTCGAAATATATTTTGTTTTTCTTTTCGTTATGACGCCAGTAATCGCATACGAAATATATTTTCAGTGCACTGAAGCGTAAGGTAATTTGTATTCATCTCTTTGACTGTCACCCTATGAAATGCAAACTCGGTAAGAATAAAATTTAATAAACGCTTAAAAGAAAGTTGTTTGCTTGAATAGAAAAGTTGAATACTTATGGTAAATTGATTTACTAAAGACATGATAGAGACGGTAGTTTAAGTAGATGTGTTCCTACAATGATAGACAGTGCTTATAATAGTCTGATGCTCAAAAATTCTATCCTCTCGATATTTTCATGACAGTAGCCGCGCCGACGCAAATAAGAACGTTTTCAGTAATGAGTAATTCTACAACGAGGATTTTCATCTTGTAAGTAGACTGGGAAAATTTTTTAGTGATCTTAACCGTACCAAAATGCCTAAAACAATTTTCTTAAACAATTTTCTATCAAACAAAAAGATGCAAAAGGTATAATGAGTGTCTCGAGTTTTTTTCAATTCTCCAGTAAGCAAATCCATGCTTCTATCGTATTTCGACTTTCGAATGACTGGAAAACTTGTGAAATACTATCAAGATTTATCTGTAAAAACAATTTATCCTATATTGATGCTCGCTCAATTTGAAAATGATAGAAAATCCATACGGTAGACCGGATCGTACCGCGGCCAATTCTAGTAATGGATTTTTCTTAACAGAAGCACAATAAAATAGCGTCGAGATAGTTCTCATACATAAACCGTGTTCAGTCCAAAAAAAGACATATCGACTGCTGTTTTCGAATATTTTTCACATTTCAATACAAATCTAGCTGTATTCCGTAGCGTGTCTCTTCTCGCTCGATCTCAGCGCCTAGTTCGTCACGCCCGAATGATTCTCTCAACCTGAAATGGGGCTGAGAGACTTGCATTGAGTCAAACGAATTCGGTTGTCTTTAAGAACAACCTTTGGAGTGGATGAAATAGGATTTTTACTAAGTAATTTCCAAATTTCTTTTTCCATTGATTTTGGAGCGGTAAACGTTTTTCAAAAGCGTAATCAGCTATTCATTCGCCGAAAGGAAGCATGCCGAAAATGATCATGGAGAACGCAGCGACTTTTATTACGACTCTGCGAGTAAAAATAGAAAATGTCGGCAACTAATTGTTGAGATCAAAAGCCGGCAATCCGTAGCATGATGCAAAACACTTTGAAAGTCTATCTTCCTCATATCTCAGCACAATCTAGAATGAATCAGGTTTGAATCGAAATCAGTCTTTACCCCCCATACTAAGCCGAGTGTAGAGTAATAAATCTTCTCAGAGGGATTTTCGACCTCATCAACTCTTTGGGAGCGTTTTTGGCTCTACGCTCGTTTGTATTCTGTAACACGAAACTTTAATAGTAAACTTCCTTTCGGTACTATTTTCAGACCCACTATAGGCTCTAGTAAAAATTTAAAATTAAAAAGACTTTAGGTCTTTCTAAAAACCTTGTATGAGCATAGTGCCAAATTGACAATAATATCGACTATTACTCGTAAGAGTTTTTTTTGCTTTTCAAATCGTTCCCTGTAGGCAATGAAGGGTGTTTTCGATACTAATGGAATCGGAAATTCTCTTAGAACACATTGCAGGTACCTTTGTCTTGCAATTTCAATGAAGTATTCGCACATTTTGCCTAGAACGATATCCCAAATTTATTCACATCTAAAATTAATAATTGATCTTACTTCTTGCATGCACAATCTTGCAGTGAAGAAAAACAGATAATAACTGCATAAATGCCGAGAAAAAGCTGTCTGACGAACTGTACTATGGCCCACACCACGCTATAATCAGCTTTCAAATTTCCTCCGTAGAGAGTATATCCACTGTAGTAAACGTTTGTGCTTATTCTACAAAAATGTCTTTACGATCAGAATTTTCTATATAAAAATTCTATCCTGATATTGCTGACGATTTGCCATAAAAAAATAGTAATTGGCTTTTTAGTATTTTTCTGTACTGGTACGTAAACGCCACTATTCATAAAAAAATATTATGAAAGTAGCAGTAAGAATGACACTTCAGAACTCTTTTCCTCTAAAACACTTACATAGTCAAATAAACATCTGGCAATATAAGAATGGAAAATTCTTTCTTTAAAAGCGTATTGTAAAATTACTTGGAGCAGTATAGTCTATTTTAACTATTTATAATGATATTTCAGGGAATAACTTCATTAAATTATTGAAAATGCGGATTGCCCCATTATTGACGTTGTCGATTAACGAATGCTACTTCCTTAATCAGTAATTGGATATTTAGTAAAGTGCCTAAGTGGTCTCGCATATTTAGAAATTATTAGTACGCAAACTACGTACGTAACCAGCGTACTTTGGGAGCATAAGTCAGTGCATCTCGCTCTAGTATATTAGTAATTCACACCGATCTTATACGCTTAGATGACTGTATTATGTACTATATAAGATTTTCTATAATCGAATCTATATCGTATTTAGTCAGAAATCTCACAAAGCTTTCTATTCTCTGAGCATGCCCTGATCATTTATAAAGAAAAACTACTTCGATGATGTTTTTACAATTATTTTTCTAATCTGTAACCTTTACACACGAGTATCTAAAATGATCCGAACTACAAGAATCTGATGTATGGCTATACTTTATACAGTTAAAGTGATAGAATTTTTAATTTTTGTTATCTACTCCAATATCGTTGAGGTGTAAAGTTCCTAAATAGTAAGAGTTTGAGTCATGTCGGAAGTCGAGGCGGCGCCAGGATTTAGTTTTGGGGGCTCAGTCCCTCCTGGCGCCATCACTAGTTGGAAGCAAACTGCTGTACATTGCTTGAAATGCGTTTAGTACGACATTGTTGGGTACTGAGTGCGTGTACGGGCAAAACCACGGTGCAAAATTCGCTATATAATTTACTATCTATACTACTCGTTTTTGTTAGGGAAACACTCTAGGTTAATTCAGTATCAGCAGTGTACCCAAAGTAAGACATACGCGGATGGTATCCACTGTCTGATAATTTCCGAAAAACAAACTTTGGATATCGATGTCACAGTGATCATTGAAGTGAGCATACTAAGAACTTATAAGTTTTCTTGTACAATGACTTGCTTCCTCATAATCATCACATACTGTGCCACCGAATCACTTGTTCTCAGCAAAAATGAATCAAATCCCTCCATGACTTTAATTTACGATTATAGCAATGATGCGGTGACAGCCCCTCATCCCCACACAACCTCCGATGTTGCGAAAAAAGTAAATGTATTATAATATCCAAGTGGATTCACTACGATAAGTAATTGTAAATGTCATATATATAACTATAATGACATATAACCGGGCGCTAGTTTGCTATACTTATGGAACAGTCACTGTTAGAGTAAAGTTTGTGTGCATGAAGCACGCCGTGAGTAAACAGGACGTTTTATGCATCGACCGAACTTTAAATACAAAAAAATTCTCAAGGTAAACAACGCAACGAACAGCAGTTTGTTTTGAAACAAAGAAAAAGTAAAAGTATACGCTTGGTAATGAGTCGTGAACAAAAGCTTTTAAGTTCTTGAAAATTTTCAATCGAGTTTAATATAAACGAAAAAATGTTTGTCCCACATACACCTAGTGAAAGAATTTGCATTTCTATTCATATAGTTTTTTTAGCGAGAAATATTTCTCGCTGCATTACGCTGCGTTGCTAATCATATGCATCAAATGATTGCATGCGGTTGCTTGAAAAATTTTGACGATCTATAGTAACGGTATGATGATTAAATGTACGAAGTTGTTTTTTTGAGAATACATCCTATTCCGTAATGTTGCAAATTTGGGAATCAGTTCCGCACACGGAATCAGTTCCTACGATTCCGGAATTACACCCACTCCCTTCATTCTCACATATTACTCTCCTATACACGAACGAATTCCGTTCACGGAATTCCGGAATCATAGGAATAGATTCCGTAGACGGAACTGGTTCCCAAATGTTCAACATTGCGGAATAGGATGACTGCTCGTTTTTTTTAATGGGTGTGGTGTTTTGCGAAGAAAAGTTAATAACAGAGGACAACTTGGGCGGACGACCGCTGCTCCCATAATTTTACACGAGGTAGGACAAATGTATTTAGTTAGATGATAGAAGAACTTAGCGAAAATTAGGATCGAAAATATTAAACAAAAAGCTAGAGTTTTGGATACGTAAATTGCGTTTTGGACATTTATAGCGACTAGGAACTTGGTTTTAATTGTTATATACATTTGCTTTCAGTCTAATAATATCAGCCCAAAAACAAGAGTGTTTTCACTTGCAGACAAGTGATATTGTATTCTTTTGTTTTTTTACTTTTCTCGCTCGTTTTTTTCATTTATATGCTTTCAGATGTTATTTATGACTAAACTCTTTTACAAGCTCTCTTGTCGATGAGTTTCTATGACATATGTGTTGAGTGCAAGGCTCGACTTTTTTGTTTTAACTCAATATTTGACGAAACATTATCGCTTTTTTACGCCGTTATTCAGTATTTATGGTGCAGATGTAGCAAATAATATGGCCATGCCTTTCATCTTTATTTTTCGTGCACTGATGAATTGAAGGGACGGAAGCGGGCGAAATTCTCTTAACTTCAACACATTCGCTCGATTTTTATCAGCAAAGTTGAAAGGAGGAATGACTTTACATTCTTATCATTGCAGCCCCCTAACGGTTTTTGTCATCTAGTTATGCTTCTCTTTTTAAAACTCGCAATTCTCTACTCTTTTTTCACTAACTCTCTGTGGTTCTAACGATAGGTCAGAGTTACGAGATGATTATTTCAATAGTGTTTTCTATATATATGTAACTTAAGCGAGTACCTTAGAAGTAAATATTATCATAAGTATGCATCTGTACTACTAACGAAATAAAAAACAAAGATAGGTGGGTGTAGTACTGATTACAGCTTATCGAAGACAGTGAAATAATCCAAATCTTCATTAATCGTAAGAGCGAATCAGAACACCTCAGATATATCTGTCTACGGATAATGGAAGCATCAGCCTTCTTACTGTCTTTGATTAGCTGCAATCACTTTTATGCTCATCTACCATCTTGGTTATTTCGAAAGTAGACGAGAAAGACTCAATTGAATAATAGATTATTTTATTTTTAGCAGTGGCCATATTAAATATTAAAACTGAATAGCTTAAGTAATGATGTTTGATTCGCACTCTGTAAAGTGCTTCGAATAAAGCGAAACATCCATAGTTTATAAAGATCTTTTGATTTCCGTTGAGATCGATTTATTAGATTGAATAGTTTTTGTTTTGTAGTATGGGGCACTCACCGGGAAACTTTCCAGCATTTTTTTCTACAACTTTCTTTGTACACTGTTCTCGTACCACTTCAGACTTTTACTTGCGTTTTTTTCTTTTTCTGTCATAGTCATTATGAAGCCGCATCTGTTTCTACTTCACACCGAAACTTTCACAAAGAATGACACTGTGTTCGTTCTTTTTCAAAGTTGGAGAATAATTGTTTAACTGTAGTGCCGTCTGTTTATATATAAGTGCGCGTCTACCTCCTGTTCAATCACATCCAAATGGATTTCTTCCTCCGCAGGAGAAAATCATTACATGTTAGAAATTTTAAGAATGTATGTCGGAAGCCAGATAAAGCAATGTTTTAGAAATGATAGTGAAGAGCGTATACTTTTCTTTCGCATCAGTATGGTATGTTTCAGAGACATGGAGATTTTGCGTTTGAGATAGCAGATAATATTAGGCGAGCAGTTTTGTCTATTGTAATATTATCACTTAAAAGGGAGCGCAGGCCAGATGTGTTCCTACGAAAGTAATCTTTCAACGCTGTCTATTTTTATACCTTTAGAGAAAGTGATACTGAGCAGGTATAGAAGTATTCTGTGTAATACAGTTAAATCGTTTGTTCCACTTATGCTGGGGCCGATAGAATCCAACTCATTTTTTGTTCGCACTAATGATTGTGAAAGCATGATTAATACACTTTTTCACGACAGAACGTATAGTGTTATCGTTTTTACAATAGCATTAAACGAACAAATATTTGCATTGTCACGTAGCGACAACCGTTGAAAAGATGATTTTGAATCCTTATCGTCAGCACCCTTGTTTACATGTGTTGCGCTGTGTTATTTTATCCTTTTCGTTCGTCGAAGGTATGCCGAAAAGTGAACCCCTCAAGTAGGTGACTCAAACCAGAGTGCATCCTTTCTGTTCTCAGTTTGCTTAGCCTTGAAGGATAGGGGAACGTTGGAGAGTAAAGACTGTTTGCATCCTGCAGCCCTTCTCCTGCATATGCTTTTATTTGCCCATCTATATGTTTCTATCTTTTATTCATTCGCCCGCGCGCTCGCTGTACTTTTTTCTGCGCAAGAGTCGTGAGTTTTGCGCGAGAAACTGCCTTTTATTACATTCTTTTGCCGTTCTTTTTCTCGTTCTATCGTTGATTCTTTTTCTTCTTTTCTGTTCGCACAAAACGGGGTATAGGACGCATTCGTCGGATTCTTCTATAAATCTAGGAAGTCTGAATTTTTCTAATTTTCTCTCTTCTCTTTTTCGTTCTCTATGCTGCACTACGCAGCTACATGTGTTGTTTGCAAGAGTCATTTGCATTTATTTATGTCGCTAGTATCGCGCATAGCCCCGTCGGGCTGCGCTCTCAAATAGAATACTTGCTTCGATACATATCTATATTGTTTCGGTACTGTTTTAGATTTTGCCGTATTTCTTCCATAGTAAATGAATCAGTTATTTATTTGTTTTGTCTGATACTTCATCATACATAAAGGTATTATTATGCTAATTTTTTCTACTATTTAGATTAATATTTTCTTTTTATTAGTGTAGTCTCACTAGCAATGATTAAATCTGAACAGTTAAGATTTTCTGGCCCGTTGAAAGAACTGCCCTCCGGTGTGGCGACAGTATCTATTTATTCACAATCTTCACCGTTTCAATCAACACGTAAGCCGACTCCACAACGATCGATTGATCCTCAGGCGATCGATATATCATCGATAAAAGGACGCTTTGCATGGGAAAAGATAACATTGGGCGACACCTATATGCCAGTTATATTTCGGTAAGTAAACATTGTTTATTGTTTACTTATCTTTGAATGGAAACTCAGTCATAAAAATGAGAATTTTCTTCAGTTTTCTAACTATTTATTAAATCGATAAGGTTTGAAAAATTGCCAGTGTCTCCATCTGCATATTCAGACATTGCTCAATTAACTATCAACTAGTTGAATAACACATAGACATTAGTAATGAGCGGGATAGAGTGAGAAAAAATGCAACAGGCGGGTGCATCGTCATTTCATAAACCGAGACAAAACCATTCTCTGCTCTGTATCGTGTTCTATCTGACTATATGTGCACAGTTAGCTCATTTTGTGTCTGATAGAGCTGAAAATCTATAGATCTACGCGTTACACGATATCGTAATTATCTAAAATTGAGAGTGGAAATCTATTCTCGGATCAATTTCAAGTAACTTCTTCGTAAACGCCTCCTTCTTGTGGAACTCTTTATATTCAATTTGATACACGCTTGAGTATGCTATTGTGTTAGCTAAGTAAGATTGCATGGGGCATAGTCTGAGGTTTAACTCTTACATTTGATAAGCAGAAGAAAATAGATCAATTTAGTCAAGGAAGAAATCGCTTGTTCATACATGTCTGCCTCTTGTGTTCGAATTTTAAGACAGAAATTTTTAAGTATGTTGATGCATACATAACTGCATCAAATAAAAACTAATAAAAATAATGTTCTCTTGACAGCAAAACAGCCATACATCATAATGGAACACTAAATCCAAGTATAACATAAAATATTAAGATAAGAATGTCATGCGTCAATTTATATATTCACAATTTATATATTCATTGTGCTTTCGCCTATTTAACTATGCGTAGGTGTTTCAGAGTATGCTTTTGAAGTAAAGATATTACATGCATTTGAAGGTATAAAGTTTCAAAAGTAGCTTTGAAGGATTATGACAAGCAAACTGAAAAATGCTTTTATTTCACTGAAAACTATACTCTTTGATTAGTTGCAAACGAAAGAGGGTTTCGCGACTGGCCGTGTCTCTGTTATTCTATGCACTGAACTCTTTTGTGACAGTTGGTTCGATATTACTCAACAATGTCTCATTGAGGTTGACAGCAAGAAGTTACCTTTTAATTTAGTGGAATAAGGATCTATGCAAATAGTAGCGACCCATATGTTTTGAAAATTGTATGACAGAAATTCGATATATTTGCAATTTCTATTAGCTAACAATATTTGCATAGTATACGATTTCATTTATTATTAACATAGAAATGGGGGAAAAGCTTTTTCTAAGTATTCTTTAGATTATATTTCTGAAAAAAGTAACCATAGAATAACTGTTTACAATACATAATTGAAATCTATATATAGAGTGAGAGAAGTATACTTAACTGACCCGACTGTCGATTATTTCAGTGGTCCAGTGAAATACTTTTGTGTTAAAATGCTTGAAAAAATATTACGAGATTATCCGAATGATGCAATTCATCATCCAACAGATTTCCAATATCGAAAACCAATCGATCTTTACGTCCCAACTACAAACGAGATAATACTATTGAACAGAATTAATGCAAATCATTCGCATTGGACATATACACGTCAGACATTCACATCTGCAGATGAACTTGTGCGTGTCTCTGACTTCCTTTCATTTTATGAACATCTACTAGTTCATAAACAGATGCATATTCCGCGCGCGCCATCTGTTGGTTCGTTGCGTCAAATTTTACCACAACCTCGACAATCAGCAGAACTACCTGTTGATCAGTCAGTAAATATGTCCAATGGAATTCGTAAATCTGCAAATCTGCTGCGTGAAGCAACATCTAGGGAAAGATCACCCTCTACTGCGATGGCTTTACCGCGTGAGCGTACACTCTCACTGGCTCCAAAGTTAATACCAACAGCGTCGACTGTTGTGCATTCCTCACAGCCAGTACCGCCCTCAGCGTCATCGTCTCGATTCTTGCAACATTCTTCGAAACAAGCTCACGAACGATCGTCTTTATCCTCTAATGAACAGCTAGCTGTTATATCATTGAAAGATATTGATAATTCAACGATTTCAGGTAAGAAAAATGGCAAAAAACTAATCATGAATCTCACACAGTAGTCTTGACTGCTCTCATTTAATAGCATTACCACAAAACTCTGCTATGACTCAAGCCTCCAGTGGTATCCGTCAGCCATCAACACTCACTGCACCAACTATAGCGATAACTTCGTCATCTCCGGATGCTACTAGTTCATCATCCTCACCAGTAACTAGTCGTAAGCGATCAGCAATAGCATCAGAAATGCAGATACGGCCCACCATTAAACAATCAACATCAATACCAAGATCTTTGTCGCCAGTATCAAAACCACCTCGTCTTAATTATGGTTGGCTACAAATAAATAAACTGTATACGCCTTATGTTTCATCAAGTTCATCCAACCATCACTTATATAAGATACCTGTTAGCCTCCTAACGTTCTATGAACTACTCAAAACACCAGCAAACGAACATAATACAAATGAATCTAAGGAGGCATCGTTTCCATTCGAACATACGCTGGTTACACCACAAGAAATTGAACTCATCAATGAACTCTGTTTAAAACAAAACATCAAACCATTTTCTATCGATACAAAGCTTATTGATTTGGTAACATTTTACCATTATAGCTCAGCCAATATACTTTTCGTCAAGGAACTACCATTAAACGAGCCCAAATTATCTATCTGTCGAGACTGGCCATTGGTCGTTCAAATCAACGGTGGAATTTGTCGTTTACGTAACATAGCAACATTGCACGAGCAAACAGTACCGTTTATTGGAAATAATCTATTAAAGACTTTCATTATATCATCGCAATGCATCTCGACGGCAACATTGACGACGCCAACAGCATCAGAACTCGAATTTTTACAGTTGATTCTGTTTTTTAGTAATATGTCAATTAGTCTACGTAATGCAAAACTTATTGATATTGAATCTGTACAAAAAGAATATAATGTTGATTTAATTCTGTTATTCAATGATAAATTTCCATTAAATGTACTCAATTACCAAAATCAAGGTATGCATTTAGCGAGAAAATTTTTCAAAACAAAATTTACCTTCATCTAGATACTCGTCCGTCGACATCCCAACCACAAGCAACACAATCAGAATCGACAGCAGCAACTAACACAGTAAGATAATCCTTCATTGTGTATACTTACAACAGTGATAATATCATTCAGTTTGCTGAGTCAACGCCGCCACCCTCTCCTCCATCACCAGTACCAGTTCCACCACAAACAACAACAGCAGTAACAGCAACGACGACAGCACCCTCGATAAACAGTAGCAGCAATGTTTTCCTGAACCCTCCATCGCAATTGCCTTTGACAGCAGGTTCTTCTTCATCGTCGACAGCGAACCTATCGAATCGTTATAAGAAAACAATCGTGTTTCATGGTCATTCAATGACAACATACACATGTTCGGGACTCGGATCAAATGCGCAACGTGAATGTATTTCTGTGAGAGAACTGTGCATTATGCTTTTTCCAAACTCTCCGATCATCGATAAGCTTGAGACAAAATTACTTCGCTTATTACGAGCGAAAAACATCAATCGTTTTCGACCACAAAATCAGCAATCGATGAACTTTACACGTCTAATCGATATCAAAGATGTGGGAAAACATTGGGATTACATCAGACAAGGCATGCAATTGACAACGCACAGTAAGTTGAATAGTCTAAACGGATTCCCTAGAAGAAATAACGACAAGCACGGAATCTTTTCATAGGTAGTGAAGTAGCACCTTCTGTGCCAGAACCTGCATTACCAGCACCAGAACCAGCACCAGCACCAGTAGCAGCAACACCATTGTTAGAGACAGATACGAAGGCAAGTACATCTGATAACGTAGGAGATGACATTGAAAAAGACGAAGAAACTTGTTCGATCAAAACACCTAAAAGTGAAAAACGGCCTTTGGAGACGAAACCGGAAGAAGATAAACCAGAAGAGTTGCCTGATGCGGAAAGACATGATAAACGTGTGCGACTTTCGAGAGATAATGATTCGCCCCAATCAATTCCCAATCAATCGACGATAGTTATGGCGACGGTGGCCATTGAGGAGAAATCAAGCTCAATGCTTGTGACTAACAAAGATAATGACAATCGATCTCAAGAAGACGTTGCCAAGCATGTTGAAGAAAAGAAAAATACACGTATTTCAAAGCCAAAAATTCGAATCATACGTCAAAAAAGTGATAAGAAAACTGTTAAAAACAGCGAAAGTCTACTGGACGATGATCCGACGTCTAGTAAATCATCGATTTCATTGGCTAAACCATCGGTGTCGATTAAAAAGAAAATACGACTAAACAGAAAACGGCCAACACCATGTATACGATCAAAGAAGGAATCAGTAGCATCGTGGGTTCAAAAGTACAATATCGAAGAATGCTACATCCGTTTAGATCTATGTGATCCGGCTTATAAACCAAGAAAGAATTAATCTCATAGATTCCTTCCGTTTTCATTTTCTCTCGAAGGATAGTAAAGAGCTGTTCACACAGGTCTACTTTGTATTTCTGAGACAATTCAACCTAACTATATTCTCCTTTCCGTTCTTATGTAAAAATCGATCCTACTCTGATGTGTTTTTATGTCTATTTTTATTCAAAAAAAGCTATACGCAAACATGGCTGACTGTTGCTTTTCCTTTGATTTCTCTTTAATCTTTGTTCACGTTCATCTGCTACGCCCGATGAATCGAATAAGTATCCTTGTTCATTCTGTTTCTTGATGTTGCTGCTGGTTTCCTGTCGTCGTCGTTGTTGTTATTCTTCTTCTTTGTCCATCCGATACAAACGTGACCACTTGCAATTATTGAAATACTATTGTTCGCAAAAAGAAATATAATGTTTTCGTATTGAATTGGTTTCTATCTATTCAATCAATTTCGTACTTTCTGAGCGTATCTGTGACACAATGGATGTCAACTGGTAAACACATACCAAAACCGAATGCGAATGGGCTGTAAAGAGATGGTTGCATGTGTCATATTCACTGACGAGGACTCTGAGTTGGACTGTGGCTTCAATCAAATGCGCTTCGTGATGGCATGTGCAACATTTGGCCTTCTGTGTCTATGGGTATATACGAGTCTGAAGACAGAGATGTTCATTTCATCAACCTCAACCAACAGTAATGTGTTGGAGAAAAATTTCAGACAAAGATAAGATGAAATATTCATCAATAATCTCAAGTGTTTCCGACAATAAGAGTACATTGTGACATATTTGTGCCATTCCAGTTTCAACTCGAGATTGGAACATGGAAATACATTGGATAACTTTCACCGCAGTATCAATATCGATTAGTGATTTGAGTTATTTAGTTCATAAAAAAAGCATAAACTATTGCTGTACTGGTCTGATGCTAATTTTGTCACAAGTGCAGTGCAATGCGATTATGAAAGTATTCAATTTGCAATCTTACATTCACAATAAAATTCATCATTCGAAAGGGAATATTTCATAACATTACGAGGGCATTCTGCACCCTATGTTATTCTAATAGCATTTTCACTATATGTCAGGAATAACAATAAAGTCTAAACATCATTTAGCTGAAAAATATCAGAGTCTGCATGTATCGTTCAAAGCGATATATCTGAGTGCATTTTTTAATCGAGAAAAATACGCATATTTGCCATTGAGTATAAATGTATTCTCTGATATTTACAATGTGAGCAAGGTAAAGATGAATATACTGTCAATAGTCAACAAGCATATTTCACCCTTTTCATTTTGTCCTTGAAAGGTAGATGAGTGCACAAAAATAAATAAAAGGTGTACATAGTACGATAGTTATCATGTGCTATTCCATCCGTGATAGTATTACACTTACTTGGTGCAATTCGAATCGGACATAGTTAAAAATTAAGTAACTAGAGCTATTTCAATGCACTCAATTTCTAGAGTATGATCTGCTGTAAACATGACAAATCAAATCTATTGTTTAATAAACATTGTGTATGAGACAATTTCATTCCAAAATGTGTGATTGTACATCAAACGGTATAGTTGTGTTTTAACTTCATTGGGAAAATCTACTATATAGAAAATTACACTTTTAAAAGAACATTCATCGAGAAGAGTGTGCATTATTTCATGAAAGATTTCATTCAGTTCAGCGACTCGTCATTCTTCTCTCAACCGATATCACTGTAGTTGATTAATTTCTCACTCTTCACTATGAATAAACTGTGTACTCCATCAATTGTATGTCGAAAACTATTAGAAAGTGATCTTCATCATCGGTTATCTAACAAATGTTTCCCGGATATTAATTACTAAACTCTACCGTTGTCACATCAAGTAGCGGAAATCATGTACTACTATTGTAGAACTTTTGATTAAAGACAATATATTACGCTCAGTTTCATAATCAGCCTTTTGCTTAGAATCTTGTTGGCATATAAAACAAAATTGATAAATATTAGTACGTATGATTGATTGTCTTTCTCTCGGCAACTCGGCAAATACGATGACAATAAACCACTCAATATATTTAAACGGCAGAATGCTCTTTAAAAGTATAATAGTATGCTTTTGTTTCGAATGAGAAAAAAAAGAATAATCGAAATAGAACATTCACCATCTTAGTGCTGTATTCATCGTCTATTAGAAATGTATTTTGTTTTGTAGAATTCAATGATTACTCTCGGGAATTATTTTCTACCTCTAATCGATCATTATTGAAGAGAATCTCGCTTGTTAGATCTATTTTTATTTGCACTACGAACGATATAATCGAAAAAATTCTAATAAAACATGACATTGAGTGGGAAAAAATTGTACTCTGTTTTACAAGGGTTGTTTTTACGAACAGAATCAATCATGAAGTTAGACGTCATAGCCAATTATTCTGTTGATCTTTCATGAAACAAATCCGTGACATACAAGAATTGTTTGCCACTCAATTTCAATAAGAAATCAACATCTGTTTAAAAAAGTCTCTCCCTATCGGAGCTTATTTATTGATCTTACATCATTCATTTGTTTTCCATGAGTAAATGTTGAATGTTTTCAGTAACATACTGTGCTTCGATGGCTCTTGTATGTGAAATTAAGTAGTGGTCAATAGAAAGACGCACACACATGGTGACCAATAGGACTTTGCGGGTAGTCGCAATTCATTTACATAATGAAATTGAATGAATTTCTATGCATCGTGTTGTATGATGACTACTAATCAGTAGCGAAGACGTCACAGGGTAGTTTACTGTCTGTCTATATTGAGCGTTTTTCTATTCACCCTTTCTCGGCTTCGTAGATAGCAATAAAAACTATAGATTGAAGGAAATTGATTCTCTATGCCTTCGAGCATTCAAGAGAGTAGGGAGAATGAAGAAACGACATTCTTCAAATATAAAACAACTGAAAGAAAAGACGATATTCTGATGAAATGAACAAGCAATATAGTACTTCTTTCCTCTTTCTATCTTGCTGTTTCTGTTACACTAAAGAAAACTGTTCATGTTCTCTTCTCTCCCCCTCCATTCCCAATACAAGAAATAGAAAAGAGGAAAAATAATATTACTATTCAACGGATCGTCTTTCTTTGTTCCATTAACGAACGAGGACGACAAGAACGAGAGAAAGAACAACGAGTGTTTCTCTTTACATCTTCTCGCTTATCCTTTTCCAGTCGTTATTCGGACAAGAACCGTACGCAATTATCATTGTGATTATTCTTTCTTCGATTCTGTATTCTCAACACATACATAACTGATTGATAATTAATTATTATTATTCGGTACGTATACAAATCTATCCATGTAAAACAGATTGGTCGAAGATAGCGTGTCTGATTATCGTATTTTCTTAGAAATGAAATTGACCGATTCGTTTTATTACGAAGAAACACGTGGCCAGTGTGGCCGTAAGCTTTTGCGCGAAATTGGCGAGCAGCGTCGAACAAAAATTCGTTTATATGCATATGAAAGTTGGCCTAAACCAGCACTTACTTCACATTGGACAATTAAAACAGTCTGGTGGTCGAAAACTCGATGCCATATTATCGAACAACTTGGTCATCGAACGAGTGTTACAAAGTATGCTCATTGTTTTCATTCACTCTTAGTTTATTCTATCTGTGCGTTCAAAGTGAGAAACCACATATGACTTCCATTGTCGATTCTCGAGAGAACTGAAAAGTCTCTAGCTGAAAATCTATACTTAAATTTGAATATCTATTAACAATAATCTGACATACATAATGAGCTTAATTGAGCATTGACTAACACATTGGAGTTTCCTATGTGTTGACGATTTCCATCTGTATACTCGTGTATGTCTTAAGAAGATCGATAATTAGTCGCGTTAGTCGACATTATATAGCTGTGTGACAGGCAACATGCGAGTATGTTACATCGGTGAGAACAGCACGAGGTCAAGTCTTCTTTCGTATACTTCCATATAATGACAACGACATGCGAAGTATGAAATAATCATCAAGCCTTTTTCTTGTTCAAGTACAAATACGATTATATGACATTACATGTTCCATACATATACACACACACACCAGTATGATTGACAGAATAACATATTGTGTGTGGATTGTCATATGAGACTTGGAAAGAGACGAATAGGAGTTTTCTTTTGGAATGTGGAGTATAGTGGCATATCTTGTAGCTTATTTGTGGTAGCCGAGATATTTATTTTGTCCTAAGATGATCGGCGACCGAGGAAAAAATTCATCGTCTCATCTTCATCCATTAATCGAATTATAACTGTGCATGAGAGCATTTTCTGGTTGTTGGCTAATTGAATTCAGCTAGTAATTGTGAATGTTCATGTGTTCGGAAACGAGAAAGAAAAGGAAATGAGAGTGATGGTCAATTTTTTGCGTTTTATTGCATCGAAGAAACATTTTTTGGTATAGAAAATGTCTTTGACGGACATGCATACAGGAAGTGAAGACATTAACATGCTGTGATCGTGTCCTTTTAATGAGCTCGATAGTGCTACAACACCAAACGTGTTCGCGACAGGTCAAAAATGATCCAGAAGATGACACGCGAGTTTTGACGAGAATAAACAATCCAATGCTAGAGTACGGGCAAATTTGCTTAATGTTTTGTTAGTGAATAGACAATCGAAAATTATTTACTTGTATATTGAATGACAATGAATCGGATATATTAGCATACATGAGTAGCAAAATTTTCTTTTCATGAATATTTATATCGGCGATGTAACGTTAAACAGAATCGATATGATTTTTTTTCTAGAGGTCATATGAAATGTTTGGGCAATGGTCGTTTGGAAATAACCGGACAGTTTCAACGTCGAATCGATTCTTGTTTTCGTCTCGTCCTTTCTTCACAAGTCACAGATGATGATGTATCTGATCGTTATATCCTATCAGGAGATCTGGAGCTCGGTGATACAAAAGATACAATGCAACAAAGTCATTTTGCTGTAGTAAAATTCGAACAGAAAGTACCGCCGGAACACAATCATACAATTAATGATTATTATATGAAAGCAAAACGTCTATTACTACTTGGTTGTGTTTAGTGTCGTATGAATGATTTGCAGTTTTCAATCGACAGTGACTAATATCAGTGGTTTTCATACTAGTCATCAGCTGCTTCTTATTCGTTGTAAACAATTTACAAATAGTCATCTGTATTTTCGTTTTCTTTTCGTAAAAAATCAACTTGTGTATATGTGGTGTGCACTAAAGTCATGCGGTCATATATAGAAAAAAAACGATAATTAATTAACCGTTTCTATCTATTGAGGGATAAAGTCTTTGCATAATCACTTAATGCTGTGACATGAAGTAATCAGATGTAAAATGCGTGGAAATGAAGAGAGCTTATTTCTTTTCTTGACCTGTAACATCTATTGCTCACATCTACATTAAATATTGGCATTAATTGATAGATGTCGCCAGAACACAGGAAAATGATACAAAACTTTGTTGGGTAATTACTAAAATATGGAAATATCGATTATTTTTAATATTATGTTTGTAGTAAATTTTGGAGAAGCTAATCATTAAGAAAACAAAGGATCCTCGCAGTGATTTTTATTGGACGAACAAAGAATTGTGTCATTCTTGTTCTTGGCCAACAATCACTCTCCGATACCATTTTGGGTCGAGGAAATTTCATTCTTTTCGAAAGAAAGACGAAGCGTTTTTGATATTTGACTGCCTATTCCAACGTCATGGGTCTCGGTGGTAGTAATTTGAAGATACCAGGAGGTGGTAGTGAAGGCTATCATGTTCTCCGTGTACAAGATGGTTCACCGGGCCATAAAGCTGGATTAGAAGCATACTTCGATTTTATTGTCAGCATCAATGGTATCCGACTCGATACAGACAACGATAGATTTAAAGAATGTTTGAAAGAAAATATGGGTAAACCTGTAGAATTACTAGTTTATAGCAGTAAAACGCAAACAGTACGGCAATTAACATTAATTCCACATGAAAACTGGGGTGGTCAAGTATGTTGATGAAACCAAAAACGAAATTTCGTTATCCTTCCAACGATTATTTACTTCTTTTTACATAGGGTTCACTCGGCTTGAGTATTCGTTTTTGCACGTTTGATAAAGCTAATGAAAATGTTTGGCATGTTCTCGATGTTCAACAGCATTCACCAGCAGCCTTAGCCGGTCTACGCTCTCATACGGATTATATTATTGGAGCTGACACGTTATTAAACGATGCTGAAGATTTATTCACTTTAATTGAAAGCAATGAAGGAAAACCTCTTAAACTCTACGTTTATAATAGTGAAAGTGATATGACACGTGAAATCACTCTGACACCAAATGGCGGCTGGGGTGGTGAAGGTAGTTTAGGTTGTGGTATTGGTTATGGCTACCTTCATCGAATACCCATTCGAACTGCAAGTTCACCAGCGGCTATCAAACCTCAACCGTCTGGCAATTCAGCAATACCTGGTGCCACTGGTAATGGTTTTGATAAAGCAACATTACTTCCAACGATGCCACCATCGAATTTAAACACAGGTGGTAATTTGAACTTTACTCTTCAACCAACAAATATGCCACCTATAACTGTGACCATGCCGAATCTATTTGTTCCGCCAGCCGCGAATATGAATACAACTGCAACCAATGAGACAATATCGTCACCGAATGCCGGATTTCAAGCAACAACATCCACAACAAATGTGGCAGCTCAACCTATGATGTCAACTACTCATGATCCAAGTCAATTTGCGAAGTATAACGTCACAAATTGTTGCTAACCAAATTTATACTCTCTTCCTTTCATAGATATTTTGGTGATTTAACAATAAATCAATCAGCCCCAACACCACCACCTCTGCCAACAACAACTTCTGTACCTTCAACGAATGCTGCATTCAATCCTACATTTACTAATACCCAATATTCTAATCCAACTCCACCGCCACTAGCTCAAACACAACCCCGAACAAATTCAGGCCCAATCGACCAATTCCCATCTGCTATGCCTCCTCCAACAATGGCTCCATTTAATTTCGCACCGGCCAATCCTCAACAGCCACAGTATCAACAATCACAGTATCAGCAACCCCAGCAACAGTATTTTCAACCAGTACCGCCATCATTATTTTCTGACTCGCAACAACAACAACAACAGCCACCTCCATTTCAATTTAATCCTGCCTTTAATACGTATCCCAACACATTTAATACTTCTCCGATTCCACCACCCCCTTCATCTGTGCAACAATCCTCCCGTGCGTCTCCATTTTCTAACGATCACCATGGTCATTCACACGGCAGTGGTGCCAACGGACATGGTCATAGTCACGATCATGAAGGAGGTCATGGTCACAGTCATGATCACGACGGAGGCCATGGACATAGTCATGATCATTAATAATTGTTTTCTCATCGTGAAAAAAAACATATAGTTATCTCGTTTTAGTTCTCATTTGGGTTCAGCACACTAAAATATGCTTATCTTCAATTTTTTGCGCTAGTGTTTTCATTTAAAGTGAACTATCATTATCTTTTATTACTTTCGAGCTAGATTTGTGTTTTCCAGGAAACAAATTTCTCTTCTCTCTTTGTTGTTTTTTTTTCTCGCTCCGATCATACTTGTTTTGTTTTTATTGTTATTCTGCTAATCGTTATCAAGTTTAAAAACATGCATTAACTTAAATTATTTTCTTTCAAGATTTCGAATATTCACAAAATACTTCCAATATCATCGTGCAATCAATTTCATATCTGCAATGACATTTAGCAATTAAAATTTATTCCATGGTTGACAGTCCTGAAAAGTTATGTACCATATGTTTGCATAAATTTGTTGGATTAATCAAATATGATGAATCATTATGGAAGAAACAAATCGAACGATGCGTTGACCAAATCTACCAAGAAGAGAAAAACCAAGCTTCATTAAATGATCAACGCAAACGAAAATACAATCGAACAGATGAGGATCCAATCGGTCAAACGATAGATTTCAATGCCTATGAGGTATATTCATTCGTAAAATACCATTTCAATAGTGATTATCCATAATCTCATTCTTTTAGACACAACTTCAATCTTATAACCGTTCATCATATCTCGAACAATTTCTGCGCGGAATTTGTCCTCTCAATGCAATTTTGTCTGAACGTCTTAGTAATCATTTAGTCAGATATAACCAATTAAATGATTTCACATTGACATATTTTTCTTCACATGTTACATATCTCAAGCGTGTTACTCTTAATGTAAAATATCTAAGTCGATTACAATGTCATATACTCAATCAACATTCATATTTAGTTGAACTGAAAATTCTTTTTAAAGACTCCAATGTTTACCGACCAAATGTCTTGACAAGTGAAATATTTTATCAAAAGATTTGCCCATCGATAAACTCGAAATTAGAAGATATCTACACAATTTATGGTCCATTAATTTTACATCATTTATACAGTCAATCTCAGTTAGATTTAGCACGAATATCTTTATCAAATCGTTATCTCTTTCAACGTTCACCGAGTTTATCTGAGGGCTTTACACATCAGAAATTATTCAATACACTTTTAAACAGTTTACATCCGTTAACATACGACCGTTTGAAAATACTCAATATTGCGCATTACAAATTCTTTGCTGCTTACCATTCGACACTTCAACGCAAACATTCACTCGTCGACATGTCACCACTGACCAAATGGTAAGTTTCGATCCTTATATTGGCAACATTTTCTACAAAACGATAACATTCGAGTGTAACTACAGACTATTGCTGAGAAGTTGTTCTCGTTCTTCCTATCGGCATCTGGAATTCCTATTGATTAGCTGTTACTATGCTAGAACATCAGTCTAGAGGTAAATTGGTACAAAGCATGATTTCTATACTGTAAACACAATAGGAACAAGATGTTACCATTTCACGACTCTCGTCGATTATAACAATTCTTGTTTATATTTCTAGTTCGACGAATTCGCCATCAATTGTGACAACATCTGTAAATATTCTTCCAACTAATCTTCGTCTTATACTCAAATTTACGAATTTGACTTCATTGAATCTTAGCAACACAGACATAAAAAACCATTGTCTTGATATTTTACTCGATTCATTCGATAAACTTGATACACTTGATATATCTTTATGTTGTTTGTTAACATCATTCACTGCGCTTTTGAAACTGTCCACGAAATTCAAATGGTTAAATTTGTACAACTGCTCCATACATTTGCAACAAAATCCAACGATTTATCAGATTTTATCTCAATTAGAAGCACTTGAATATCTCGATATCAGTCTTGATAATAACCGCTCTCAACTCGAAAATGAATATGACATCAACAGGCTTCTATCGAAAGACAACTGTTTGAATAGTCTAAAACATCTAGATCTTAGTGGACACGGAAATATGCAATCAACAGCTTTATATGATTTCTTGTTGCGACATCCTAATCTTCAATTTCTCGGTTTATTTTCCACTAATGAAAAATATCCGAAATATCTCTTCGATGTCAATGATCCGTGTCACTCGAAATCTCGGCAATATACGTTGGATTCACAAGAAATGATTTCGTTGATAACAACCGAAGATGATTATCTTCTCTACGAACCATGTTTAATCGAATCATTGAAACGTTACAATGAACGTGCAAGTTTTGTACAAAAAATTCTCTATCAAATCTTTTTCTTCACACGTACCTTTCAATCGAAACATCAAAATCTTTTCATCAAACTCATTCTCCACACCATGTCAATGCATAATAATCTACAGACGGTTCAAATGGCATCAACAGCATGTATTTATAATCTAACACGTACACCATTGACAGAACAGATCAATGTAAAAACTCTCGGCGAAATCGTTCAAGCTATAACAAATGTAATGGAATTGTTTCCAAATCAACAACAAGTAATCGAACTGAACAATATAAATATCTAATATTTCTCGTTCTTATCTCTTTTAGTTACAAAAAAATTGTCTGTTAACCTTATGTAGTGACCGAATTCTACATGAGCCAAATTTCAATTTTTACCTATTGGCATCATTAGTGATGAATAATTTGCAAAACTACGCAGATCTAGCAATTATCCAACCTGGCGTAGCGGTGCTCGCATTATTAACAACTAGAGTAAGAAACTATATATGTCTATGTTTTGCTAAAAATCAGTTTTCAGTCTAAGTAGTACTCGGCAAACGTCAACAGATAATACGTAATTTTATGCATAGGCGTTGTGTACGATTCGCTTCTGATTTGACATCTTTAGAGATTGATTTCCTGGGGAATTCTTAAGATAATTATATTGATCATTGTTCTTTTGATTTTAGTTAACTATTGCTGAATGTACACGACTGGGTTCTGACACGAATTTACAACGTCTAATTCAATTGATCGAACAACAAATCGATCGTTTACAAACGATGCACGTCAATCAACAACAGGATGATTTGTCTGTGCAAGAATCAAATAATAATCTTCAATTAACTGGAGATGATACATTGCGTTTCTGTTTAAGTCTTCTATGGAATCTAACCGATGAGAATCCAATTGTATGCGAACATTTCATACATACAATGGGTTTACAATTATTCCAACGTTTGATTTATCTCTTCTCGTCTGACACAATTATATTAACTAAAATCGTTGGATTATTGAGTAACATTTCCGAAGTCCCTCATTTAAGACTTTATTTATATTCGATTGATATTATTTCGTTAATGCAAAGATTTCTGACAGATGGTATCATTGATATTGCTTTCTCTGCAACTGGCATACTGGCGCATCTTCTTCTCGAACAAATCAATCAAGAAATCAATCGAGATCTATGTCAAGATATGAGAAATGCTATTCAAAAATGGAAGAATCCAGATACAAATATGGTCACGTACAGGTACAGAAACGAAATGAACTCTAATGCTAGACGAATTTCGTCAAGGAAGAAAGAATACTTTCGTATTATTCATGGTTGAACTAATCGAGTAATTATCGAAAAGAAAATAGATTTTCGATTGCGTAATATTTATCTTCTGATTTGATATGTCGCTGAGTACATTTTGATTATAAAACAACAGTGAATATTGCGTATTGTTGGTACGTTTGTCTAGATATTCTCGATGTTATTTAGATCCTTTAAGCCATTTATTCCATTACTTCATTGTACACAAATACCCGTGGTACAATTATGGGCTATTTGGGCCATTCATCATGTTTGCAGTACAGATCGTAAGGAAATTCTAAAAGAGAAAGAAATTTCATAATTTTGTTTCTTCTGCCAAGGCGCACGCTACAGTCAAATAATTCGTGAAGAAAAACTTTACGATCTAATCCAACAGATATATCACGATAGTTTATCGTCGGATCATTCTGATACATTTACCATTAACTTACTCAATTCAATTCTTCAACTTCTCAAGCCATATCGTTCTAATGAATATCGATAGCATTTATCTATTGCTTCTAGTTGATAGGCACACTTTCTCTTATTCTTTTATATCTGTCAAATATTTGCTCATAGGATGTTGTCTACAAGATACAGTGACATATGTTTGTTAGTCAGTTTTTTTTTTGTATCTCAATGTTTTGTTGTCATGTCTTATTTCTTAGGAAAATTAACCCTGCATTTCATTATTTCCTAGTTATCTCTTTGAGTTTCTCCCGAAAAACAAAAACATTAAACGTAGATGAATTCGTGTATATAGAAATTGAAACATACACATTTGTATATTTTGAAAATCTCTTTTCAGATCAGATTGTTTTTCGATCATGTCATCACGAGGTCCGCAAACCAAAGTTCAGAAGGTGATGGTTCAACCCATCAATTTAATCTTTCGATATTTACAAAATCGATCGCGTATACAAGTTTGGTTATATGAACAAGCGACGACACGTATTGAAGGTTATATTATTGGTTTTGATGAGTACATGAATCTCGTGTTAGACGATGCCGAAGAGATTCTCTTGAAGAAAAATCAACGAAAGAAAATTGGAAGAATTTTACTTAAAGGTGATAATATTAGTTTAATTCAACAAGTTCAATCAGCAGGTGAAGCACGTGCTTAAACAACAAAACACAAGATGAAAAGAACAACAGAAAATGTATTGTGAGTGTGTGTGTGACCAGTTCTTTTTATACATTCTTTCGGTTTGTTTCCTATTGTATTTAAACAAGGAGAATAAACGGATTTCCTATTGTTGTTATTAAAAATATTTTTGTTTTTCTTTCATTTTTTCAGAGATGTTCATGCAGAAAGAAGGAAGAAATGAGAGTTGAGAAGTCCCGTAAGTTCAATTTTTTCCGATCAAGGCTTCCCTCACATAGTACAATGTTCCTTCAATTCTGCATATTTGTAAGTTAAGCGCCATGTGGAATTAATAGGAATGAGAATGAGTCATTTGTCCACATATATTATTCATCTAATGATCGTTAATCATCACGCTGGAAGATATTTCACAATAAATATGTACATAGAGAATGACAAATAGTTCGTGTTTTTATTTTGTAAAATACGAATAAATTTCTTGATGATTGGGCCATCTTATTCTAGCAAGTTTTTTTTATCACTCGTAAATGAGAAAGCGAAATTATACTTTGGCGTCACATGTTGCTGAAGGATATTTCTTTTTTACTCTGATCACCGCGAATTTGAAACTCAATCACAAACTCAGTGAGTTGTTCCGTAAGTTTACATATACGCTCGCGCTTTACTAGTTAACTTCTCTTTCTTCAACACACTCTGGAAAGAGCTGTTCGATTATTGTATTATACATAAATTTTCGCTTGCACGGCTGTTTTTTTTTGTTTGATAATCCGCTGCTAATGAAATAGGAGCTTTCATAATCTAAATTGGCTTTGAATATATATTCTAGACGAACTTGTTTTTGGTTTTATCAAACGAGACAAAAAGAATATTTTAGTATGGATCAACCTGTCAGCAACTTGACTGGGTCGACATATCGGGGATCGCATATATTCAGTTTCATAGCTAAACGTGCGGGTCTACCCATTGATCAATTCAATTTTCTTCTCGCAGAATTACTGGCATTGATATTTGCCATATGCTTTCGACGATATCTACCACCCAAGCCAAGCAATCTAATCAAAAGACATCTTGCCGGTAAGATATAAGCATATTCAAATATTTGTTATTGTTCTTGTTTAGCAGATTCTTGTGACAATGCTTTTTTTTCCTAACTGATTTACTACTTTACCACGATTAAGTCGTGTTAATGCTATTGATTTCCTTGATTGTATTTATCAAAGAATCGATACTCTGTTTTTGCAATAGTATTCGTTGGTAATAAATAGACTCTTCCTTTCAGCGAGTCTTCTTGGCATTGCTCTCGGACAATTCTGTTTCGGCTCACAAATTTGGCATTTGATCCTACAATCATGTATTTCGTATCTAATGCTTTGCACTATACCTCCGAAACACTCTTACAAAGTTGTTTTCATCTTCTGTATGACATACATGAGCGCGAGTAAGTTGTTGGAATTGAATACGAATTGGAAAAGGAAAACGATATGTTAAGTTCATATACATCGATTGATTTACGATTATGGAAACTATACACTCGATATAAGTGGACCATTGATGATCAACACTCAGAAATTAACAGCATTGGCGTTTTCATTCTTCGATGGTTATCGTTCTAAACAACGTGCTAAACGTCGCCGACCTGACGAGGATAAAGACTGCGCAGCACTGAGCGAAGATCAAGACAAACAAAAGATCCTTGACATCCCACATCCAATTGAATTTTTAAGTTACATCTTTTATTTTCATGGCATTTGTGTTGGCCCATTATGCTTCTATAAAGACTATCTTGATTACATCGAAGGACGAAATTTGCTTGTTATTCCGACCAGTGGTAGACAACAAACGGAAACATCTGATCAAACTGAAGAATATCATCCTGAAACAATTCAACCATCAACATTTTGGCCAGTTTTTACTAAACTTGCTCAATGTGGTCTTTGGGGCTATATACTCTTGAATTTCACACCCGTTTATACTATTGAGTATAATATAAGTCAAGAAATGGTCAATTCACCGATGTATAAACGAATCCAATATCTTCTATTCTCAACATTCTGTAATCGAGCGAAGTAAAAGATCAATTGATTTTGTTAGTCGACAGAGGAATTTGGCAATGTTGTTTAGATACTACTTCGCATTTATTCTCTCAGAGGCAATTAATAATGCTGCTGGCCTTGGCTTGAATGGTGTAGGTGAAAACGGGCAACCTAAATGGAATCTTTTAACAAATATCAAGCCACTACAATTAGAAACAGCGACAAGCTTAAAAGTCGTTCTCGACGTTTGGAATATGCGTAAGAGTTGTGTTTCCTCGTTGGATGTACGAAGAATGATTTTCTAAATTTAGAAACGGCTCTATGGCTTCGTCGTATTTGCTACGATCGAATCTCGAAAGGTCGAACATTAGGTGTCTTCGTTCTTTCTGCGCTTTGGGTAAGAAAAGAAGAGAAAATCAATATAATATCGTATCAAGTGTTATGTCAATATCTCAGTTGAAGTTTGGATTTTTATCTCATGAGAAATGAATAGAAGATTAGATTTACTTTTTCTTCTTCATCCCCACAGAACGGAAGCAGTCTGAAATAAAACAAATATTCATCTCTTGAGAACTTTAAATATTCCGATAGGGAAACATTGAGATGACATTTGTTTTCAACGTATTTATTCTGTTAATATTGCGTGACACGTAGACCATATGTGTACAGAATTTGCCATTCTATTGCATCAGAAAATTCATCAAGTGTATGAAAAACGAAATTATTTTCAAAGAAACACACTCGTCTGTTTGAAACTTTCGACAACCACATCTTTCTCAGTGTTAATATCGAAATTATCGATTAATAATACATTGATCGTTTTTAATTCTTTTTACGTATAAGTATCATACGATTCTTCGGAGATTATATGAAAGATATCAATTCTCTCAAGTAATCCTATGTAGACCAATGTGTCTGTGTAAGTTCTACCAGTCGAATAACTTCTGTAAGAAGAAACAATTGTTCAATTGACTTTTCAGTTTCTTTTCACAATTACAAATTAAATTGATACTTTCCGTAGGGAATCGATCTCCTTGGTTTTCTTCGAACTGAATTCTTTAGTTATTCCGAAAAAAGACGTTACATGAAATGATATCATTCCCGGCAAGACTAAACAAGACTGGTTTCTTCTTTCTAGCATGGATTCTATCCGGGCTATTATGTGTGCTTCATCTTGGCTGCGTTTGAAACATATGCTGGCCGTGGTATTCGTCGTCAAATCCGTCCATATTTTCAAGTGAATGCCATCACCAAAGCGATCTATGCATGTATTACGTGGTTCGGCACTCAAGTTGGCTTAAATTTTGCTGTGACACCATTTGTTTTAATGGAAGTTCAAAAAGTTTGGTACTTCTACAAGACGTGGTATTTCATCGTACCAATTGCCTCCGTTGTACTTGCATTAACATTGAATGGTGCAAGCACGAAAAAGAGTTCAAAGAAGCCAGAAGTACCACCACAAGAAAAAGATGAGAAAAAGTCAAATTAGAGCACAAGAAACAAATCATAAACAGATTATTTTTTCATTCATCTGATGTGTTGTTTTTTTTTACAAACTTTCCTCACATGCTTGTTTTTCTTTTTCATCTCCTTCTGCCGACACATTGCGATTGTATTCTGTAATACTTTATCTTTTTCCTCACGGTATGATTTGTTCCAATAGAATCAAGAAAGCAGAAAGTTGGTTAACTAAAGCATACAAACGTTCATCAGGTAGCGTATGGAAAGTGTCTCAGCGAACATCCTGAACTAATGTGAATGCGTGCGCAAGAAGATCGAACGTGCTTTTAGAAAAGGTTATTCGTTTTATTTCCTCCTATTTTACAATGAAGGTCGTTCATACTGATCAATATTTCGAGTATGCAAAGAAACGAGAAATTTCAACAAAAAGAAATTCTTCTCGTTCTTTGTTCTCTCTTGTATATATTCTCTTTCTCTCCATTTCTTATCATCGCATCACTTTTTGATGATTGAACTTGCGTAATAGCACCGATTGCCGTTAACAGGGTGCAAAGACTCCATCGTATACGTGTACCTACGTGTATGTATGTACTCAAAGATCATTGAACAGTGTCTTCACAACAGGTAAGAGCGATGCTCGAGCAAATCTTCTTCTTCAAAGGAAAAATGATTCGTTTGTCGAGGACTCTAGTCACATAGCAACACGTACAGAGAAGAATGCGTATGCCATCGACTCTGCAAAGCTGTGTACGTTTCATTTTCTTTCTATCGATCTATCTTTTCCTTTTGTTTCTTCGTAAAACGAAACAGAAAGAGAAAAATAGAAGAATATAGAAATGTTTGATTGTTGATATCCCTGGAGAGATTAAAAAAAAAGCAAGGCAAGTAAAAAACCGACGAAGCTCGCCGAAGCATTTTTATATTCTTTTCCTTTTCCCGCTGTATCGGTGCATTCTCATAAGTTAGAATAAAGAATTTTTCTTATACCCTCGTTTGCTCTTTCTTATGCAAATATATTTCTAGCATCGAAATGAAACGGAGACAGACAGGCACACAGAAGGAGAGAACCAGTATCAATTTAATCATATTCACTCACGGTAGTTAGCACTACTTGTTATTATATTGATAGCAGTACTGGTGAAATAACATACAAGAAAACCTGAGATAGAGATAACGGAAAAAGGAGCAAAGTCATTTGTTGTGATGAAAAATAGAATTCATTACAAGAACAAATAAAAACCCGACGTTGAACTGAGCACACATACATCAAAAGTCATGAATGAAAACTATTCATCTTACAATCTTTTTATGGACTCTTACAACAATGGAGACAATCAAGGTTTGAATTTTCTTTTCCTTCTTCTTCTTCTTTTTTTATTATTATTGCATAGATCTTAAATGGTAAACTCAACTAGAGAACATTGATAGACATCCATATAGATGCATAGGTAGTAGGATATATGGAAATCGGATCTGTACAGGATAAACCTCCGGTAGTAGCGTGTCAATAACACACGCACACGGATTATTGCTTCAAGTATGTCTTCAAATGACTCAACTATTTCTTTCCCTTTCTCTCTCTCCCTTTTTCCAATGCGAGGTTTCAACTCTAGTCAGTTTTCTGGCTTACTCTTAATCTTCTTTGTTAAGTTTTCTTCTAGTAGTCGTTGTTGATATTTGGCAAGAGATTAGTTTTCTTTTCTGAGGCCTCAATGTTATCATCGTTGTCGTCATCTTTTTCCTCCTCACATTATTAAACAATTTAACGACCTTCATTCATATGTAATACATCTGCTGCTTCAATTCAGCGAGATTATTTTATCAAAATTCAATATTTCTGGACCGCTGTCAAACACGTTCGTCTTTTCTTCATTTTTTATCAATGCAATTCTAGATAGGTTTCTGTATGAGTTGAAAGGCACGCTCCTGTCATCATCTATTCCATCTTTTTTTGTACATGTGTCTCGACGTTCGTGAAACATGGTGCAGTGACAAGTATAAGCGAATAGGAGTACGTGTATGTATATAAGCGTAGTTGACAAAAAAAAAGGAAAGAAAGAAAGAAAAATAGACAACGCACAGAAGAGAGTAATGGTCGATAGTAAATAGTAAATCTATAGATTGTTGCTGGCAAAGACACAAGGGCCAAAACCAACGCACTTCTCTCTGTCTTTTTCTTCCTTGTCGTTTTGTCGTTCTCTGAAAAACAGCTGCATCAGCGACTCACAGTGCAATCGCGGCATCATACAGAAAGTAGTAGAATAGAGTAAAAGAAGAAAAAAGAAAAAAAAGAACCTCATTTTTTGTGCGTTCGCTGTTGCATTTGCATGTATGTATGTGTATGTTGTTGTCAGCAGCAGCCGCGTCGTAATACGAGAAAAAAAGAGGAGAAAACGAGAGAAGAAGAAAAAAAAGTTATTTCATCAAAAATGGCATCGAGTCACTATTGCCATCATGTCATCCGCCGATCCTCGACTTGTACACGCCGAAGGAGTAACCTCAAACTTTAGTCCCACATAAAAGTATTTATCTGTAGACGTCTTCGATGGGAAGGCCGTAGACATACAGGTAGGAGCGAAAACCTTCGGATAGTATTCCCTGCCTATACACGTACGTTTACATATATACACACTGTTTCTGGGCACGTTTCTTCGTTGTGTACGTGTGTATATTCGATTTTTTTTCTCATGTCGTCGATGAGTAAAAATGATCAAGCAAAATATGTATATGACTGTGTGCGTGCAAACATCTTTTCGACAGTATATAGAAAAAGGACGGAGAAGGAATAAAAAAAAAAGAAAACATTATACACTCAGTTGCTATTCGTGCAAATTCTGAGCTGTAGATAAATTACATATAGATGTGTTTGCGCGAAATCACGATATCTGATAGTTTCTCAAACGATGTGAATTGAATGATTTCTTCACAGGTGAGTATATCTTTTGCCAGTCAGTCTTGTTTATTTATTTTTTTAATCGAATTTCCTTTGCGGATAGATTAGTTGAGATTTTTTGACATAAACGAATTTAGAAAATTAGCATTCTTTCATCAGTGCCACATACATCAATGAGATAAATACATATCATATATATATATATATTTATGTATACATTTACCGATTGATGAAAGTCAGCATACCATCTGTCTAGCTCTTTTCACTCGTGTATTTGTCTCTCGGATAGCCTTGCATTTTATATCGTTGTCATCATTGATGTTTTTTTCCGTACATTTCTTTGTTCATCAATTAACTGTCTTATTAGATGCATACTGACCATTAATTTTCTAGGTAATCATGTCAGTAGTAGAAACAGAGAAGTGTTCGTTTAATGAAAAAACACGATTAGATAAGGAGTATTCGATGAACTGATATAATGAATATCGAGTATGTTTAGAGATTCTCTTATAACTAGGTCACCTTTGTTCAGATACTCAGGATTTTCCGTCTGTGATCATTTCATCTACTTGTCTCTACATAATTGTTTGCGATGATCACACGTAAAATAATTTTTCACATTTTGACATTATTTCAGTGATGATAGCAAGAGAAAAAATGTGAGAGGAAGAAAAATACACGCGCAAATATCACTTGCAAAGAAAACTGAAAAAAAATTATGGCAGTTCTCTCACATATATACATCCAATGTAGTGTTACGTCGACAGAGAGAGAGAGCGGGGGGAACTTAGAGCGTCGACAGCGCTGTTCTTTTTTCTTCTCTGTTGTTGAAGCAATGGTGTATTTGACACATGAGCGTGAATAGTTGTGCTCTTCTCTCTTTTTCTCCCTTCATCTTGCGTCGATGAAATGAAAAAAAGGAGAGAACACGAAGAAGCAAATGAGTCCCTGTTATGTTCAACAGTTTGCGTGCCAATGTTGGCTGATCGATGCTGGCCATTTTTCGTATTTTGTTCCACTACAGTGATGCATTATCATCAATCAGACATGTTTGTTTAGGTTACTCCTGCTGTTTTTCTTTTTTTTCGTTTCGATGACAAGTAGAAACCGTCGTCATTCGAGTACTTCTTTCATAATCAGATCTTATTACTGCCTGCATTCATATTTGAATAGCATCGGTCGTTACTACTTTCAATATACAGCTAGCAGAATCAAGAGGAAGAAACCTTCATCTTTATGTCTATTTGGAACGTTTCGCCATCCATCTCCAGCAGTAGGGAACTTGAGTGGCAATAACGTGAGATACAAACCTTGTCTGGTAGACAGTACGTCGCGGTATCAGTTAGTTCCTTCTTGTAAATAGTGGATCGTTAGTAATCAGTATGATATGGCCCTGTTCGGTAAAGTATTGGAGGAATATGTATGTGTGTTCAATAATATATGGTAAATGTATGATTTATGATGCACAATGTTTGAATCAAATAGATGGTAGGTAATAGAGTTTTAAAAAAGACGAATGAGTGACATGTCAAGTGAAAAGAAAGGAGAGAAGAATAAGTAAGGAAAAAGACGAGAAAAGAGGGAAAAAAAAGAAAAATAAATACTATACTGTGGAGAATATCAAGAACTGAAGTTTCACTGATTGCTATTGCCGTTATTGTTGTTGTTTTTATTCCGATGATCATATTTTTCCGACAATTATTCATTATGCGACGCGCGTTTTCACTTTGGATTCCTACTACAAAAACAACAACAACAACCACAGCAATGAGAATGAAGTAATAACACTTCGAACCCACTCGTCCTATCACTATAATCATTAGATTCATGGTGACGACAAACATCGATATTGATCAAATTACGCTATTATTCTAAAATTGCCTACTTGCTACTCCCTTTGTAACACTTTTTTGTTCGTCTTTGTTTTTACACTTCCAATGCCTAATAGACTATAGAATGTCAATTACATTCAGCAAGCTTCTTTCATTTCATTCCCTCACTATGCTCATACCAAAATCTACGCATAATAGTGATTTATATATAGATTACATCAAGGTAACACAGACTGATGTATTTATTTTCCATTCTTACCCTCACTTTTCGTTATTAGTAATCTATTATTCATATATAAATATTCTAGATGTTCGACGACATAAGATCATCCTATTTTCATATTATGTTCACTCACAAACAATGAAATCTTGACGAAACTAACCTATCATTACATACACACATATACACATACAAAACAGTGCCATACATCCGACAAACAGTGAGCCTTGTAAATGTCTTTCAGTTTCGCTACTACAGCTGCCGATCCGCACGGTCTTCATCATTCGTCACCGAACAGTATGCATCCTCAACAGTATGTAACACCATTAGGTGGTTCATCATCGTCATCTGCTGGTGGATCTCCAACAACAACCGTACAAGTTCAAGCAGCTGCAGCTGCAGCCGCAGCCGCTCAAGCAGCCGCTAACATGCCTTTAATAGCATCGATCGCCAATGTTAAAGATTCGCGTTGGCTGACACTCGAAGTATGTCGTGAGTATCAACGTGGAAAATGCACCCGATCAGAACAAGAATGCAAATTCGCCCATCCACCGACACATGTTGAAGTGAACAGTGGCAAAGTAATCGCCTGCTTCGATTCATTAAAGGTATGCATTTACATTTCACAAGATCTATTATAGCTCACTCAGCACAGTACTTGTAAGGTGTACACCATCTTTGAAAAGACAACATTCTCTCACAATGAAGTATAACCATCTTATACTCGAGATTATAACATACATTTATCATAACCGTCAGAGCTAGACTGAAACCATATTCGAATTTCATTGATATGGTATGAAAGTGAAATCATTTCCTTTAAAGTATACATAAGTATTATTCAAACAGCACGTTTTCATGTAGCCAAGAGGAAGTTTAATCTTTTATTAAAACTCGTATGATTATTTTGTATGCAGCTGACGAACACTTATAAATATTTGCTGAAGGTAAAAAAGAAACTCATTGATGTGAAAGTATTTCTGTTTTTTATTCCATCTGTCATAAAGAAACGTGAAAAAATTTCTAAATTTAGAAAACATCTCAACGATGAGAAGGAAAAAACACTGAGAATAATTATCAATCAACTTGAACCAATCGAGTTTTGAAAAATCTCTTTAATTCTACTAAGGACATCTATCGATTTGATATTCAACTTTTCAAATTCATTAAAAGCATGAAGGCAGAGGTCTAACGATTTTTCATCTTCTTCTTCGCGTGTTTATTTTGTTTATCTTACGAGAACTGTTCTGTTTGAACATGTACAGCATCGTACACGACCTTTAACGTACAGGTTAGATATATGATATACGCAGAACGAACAGAGTTGAAATTCATTCTTTTTCGTCTTCTTTTTTTTTTAAATCAGCGTTTACTCATTTCATGTCGTATTTTATTGTATTGCATACCTGAACAATGAAGATGGAGAATGTATAAAAGGAAAAAGACGAGTGACAAAACGGAGGCTTCATATCAGACATAGAGAAAGAGAAAAGAAAACGAAAAGATATACCATATACAATTTATATGTATATTGTGTCTATACTTGACCGGTTATCTTCAATTTGTGTATATTATCATCATCATTGATATACGATGATTCGAAATTAAGAGTACAACAAAACGAAACAGATACACGAGATTTGCTCATGCATTCAGAGCAAGTAAGTGAGAAGATAATCGAATTTATATCGTACGTCGTTAGAGAAATGTAAAGCGAGACCTTCTTTCTACGTTTGGTTTTATCTTATGCACATATACGTATACGAGAGATTTTATACGATCGTATGAGTATATTGACCATGAATAGTCATAATCAATAGACGGAGAGGAAACTGAATTTGTTGTATTTTGTTTTATTACATTTGTATATTGATAATTTTCTGTTGAATTATCTAGGGCAAATGCAATCGCACTAATCCACCGTGTAAATATCTTCATCCACCTCAACACTTACGCGATATTTTACTTCAGAACGGACGCAACAATCTTATTCTTCGTAGTATTGGTAAGAAAACATTATTATAGTTCAGTATCATCACATTGATCCTTCCTTTCTTCTTTAAAGCAATGAATATCGCTGCTAACCAAGCTATATATCCACAAACGGCAGCTCATATGCCATATACCAACGGTGCTATTATTCAAAATCCCATGCAACAAACCGCTCCTCTCGTAAGGATATTTATCAAACTAGATGATTTATTTCTCTTTGTTGAAAACTTTAGGCCTCCTTTCCTCACATGGGACCCACTGCTCCAGCCCAATCAACATTTTTGTTCAATCAAGCCGGTCAAGCTTTTAGCATTCCTTTGCATGCAACTCATTTACAACAATTATCACAAGCTACAACTGCAAGTGCTATGTATAGTTCCGATGGTGCGCAATATTTTCAACCGGTGACCCAATTAGCTGCACAAGCAACTGGACAAAAAGCAGCGCGTACTGATCGTCTTGAAGTATGTTTCTCTTGATAAACATCTCACGATGTTCTTCTTCTTCACTCCCGTCATTTGTTTTTCTATCCGCATATTTATATAGTTCTGAGAGGGTTTCTGGTAAGTGAGATGTGTTCATGTCTATATTTTACCAGCTAGGATGCGTCAAACCCATAAAAAAATACATCTATACATGTAATTGCTCCATCTGCACGCTGAAGCAGCTAGTAAAAAAAACCTGAATCGATAGACTATATTAACCATGGATAGTAGCAACAACAAATCTATTGCCATCTCTATTTTCCTGCCATGTTCCTAAGGAGCTCTAAACTTAGTTTAGCACACTAATCTGCTCTGAGCATACATGATTTGTTTACCTACCAGGTGCTATTATTATGCCAGCTGCTGTTGTTGTTGTTGATGCTCTCTTGATCATAAAAAAAAAATGAATAAAACTCTAAACAAACTAGCCAAGCATTAAAATCGAACGAAGCTCTTCGAAGCATGCATCTCGCTCATATTCATACAAAACACATATATACACATACACATACACACACACATGAGTATATGTATCTACACAGATCTATGTATACATCTTTACATATTGCGCGCGTATGTGCAACTTTACTCTTATTATTTTGCTGCTCAACCTTATATTTTGGTGTTGTATATCATTTTCTTACGGATATCATTAATTCTTCAACATACGCGTTGAATAGAACGGAAAAAGCAACAAAATATTATCCTCCCACTTTCATTTCCATAGGTATATCCGAACAACAATTCCAATCATGATGCCTTGAAGGTTTGTTAAATAGTGTCTGTGGATGTGGGGTATAAATTCTCTGTATTCTGTGTTGTCTATGTGTGTGCTTATTATTTAATCTGACACATCACTGGATTTTCTTCTTTATTTTTTCTTACTTGACGAAAAAGCTACTTTGATACAAAGCTGAGCGAAAGAGAATTTCAATCCTTTCATTGCATGACATCTAATCGTATGACCTTCACTGAAACAACTATTATTCTTTTGTTTGCCTACTAAAATGTTCTATATATCCGATTTAGTCATACCTTGATATTGACACTCTCTATGTAAGTGAAAAACTCATATTTTCATATTTATACATGCGTGTACATATAAGCATATCTATCTACACTACCATATTGCTTAAAGCGACAACCGAGGAAAGCTTGAATATCGGCTAGGCAATATTTATCATAGATTCTCTCCTGCACTTATCTCTCTCTCTCTTTCTCTTACGTGTTTGATATTTGAACTAATTTGTGTGGTGTGTATTATTTGGGCACTTATAGTCTTATTGTTTTATGCTTAGTATCTATGCATTGACACATATATGAACTCTTTGTCTACTTGCTTATTGCTTGCTTCTTTAGAATGTTCATTTTATTTTTCATCATTGAGCGCATGTCATTTTCTTTGTGATAAAACCATACATTTGGTTACTTCCAAACAAAGCATTTTCAATCCCGCGCAGGCTTTCCTTGTGTACAGCTTGTTTCCCCCCTTTTGTTGTTTTCTTTCTAGGTATGTTCAGATTTTCAGCATGGTCAATGTTTGTATAGTGCTGACACATGTCCGCTTGCACATCCGCCAGCACATTGTCCACTTGATGCAGATGGTCTCGTCACCGTATGTGTTGATTATATTAAAGGCAAATGTATTCGTGAAACATGCAAATATTTTCATCCACCTGAACATCTTGTTGCGCAACTCAAAGCAGCTAAAGCACAATCGGCAACAGCTGCTACACAACTTTTTTCAGCATCGGCAGCTGCTATTCAATATTCATCACCAACTATTCAACTGGTTCATCCTGTTGCATTGAACAGTAGTCAGCCGATATTGGCTGCATCGCCAACTACCTTTACCTATTCCCAACAAACACCTACAGCACGTGCTTCTTCCTCGCCTTTGGTATGCTTTGTATAACCCTGCACGCTTCATAAATGCTTTCAATTTTGATATTATATGCTTTTATCTATTCTAATCAATCAGATCATTCCGAAAGAAACTCTCTGAAGTAGATTTCATTGTTCTAATTTTTTTCTAGCACCAACAGCAATCACTATCAGGCCATGAAGATGAAGGAAAATATGCAAATGGTTTTGTTGCATCGTATCAACCGTATCCAGGAGCAATACAAACAATTTACACGCGAGCTCCATCCGTTGATTTAAAAGACGTAAATACTTAGTAAAATTTAAGTTAAACATTAACTGTTGTCGTTCATAGACGTCAATTATTAATTCAACCAATGGTGAAGCGATCGGTCTTAATGGTTCATCATCGTCATCCTCATCAACAGGTGTAAAGGTTAGTCGAAGATGCCTCGAAATGACATTTTTCCGTTTTATCTTATATAATCATGTCATTGTGCAGCAAGCATTATTAGCAGCCTTGTTCTTTTCTATCGCAGATGCCATTGCCTTCTGTGAACTGATGACTTGTGATAATAATGAATGATAATGAGCTTAATTGATAACAACACGACATATTCTTTTAATCAATCGCACGGATTTCCTTGGTCATTATACATATGTACATATGCATTAAATTCCTTTTAGAAGCAACCCCATGCGTGCTTGCAGTGCTTAGAAGCACGTGATGGAAGTTGCCGAAGCTCTTTCTAAACTTCTTCTCTCGTACTCTTGTTTGTTTTCGATTGAAAGACAAATCGCTCACCGACATATCTTTTGGTTTTCCTCTTCGAAAAAAAAACAGAAACAAAACCCAGCAGCTTCATGTGTGTTGTTAGTGTTGTTTTTATTCTTTGTTTGTATTTTGCTTGTTGCACATACATTCTTTTCTCTATTCTCCTCTTTTGTACTAATCTAGGCAGCAATTGATCCTGTCAGCAGCAGCATCACACAGCAGACAAAAAAACGACCGCTTGAAGACGATACTGCTACTACCGGTGCCTACCTGCAGCTGGTATTGCACATTTGCTTTTCTATCCTTGATTTATTTTTTTTCTGTTTGCTTTGTACGCTTTGAACACTGACAAAAAGTGGCAGCTGATAATAACACTCATGCCTTGTTCTATTGACAAGAGAAAACGAACTGATCGAACCACAATCGAAGAGAACTGAGAAGATAATATGCTTTCATGCTTGCTTATTTGACTTCTTTGCTTACATTGAAATATGCTTCTTGTGGTTTGGTCAGTTTTATGCATCAACAAAACTAAAACATGAAAACTCTTATTATTTTTTCAATGAAATCTCTTTTGAGAGGAAAATATTCTTTATATTAACAAAGCAAAGAAAAAAAATAAATCAAGTTTTTCTTCTTGTTTGATAAATTATTCAAGAGAAAAAGGAATATGCTGTTTCTTCTAGCCACTTGGAGCACAACTCATTGCGGGACCTCACTTTGTTCAACAACAACAACAACAACAATCCCACCATCAACAATCACAGGCAGCAGTAGTGGCACAACAACAGCAACAACAACAACAACAGAAACGCTCGGCCATCGCAGATCCCAAAACGGGTATACCCATGGCTGCTTATCCAGTAACAGCATTCTCGTATCCATCACCATCACCATTACCCATTCAATTTCAACAACCTTATTTGACCGCTGTTCCCATGGCTTGTAAGTAACTTCAGTTGATCTCTATCTTGTCGAGCATGGCGATGTTTTCTTGAAATCTTTCTTGCCTACATGCTTGTTTTTATTGAAAAAAAAAACAAATCTGCCTCGTGTACAGATATACCATCACCTGAAATTGTCGCTGCCCAGGGTGCTCTCGTATCTGTGGGCTCGTCTTATGTAACTTATATTGATAAAAAAGGACAAGTGAGATGTTTATGAAAACGAATTTGCTAGGCGAGATTATGCATGCATGATCGAATAACATATCACTGATTGTTTTTTGCATATATGTTCATTTGGTTTATTCTTTGCTTTCTCTTCTTTCTTTCGCTCGTTCAATCTGTTCAGCTCAAGCACAAATGAAAAGTAAGTGTTATTTGTGTCCAATACCAATTTAGTTAGTTTATTCACTATGATGATAATCTAGCAGATGTTTTCCTCCTAACCTTTGAATTATTTCCTCAACGTCTTTATCATTCTTTTTTTTTGCATGCACTTTGTAACATTTCCTTCGTATTCTTTTCTTTTTTGGTTGTGTTCGTGTGTATGTTTATCGAGCAATTGTTGCATGATGTTCATACACAGGAGTTTTGTATTGATAGACATTCGTCTATTCGAAACTCATCGATTTCATTTTTGTTTTGTAGTTACTGGATATACTTCCCATCTGCCGAGACTTTAAATCGCGCCGTTGCACACGACCCCAATGCAAATATGTTCATCTTGCTGAAGGTATGATTTACCATCGAAATGCATGAATTTGACAAAGTCATTATGAAACTGCTTTTCATTTCTTTCTTTTAAGATTTTGTAGAAGTTAATAATGGTTATGTGTCTATATGTAAAGAAGCTATTTTGGGCAATTGTTCTAAAAATGAATGTAAATTTATCATATATGTATTGAAGAACTTCAACGGCAGATCCTTTATTTCAATTATAATAAAACTTGGCGTTCGAACATGACCAGTTCAGCTACAACAATAACAACTACTCGCCCATATTAGCCATTCTTCTTCTTCTTCTTTTCGTTTCTCTCTCATTTCTTACGACAAGTACGTAAGTTTTCATTTTTTTTTCTACATATAAACACATTTGGTCTTTCTTCTTTACACACATACACACAATATAACACATAAAAACATGTATCCTCTCTTTTTTCTCTATCTCTCTTTTTTTCTCTTACTGTTCTTGATGTTCATGATTTCTATTTTTTTTCTTGTTTGTTTGTTTATCTGTTCGTTTGTCCGTTGTTTCCAGTTTGTGATGAGAAAATTCTACAGTACATGCACATACACAGATGAATATGTGCATGAGAAAAAACACAAAATATCTAAGAAACCTATAATCAGCAGTTATATCCATTTTTTGTTCTGGTTTTTCTATTTGTCAACATCATCTTCTTCAATTACTTCGAAAAAAACAAGAATAATTTTGTTTTCGTTTCTTTTTATTCCTTAATTGTATTCGTATCACTTGAGAGCGAACGTTCAATTTTCACTAGTGCATGCGCAGGAAGCAGCAAATCACATATATCCAGATCGAGAAATATTCATTAGACAAGAGAGAAAGATAATATCCGGTGTATTGTTTGTTATTTTTCTTTTTTTGTATCACTTTTCTTACTTATCACCTTTCTGTATGTTTCATACAGTACATAAAAGATTGATCCTAGTCAATCGTCTTTCTCAGCTATACATTCCGTGTCCCCATTGTCATCTTTTCAATCGCTTTCTGGACTGAACAGTATTAGCTAATGATCGATCGACCTGAGTCAAGACGATAAATTACTCTCGAGTTTTCATGTCACTTCTCCTACTCTCTCTCTCTCTCTCCCTCTGCTAGCAATGTCTTATTTCTGTGGTGCAATAGCGATGTCCATCATCTTCTACAACAAATGTGTCGCAGATCAAAACTAGAATTCATCCTTCTCTCTTATGCGAACAGTGTTCTGAAATCTTCGTTGTTGTTACTGTTTTTCTATGATTTTTTGCAATATTCTCTCTAATCTATTACATAAGAACAAGAATTTAACATAAGCATACAGCGAGTGCGTGCTGTCTGATTTCGTTGGACATGTACTCTTTGTGTATTCGTTACTGGTGCTATTCCAGTTTCTTTTGATTTCGCATGCACGATAATTTCATCGTTCAATTTTCTCTCTATCTCTTTGCGCGTGTATGTATGTTCTACGGTCCATAGAAGCAACAAAAACAAACAAAAAAATAATTTATTGTATGTCTCTTCTCTTTTGTTTTTTTTTCTCGTGGATAGGAAAAAAAATTTAATAAATAAGTGAAGTTCGATATATTCACTTTTCATGTCTTTCGTTTTCGTGAAAGATGATTTTGCATGGCTTTCTGTCTTTTCCCCATTGTCGATATTTTTCTCACTTATTGGATATTTTAACGCATGTTTCTATGTTTTTCGACGTTCGCTAATGCTGCTTTCTTCTTTGTTTTTCATATTGATCCTGATTGACGCTTTTCCGTCGCATGTTTTTTGCTATCAAATCACCATCATCAGCTTGTATCTCACAGAAAAAAATCCTTTACTAACTCGTCTGTCTTTCCTATTGTCTTCTATTTTCGTGTGCACTACTCTCTCTCTCTCTCTGTTGCTCGCACTCGCTCGAACGCTCTTCCGCTACCTATCCCGCTCTATCTGATTATGTTTTATGCTGCTTCGCGTGCGCTATAGTCGCTCACATGCACTACATTTGCTTCCGCACGATTATAAAAAAATCTCACTGGCAAGTTCAGAGTACTAAAGCAAAGACCATGTACGATCCACTCTCTCGGATAAAGACAAAACCGAGATCAAATCTAAACGGGCAGTGCTATTGCAGTTTTAATTAGAATCCGATGTTTGAAAACAAAACTAAATATTATTATGAATTTATATTACACACAGATGCCTTCTTCCTTACAAATGCATTGTAATTAAGTGCAGACAAGTTATAATTATCTTTATTATACCATGAATCGTAAAGATAAATGTCAATCACCACTATAATTGAGTTGGACTGCTCTGATACAAGTATTCTTTATTGACAGTGATACATACAACAGGGTTTCTAGGAACAAAAAACTTGTTGATGTATGAAATAATAATAAACAATAGATATATTTATTTAATAAAGGGAAACTTACGGCAATTATTCATATCAGACAGACAATTCATTCCATCTGATCATTTCCTTACTATTTCCAGTACATCAGCGTCTAGTCATTCTTTGTTCGAAATCTCATTATTGGTAGAACAAATCTCTTCACAGTTGCCTTTTATAGAATGAAAAAAAGTATATCTAACAACTTCCGTTCGCTCGTCGCTCTTGTATTCATCTAGAAATTACTTTTCATCTAATTTCCTTTCCATTTCAACTTTGCAGAACTCATCAATCATCTAACTTTGACTCGTTTTTCCTCACCGATCTCCATTGGAAAATGATGAAATTCCTCCAAATAACTACCACTGTAAACACTTCAACTTCCTTTTCTCAATCCATCATCTAATTATAAATTTATTCAGATTTCAATATAGATGACAAATGACACATCAGCTAAAACTGCTCTATATTAGTTCCTGTTGACATACACAGATGGATTTACGCACTAAAGATGAGTTCGATGTAAGATTGCGTTTTTGAAGATGATAGCACGTACTCACGACTAAGACATTTGCACAGACAATTTGCATATAATACGTTAATATTTTCCTTGAATGTTGTAGGGTCACATTAAACATGGATGATTTGAGCACGCAGACAAATCTTTTCTAGCAGAAAGCATCGCTTCAAGAGTTCGACATGGTTCAATTAGATTATTTTTATTTATAAGACACAAATGAAAGAAAAACGTGAAGAAGGTGTGTTGATAAAATTACAGTTTGTGCACGCTTGTCATTCAGCAAAGACATAAACCCACATAATTACATATATATATATGTGTGTGTGTATATTTAAGACGGAGAGGGACATTAGAATAGAAGGATGACAAAATATGAGTAATGAAATGAAAATGGACGTGTATGAAAAAGGAAAAGACGAGTTTTGTGTTCTCAATAAATATATGTATATGTTTATATAAGAGTTACGAATTGAAAATGGTTTTGATGAAGAGACGGAAGACAAATGGCGTATCCCATCACTCCAACATAGTTCTTCAGATCACGAAATCGACTATTCGGTGGCGTTTTGTCCTCGTATGTCTTTGATTAGATCCAAAAATCATGAATAAATAAGGATTCTGTCACTCAATTCTTCAACACCAAAGGGATGTCTAATAGATGTCAATGGAATGAAAACAGACTGCACGCAAAAAATCAAATCAAACGATACGCACAACAGTAAGCTGTATAAAAAGAAACCGAAAACAATGTTCAAATTCCAGAACGATGCGCAAGCCTTACACGATTAGATTCCATTGCCGAGGAATTATCGTTCATTGTTAATGGTGGATTAGTTAAGGATATATTAGATGTTGATGACAGGGATGATGCCGATGACGAAGATGATTGTCGTTGAACTTGTTGTGGTTGTGATTGAGGAACATTGGTTTTGAGATCTAAATGAAAAGTTTCAAATATGTTAATCTCTAGTGATCATCATATGTCAAATCAAAATTGATGTTTTGTTCTCGCGAGATCACGATGTAAAATCACTGATAAGAATAAGAAGCAGAACTCTCATGGGACATGTTTGGGAGGTCAAGTATAGTTTTTTTTCTTTTCGCATTACATGAAGAAGTTGTATTGCCGAATAAAGATGATATAAATGATGGATTAGGACGAGCCGAAGTTGTTGATTGATTTGTGTTGGTATTTGTCGGTTGAGTCTCATTGGTTTGCTGTCGTTGTTTTGCTAAACGATCTTTGCTAGAGAAAAATAATGTTTGAATTTCTTCACATAGTTTTTTGAAGCGCCGGGCTTGCCCTTGACAAAATACAACCATAGCAATTAATAGATTCATTCGAGCTACTTACCGGTGATCAATGTGAATGTAATGTAGTAGCTATCCGGCGTTAGCGGATCGGTAGATCTAACTGTACAAATTTCTACATGGAAACGTATATTACGTTGAAACATTGATGATCGATCAGCTCGACGATATTCACAGCGATATTGAGTGCCGGATAGAACATTGTGTACGAGATCGGGAGTCTTTGGACAACAGAAAACATTATGATAATCAATGAAAAACTAGGTGAACATACCGAAAGAAAAGCATGGATAAGATCTGTTTTAATTGCTGATAGCGGCCGATCTTTGACAACAATCATGTGATGATCTTCTTGCATTGCATCGATGATATGATGGAACAGTGACTTTTTAGTCGCTTCAGGAGTTGTACCGTATTGAGATGGTGAATTTGATGTTGTAGTACTATCACTTTCGGCCACTTCGAGGAAAGAAACAGAGATTGATAAGAGAAAACGAATGAAAAAATCAATCTATTTACATAAAACTTTGGGTCGTCGATGAAATCGTGGCGTGCCAACATTTTGAAAGCTTTGTTTTAGATTATTTAATTTGTGTCTCCATTGATTATTGTTGGGTGTCATTGGAGTACTCGGAGTAGTATTATTTGAGAGAGTCGATGGAGACGATTCCATATTCATTGATTCCGATGTGACCGAAGTCGAAGCTGAAGTTGGTTGTTGAGGAGTCCGTCGTGTTGAATTGTACGTATTTGTACCATTGTTAATAGCATTGGAACTATTCACTACGGATTCTTTCATGCTCGATGTGTAAGACTGTTCACCAACGCTATTGCAAGCAATCGATTGTGTTGATGGTGGTGTTGTGAGAACCCTGTCGTTTTGAGAAACAGTTGATGTATTGCGATGATGACGGTGTATTTGTGTTTGAGTCGATGGCGGTGTCGAACTTGATACAGTGGGGTTTTCAGTAGAACTTTTACCCGTCGTAAATGCAGTGATTTTAGAAAAGACATCTTTCTTCGTGATTGTCGGTGATGAACATGGACTAACCGAGGGCGTATTATTGGCTGAAATCGTTTTAGAACTAGATGAGAAACAAAAATCTCGACGTAATGACAGATGAATGCTGAAAAGTAGTTACTTGACGTTGGAGTAAAGTTTGCGTCGAGAAACTAATGGTGAACCTTCAGTTAATTGTCCGATTGTATTGGTTCGATATCCAGCTGAACTAGGTGTTTGACCGTTTGAACGTTGACGGTCAACACGTTTTTGTGGAAAATCGGCTATAAAATTGTACAAATAAAATGAGGAACCGATTGATCGAACTGTACTTACGCGAACCAGAACGACTTCGTTGTTTCGTATCATCTGGATCATCATGAGTCGGTTGACGCAACTTACGATCGAGTAAAAGAAAATAAATGACTTTTTCGGTATTGTGTCTAGGGAAAGCAAAGCATTTTCTTGGATATTTCTTCTCAATTCAATCTACTTTGAATTTAGTAAAGCTTCAATCAAACGTTGTCGATCTTTGAAACAACCTAATGACGTCATTGCTGCGAATACATCAGGATCAATATCTTCCTCTCTAGGAATGATGGTTGTCTATAACAATGAAAATAATCGAATTAACAACGCCTTCTATTTCCTTCAAAACATACTTGAACAACTTGCACCATTGGCAATTCCAATTCAAGGTCAGTTTTCGTACCCCTGAATAGACAAATAATCACAATGTCATCTATTAAATATTAATCTGCATACAAACAACGAAGAACAACACCACCACTGACAATAGATCTTTTCCTTCTCTGCAATGTGGCATTGAAGACATATACCGACGATTGCGTCTTGCTGAATACTCATATCGCTCAGACAAACGCACAGATACACAGACAACATTGATAAACGACAATACACAGACAATATCAATAACGTTTAACTATGGCCTTTACGTACTGTGTCACCCATGGATGTCGACTGACATCTTCTAACTGTAATCAAAATAAATACATTATGAAGTATTTTATTATTTGGAAAAAAATCAACTGTTTGGTGAACATATAGAAAACGACACGAACACAAAAGAAGGTATACATGTAGCACAAGGTCCATCGAATTTACCGTTAATCGTTTACTTGGATCGATTTCAATCATTCCACGTAATAATAGTTGACAATCAGCAGATACAAAATGTGGAATATGAAAAACTCCCTTTTTAACTTTTTCGAGCAATTGACGAAGATTATCATCATCGAACGGTAATGCACCCTATAGGAATGAAGAGAAAAACAATTCCAATAAATCAATCCCTTGACAGGATATATATATCATTCATTGACTATTCTTAAAAGCATAGCTTTTAACCTAAATGTCAAACGTACCACTAGTAATGCATAGAGAATAACACCACACGACCAGACATCAGCTTTGCGTCCATCATATTTTTCACCCTAGATTTATAGGAGATGATATTCTTGAGATGAAATAATTATTAGCAGTTCTCTTACTTTGATCACTTCAGGACATGCTTGAAAAGAAAAAGGAAAGAAACAATAGAATATTTTGATTAATTGATTTCTTCGTCTTACCATAATGCGGTGAACCACAACTAGTCTCAAGAAAGCCGCCTTCGACTTGTAATGATGCCATACCGAAATCTGCTACGCGAATATTCATCTTATCGTCCAGTAATAAATTCTCTGGTCTAAATCGAACGAATAAAACTATATTGCTTCCTGTCACTTTCTCTCTACTTACTTCAGATCCCGATGGCTGCAAGAAAAACAAATTTTCGAAATGATTAAATGAATTTCAGAACGAACGAACTTACCAAATCATATGACTATGACAAAAGTCGAGCGCTGACATGATCTGTCGAAAGAATTTTCTTGCTTCTTTTGGTGTTAATCGACCTTTTTTAACAAGATAATCGAATAATTCTCCGCCAGCAACATGTTCAAGAATAAGATAAAGATATTTTCGACTTTCATACACATCATAGATACGTAACACATGTGGATGTTCAATTAATTTCATAATTGCGATTTCACGTTCGACCTTTAACAAACAAACAAAAGTACGTTCGAATGCCATTTCAACATCATTTTCATTTACTTTTAATAAAACCGATTCGGACAATGCTTCACGATTCACTATTTTGATCGCTACTTTCTCTCCTGTCACATAATGAACGCCTAACTTGACAAGTCCTATGCAAAAAGAAAAATAACCACATTAATTATGTAAATATTCTCACAAGCAAGCATGGCACGTACCTGTTTGACCTTTGCCTAATGTTTTTTGAAGAAGATAGGGTCCCACGTATTGCGAAGTACGCGGCGGCACAGCCGTTCCGGATGTTTTAGCATTAAATGACATCACTTTAATGAGCAAAAAATAGTAAATAAGCTCTCAAGAAATGACCGTCAGCGCGACTCGTTCAACTTACATATGAATCTTTTGAACAAAGAACGAGACAACTATCAGCTATTGAACATGATTTTTTGCAAATCACCAATAATTAACTCGTATATAATAAACATCGTCAAACTATATTTTTCTTTTACTCCTTCAAACACGCTAATAATTTACTTGAAGAGCGCTGGTAATACGTGGATGTGTCGTCAACCATAATCGTGCCATGTTCTGCGTAAATGCATAAAACCACTAAATCAATGCACTTAGAAAAAGCAAACAATATTTTTTCGTTTAGTTTTGCAATTCCGTGGGAAAAATAAATTCTAAAATCGAAATTTATTGTCAAATATTTCACTTTTTCAAATGGAATCATTCTACTCATAATGACCTCTTTAACGGTGTTGGTTTGATTTTTGCTAAGCACCAAAATTCTTTCCGATATCCATTTTTCTTTCTCCTGTTCGTTCTTTCGATACGTACATACACTACGATTGAAGAAAATTATCGATATAACGCTTTTCTTTTTCTCTATTTACCATTCAGAACTGCGTACACACGTACGTTTATTCATTACTACCAACTAATTACTATTAATCATAGTAAGTAAAACAAAAAGGTCACTGAAATGATGAAAACTTTTGTTTCATTCGCTTTTTCAAATGAAGAATGCCTCCTATGATTATTTTACCGGATCCTGATCAGTTGCCTTATTTGTTTATTTGCTTTTTTTAGATGCAATTCTTCGATTGGTGACAAACAGTTCATATCAAAGAAAATGGGACTCGATTACGAATACGGTATCAACACAGGAAATCGTTTCCTGGATTTAGTTGATCATGATGAAGATCCAGAAGAATTTGTTGCAAAACAAACGCAACCAGAAGACAAATCAAAAAAGTCCACGAAAGATTCGAAAACAGCTACTAGCGCTACAACTAGAAAAACAAGCGCTAAAACGACAACAACTAGTAGTGCAACAAATGAAACTGCTAATACAACAAGAACAAACAAAGAAAATTTCACGGGAAAGTCAACAACGAATGTTCACCGAGGAGGACAACAATCAAATGTCTTGAGTGATAATGTCAATCAACAAACACGTATTGACAGTGGACGAGGTATGAAAAATAAGCAACTTTATTTATCTTCTATTTGCTACATTCGATAATTATAGGTGGCGGTCGTGGTTTCTCTAGAAGAGGTACCGGTCAAGATCGACCAGCGTATGAAGGTGGCAGTCGGGGCGGTGGGCCGCACCGTTCCCAGCGTTTTCAACGGTTCGAAGGACAACAAGGATCACATGAAGCTCGTAGTTTCGAACAAACGGGCGAAGTTGGTGAAGGCGGAAATAATAACCAACGATTTGGTGGTTATCAAGGACGTGGGCGCGGCGGTGATCGTGGTCGTGGGTCGCGTGGAACATTCTACAACCGTAACTTTGAAGGAGGTCGCGGCCGCGGTCGTGGTGGCCGTGGTTATTTCAATAATCGAAACGCTGATGAAAGTTCACAACAACAACAACAACAACAGCCACAAACACAAGACATTAGTCAATGGCAGCCTAATACTGAGTATGTGTAGTATTACTGAAGGATACTTTATGTTCGAGCATTTGTGTCAACGTTAACTTCTCTAGTTCAACCTCTGAAAACGCCAGTGCTGAACCAGCTAAGACTACCGGCCAAGAATTCGATGCTGATCAAACAGTACAAGATCGATCATTGGAACCAGATGGAGTGCGTCGAGGCGGTCGTGGACATTTTCGTGCTCGTACATTTCGCAGTAACCGTAATTTTGATCAAGATCGTCAATATCAACATGATCAAGAAGGTGGTCAAGAAGAATACCGTCGTAATCGTCGTCAACATGATCGCCAACCGCGTTCATATACTTCGTAAGTGACATGATGAAAAACGAATTGGTTCGTCAAAATGAAATATTCCATTTTTCTAGAGGTGTTAAACCTGTCGAGAAGAAAGATGGTGAAGGTGCTCACAACTGGGGTAACGCTGCTGAAATACCTGATGTAGAACAAGCAGCCGAGTAATGATAAATGACATGATTTCGATGGAAACACTCAATGTTGACTCTTTGATAATTCTAGTGACTCGAATGAAACAGCAGACCAAGCAGCGTCAACATCGAAAAATTGGTCCGATCAAGTCGACGAAGCCGAGAAAAAACAACTAACATTGGACGAATACAAAAAACAAATAGAAGAAAAGAAACGATTACATCAAGAAAAGTTACCGCAATTCAATCCTCGTGCTGCAGGTGAAGGCGAAGATCCCAAAAATTGGCAGTTCAAACATGAGTATCGAAAGAAGAATGATAATGAGGATTCAGAAGAAGAAGCAGAAGAAGGAAGCGGTACTGAAGGTAAATTTATCAGAAAGTTCGTCATTTTCAGCAAACTCACTTTCATTTTATTTGTTAGAAGAAGAAAATGAAGATGAAGATGAACACGTTAGTGGAAAGAAAAGACTTATTACAATTCCACTTCATTTCAATCCAACCGAATTGTCACGTGGCGGTTCATTTGGGCCCAGAGGTGGACCACGCCGAGGTGGCCGTTATCGTGATCGACCATATCGGGATGATCAACAACGATGTAAGTATTTGTCACTATATTTTGTCATAGTTTTCTATTAACAAAAAAAAATCTCTTTGTTTTTCCAGCTAAATCGCCAAACCAACAACAATCACCAACATTTGAACAGACCGATGAAAATCGTTTTGACGATCAACAACAAAAGCCATATCGTGGTGGTGCAAGTAAGTAGTTCGTCAAATAGTATCACAGGTATAAATTAGAATCTACTAGGACAAGGGCCTGGCCGTACTGAATATCGACGACCATACGGAAATTCTGCTCGTGGATCGCGCGGCGGATATAATCGATCTCATGCCAACCCTAATACACCTGATTTCCACAATACTCTCGATTTCCCAACTCTTCCAAAACAATAAACAAGTTAAAGTATATTCTTGCGTTATTCTCATTCGAACGTTCACTTTCTTTGCTATTATCGAAATCTATAAAGCGTGCCGCACATAATCTAGAACAGTCTTGCATGAGTGTTATTATTATCTGTTTTTTTCCTTCTTCTTTTGCGTGTGTATGATGCTTGAGACCCTGGTGAAATAGATCGATTCATATCTGTAGAAAGACTAACTGCCGTTTTCGTTTTTTCTTTCTTTCATTTGTTAAGATATTAATCCAACAAATTCCATAGGCATTTCACTCCTTCCATTCGTTTGTTTTGGTCATTGTTATTCTTGTTGTATTACACTTCTACAACTGCGATTTCGTTTTTTTCTGGTGTTTGTTGATGTTGTTGTTTTCTTTCTCTTTTATTGTTGCGATGAGGACGTACGTCGTCGCTACAACCGTAATCAACTTGCGTTGCCGTTCACTTTCTTTCTTCCCCTCTCTCTCTCTCTCCTTCGTTTTCCTTTTTGATACGACCTTTTCTTGGTCTTGCCACTATCTGTAGGACATTAACTCATGCATATGAAAAACAAACAAATCAGACTTTTTTGTTTTGTTTTCTGTTTTCGTTACACCCAATTGTTTTTCCCTGCTTATCACAGGGATATACGCATTTTTTTCTGTCGTTTGAGCGCGCGTGTGTGTGTGTGTTGCTGTTCTTCTTTTCTTTTTCTTTTTTTAAAACCAAATATCAAAACCGAGAACATATTTATGTAGTATATTTTCTTCGCCAAGGATGATTCGAAATACCAATCAAGCTCAACAGTCATGAATAAAACCATGTTGAGACGGTATCGAAACTGAGGCTACTTCAAATCAACCTCGAATGTTGAATACGAAACAAAAGATGAAAGCATTATGCAATGCAGATAAACATTATTTTAATTATCCGTTCGAGGGTAAACACTGCTCTTTCAATCGAGTACACTTTCGAGTACTCAAGACCATTCGTCTGATATGATGAAAACATCCGAATACTTCAATCGAATAATGGCTATTCGAAATCATAGCTGCTGTTTGTGAAAGAAGACGATCTTCGTTCATGTGAATGACGTCAACTATTTACATATGATTATACTTTTAATAATACTACGTTTTTCCGGACTAGGTTATTATTAAACACGGATAATTTACAGGAACCAAGTGTGCTTAATATCAGTTTTGGATCTTGTTCCATGATGGTTCGTTAAACAGAATGTTGAGAAAATTGTACTATGAATTTCTTCCAGAATACTATTTGGTTTTACAATAGCATTCAGAACGGAAACTTGAATACTAGTGATTATGTACGAAAATAAATACACAATCACACCCTCCTATGTTGCATGCAATTTGTCGTATTGTTGATTTAAGAAGAATAGTAATTAACAAACGAAAAATACTACTGAGTCAATTAGTTCCAGTGTTGATATCTCTTTCTGAATGATCTAATGATACGATTTTGTCGAACTCGCGAGTTTAATCAACCGATTGCCACTAAGTGAGTGGTGTATAATCATTTTTAGTGTATATGACAAGAAGAAGAATTATTCCCCTGCGGGCAAGATCATCAGTCATATTATGTACGTTCAAATGATTTTCTCATCGTGTCTATGCATCATTGCTCACCTAAATGCATCCCATTTGATTTCCTTACGGCTATCGATTCATCAGATAAAACATAGATCATTCAGAGCAGGATTAAACTTTGTTTTCCGATGCGTATCTCTCTGCGTTATTGAACAAAGAAAGAATGTCGATGTTTCATTGTGTATCAGCATCGTTGATATAAATTCATTGTGTAATGAAAATGATCGCTTATATAACGTTCATCCGTCTTCACTTTCGTTTTGAGACATGATATTGTCTGAGACATGTACTGACATCTGTTAAGATTATGTCAAATTCTTCTCTAATATCTTCTTCGTTCTCAAGCGGAGTTCCATCGAGATTGTGAAGATCGATATCAAGTAATGTTTCTCTCGATCTTTGAAGTAAAATAGTCGAAAAATTGTTCATATTGGTTAGTCTTCCCTTCTTTCTCTTCAACATTCTTTGTATTGGCAGACAATGACCACCTAATGAGCAAGCATTCTCATACAACACCGTTCAATACCGGTGTAGATTGACAAACGGGAAACTGTCTTAGCACACGAAATCCATTTTGTTTTTTTTTATAGATCTGTAATCTAGTCATACTTTTGTTCAATTTTATTTCGAATCATTTCGTTTGTTTTACCAGATGGATGCTCAATATGAGCGCCGTTTGCTTCTATCTATAAATGGGCAAAATTCCCTCTCATCTTATACAAGTCCTATTCAATCGCCGATTAAAGCAAGTGACCGATACATTCCTCTTCGATCTTCACTCTCTGCATCAAATCTTCATTATCAGCTAAGTACTTCACCTATTCCCTCTTCGCCGCGTAAATCGTACTGTTCATCGACAACGACATCACCGAATAAGAAATGCAAACTCGAACCAAATGAAATAGGCCTTAATGCTGGCATTACTGGCAGTGAACCCGATCTGGCTGTTTACGAGCAATTACTACAAAATACTCTGTTGGATGCGAATATTGATACAGTGTTAAAGATTTCCGATGTACAAAATACTAATTCCGATGGTGTTAAAACAGTAACAACGCCGAAGAAATCTTCAACAAGTAAAGAAAACTGTTCGATATTTCGATATTCTGAACGTCGAGAGAATATCTCTTCCAAATCAAATTCAATTACGAAAGAACATTTTAATCGATCACCAATCTCAAATGCATCGATTCACTTACTTTACTCACCCAAAAAGACTATTCGACGCATTCCTGATATTCCCTACAAAGTCTTAGATGCACCAGATTTACAAGATGATTTTTATTTAAACTTAATTGATTGGTCACCTTCAAATATTCTCAGTGTTGCTCTGGGTCCATGCGTTTATTTACACAACGCTCAAACAAATAGTGTACAACTGTTGTGCGATCTGACACATACACCTCTACCACTGCCAAATAATAATAATCAAGTAAATATTATTGGTTCTGATTTAGTTACATCGGTGCATTGGTCAGATTGGTCAAATATAATTGCAGTGGGTAAGAGATGATTATTATGCCCTTTTGGTAAATACAAATATTATCTTTCTAAAGGTACTCAACGTGGTCATGTACATATCTATGATATAACAACTCGAAAACGAGTACAATCGATTTGTAAACATACAAATCGTGTAGGTGTATTAGCTTGGAATGAATGGTCATTATGTTCTGGTTCACGTGATCGAACTATTCTAGAACACGATATTCGTCAACAACCCATTGTACATACATTTCATGGTCATAAGCAAGAAGTTTGCGGGTTGAAATGGTCACCAGAAAAGTCCATACTCGCAAGCGGTGGCAATGACAATCAGTTATTACTTTGGTCAAAAACTCAATCATCACAACCGTTGCATGTCTTCAATGATCATATAGCGGCTGTGAAAGCCATAGCTTGGTCGCCACATCAACAAGGACTGTTAGCTTCAGGAGGTGGTGCAGCTGATCGGCATATACGTTTTCGTTCGTCCTTAACGTGTCAAACAATAAGTGCTTATGATACAGGTTCTCAAGTATGTCAATTGATGTGGTCAAGAAATTCTCCTGATGAACTCGTTTCAACACATGGTGTAACACAAAATCACATTGCTCTTTGGAAATATCCAGCTATGCAACCATTAGCGAAACTGCTTGGTCATCAGCAACGTGTTCTTTATTTAGCCATGAGTCCCGATGGTGAATCGATCGTCACTGGAGCAGGCGACGAAACTCTTCGATTTTGGAATGTATTTCCTAAAGCAAAATCTATACGAAATCCAGATTCACAACTCAATGGACTCTATCGAATGCGATAGATCATTCTACTTTCATTCCTGTGAGTTCATTTTTCACTGTTCTTTATTTATTGTCAGAAGTATTATATCGTGATACGCCATATTAGCACAAAATGGTCACTACTTTTTTCTTGATATCCGACAATGTCATGTGTTTCTTTTTTGTTACTCTTTCCGACTTTGTTAAATAATTTGTATCTTCGCATGTAATCAATACGAATCGTATCTGATCGGAGAGATCAGATTGGTGAATAAAGCTTTTCAAACGATACGAACATTTTTATTACCGTTAATCTGCAGTAGAAATCATCCATTGTTGGACATGCAATATCAATAAATATTCGAGTTAAGATAACTCGAATAGTCTTGTCAAAAAGTCGCATAAAAATAACTTACAACTACCACCAAATGAAAGGTGACTATTGATTTCGCATCTCTACGAAATGTACACCATAAAGCAAAATACCGGTTTGATTTCTACTTAGAATATATGACGCTTCGGGCAATCATCTTTCTACTTATTCATTCTACTCATTGATGGTAAACTGCCATGAATAACTAACATACTTTGATTCGAATGAATGCAGATATTTTCTCTTTTTCTTCTCATCTACGAAAAACATGTAGGCATTAGTGAATTAATGAAAAAAACGAAACGGAAAAGAAGTACATGTTTCTTGCTTTGTTCTCTCGGTTTCGTTGTCTCGATGTGTAAATATAAGGAAAAAAATGATCGAGATAACATGAAATACATGCTCACACGTGCAGACCAAGTAGAAAGGGAGAAACGCACGGTTTGACTTCATGTAAAAAGTCACTGACATCTTGTTCTCTTCGTTTTTTGTTAGACGAAAAACGAAATAACAACAAATCAGTTGTCTATATGGCACTCAGCGGTGTATCGTAAAGCGAGAACAAAACTAAAAAACAAGCACCAAACGAGAAAGAGAGAGAGAGAGAGTAGCAAAGATCGAATTAGTTTCGATCTTTCTGCCAGGTAAGTAAGATGTGTATGCGTAAGTTGTGAAGATGATCTTCGTTGCTCAGTTGTTTTGATGATTCCCAGCAGTTTTCGTCAATTGGCAGGAAAAATAATTTGTACTTTTATCGATTTTGAAAGATATTTGATCAAGGTAATTGATAAAGTCTGTTGATAAGAAACATTAGAAGTTCGCAAACGAGTAAATAAATATCGATTGATTATAAACACTTTAGAAAGTATCAATCAAGAATGCTAACTTATTGACTGAAACCTTTTTCTACAGTCACTGTTGCCTATGCGTCAGATTGAAAGTTATCGTTTTAATCAATAAAACTTCTCGGTGTATATACGAAACTCAATCCAAACCATTTTTAATCAATTTCGAGTAGTCAATGAAAAATAGTGTCGTATAAAGCAACAAGATCTTTCTACTTCAGGAAAAGGTATTTTACGACATGTGAAAATCAGCAAATCGATGACGATGGACTGATATTTGTTTTAGTTTAATACGCAAACACTTCCATCTGATGTTTTTCCAACCTGACTCTTCCATCAAATCCTTTCTTATTCTCACCAATCTTCAGATTATTTTAATCGCTTAGAGAACAAAAGTACTTTATATGCCATAAAATATTCCCTGTGACACAGTCACTGAGTACAGATGATAAAAGCCCAATAATCGACTTGCTTTTCGTGTTTTAGATAGTCGAGAGAAACTTTCTCTACATGTCTAACGTTACAACAGTTATTGAAACTACGAGTGAATATGACCACCAAGGTGCCGCTCTTTATATCGCCGTTATTCTCATTTGGTATTCAACAGGTTTAGCTATGATGCTTTTTCTTCAAGTACGCCCACGTACGATTCAACAACAGTTTTTATTTGATTCACCGGATACATCGACAAAGAAACGTCTTCAATCGCTATCAACTAATCCATTTGCCAGTTATCGGAACGTTCAAGCAGACAACACAACGAAGCAAATTCTCAACGAATTAAAGGATCGAGAACGACGACAACGTTTATGGAAGATCTATTACGCATCAGCAGAAGAAAAGGACAAACCTCATTCACAATACTATCAAACTATTACATCCGATAGTGCTACTATTGATCGAATTAATCGCAAATTAGCTGAAATACATCGCATGGATGTTGCTAATGATGACAGTATAGTATCCTCGCCAACACCTGTTTTGTCTAATGAAAATCGGCCAACAACTTTAGCTTCCGATCCAACAAAATTCTTTTCTAAGCGTTTTCCGTCACTTCGCCGACCCAATGGTGGTGCGACAACCAATACTCAGCCAACACTTTTTCGTGCTCAATCAGATGTTGATACTAAATCTGCATCGAATCGAACTACCGAAATGGAACAACTCGTTCCAGGAAAACAAATGTCAACTCCGGTGACCAATGCTTCCCGTAAACGAAATAAGTTCGCAAATCGATTTACTATTGAAAAAGTTCTTACCGAAAATTCAGCTCCTACCAGTGCGGCTGAGAACTCAATCTAATAAAGAAGAATAATCTATTCGTCTCTAGTCACTCTTCAATCATGATTAATTAGATTGAGGACATGAAGATTTTGATTTTTCTTCTCTTACTAACTTGGTTCTCTGCATAGATAGATCTTAATGCTTTATATATATTTATATGTAAAAATGATATTCAATAAATTTCAAGGTGAAAAACACTGTGAAGGTTCAAAAGTTGTTGGTGTGTCATAGTAGATGGTGATGCTTGGAATGAATTTCCCTTCACAAAAGTAAATATTTTACTTTTATTCAATCCGGTGTTACTAGAAATAGAGGAGGAAGGCAGAGAACATTATCCTTTTGTTCACTCTCGCTTTCTATTTGTCTCAGCGCGAAACAACTAAGTGATATCCGAGCTATTTCTTCTTCTGTAAAATTTCTATGGAAGAGAGAGCGAAAAATCAGGAAATGAAGGTATTGTTAGAATTGGTCTTGATTTGCATACAACGGAGAACAGACTAACTGCCTGTGACATTTTCTCTTCGAGTATTATAGTGAACTATCAATTAGAAAAGTTGCTTCTACTTCGAGATTGTTCGCGTATTTCCAAAGAAACTAGATTTACGATTTGAAGTCTAGAATACTTTTCTCTCTGCGCTCAAGCGTCATATCAAATTATCCTTTGTAGAAGAAAAATGGAAGTCGTAGATCCTCACGTCTGAATATACTTTCCTCTCTAAATGTTAGTCAATGCCAAACACGAAAGAGAACGTGAAAAGAAAAAGACAATTAATAGTGTGCAATGTTGACAACGGCACGTTCGTTCAGCTAAATAAATCGTTGTGTAAAAAATCGAGTTGACAGCATCGAGTGAGAATAATAACAACAGACAGATGCAGTGAATAAGAATAAAAAAGTCATCAGATCGGTGCCCATTAATAATTCTCTTTTTTTTCCTCACTAAACTCTCCGTTCATATGCCAGAACTGAAGTACTGCTAAGTAATGAAGGCAAGTAATAAGAATAGAAAAGAAAAGACCTCAGGAAATACTATTGATTTAACAATGTTCATTCAAAAATGGCTATGGCAATAACAATGGCATTGACAGAAGGAGAAAAATCGAGCTAGACGACAAAACGACAATCTCTTGACTATTAATAAAATCAAATTTAACTCGAGGTTTATTTCTTTTATCGTTTTAGAACAACAACTAATCAACATGACAAATTATTCGTATTTTATCTTTCTTCTTCTAATTCAATGTCAAATTCTATTAGCACAAAATCATCAGTATCGACACTATGCACGACAAAATACACGTGAAAGCAGCTATGCCAATGATACTTTATCGAATGTAGATGATGATAATAATATGTGTCATTTATCGGTACGATGTCCGGCGATACCGAAACTATGTAAGTCTTGATGATTCGATTCTAAGACAATAGAATTTCTTTTACCTGGAATTGTAGCTCCCTACGATCGAGACAATCGTAATCGTCGTTTTACAGTCGATACATTCTTAGCAATGCATGGTCCACCGGGACCACCAGGGTTACCAGGTCCATCAGGTAGTCCTGGTCCTCGCGGAGCTGTTGGGCCTCAAGGTGAACTAAACACATTTCTCCAGTAATTAACTAAAGCAAAAAAGACATTGTTGATTCTAGGGGTTGTCGGTCGGTCGAAAGATCCAGTACCTTCTGTTGCCTTTGTTGCTTTTCTGCAAAAAATGCTCTCAGTCGAATCTAATCGATCAGAAACAATTATTTTTGAAAATGCCGATATCAACGAAGGAAATAATTACAATCCAGCCACCGGTATATTCACTGCAACGTACCGAGGCGTCTATAAATTCAGTATGACAATAATGGCGCAAATGGATTCTATTGTAAGTATAATTGCGTCTTTTCTTAACTAAAAATGTTATTCTATTATGTCAAGGCTACTGTGCGTATTGTTCATAACCAGAGAAGCGTTCTTGGCATGATCCGATGCGACTGTCGACGTCGGTTTTCTCACGTACGTGGTAATGTCTATGCAGAACTAGAGCCGAACGATCAAGTTATGGTCGAAGCATTGGGAGATCCAGGCGATCCAGCACAATCTGCTCCTCGAAACAATATCTATGGCTATACATATACCCATTTCAGTGGTGCACTTCTATTTCTTACTAATACTCGCGATTCAATTTAAACAACACTTGTCATTCATGTTTTTTTTTCTAATAGTTTTTGTTTGTCATTCTGTAGTTTAAAAGAAAATAGAGAATGTTCTCAGCCGTACACGTCGATGATATAGATTAAAAAGAAAATTATATTTTTGCACGCATAGATGATTATTAAACAAATGAATTTTCTTGCTTTGAATGTTGCGCGCTCTCTCTCTCTCCGCACGACATTTTGGATGGTTGCTCATTGAAGAAACATAATTACTGAGTTCGACTCTTCTTCGATCAAAATGAGAATATTATGAAAAAAAAAAGAACAACGTTCTGATTTCTGTTAGTTGTCATGTTTCTAAGTATGAAACTCTCTAACGTCGCTGTGTTCATCGTACATCTAATTGAATTTGACTCCAAATGGATGTTATTTCTCTTGAGAAGAAACGCGAAGAAAGCCGATCAATAATATTTACACTTATACTTTCTTTTTTTTCTTTTTTATCTCAATGATTCCTGATGTTAATTTCCAATGAAGTAAATAAATGCAGAATTTATTTTCATGTTTCATTGAGAATCTATTTGAAAAATCGCTTCTGACAACTTGTTGTTCTATAGTTCACTTGAAGGCATTTGTTTTCCTAATTGAATATCTAATCTTTGCGCTTATCCCAGAGTCTCGTTCATTCATCTAGAGATGATGTTACTAAGAAAAGAATGTCAAACTCAGCTAACTCATGCTTTTCCGATTGATTTTGCTTGTTTCCGACAGATGCTGTTTTTCCTTTTTATTCTTTTCTCTTGACCACTAAATTTTATATGATGATGTTGACGAGAGAAAGAAACTAATGCTTAATGGATTTTAGGGCATCACCATGCCGCATACACATGAGTATACACCCCGCATCTTCCTCTTCTCTCTTCTTTTCTCGTCGTCTATTATCATTATTATTGTTTGTCTTCGATCCTAACAGTAGCTGATTGAACACATCAAAGAAAAGAGAAAATACATGTAAGAAAACAACCCGATCTATTACGAAAAGATATTCATTTGATCGTTTTTATATTGACAATCTTTTCTTTACCTCTCAGTCGAGACAAAACTTTTCTACTCATCGAAGTACAAGACGCAAATCTCTGTGTATCTAATAATAATACGTAGAAATGTTCAATTGTGCCTGTAAACATACTCATGCGATCATGAAACGAATAAAATATTTTGTGTTTGAGAAATATTTCCGTTTGTTTTTCTTCTCTATTTTTAATAGGTGCTTAGCACTCTTAATTGCTCTACTCTTGATAGTCATATATACGTATATATATATATATGGTGTGCGTGTGTGTGTTCTTTCCTTCTTTGTAGATACATGGATTTTCTAATGAAAGATACTACTGAAGTTTGTTGAGTGAAAAAGAATTACAATCGTTATTTCTCTTCGTCGTTGTTCTCTCTATGCTAGTCTTAAATGCTCACGATCAATAGATGCGGCATTGTTCGTGTTTTATCTTATTTTCTCTCATTGGATTTGCACATTTGAATACATTGAAACAAATACCATTGATCGGTTTATTCACATCAACTGGCCATGAGAATCAATCGTCGTTTGCAATTATTGATTATGCTGTGAATCATCTGAGAACAATACCCAATTTAACAACTGAACTTTTCATTCAACGTAGTAAACAAGATATTCCATGTGATATGGCTGTTGGTACCAAAATGGTTTTCGATATGCTTAGTCAAAAACCGCGACCATTGGCGATTTTTAGTGGAACTTGTCAAATGGTTGCATCAGCTATCGCTGAAACCGCAGGAATTTATGATATGACAACTGTATGAAATAGGTTTTTGCTTCGTTCGGATCGATAATCGTTTTCATATAGATTATTTACTCGGAAACAAGTTCATTGTTTACAGCACGTGATAAATATCCGTCGTTGATTCGAACAGTACCGGGCGATTCTCAGCATAATATCGGTATGTTAAATACACACAGAAGCGATTTGATAATGAAATGATGCTACTTTAATCTAGCTCGAAAACTTTTATTGAACACATATAATTGGCGAAGATTCGGGGTGTTGTATCAGTATGAACGGCAATATACTATGGTGAGTGTGGCTTTTCTTTGAAGAGAAATGTTTGTTTACGGATGCTTCAAATTTAGCCTGTTACGCGATTTAATGATCTTCTATATGGCGATGGTGTTGAATGGGAAACTGCTCTATCGAAAGGAATCTCCTTCAAAGATCTCGATGAAACTCAAGGCAATCGAACGCGAAATTCGCTTAAAGACGCCTTCGATGACTTACAAGTAGGCATCCATTCTCATCTAGAAGAAAAAAGATACGAATTGCATCGAGTATGAGAAGCAATCGATACGTGGCTCTACTGTCAAGTAGGCTGACTTCCGATGTGCAAGATACTCAGAGATAATCATATTCCAGCTAGTAAAAAAAGAAGCGAGATTTCCTGTATCTAAAGTTTCTAGTTGAAATGAGAAGGATATTGATAGGAAATATGGTTGAGTTTCGGTTGGCCTCGTAGATAATTGATTAGTTTTATGTTTACAAGATGAATAGACAATTTGATTTGAAAGCCGAGTTAAGTGGAATGTCGTGGAATCAATCAAGTCTGTTGAAACGGTCCATTATTCTATTACGCTGCATTTTCTCAACAAACTTCAGCGAGCTGTTTCAATTTTTTTCATAAATAATTTCCGCTAAGAGATCCTAAACTGACGTGAAAATGAATCAATAATCTTCTTCGGCTTGTTCAAGTGTTCTTTAGAGGCAACTTTTCCCATATAAATCCCTAGTCGATTGAATAAACTTTAATAAATCATCACACTAAGCTGTCACCATATTTACGCAAATAGAAGATTTCAACTAGGTGCCCTCGATAGATATAATTTCCTATCTAATATAATCGGATAAAAATGTTGTTAATGTACTTAGAAAGATGATACGCGTATTATCATCGGAAATTTCAATTCAACAATGGCTGTTCGAATATTTTGCGAGGTAAAGACACAGTATTACATACGATTATTTTCTCATCAGAAACAAATAACGTTCATTAAAAGGCGTACCGTTACAATTTGTATGGTTCACGTCATCAATGGATTATTGTTGGTTATTATGAATCTGAATGGTGGCTAAAAAATCCAGGTCCTTGTAATACATCTGAAATCTTGCAAGCTTTGAATGGCACTCTTCAAACACGTGTCGCTGAATTAGGTTATGATGACAATGCTCGAACAGTAGCTGATCTTGTATGAATTTTCACTGATGTTTGTTCAAATTGAAGTGAATTTCTTTCATTTAGACACCAGCACAATTTAAATTTGATCTTACGCGTTTGGATACAGACTCGTATTATACCCATTCATATTTTGTTGGCTATGAATTCGATGCGATTTTAACGTTGACATCTGCTTTTGAGAAATTACACGATTCGTTATCGAAACAAAATTGTTCGAGCGATTTCTCCGATGATTTGACTTGGAGACAATCATGCTGGCGTTTAGAATTAATTAATATTATCAAAACCTTAGATATTGAAGGCGTAACTGGACGTATACGCTTTAATAATGGTGATCGTGTCGGTGAAATTGTTATTGAACAAATTTTAGGTATGAGAAGACGTGTTTTGTCGTTTGTTCGCATGACATATTGAAAATAGATTTTAGTATCTCCTAGTCATAAATCTAAAAACGTCGAAATTGTCAAACTATTCGTTGCTCTGCCAACTGAACAATCAAAATATGTTCTTCTACCGGCAAGAAATGGACGAAATATCACTTGGCACGGTAGGAGCAACGAAGATGCTTTAATGCTTTTTCGAATGGAACGTTTAGGTCAAGGACCACCCAACGATCGTATTAAACGCATTCATCGAGATCAGAGAATCTCTGTATTGACATATACGATCATGGCGATCATCAGCGGAATAGGAATTTTAGTTGCTATAGGATTTTTCGTTTTCAATATCATCTTTCGTACCCATAGGTAAGCAAAGAGAGTATTAAATATTTAGTTAAATTTTTTTGTACGTTCGTTGAAGATTCATTCGCATGTCCAGTCCACAAATAAATAATCTCATTATAGCTGGTTGTATTCTTTCATATACGAGTGTTCTTCTCATGGGTGTAGATTCTTCATTACTTGGCAAACGAAATTCTGTATCAGCGATGAATTTTATTTGTGCGGTAAGGTTAAATTTTACTTGTTTGTTTATCTAATTACATTGTTATGTGAATCAGGCTCGTATTTGGACGTTATCGATTGGATTTACGATATCTTTTGGAGCAGTATTTAGTAAAACATGGCGTGTACATACAATTTTTACGAATGTTGATGCATCGAAACGAGTAAATCAAATCCGATTGAATAACAATCGAGTGTGTCATGATTGTTCTTCTATTTTCAAGGCGATTAAAGATATTCGGTTGTTTATTATTGTTGGTATTCTTCTAACTGTTGATATTGTTCTTCTGAGTGCCTGGCAAATCGTTGATCCATTGAAGATACAAAAATACGAAAGTCAAATTAAAGTAAACACAATAGTTTCTCTTCGAAAACATTTCAATCTATCTAATACTTTCCGTATTTTGCAGACCGAAGGTAAAGATATTGTTACACTGTGGAGTTTTGAAGAATGTCGATCCAAACGTCGATCGATTTGGTTTACTATGCAATCGATATATAAAGGTATATTAATGGTAAGAAAAGATTTCAAACAAGGATTTATTTCATCTGTATACTTGTGTAAATATATCAGCAGATTCCTTTTGTTTTACATAAAACTTTGAACAAACTAATAGTAGATCAAAATAGATTCACGTATGAGAAAATTGTTTTTATTTTTTTCATAGATTAATGTCTGAATGGAACTGAAAAATAAAAAGAAAGTCATTTCTAACACAGTAGTTGCCAAAATAAATTTATTTTACACAGCAGTTTGCCGCAATTGAATAAAATACATATGTTTTACGTGAGTGTATACTTGAAGTTAATAATAGATTTGGAATATTTGAAAATGATCCATTATATTGATTATATAAACGCTTCGAATGTAAATCGATAGTAAACGATCTATTGATAGAAGAAAATTGACCTATGTAATTGAATGCAATGCTTTCTATTGTATGTATTCAATTGTAAGAGTGTTTTAAGGACTTAAGGATCATTAGGAAAAGAACATTCTTCTCGATATAATATAGATTGAAGAGTTTTTCAAACGCCTTTTATGTTTCAATAGGTAACGGGTTCTCACTTCGCATGGGCAACACGAAATGTTCAAATAGCGGCATTAAATGACTCAAAATATGTTGGAATGAGTCTCTACAATGTCGTTCTATTGAGCATCACAACTGCAGTTGTTGGTTATTTCTTACGTGATCAACATGAACGTTCATATATTTTAACGTCGATATTTATTTTACTTTGCGTCTCAATAACACTATGCTTAGTATTCGTCCCGAAGGTTCTCGAGGTAGCGAAAGATCCTCATTCGAATGCAAAGCCACAGCGTGTTGTTATATCGGCTGTTGGATCGAAGCCGGCACCTACACCATCATCTCAGGAATTGGACAGAAAACTCGTCACAATAGATAAACAACAGATACTTTCGAAAATCAAACAACTCACACGTCAAAACGACATGTTGAGATTGAATGCGACGAAGGTTTGTTCTTTGTGACTCATCAAATTCTTGCTCTTTTACTCATTAAAACTTTTTAGTGTGAAGAATTAATCACGAAATTGTTATCAGTATTAAACGAGGGAAATAGCAAACAATCGCAATTGGAATTATTTATTCGTATGTTTAGTGAATCATTGTCTTTAAACTCCTAAATTCGATTGATTCATTTTCAGCTACTTCAACGAAACTTGTCGATGAAATCACAAACATAAATGAATCAGATTGGTTACTTGCCGATGAAAGTCAACTAAAAGGATAAATTTTTCTCTTTTTATTGTTGGTATTTTGGTGAATCACAGATTTTTTTTTTGTTCTTTATAATTATTCAAATAAACCTTCAGAGAGAAAGAGAAAGGGTTTCGAAGTCTACGCGTATATGAATAAGATATTTCTTTTCGCTCTGTCAATTTCAAGTGCTTAGTTCTTTTCTCGTCACGAGTAATTTTTGTCGTGGACACTTTATCAGATAAAATCTCGTCTTGCGTGATCATTTTTTTTCCTCCTTTCTTTTCAATCTACTATTACTCATCGGTTATATGTATTAACAAATGAAGTTTTATGTATATATATTCAATGCAGGAAAAAAAAAGGCTGACGTAAAATATTTTATCAAATTCGTCGTCGAGACATAAATAGTAGGGTGCGGTTACTACATACATAGTCATTCAAGAGGGAAGAACGAGACAAAATATAACCAAAAGTAGAAGAAAGGAGAGAGATTGTAGCGTTTTCTTTTAAACCAAACAAAACATTTTCATTGTCCTCGTCTGTCAACGACAATGTGTGGCAAATTAATTTCAATGCTTCTCTTTTCAATCTTAATCTCCACTAAAGGACAGCATGATGATGACCGAGATCTTCCTCTAGGTATGTGTCTACATATTAATATGAAAAGAAATGGGGCACGAATATTTTCTTATACTTAGCACCATACAGCTCTGAACGAGGTTCAAAAGCTGTATTCGAAACGCTGTTTCCTCGTGGCCGTTGTCCGGAACGATTTTATCAATCAGGACAAGAGTGTCTGTTTTTCTCTACTGATGGTAAAATGTATTCGTGGAATGAAGCTGAACGTATGTGCGCTCGGCGAGTAGCTCGAATGTTGAACAAGCACTCACAATCGGATTTGAACCAGCCAAATATGACGCCAACAAAAGGTGTTCGAGCTTTAGTCCTGAATACACCTGAGAAAACTGAAGCTTTTCGAGCATTATTTCGAGAATATAATGAACAAAACTATGCTGTTCGTTTACCATCGGATTATCACACATTATCGCGTTGTTTGGATGGAAAAGATGATAAATGGCCCCGACTTTGTACGAATGCTCCATATTCGAATTCCACCTGTTTCGAAACCGTTTCAAACGGTCCAAATGATCTTTGTTTACGAGAGGTAGAATGTCGACAAAGATACATACGGGTTGCTTGTGAATTCACGTTACCTGGTGAGTTCTCTTGATCAAAAGAAAAGTTGTTAAACAAAACAACGAAATTGTTTTCAGGTAGTCCTGAATTGACAGCCTCGACGTTCCGCACTTGTCCGAAACGTGGTCGTCGATTTTTTCGGCGCTTACCACTGTGGGCATGGATTTTGATTGCACTTGGCTGTGCATTTCTCTTAATAGGTATTGTTGCTGCCATTGCTTTATTTCTACGTAAATCAAAACAAAACAATTCGTCGAAGAAACGAGCCATCCCTGAGCCACGTGATCCACGTAAGAAAAACAATTTTCAACTTTTCATCTGAAATCGTTCGTTTTAGCTACTCGAGGATCAACCAAACAAGAAGATCCAGCAACTCAACCAGTAAGATTTCTTTCTCTATTGAACACTTTCGTGTAAAACTTTCATTCACTACAGATGCTTAAACGACCTCCGCCACCACCTGTCCCCACTTCTGACTACTTGCAACCACGATCATCATTGGATACCAATCCAAATGCTTAGAATTTCGAACTTGTTGAACTCAACTTTATGTTGTATTGTCTGCTCGTTTTTTATTCCTAACATTCTTTTCTTCGATATGCGCATTTTTTTCTTTCTTTAACATTACAAAAAAGTACTATTTAGAGCATGTTTATGAAAGAAAATGAAGGTCAGTTGACATTAGTTATAGTGGATGGAGAGATTGTAGATATTTGCTCATTTGATAAAGGCTTTTTGAATTTACGTTCAAGTAGATAAGCATCCGATGGTTCTAAGCGTCGATAGTAGTCCATCGCTTTCGAGACAATCTCAAAGCCGAATTTCTTATAAAATGACAAAGCAGTATAATTATCGATTTGTACGTGTCTAAAATAAATACATAAAAGTGCACGTATTTTAATAAACGTGTAGACATACAAGTAAATACTGTCCACGTTTCCATCGTCCTCACAGATTTTCAACGCATGCTTGAGCATTAAAGTACCTAGTCAATGGATCAATGAATGAGTAATTTCAAAGAAAAAGGTCACTGAAATTTACCTAAACCAAGTTCGCGATATTTCGCCAACACACCCAATGTCATTATGTATAGTCGACGACGATTATCGGATAAATCAAAACGACAACACAGAGTGCCAACGACGATATCATTACAATACGCTAAAATGAAACGAATCTTGCAAATGTATTCCTTTATGGATAGTAAACTAAATCGTTTACCTAATTTGCACAATTCTCCGGATTCTAATAGATCTTTGTAGAATTTTTCGTTGTATAACACTGGAAAAATATCGCGATTAAGTACTTTAAGTTGTTTGATATTGTGCTGTGTTAATTCTCCTAATTCAATCTTCACCTGTTTCGTTCTGAAATGTACTCGTCATCAAAATATGAATCACATGTAGGAAACTGCTGAACAAACTTGTGTGGTTTTCGATTTTCATCTGCTAATTTCTCAACATTGATAATATTCGTCATATCTAGAACTGGAGAACATATTATTCACACTGAGCGAATCAGTTTTAATCTGTTTTTTTTTCAATAATAAGAATGTGAATCGATTTATTTATTTGCTGTTTTAATGACATCTATTTTAGTTAATCTGCCAATAATAAATTCATCAAATGAATACAGATATCAGTAGTTATCGACTTTTGGCGAAGGTTTATTGAATTCGTTTATTTCGAAGAAAGAAGAAAATCAACTCTAATGTATTTTACATTACAAAATAAAGGTATGAATGAAATGAGAAAACCGATAGAAATAGGAGATATTTTTATATCTGCATTTAGAGAACTTCCAAATCGACGTGTCGTAAAGATGGATGTTTTTTCTAAATGAACGAGTATAGGATGATTCAGAGAATATGTCAAATGTAGATTCGTACTCGAAGGTTTCGTTCAATTCGATCGATTTCCGCTCCGACTCTATCGACAATATTTTCTCCATGTTTGAGAAGAAATGATTCGGCTAATTCGATTGAATTGATCTTCTGTAATTCCTAAAGGAGAAAAAAAATGAACTTAGAATTTTCCTTTCATGAATTGCTTTTTCGATCACTTCGAAAAGAACTTGAATATCGATTCTCTCCAAATACGATCGAGTGATCTGTCGTCCATCGATATCAACTTCAGCTTTAAACATAACAGACTGAGAACCCATATCGGTGGCTTTGATATCATACAATGCTCGAACCATACGATCCTTCTCTAAATCACTATTGATTGCTTCTAATTGATTGGGATGAATAGACCTTTGACAAGAAAAACAAATTCAATAATACACAATTATATATTGTGATGTAATTCTACCTTCCAACAAGTGCTGCCGAGTTAGAATAAATAATAAACGAAGCCACACCGCCTAGAATAGCACCAATTACTAATGATCCAATAGCATCTGGAATAGGTGATTGTAGATATGCAGAAAGGCCCATAGCTGTACCAGCGACACATACACCGATAACGGCTGCGAGATCTTCAAGCAGAATAACATTGACATTGGGTTTGTATCCTTGACTAACTATTGTGAGCAGAAAAAGATATACATACAAATGTAATCTTTTTCAGACTGACATACCATATTCCCAAAATCGCATTCCACTTTCTTTCGCAGATGCACGAATCTCATTCATAGCCATGTAAAGTGTTGCTAAGAACGGTAAAAGATGAATAACACTCCAATGTATATCAATGGTACACAAACCTCCTTCGGAAATCAATGAGCCACTCAATAAAGCTAATCCCTATCATACGATAATAAATTTAATTTATGAAAGTTACAAATTTCATCATTGAATTACTTACCCAAAACACAGATTCCATTTCCTGAGGATGCAATAGAACCATAACTCCATGATACCAAGCAAGACCTGTACCAAAACAAAATATACCCACACCACTAATCAACGACGATATGTAAGTCATATTTGAATAGCCATACCTGACGAAGACAGTGTCTGTTGAAATCAGATACAAATTTATTTCAAAAGAAAGAGATTACGGATGTTCAGGGTTCGGTTTTTTGATCGATTGCCATAGACCGAATGTAAGAATGAGCTGATTGCAAGTATCAGCAATTGAATGGATAGCTTCAGAGAACAAAGATGCTGAACCAGTAAACAACCATCCGACGGTTTTCACCACTGCATTTGTTGCGTTACTAAATAATTCGAAATTGAATTAATTCAAACTTTTTCTTCGACTGGAGATCTTACACTAGAACAGCAGCAACGACAACTTTTCCACCACCAGTTGCTAGAATCGAATTATTAACCTGTAAAACATGATATATAACTGAAAATATGTTCTTCCTGCAATACACATACAGTTGTCCGGTTGTCCAACGGAGCATTTTCTAACAGAATCAAACGTTTCTGATATTCTTTCAACGACTTTTTCAAACTGAATATGGCTACAAACAAATCGCTATGGTTATATATCATCATGGAATTGAATAATCCATATTTACCTTCGTATTCTTTTTGTCTTGCTCTCAGTCGTTTTGCCTTCTCTTTGTTTAACATCTCTGGACTACCCCATACTTCAAACGCTCTTAAAAATAAGAATAAAAAAATATATTATCGCTTTCTTCTGAGATGTTTACCGTTTTTCAACATCGCCACGTCGATAAACAGTTAACATTTGCGCTACATCCGATTCATCCGAATACGGTGATCGTGTTTTGTATTGTTTCAGTGTTTCTATATCACTAAATACAAGATTGCCTATCATAGATATCAATGAATATCAAGATAAACAGTGACGATTACTTTGGTTTCAATAAATATTCATGCATTGCTCGTGTAGCTGTGATGAAGTTATTTTCGGTATAACTTGCTGCATAGTCTGTGATTTGTGGTTTTCGTGCTCGAACTGGATAGAGATGAGTTTTAACTCGCACTCTGATGAAAGTGTTTACCTTTCACTATCGTTGGAACTGGTGATATTATTGGTACATTTCTGTCGGATGTTAGAGATTGATGTGTGCTCGAGGAAGGTGGAGTAGAAGTAGATTGTTTTCGTGTGGACGAATGCAATGTATCATAATGGTAAGATTTTTTTGAATAACTACAAGAAAAGACGGGTGAAGATTAACGAGGATATGATTTGTCTGGAAACTTACACCGAAGAGATTCTCTGAAGTAAAGCACGATGATTGTAAATATTTGTAGATATTCGATGACCTACGAAAAATATTAAAGAAAATACCTAATGATTTAAGTCTTTTATTATTTGACGTTAAACTTCAGTATACAAATTTTCATAGTGACAATCTTTTTTACACATTTTTATTAAGAAAAATATGCATAAAAACAAGTATCGATATTACTGACACATTTGTGAAAAGCAAAATTGATTGATAATTCGCTTACTAGATCTTTGATTACACTCCAAGAGACATTGCGTCAAGTTCTTTACCGTTCGTTGCATAATTCACCTTCTATAAGAGAAACATCTAAAAATGAAAACAACAATGTACTCAAGAAGTTATCTTCTGCACATTGACCGAATGTCTTTATCGAAAATAGAATAAACCTAATCAAAGGAAGTCGTTCATAATATTCACGTCAGTTCTTTTTCACATTATCCTAAGTCATATCAATTCTCAAAAAGAAAGCATACACTGGTTAACAAGAAAAAAACAAGCTGAAATCAGGTTAAATAAATATTACACCATTGATCGACTATCCGATAGTTTATCAGTAATCTAAAGAGAGCTGGAATGATGATGATGAACATGATAGAAAGAAAATTCAAACCTGTCGAATACCAGGTAGTAATAGAATTGAACCTATGATTGGTAAACGTCGGAGGAAGTTAATAACAATTGGAATGAAACCTCTGAAAGATCGAAATAGACCGAACGATTTCAATTTGAGAAAAAATACGAACCCGAATAGGAGAAAAAATCCGTAGCATTCAATAAGCATTCCAATTACTGGCCAGCCGATTAAAACTAGAAGAATTCCTCCGAAGAAAAGTGCAGTGCTTTTAAGTTTATAACGCTGAAAGAAAAATCGAAATGTTCTTTCAAATCCGATAATCAGTGAAAGACCAGCAAGAAATAAAATCTGAATAGATCGAAACATTTTAGACTTTATTATTAGATCATTGAAGTATTTACATTTCCAATTGCTAATAAGCCCTTGTCAAATAAAAAGACTATACCGAGAAAGATAATACCAACACCAAATATTGTCAGACCGAGACCGATCTCTAAATGATAATCGAAATAAAACATGATTAGAAGACAGAAATGGAATTTTACTCTGTAAATCTGACAACTGTATAGGCATATTGATAAACTAGTGGTTTGTAGATAATCAATAGAATAAAATCATCGTGTTATGAGGAATAATCGAAATCTAAGTAGCATAATTAAATGTGTAAATGAAATTGTACATGTCTGACATGTTTCGATTGATGTATTCCATGGTTTATTCTTGTACAAATCAATCAATTCTCTTATCGATAGATGGCATATAAAGACATAGGTTATTAGTTGTGTCCTACTGATCTTTTGTTTTCCGTATGAATCGTCCAAGTTAATATTCATGAAAAAGCATAAATATTGCAAGATAACATATCTCTTTTTGTCTTCGGATAGTGCTAAATTGGGAAATAGTATTATTTTTCAGCATTTATAAAACATAGTGCAAAGTGGATCCATGTTATTATTAATTTGGAAACAAAAATAGACGCACTCCAAGCTTTGCAATAGTTCAATTCCAACTAAAGCTACTTAGTCAGATTAAACAATGAGATAGCAACATCTTCGACTAACTGGTACGTGTATTGTGACAGGCAGGAAGAGGAAATTTATCTCATCCTCAACTATATATATACATGTATCGATAAAGGCGGAACTTTCAAACTATACGCCTTGACAATGTCTACAATACTTGCTCTACAGATAGAATTGAATGTTTATTTCATCACGATTGTATATTTTACCGGTACGGTAACAAATTTACTGAACATAATTGTATTCAGACGTCGTACATTTCGTATGAATTGTTGTTCATGGTATTTTATTTGCTTATCTTTATCTCAAATTCTACTACTTCATATCACCTGTCTTCTTCCTTTAATTATATCTTGGACGGATTACAATGGATTTTCGTCAGTTGATTCACTATGTAAAATTCGAACGTATGTCTCCGTTTTCTCTCTTGTACTGTTCCGACATTTGATTTGCACAATATCAATTGACCGTTGGGTAGCAACATCATCCAGTGCTTGCTTTCGAAAACAGAATTCACCAAGAAACACCCGATGGACTCTAGTGACTTCTATTTTACTTTGGTCTCTTCTTTCAATTCATGTTCTATGTACTTATACAGCGAAAGGAACTTCATGTAGTCCGATATCAGATACAACATACGAGATATTCTTGATATGTTACAGCATAATAACATCAAATGGATCGTTTTGCATTGCAATGATTTTCAGTACATTAACAGTAATGAATATTCGTCAAATTCGTCGACAGACTGATACTACGTTGCCTACGACTACTGCTTCGACGAATGCAGTTCTATCTGCAACTCTAACACGTGTTCGGTTAACTCGCGCTTACAAGAGAAATCGTCGCAATCGACATTTTATACGTTTAGCTGTCTTTCAAACAGTTTTGTATTTAATCTTCAACTTTCTCTCATCGTTTAGTCCGCTTCTTCTATGTTTCAACTCACTTTTCCATAGCCAAACAGCTGCAATACCTTCATTCATTACTTCTGTTCATCTGATCGGATGTTATTTATTCTATCTATATATCTCGGTAAGTGCCCATGAAAATAATAAAGAAATCAATAAATCATCCTGAGTTTTTTGTTATTAATTTAGTTTACTATCATTTTCTATCTAATGTCTTCACGTATATACCGGAATGAACTTCGTCTTGTCTACAAAAAATTTCTGTCTCTTTGTTGTTGGCAATGTACTCAACGATGAACTTATTTATATGACTTTTAAAGTACATTTGTTCGTAATGAACTTTTTTTAGACATTATCATGTAGTAGTTGAGATTAACTAGAGTAGAAAATATTCATTAATGAGAACATGATCCATTTAGTTCGGCATGTATAATCATACGTTTATTAGTTCAAGACAAAACATCTATTTACAAAATCAAGCAGAGAGCGCGAATGACGTTCATTTGTCACATGTGTTTCAACATACGAGCAAATTCATCAAAACTAATTTTCCCATCATGATCCGTGTCGATTTCCCCTAAAACTTCATTGATTCGATATTCCGTGACATTATGGTTTAATCGACCTAGAACTTCACGTAATTCATTGACAGTAATATAACCTAAACGAGACAGATCGAATGACAAACCTGTAGAGTTCTCAGTTTACCTGAATTATCAACGTCGAAACATGCGAATGCTTTGCGCATTTCCTCGTCGGTAAAATTTCGTTCGTAAACTTTCCGCATGACCTTGACAAATTCATCAAACTCAACTAAAAATGTTTATAATTCACTAAGAAAGCCTTTAAGAACGAATTTACCTGAACCATTTCCATCAGTATCCATTTCTTTCATAATTTTTCCAAGTAACTTCTCTGTCGGCTGGAAATTCAATGCAATCAACACTTGTTTCAATTCGGCCAATGAAATAGCTCCATTACGATCTCGATCGAACAGATTAAAAGCGCCTCGTAATTCTACAATGATCACAATAAACTCCGTGCTTTCACTTCTCATCATTTCAATTACCCTCCATTTGCTGAATAGATAAACCTATCGGTTTGTGCTAAAAGCAAAGATCGTGAAAATTCATTTTTATGATTGAAATTTTTATACTAACCGTCATTTGATTTTCCGCAGTAATAAAAAATGCTTTTCCCTACGTATTCGTTGAGAATAAAAACAAGGTGTTCTATGATAAAAGTCAGTTATTATGACAAATATTTGTGTTGTTTTTTATATGAATGCTTTCTCTTCTTCTCAATAGTTGTCAAGATACACTGCCGACGATAGCATATCAATAAATAAATACATACAGGAAAAAATAAGAGAACTTTTTTGACCCAATATAGCATTGGCTAATATCTGATCTCCTTATCAGTTGATTTCTGATAATGAGTATAAATTATGCGCATAGTTAGTTCGAATTTTCTGAAAATTGTGTGATTATACAGAACGTCATGTACGTTTCCTAGGAAGAAAAGCAGATTGATGAACTTTCATTGAACAATCCTAATCTTTTATTTATCTAGTTCGAAACATTCTATAGAGAATTCAATTGCTTCTATGCATATCTGATAAAAATGTCTAAAAGAAGAGAATATGTTGAAAGTTAATTGAACTAGAAATGAAGAATATTGACTTTTACTTTTAAGTAAGTTGTTGGTATTTCTGAACATTGACTGATTAACACATCGAGACTGACTAATGATAAATCGATGTTTTTCACTCGTTGTAAAATTAATTGAGCACTGGAAAATCGACAAACTGAGAAAGCACTTTTGGCTAAGTAAATCTTACCTAATGCTATTTAAAGAGGAACATCGACGAAGTAGAAGCTTTTCATTCTAATCAAAATTCAAATAAAGTCAAAAAGAGAGAAATGTTGTCTTTCATTCTACCCATGATGGCGTTGGAGTTAACAGACATTTAATAGTGCGCTCCTGTTGTACTAATTGAGCGACATGATTCGCAAAGTCGTCGAGACTACCGAACGATTTGATCTAATGTGTTCAGATCAAAGTTTTCAGTGGAATCGTGTCAAATTCAATTACTTGAATATCAATATTTGATTCGTTCTCTTGAATTTGTTTCGCTAATTGTGTTATTGGTGTGATATATGTTGAAAGAATAAAATCAGGTATTGATCTTGCAATAAATCTGTCAAATGGAAAGATTTACTACGAAAAAACCAGCCTACCCACTAGTCAAGATAGCTATGTGAATATGACAGGAATGATGAGTCATCGATTGAATCTAATTTGAGAATATATTCATTAAAAGTTAGTTTTGTATGAATGTCATACTTTTTGTCGTACGTGATCAATATCAAGTTTGGTATTCAGATCAAAAATTAACATGGAAGTACTCCAATCTATGAGAATATCAGGCTGTTGATCGATTGGAATGTTTAATAAATGATAATCTCGTGTTATGATTGAAATATCATGTCTAAAATGGTTTAGAGTAGAAGAGAATGTTTCATAAACAATGTGTAAAAGGAATCAGATCTGTCTTACCGACACTCGAGTGTGCGTAATAATTTGAAATTATCAACTAATGGTCGAGCTAAGACAATGGTAGGTAATGTTAAAGGATCTTCTTTTGTAGTTGGGGAAAAGATTTTGTCTTTTACTTCAATGATTTCTTCCTTTTCTAAATATAATTCTTTGAAATGAATATTGTCTTTCTTTCGAAAATACCCACCAGAAGGAATAAATGTTGGTAAAATCGTCTTGTAAGCTATGTAGGGAATGTTTTGTTGTTGACAGAGTCGACACCACTGTAAGATTTGTTCACCATATTCGTACTCGATTACTAATGTTAATCGCTTTGGTCGAAGTATCACTTCGGGTGAGATTTGCCGTGTGCGAATAATCAGCATATTATGATACATAAATCTTTTTTTTTAAAATCACAATTAAAAACAATTGAGAGCATAGAAAAGCTTACAAATCGTTCAGCTCATCTCGATTGATACTATTTCGTTTGTCGTAAACGTACGGATGAAGTTCAATAATCGATGATAGACCATATTCGATATCGTGTAGAAGGTCAACAGATTCATATTGAACAAGAAGAAGAAACTAAAGACGAATCGATTGAAACTCAATAGAAATATAGAATTACTTTTGGTTCAAATATTTGCCGGGTCATGATATTCAATTGTCGTCTTTTATTGAAAAAGTCCATGAACATATTTTTAATATGTAATATCTTTGGATGAAGAATATTTTCGAATTTTTCATGAGTTTTTGTTAACAAATCAAACAGAGGTTTTCCACGTTCTTGATCTAAATTTTCGTTTAAATGAAAACTAAAAAAGACAAATTTTAATCAACCGATGCAAACGTTCTTCATGTTTTGCACAATGACATTTTCCACATGGCGGATGGCTGTTTGTAATGAACAATAAGCGAATACATAGAGAAATGAAGTGACAGTGTAAATAAACATTAAATGCTTGAGAATATCACTTCGACTGGAATGAAAATGGTATGAATTGACATTTTCGGAAATGTTTTTGATTAACTGAAGAGATATATGAGGTGAAGTCAAACTGTACTCTTGTGGCCAAAGTTTTTCTTGACAAAGAATTTTGTGATATGGAAGTAGAAAAAGAAGAAGTTCTTCGTGAGTTTGATTGAATTCATCTAAATCGATAGAGCAATATTAGAAGAGAAGATAACGAACGTAATGACTACCGTATTCAAGTCGAATTTCAACCAACGATAGATTCAATGGTTCAGGTTGTTGTTTTAATGAATATTCAGGTAGTGGCACGGATTTCGATGCTATCACAGTTACAATTTATTCCACGATACTCTGCGTCAATGGACACGGATGATTTCTATGAAGAACTAACCAGTTATTCTCTTTATTTTATATTAGATGAACGTGTGAAGTGATCAACTGTCTTTGGAATACCTTGTTCATTGTCTGGTTCAGGCAATGTTTTGACAATTTTTGCAGTTGTATTATTCATTGATGTCGGTTGTTGAGTTGCAAATCGATCGAGACGATTTTGTTTGTCGTTATTGGTGCGTTCCAATTTTTCCAGTAATTCCGGATTGGATTCTTTCATAAAATCCCACAATGTGTCTTCCGTTGTTTTACTTTCGACTTGTGCAATGGATGGTGATGATAAAATGGTTGGTTTACTTTTTTTGGCGATGTGTAAATCGCTAAGAAATGCATTTTTCCAATTGTCTGAATCGTTTGATTTAGCCGGCATTTGAGAAATACCGTTTGTACGTTCAATAGATGGAGATTCGAGCGAGTCAAAATCGAATTCAATGTCAAATGTTGGTCGGATGGATGGTGGACGGGGTAATGTTGGTGTTGGAGTATCTTCTCCCGCCATTGGAGCAAAACGAACTCGTTTCTTTGTTTTCACAGTGGCTTCCGATTTTGGCTTTTCAAATATGACTTCGGGATTATCGAATAATTGTTCGTAGTCAATATCATCATCTTCGATTTGTGTAATAGCAAGAGATTCTGTATTCTTCGAATTTTTCTCTCGGGCCGCCGCCTAAAATCGGATGTATAAATTTGAAGGCGGTGATCTTTTCCATCTTACTCGCTTTGCATAATCAATGTTCAAAAACATGTAATCTGAAACACAAACAAAAAAAGTCGAAGAGATGCGTTTTCATTGATTTATTTCATAATTATCTTTCATAATAAAACAAAAGAAAAACATGTTCATTTCCTCTGGAAGAAATTCAAGATAACACTGTTGGAATTATCAATAATATGTTTACAAGCAATGGCTTTCATTTTCGGATTGATTGGAGAAAATATGTGCACCTAAATGGAATCAAAGGTGAGTTCATAGACGAATTCATCAATAGGATATTTACAATTTCAGCTGATGTGAAATATTCGAATATCAGTCGAACGATTTCAATCGGTAGATCGTTAAAATTCGTCATAATAACTTTGGTCGAAGAATAGATAGGAATGAATGAAATTTTTTTCAAAAACCGCAAGTTCATCGAGCGACATCTATGCGATGTGTGACCTGGAAGTCATCGCGTTGCGCTGATACTGACTGAAAAAAGAATATTTTAATGGTCGACTACGAAGTTGGTATATATTCTTTCTCTAGTGAGATTGATTTGTGTTTTCGGATGAATGGATCAGTTAAAAGCACTTTATAATGACTATTGTAAAAGTTATTTTGTTGAACCGAACGAAGCAATCTTAGGCGAAATTGAAAAGTAAGAACGACAGGATGATTTCTTAGGTATAATCGCGTGTTATCTCTAGAGTTTGTAATGGAAATAGCACAACAAAAACGTTTAATCTGTCGTCATTAAGTATTCCTGAAGCACAATTCACTGTCTTAGGAAAATTTTTCTCACAAGATTATTTATGTACAAGTATACATCTCAATGATTGTAATTTATCCAGTGAAGGTAAGGCACGCGGTCCTGTTAGAATATCTTACTGTCAATGCAATCTCTCTTTCAGCTTTACGTGCATTTCTTCATGGATTAGTGAAAAATACGACCTGTCGAACATTGGAATTGAAGGTACATCGTGTTAGTCAATAGCATACGTTTGTTTCACGACCATTGCAGGGCAACAGTATTCATGGCGCTGGCACAGAAGCATTAGCACAAGTCTTAAGGAAAAATCAAACACTGCAAAAGTGCGTGTATAATTGACGATATATTTTTGGATTAAACAAATCTCTATTGGATTTTTTTGTTGATATTTAGTTTACGACTTGAATGGAATCAACTTGGTTCAATGGATACTCCAGCATTTGCTAGCTTCTGTGATGCACTAGCAAACAATAAAGCGCTAATTGAACTGGATCTACGAAATAACGATATTAGTCATGTGGGTGCAACGGAATTAGCAACAGCGTTAAAACGAAATGTCACACTGCGTGTGTTAGGTAATAAGCGCTTGAAAAATTCGATCAACTCTATAACTGACTTTACTTTCCTAGATCTTCGTTGGAATAATATTGGACCCGTTGGTAGTCGTGCTCTTTTGGCGTGCTGTCAAACCAATTCAACTCTCAATGAACTACAGTTAGCCGGAAATAACGTCCCGGATGATATTATGCAAAATATCAGTAGCTAAAGATCATCGAAAATCAAGCACTAATCAGGAAATTCTTTTCTTCAACAATTTAGATGATGCTTTGGGAAAAAATACAGAAAAACGTCAAGTACATTTTGGACATTCACAAAATATGGCCGTTCTCGCTCGACAATTGCAAAATGTACACACAGAAAAAGATCGTCAAGTTTCCAGTGTTTTAAATCGTGCGTCTATACAAGAACAAGCAATGCTTAAAGCCAACAAGTAAAACATCGAATACTTTTTCCCTGTTGAAATACTTCGTTTATTCCCCATAGATCTCTATCAATGAAAATCAAGAAGTTAGAAGAAGCATTGGATGATCGAAAACTAGCATTCAATGCTATATCTGCAAAGAATGCTCTATTAGAAACAGATTTAACTGTCGCGACACAACAGTTCAATGATGCGAAGAATGAAATTAAAAAACTGCAAATTGAGAAAGATCATTTAAAACAACAACTCTTGAAAGAACATCAAAAAGAAAAAGATGTAAGTCAAACACGTTTGTCCATAGAGCAATATTCATTCATCTTTCGATTAGGAATTGTTCAATCATCAAACAAAATTGCAACGCGAATTACATGATAGTTTGGAAGCTCAACGACGTTTAAGCGAGAAAGTTCATGATTTGGAAAGAAAGAACGAAAATCTCCAAACGATTATTTATGAACTTCGAGAAACTGTATGTGTTTATTCCACACAAAATCTCTTCTGAATTCGATTCGCTTCAGATAACAACTACTGATCGTGATCATCATTTGAAACTGTCTGCATTGGATAATGAAACTCAGCGTTTGAAGTTAAAACATAAAGAAGATCTAAAAGATCAGGAGTCAACGAGTTTGCGAGAAATCCAACGTCTAAAAGAGTCTTTTACCGCTACGGAACAAAATCTCAAAGAACAAATCACTAAATTGGAAAATATTCGGACAACGCTCGAACGAGTACGACACTCTTGATATTTCCTATCGTATATTTCATCTGAAACTAGGAAGTCAATTCGTTGAAATCAACGATTACAACTCAGAAACTAAACCATGACGAAAGTCTTCAACAAGAAAAACTTCGAATGAAGAACGAAGAAGAGAAAAAGCAGCATGAATTGGAAGATCGTTTACGATCATTAACGATAGCAAAAGAAGATCTCGAAGTAATGAATAATTTGAAAAATTCCGATTTCATTCTGTTTATTTTGATTTTCTCAAGTCGCGTTACAATCAACAACTGATAGCTAATCGAGAATTTCAACAAAAAATCAACTATCAATCGGTCGAAATCGAAACATTCAAACGACAAATAGAAGCCGTACAAACAGTAAATAATCTTCGATAGAGTTTAATCTCTCTTTACGCGTTCAGCTTTTTAGTCGAACCTGAGTAAAGACACAGAAATTTTGGAGAATCGAGAAAAGGCAAGGACAGAATATGAGAAAAGATTACGTGTGATTCAAAAAGATATCGAACGAAACGAAGAATTGAAAGATCAAGTAAAACAACTCGAAAATGATTTAAAAGGTAACTAAAATGAGAATTCATCTTTCCCAAAACTCGACTTGTCTCCTTTACAGATCAACGTTATAACGACCGAAATACAATTCGTGATTTAGAAACACGTTTAGCTGATTTACAAACAAAACTGAACCAACGCGAACAAGAAATTAGTCAATTGAAACATCACGAAGAAAAACGTTTGCATTTTCTCCGTACAGCCATGCTAGACTACATCGGTCGAGAAACAAAAACCAACTAGACTGTTTCTGTTTTTTTTTTATTTTCTACTAATTAGATGTTGTTTTTATGTACAGTTAGTTCATGCTTTTGAATTAGAATAAATTTGCATACTTTTTTCACTCGAGTGGTATGTACTCAGAAAGATAAAGACAGGAATGTTTTTCCTTAACTGACACTCTCAAGATAATTTCATCTTACTGAAAGAATATTTCCGTTGAAGAGGTTAAATTGATCAATAATAAGTACTGATTAGGTTTTCTCATTCGTGTAAGATAGACATGTACAGTTCAGTAACTCAGTGATTACAGAATTCCTATTTATTATATCAAAATAACTTCCTTCCTACCAAAAGTAATGTTTGTCCGTAGTGTCATACAATCTGGTACAGTTGCTTAAAAGCGTTCTTTCGGATCTTCAGATACTGTTATCACAGCTGGTTGTGGTGTTGAGGGTGTTGTAGGCGTTGACACGTTGTTCGCAACTTGTACATTATCCTCTTCGCCATCATTACGATCAAATGCCTGATTCGTCACGATATTTTCCATCGGAATCAATGGCGCTTTTTCAGGAATATAACGTGTTCGTATCGTGAACCAAATCACACCTACGTAACACGAGACTAATGCAACTGCAGCGAGAACAATTAAAACAATCATCGCTCGTCGATCAGCTGAGTTAAATCCATAACTTATCTGGCAACTAGTACATACACCATATATAATCGAAATATCATCTGTAGCATTCATCGTTCGTTCTGCAACTGACTCGAAAACTTTTTCTTATTCAGTACTATAGAGAACCCTAGAGCGACAAATTGCAGGCGTCAAAGCGAAGCCTTCGATTTTCTACCTGTAAATATATGAGTGCACATAATAATCAGTATAATGTGACTATAGAAAATTTGTTGAAATTAGGAGACAGCTGTGATATTTTTTTTCGATAAGAAAAAAAGAAAACTCCTGTTAGGTATGTTCTATCATCAAAACGTTGATCGAAGAAATCAGTTAGATATCATTCACTTTTCTCCTCCTCTCCTTTTCATATCGTTTTTTATTTTTGTGATGTTATAACCGTTGATCAATCTAGAATGAAGAGAAAAGAACGCGAATGTTGTGATCGAAAGTAACAAAATACAGTCACTTACACTTTTTATTCAAAGTATGTGTCCAAAGATCCGAAACGTGTCTAGACGAGAATAAAATCAATCTATAGTTAAGTGAACATCTCTTCATTCTTACATAATACGGATATTGATTTTCATAGAATGAACGGTATTGTGCTTCATCACTGTCTCCATCATCGTTTAAACTTTCTTCAATATCATCATCCAGTGGTAAATCATCTGTATTGTATCTTTGTTGTAATTGTAAATTATCAAAAGGGTTATTAACTGATTCTGATAAAATAGGATAACGATTTAATTCATAATCAATTATTTCACCATCATCATCGCCGTCATTATTTTCACCATACAAAGAAACTAAATGAATGAAATAGTTCAGGGTATTCGCGAAATATAATTACTGTTTTCTTACCTAGATTGTCGTCGTCGTCGTCGTCGTCGTTATTAATATTAGCTGAAAATAATCGCGTCCATTCGGGTGTTTCATACAAAGATGGTATAAAGGCAGAGCGAACGTTTCGTTCGTAAACATTTGGATACCAATAGAGTGGCCTAATAAACATTCAAGTGTTGATGAGAGATTGATAGAATATGAAAACATTCTTACGCAAAAGAACGAGCAGAACGAAGATATTGACGTGCTTCTAGTAGATCATCATATGGATGGGAAAGCTAAAGTAGAATGTGAGACAATAAAAGCGTCAGTTCGACGCCATTTGATTATATATAATATTTATGGGATAGGTTAAACAGGAAGGATATATATATATAACATTTTTCTAGACGAATGAAAAGAAACACCTATCTATCCATGCGTTGATTGTGAGGAAGTCTGTAATTTGAAAATCATATAAACTCTTTCATCTATTTCTTTCGAAAAGTAGACCCTAGAGAGAGAAAAAAGTGAAACAACATTTGCATACCGGATCAGTGTCATAAAGATCGAATGCTGATAGAGCCCGTTTACGTCTTCGGTTTGATTCCATACTTAATTTCACATCACGACGTTGTCGTACAATATCGGTTAGCTCATTCGGAGTCATTTTGATATCAGAAAAAACATTTGAATCATCGATGTTGGCTGGTTCTAAAAAAAATGAACATAGGTCAAAGGAAATTGCTTTGAAAATCAACTACTATCTGCATTGTCATGAATTTGTGCTGATGTTTCGTCAACGTTTGTATATAAAACATGTCCATTTTGGTTCTTTCGAATGTTCGATTTAATCTTCAATGGTTGTTCAGAATCTTCTTCACTGTCTCCGTTAACTGAAATATCATCGAATGGATCGTTGTCGAAGATATTTCGTTTGCTTTTGTGTTCATTTTTGCTTTGTTTTAACGTCGATTCTGTTGATGAAGTTTGTGAACTAATCGTTGTTGTACTAGTTGTAGAATCCGATGAAGATCCTACAGAATCAACAGACTTTTGAAGTTCCTGTTTCCGGTCAATCGAAGGTATTGGAATGGCTACAAAAATGGGATGAACAAACAGTCAACAAATGGATAACACTCATACTTTCTTTAGCTTTCTCTATTGGAATTGACTGAACATGAATTGTAATACATACAAATAACAATGCCGAAATAACTAAAGGTGTGTTGGCTGTCATTGGAATAAGCTTTTAGTTACTGTTGATTGTAATTATTCTAAATCGTTCAAAGTTCTTTTTTTTAAATTCAGATGGGAAACAAATTCTAACTATCAGAATAGACGGATATATATCTATCTATCTACGATAAGTTAAAAAAAAACGACAGAGAGAGTGAATAAGAGAAATGAGAAAGAAGAGAAAAAAAGAGTTTTAAGTGCTTATTACTGTCATCAACAAAAAAAAGGACTAGAGTCAACCGTGCATCACTATTGTTGCTTCATATTATGTTGAACATAGTCGTCGCTGTTGTCATTTCTTTTCTTGACGTAGGAAGAAAAGCGCAGAATATTTCCTTTTCGTTTTTTTTCTTCTCTTCTCCTCGTCATTCTTCTTTTTATTACAGAAAAGAGGACTCTTTTTCTATCAGCTGAAAGACGCGATCTACACGTAGAATGTAATCAGACTCCGAATAAATGACGAGTTATGTGGGCGGTCCCTTACACTCTCTCATCGTTCCTCTTTCTTTTCTTTTGTATTTAGGAGAAAAAGAAGAGAAATGTTCATGCTCATTTTTTTAGATCCTCACCCACCCTCAATCAATACTTTTCTTTTCTCATACAAAACACTACGGACTTTATCTGTTTCAGGATAAAGAAGACAGTTCTGTCGTGTAACCTCGATTTTCCTCATTAAATTCGTAAAAACGGACCTTACAAAAACCTTTCACGGAACGACGTAAACATTGATAAATAATTCATGCAAAGAATGATCATACTCGCTTGTTTTCAATCCCGAGTCTTCAAAGAATAAGAAAATTGAATTCATGCAAGACAAACATTTTAACGTACTTTGTCTGATTACATCGTGCAAATGCTGTCAGCCGATGCAACTTGGCGTTTGATCAGACGGGAACAGCGGGCAGGCATCGTTCATGACTAGCGAAAATCACGAAGTAAAACTTGAACTTTTCCCATAGAGTAATCTATTATTAAAATTTCTATTTATTTAATGGGATAGAATATTGCTGGTCAGAGTAGAACGAAACAATCGTTGTAAATTTGCTTATATCTTGCAAAGCATGTCATCAGAATAAATCTATTCAATAAGCTTTACATTCAAGACTATGAGTACTGCAATTATGTGGAGATTTCTTATTAGATTAAGTACGTTGGAGAACAATAGATACGTTTCTAGGCTATTGCAAATGAACATTCAAATATATAACCTTGTCATTCATTTAAATTAATGAGAAGACGATCGCATGGTAGCACGGAGTAGAGATAATTTATTATATATCGCCGTGCTCTCGTAAGTGTGTCATAGCATGATCTAATAAGTTCAAAATCAATATTTATAAGAAAAAATTCAATCAAAAACTTAAAAACATCAAGCGCGTACAGATGGTTATCATTTCTTGATATAACGTTTATGATTCACAAGTAGAGGTTATGTGCAAATAAATAGTAATCACTATGAAATCTAATATCAATATTATTCCTCCACACACTATGTCGTTTTCTATGTCATATATTCTTTTAAAAATATCAAACATATGACTTTGAAATTCACATACACGGAAAAATTTCAGATCATAGAAGAAAATCAATCATCAAGTATTAGACTTGACGCAGTCAATTCTTGTTTGTTGTATGTCCGCCCTGGTGTTCTATATTGTTTTCCACATGCTATTCTCAAATGAATAAACTAAAAGCAAAATCGTGATAATTCTTTGCATCTGGTTCCTGTTATTTCATGCTAATAATTTAGCACATTCAGTGGAAAATCCTAGTCTATTGACAAGCCCAACTGTCACCTAGAAATATGTTCCTATGTCTTTTATTTTATAGTCGATTTAGTTTGCTATTCGAGGAAGTATGTCATCCGTAAATCTAAATGGATAATTTTTCTTTATTCGTTCGTCTATTTCTATAATATATAGATATATATATATATACCAAAAAAATACACTCTTACATGATGTAAATCAAAGGACAAGAAAGCAAATCTGAGAGAAGATGAAGAAGAACAAGAGTGAAAGAGAAAAGAAATATATGTTGACTAGGAACATAAACGTACATATATACAAGTAGATCGTATTAGTTTAAATAAATTCGACATTTACTTGATCCGCAATGGCAAGCTATTTTCACATCTTCTTCAGGAAATGAATAATCATAGGTTAATTCTGATCCGCGTGAAATGTCTTTTAACGCATAGATGACAATGTGTTTAACACCACCGGATAAAACAGTTTTTGCGAAACAATTGGGCTGTAAAATACAATAAATATAGACTTGTGCGTTGTTTTATCAGGGAATACTTACTTCACAGTTATGATTAATAAATCGCGCTTTGTTACCTCGATGTGTAGCATCGATAACGTTCATTGAATCGACTGTAAACATATAACAACCGAAACCCTGAAAGAAAGATTGTCTTTTCCATTTTCTATCCTATGCAATTTCCTTACTTTTCCTTCGTTCTCACGTTCACGCTTATCTGTTAAACACGGTCGAACGACTTCACCCGAATATTCAATAATCATTTGTCCTTCAACTAAATCAACCAATGTAAATAAACCACAACCATGAATTGGAGATGAACCAACAAGCAATGCACGTTCCGAAAAATAATGTAAATGGTACAGACGTAAACTAACTGAAGCTTCAGCAAGGAGAATTCGTCTGTAAAAAGAAAACAAAAAGAAGAGTTTCGAATTGTATTTTTGCAAAGGAAAACACAGTAGAATTTTACCGTGCATGAGCAAGTGCCTCATCAATTTCAAATGATTTCAGTGCATAGTCAATCTTTCGACTTTGATTTAACAGCCAACCAAATCGTTGTCGTTCGCGAGTTTTTCGCTCATAAGTATTCGTTCGTGAACACGATGATAAGAGGTTCTTTTTGGGAAGAGTATCATTTGATGTTGGATTCGTCAAGGGTGTTGTTGATGAGGATGATAATGGTAAAACTGTTGAGCCAATTTGTTGCTGATTCGTGTACATTTGATTGAGTAAGATTTTAATGATCGGTTTAGTTAGACCAAAGATCTTATGTCCGTTTAATTCGTCATTTGTCATGGGTAAATGTGATAAGTTCATATCATCACGACAAGTACGTATAGAATCAATTATAGTTGACCAGGCATTGTCTAAATCGTCAGAGATGATTTCATAGCCTTCGTCATTAGTGATAGTGAATTTCGCTCGAGAAAATTTTGATCTCGACCATTTTTTATAGAATTGAATAAGATCCAATGATGAAATCGATGCTTTTTCGTCGTCGTCCAGTGTTTGTTCAGCGCGACAATGAGGAGAAATAGGTGCAACATGAATTAATGATGGTGAATGAACATAATCAGATAAATCCATGCAATATTCACTGTCTACACGAATACGATCTGTATTATTTTGATTAGCGATCTGTTCGATTAGAGAGTTTATCACAAGACGAGCTATAGAATATTCATCGTCGGTGTCCATATCGATGGATCCATCGACTTGTGGAATACAAGGTGGTTTTGGAATTAAATTGAAGGTATTATTATCGGTTGTGTGTGATAAAGGCCTGTTACCAGTAAAGGAAGAACAAGATTCTACAAATGATGGAAAACGAAGAAATGTAAGAACATTCGAAGTCATATAAAACGTGACATTTACGTGAAAGATGGTTGGTCGGCTTGATGTCGTCGTAGGCCTTAGAAATAGATGCAGTTTCGATTTGAGTTGACATTGTTGAACGCCAATGTACTGGGTATGCCGGTAATTGAGAAGAGTTGACAGTTGTCAGTTGAGAATCTAAGAGGAAGAGGTTGTGTTTCAAATAAATGATGATTTATGGATCAACGAGTGAGTAATATGACGTTCTCAACATTATATCCAGCCATTTAGAAGATGTCAGAGCTAATTACAATCTCGTGGGTGGCATATTTTACGAGAACGGATATACTTGAAATACGATTGCAGATCTCGTGATGTTAACGCTTTGAATTCTGTCTGATCATATTATGGGACTTACTGATATTTTGATAGAGAACAATATCATTACCATTCACTTGCTGTGGTACAGTGATCGTCTTCAATAACTGTTTTAGAAGATGATCGTGACTTTTGTCCGTCGTTGCTCCATTGGATGAATTGGGACTTTGCTCTGGTGCACGATGATTGGAATGTGATTCTTGTTGTCTGTGAAAAACGGCGAAGAAGCTCATTCGAAACAAAGAAATTTGCTGATAAAACATACAATTTGGTCGATTGTCCAACTTGTCGAAGAGCTTGTACGAGTGCTAGAGCGAATTGCGAAACATCCGCTGTTTTGAAACGTTCATCATTGAACAAATTTTGAATGTCATTGATTTTGAAGTCTCTATTGTCTTTTGGTGGAGGATTCTGTTTGATTTGTGGGTTAGGCTCATTAGCGAAGCGATTTCGCGGTCGCGAAACATTCTTCAACGCAGCTTTGGGAGTTTGCCGTTTCACACAGGATGGTGTAGCTTTGGGTAATCTCTTTGTGGTTCCGACTCCAGCTAAAAGAAAAGATGACGCACGGAGAATCAAATGGCATTTGTTGTTTACCACTAGCGTTTTTCTTCTTGTAATTCGATTGGCTCGTGCTTCCTTTTCTATTAACTGATGTTCTCTGGCAAAATTCTTCAACAGAAGTGTAATGATCGTCGATTTTCTTCTGAAATTCAGTAAACGATTCTCGACATGTATCGTATAATCGTTGAAGATGTATTTCTTCTTCAGTCATTGGATGTTGAATCACTCGATGATTTGATTCATCGATATGATAGGTTTGATCGACTTGTATATGAAGATGATAGACGGTTTTCTTTCGAGGATTTTTCAAACTCCAGAATAGACGTGAAGCACGATAATCATTCGAATAATTTTTACACGAGAACATTTGATCATCACGTTTATCAATTTGATAATCGTAGTTTCCCAATGAATGAATTTGAAGCGAGCCGATGCACAACCGAGTGTTTATCAAAGCAAACTCAACGGAATTATTCGAAAGATCGCCATAAACAGCCGATGCAACATTGACAGATTTGTATTTCGGAGAAGGTGGAACATCTAAAGCAACAGTTACATACGAATGAAAACAATCCTCCGATCACTTACTGTTAGATGTTGAAGAATCTTTTGTATCATTTTCAGTGTTACCATCGACACTTTCTCGATGAATATGATTCATAGTTCTCAATCCATTATGTTTCAAACATACAGTGGTCAAATTCGGTAAAAAGCCATTTTTCAAGTTCAATTGCTGTTGAAGACTCTTATCAACCGTTGAATAATATTTTTGTATACAATCACAATGAAATCGTTGGTAACATTCATTTTCACAACAATGTACACTAGCACCTAATTTCGAACATATAGCACAGATATATTTGGTCGAACAGCGAAGAACTGTTTCACGTATATTACGTAGAATATACGGTGGTTGATCGAGATTTTTGGCATAGGCTGGAAGTATACAACCGGCATGTACCCATTGATTGACACCGAATGAAATCAGACGACCGACATTGCTTGATGTGTGATCAGATAATGTTTCACATATGTGACATTTTCTCGTATCAGTTTCATGAAGATTCTTGAATTGACCGTCTTTATTCATTGCATCAATATCCAGATTGTTCAACAGCGAATTGGTCGTTGTTTCATTGAGAGTATGTTCGTTATTGAAAGCATAGGTATGATCAGTGGATGGTGCCGGTTGAAGAGATCGATTGGTTGTCGAAGATGAATGATGAGTGAGATATACAGACGATTTAAACCATGGACATTGCCGAATAATGCATCCGTCGATCACTGCTTGCCAACGTTGGATTTCGTTATGTGTAGAAAGACGTCGAATGATTGCTAGTAGGTCGCTGAGAAATGATTGCAAGTTTAACGATTGCTGTCGAGATTCATATAGCTGTTGAAGATTTTGTATCGAACTTTGCAATTTACTGAAATCTTCTGGATTTGCTACGACTAATTCTAATATTGATGAAAGTGCCGTCAGAATGCTTCTAATCGCTACAATAGAACAAATCAATTTGCTCCAATTCGAAAGTTCATTTCTTCAGTCGACTTTACTTTGTAATTTGTATTCTAATAAAGCTTTTCGAATCTTGCCTTTTTCTTCGAGATCACATTTGGAGCAAATCACATTTAAACATAGATTAGTTTTCATCTGTGGAATAATCATTGCATCTTCATTCAAATATTCATCACATTTCGGATGAAACCGATGTTTGCATTTGATACACTGTAAAAATGTATTGATCTGCTGTCGTTCTTTCGAATAAATCTGTTCGATGTACTTTTCACATAAATGACATCTTTCAATATTATCATTCTTCTCCAAACGAATCTTTTTGAGGTTATTCAAACATTCCACACACATCAGTGACTGTTGGGATAAATAAGTTTTCGTTAAAGGAAGAACATTGCGTTCAGTTGATATCAATGGTTGTCCGCAATCGCATTTGATACATGATGGACAAAGCCAGGTTTGATTTAGTAAATAACTATTGGATAAACGTGATAGAGATACAATGGAATTGGCGCTGTTCGAATTAACAGGATTATTCACATTATTGAATTCAGTGAGTTGATCGTCTTTAAACCGTTTAATACATTTCAGATGAAAATTTCGTTTGCAATCAGAACAAGAAATTAATTGTGGAGATACATTTTGTTCATGGGCCATTAGCGATAAAAAATTCGGATGAGTTAATAAACCACATATAGTACATACATTACAATTCGGACATAGCCAACAATCTGATGTCGAGTCTGGTCGTGGACGTTCGTATTCGTTTAAGCAAGTTGAATGATATGCTTCACAACAACTTGTACAATAAATCAACTCCGAACCCATTGAACCACACTAAACAAAGACAGAATAAGAACTCCAATTGATACACTCACAATCATTTCAGACGAACTACATGATAATGTTGTTTCAAAGGATATTGAACAACTTACCATGTAACAAAGCGAATAGAATGGAAATGATTCATTTGATAAAACGCAATAACCTTCTTTAAATAGATCAAGTCGATTGAATGTATTCTTCAGTTCCCAACGTAGTTTTTCCAAATAAATTTCATTATTTTGAAAGAGAGTATCTGGAACATTCGTCGGTTGAACTGATTTCCTCAATCCATGATCGTACAAGTATTTAAACTGAGATATTAATCTTTTCGAATGTCGAGTTAACGTTTGTTGTCGCTGTATGACCGTTTCATTAAGAACAACTGGAAAATGCCGATGTTGATCTGATGACAATTTCGAAAAATAGACGTTTGCCGCTTCTTCTTCCACATCTTCGATGTCACTATTATCATCAAATTGTTTGGCAGACGACTGTTCGGTATCATCGCTAGTCGAACATTTCGATTCAGTATCATTGTCTTCGTCTGTGTCAGATGTTGTCAATGCAAATGCACATGAATTATCAATCGATTCGTCAGGATCATTTTGATCGTGTTTGAGACGTTTTGTCGCATAGAATTCAGTACCATAAGACCGTTTAGGTGCCCGACATTCGCGTTTCGGACGTTCTTGTTTAGTTAACGATGGTAAATTCTTCGTTTTAGCTGTTACACCCGCGAACATACTTGTTTCAATCTGTGCCATATTTGTCATTCATTCATTTGGCAGCCACCGAAAGAAAAAAAAACATTTTGATTGGTTTATCCACCATGATCATACTCATTTGTCCTCCATTCTTTTTCCGCGTTGGAATGAAGAAAAATAATCAGTTAGTAAAGAATTATTGAAAAAAAAGAAATTAATTACTTTTTTCAAGAGAAAATTCAAAAATTATTGTTATTCTTTAATTTCACATTCGAAATTCATAGTCAACCATCGTTGTTTATTTGTTTATTTTCAAGGAGGACGATACATCGATGGTGTTCGTCATTTTCATTTTCATTCTATATAAGTTACTTAATAACACTGCTGCTTCTACTTTTGATTTCAGATTGAAAAATGGTGAAAGAAGATCGTGCAACCTGGAAGGCGAAATACACAATGCGTTTAACGGTATGCTCAATGATGATGCTTTCTTTTTCATAATGTGTTCTGCAATTCTGAGTTTCTTCGGAAACGTTGAGAATAATCCTTATCTGAGAGCTACAAAACTGTGTTTTCTTTTCTTTTTAGCAATACTTGGACGAATACCCGAAGATCTTTGTCGTCGGTGCTGATAACGTTGGTTCACGTCAAATGCAAAAGATCCGTGTTTCGCTTCGTGGACATGCTGGTAAAGAAGTTGGCTTTGAGAAATCGGCAGATCACAACTGTACTTTTTCATTTAGTTATCATGATGGGCAAAAATACCATGATGCGAAAAACAATCCGTGGTCAAGTAGCTAAGAACAGCAATTTGGAAAAACTTTTGCCGCATGTCTATGAAAATGTCGGTTTCGTTTTCACAAAAGAAAATCTATCATCGATTCGAGACAAACTTTTGGAAAACAAGGTATGCCGTTTATCATATGAAAAAACGTTTGCACAGGCGATGTCTCTTGTAGGTTGCTGCTCCAGCCCGTGCTGGTGCAATTGCACCCGTCGATGTTACTATTCCAGCTCAAGTAACAAACTTAGGTCCTGAAAAAACAAGCTTTTTTCAAGCTCTTCAAATTCCGACCAAAATTACACGTGGTACCATTGAAATCATTGTACGTATGCATTTTCTACCGAAGAAATACTCATGGTTCCCTCCCGTCCACATGAATTTGTTAACGAAAGCATTTCGACACAGAAGAGAATGATTATCTGTCCAGTACAATGACGAATCTTAGTATTATGTGTTGTTGACTTATATGATTTTGTGTAAAATAGTGGAAAAATATAAATTGCCGTTTTCTTTTTGTATTTAGAATGACGTGAGTTTAATTAAAGTCGGTGAAAAAGTCGGTCCAAGTGAAGCAACATTACTCAACATGTTGAACATTTCACCCTTTAGTTATGGTCTTATCATTCGTCAAGGTAAGCTACTCTTTTCCTTGTTTACATTTAATATTGAATTTTAATCTAATGAAATTTAGTTTACGATTCTGGTTCATGCTTCGAACCCAAGATTCTCGATATTAAACCAGAGGATTTACGTGCTAAATTTTCTCAAGGTGTTCAACGTTTAGCCGCATTTTCGCTTGGTATTAACTATCCCAATCAAGCATCAGCACCACATCTTGTTCTTGGTGGATTTAAACGTTTACTTGGATTGGCAGCTAATAGTGATGTTGAGTTTGAACAAGCTAAAACTGTAAGTTGAAATCTAGTCTAACCGTCTAAATTGATCGAAATCCTTGGTTCGAATCTACTTGTGAGAACACGGACAAATGATGAACATTTTATCCAGTTCTGCTTCTGACAGCAACTGATGAATACAACCATATCCAACAGCGTTCTGAAGTCCATCTCCTTTTATTCTCTTTTTCTTTTTGAGACACTTTTGTATTTACACACTTATCTCGTTCACTGTCGAAATGATATTTTTTCCTTTTAGCTCAAAGAATACTTGAAAGATCCATCGAAATTCGCCGCCGCAGCACCAGCCGCTAGCGCCCCAGCAGCAACTGGCGGTGCTAAAGCTCCAGCAGAAGAAAAACCGAAGAAAGCAGCCGAACCCGAGTCTGACGACGACGATATGGGCGGTCTCGACATTTTCGGTTAAATTAACGAAGAAAAAAATTGTTATCGTTTTTGAATATCCATCATCATTTTTATGTGTCAATTGTGTCATCAATTTCTTTTTTTGCACTGTTCAATCCGCATTTTCTATTTGACACAGACAGATGATATAACGAGCGAGATAATAAAATACATAAAGAAGAACAATTCTCTCAAAAATCACCTTGTTTACTTTAAGCAGACAAAAGTTGTGTAACGAGTTTATGAAACTGATAAATCATATGTTGGCAAAAGCAAAGTTATTACTCAATGACGAGCGAAATTTCATAAATCATAAAATACGAATCTCCAGAAAAATTGCGAAACTTTTTTGTCATGGTATTTAAACAATAATCATGTCTAAAAATCGACTGATGAAATTACAGAACACGATCTACAGCAGCGCAGACCGTGATTCAACCTCTCGAGTGTATGCAGCATAAATCGTGTTTTTCGTAATAGCAGCTCAACAACTCGGATCCATGACACATGCATGAACAGATATTCGATACAGTACGACATCATGATATTAGTACTAAGCAGGATTCGTAAAAGCGCGTAAGAATGAGCATTTCATTGAGTCTTTGTTTGTTTGTTTGTATGAAATTCGGACGTAGTGTTGAATTGTTATTGTATTCTTATTGCATATAGAAGTTTGACTGAAGTAGGCGGTGTACTGTTTTACTCAAAACTGTCCTTATACATATGGTTAATAATTAATAAAGATTTTGCTCGCGTATGGAGCAAATCTGTCGGCATATTTCCACTCAAAAAACTCTCTTTCATATTTGTAATATTAAAACAATCGTTCTCTACATACATTTGCCCCTACGGTTTCACTTTCTTATTATCTATGGGTAAATCAAACAGCAACTGTTTTATTGAATTGTAAAGCGACTCACCATTAAATTTATAATAAGACGATTCATTTCACTATTGCTTTTCACTTTTGAGAAACTCTGGCAGATGTGAAATAGCATTATGCAATCTTTTATCTTTGAAATATTCAGTTCATCGAATAAATCTCGATTATGTAAGTTAGCTCGGACTGATTTACGTGAAATATCGAGAAGACCTGAAGTAAAAATTCTGTTTTTTTTTCTATTTGATCAACATTTGATCGAGATAATTTCATCATCAAGTCGAGAAGCAAATGTAATCATCGTGTTTTATTACGCGTCTGATTAACCTAATCACTGATGGCTCATCTCGACATCAACTGTCGCAGTCTACACAATTCCATTTCTCTCTCTGACATATTCCATCGTCAAGATGATTTTCTCTAACATGCATTCGTAATAGTGATAAGTGGTAAGAAAACGTTTGCTGTTCGACATACACACAAGGGATTTAAATCGTTGATGATTGCTTTTTCTAACCGAACGACTGATGAAAGATGAGTTTACTGAATGTGTGGATTTTTTCATCGAACCTATTCGCTAGCAAGTTTGTCTCATGAGTGGGTGGATGTTATTACGTTATATGAAAGATCAAATATTGACCTATTGAACACTGTTATCATCGACACTTAGGAAGACTTATCAGAAAGAAAATACTTGATATACATAGATTATATTTAATTGTCATTTTGCTAATTCAATCGAGAAATTCACAAGCAAAGGTTTCTTCTTCTCTCCCGCAAGCCATCTTGACCAACTGGCATTTGGTTTCTTTTCTTCTTCATTTTATTTTCTGTAGCTTCTCGTTTACTTTTGTCTCTTCATTTTTTTTGCCTCGAGGCGAACAACAAGTTGTCATCGTTGACGATTCGATCAGCAACAATTCACCATATTGGAGGAACAGTGATGATCATTGCACACGCGCGTATGCCCGTGTTCAACACCTGCCGAGGAGAAAAGAAAAGCATGAGAGTGTAATCTTTTGATTTCAAGCGCCGATACGACTCAACTCAGTGATAGAACGCCGTAAGCGTTTATTTATTTTTCATTTGACATTAGAAATTATCATTCATAACGAAGAGAGAATATGATGATTAGAAACAAAATGAACAGCAAAGATTAAAACATAAAACAAAAAAAAACAGAATTGTCAAGAAAAAGCAGTTAGAGATCGTTCTGTGATTAATAGACCTGTTCTTGTTGTTGAGTGAAAAAATGAGTTCTAGTCACAAAATCGATGTGAAATTAATAATCTTCTCCTGCTAGATTTGTGATGCATAATATAGCAGTAGCTAACACACACACCTATTGTCTACAATTCTCAATCAAGATTTCTTCTTCTCTGCTGACACACGCAGACATACACACGTATACACATCATTGTATCCAGATGGTTGCTCACACTTTCTTTCGTCACCGCCTTTCGCTCTCTCAATTTGACACCTAAGCATATGGATCATCGTTTTATACAGAAAGAAGAAGACGACGAAGAGAAAAAAAAAAGAGAAGAAAAATAATTTCAATCATGCAAAGTTAGTTAGTTTATTTTATTGTTCAATGTCGTGCAGCCAATTCTTGAATTAACGATCCGATTGGTCCGAATTTGCCATGATTATTTTCATTAGCGATACTGTTTTGATGGAAATGTTGAGTTGCTGGTTTTAAAGCATGATTTCCATGAAGATGTTCGGCACCATGTTGCGTATCAATATGACGACGTAGATCAACTTTCCGTTGAAATGCCCGTAAACATTTATGACATTGAAATGGTTTAAAACCTGTATGTTTTCGGCTATGTGTAATCAAATTTGATGATTGAGAAAATGCTTTACCACAAACAATACATTTATGAGGTTTTTCTCCTAGAAAAGACAAAGACAAACGTTAGATATGAATTTCCCTGGTTATTTCAAAGTCTAATTGTTCACGGATGACTAACATAAGATAAAACAAAATAAAAGAAATGATTAGTCTTATCAGGATCCGCACTTCGGTCATCTCCGGAGAATATTGAACTAAACTAAATTGAATAAAAAGAAAGCAGCTCTGCGCAGTGACTCTGCTTTCGAAGCAAGAAACAAAATTAATGTGTGAAAATGACGCCTAAGACACAATTTCCTTCTATTCGTTTTTCATCTTCAAATATGCATATTTAACAAGACTTGCTTATCAATGTTTAAAATGGCTATCGTCATTGGTTCTCTAGAGAGATTCGTTGACATCTGGTTAATTGGGATGTTCAGTAAAAGCAAGACGGAAGAAAAGCAAAAAAATCCAGGATATTATTTACCCGTATGAATATATGTATGTTTTTTCATGTCAGATTTTTGATGAAAACGTTTGCCACAATGCATACATGAATACGGGCGAGTATCTGAGTGAATGAGTAAATGTGTTGATAGTGTTGATGAACGCTTAAAACATTTTCCGCATGTTTTACATTGAAAACATCGTTCTTGAGTATGAGTTGTTCGATGTTGAGCAAGGGAGAGTGAATGTCCGAACATCTTCGGACATAGATCACATGAATACGGTTTTAAATCAGATGAATGACTCCGTCGAACATGAACTTCCAAACCATGTGACGTTGAGAAACATTTGTCACAATCATTGCATTTGTAACTATTGACTTCGCTCTCATCGTCATCATCGTTTTCTTCTTCGTTCTTGTCCGATTTATCACTTGTGCCCGACGATGAAAGATTCAGAGCAGATGACGAGAATAAATTCGAATAATACTGAATACCAAGCAGATATTTCAATCGTTCAGCTAAAAAGCAAAATCTATCAGATCGACCGACGCGTATCACTCTTCTTACCTGTCATGTCACCATTGAATGGTTCAGTATTGTAACCTTTTCGATGGAGTAGCATTGCTTCATTGAACCAAGTTGGAAAGATTGAGGACATGATGAAAAGACAAGTAAATGTTCACGAATATTGCTTGACTTCAATGTTAATATACATTTACATTCCATTGGATGAGAACGAGAGGGCGAGAGAGAAAGAGAAGGAAGAGAAAAAAATCTCGCTCAAGGAAAAAGCAGAGGAGGCGAACAATTTGTATTGGCTCTTCGTATTTTCTCCCGTTCGATAATAGAAATAATATCACATCATTGGATGAATCGATCCTTTCTTTTTCTCTTTTCTCGGAAAAACACCTTCTGTACTTCTTTTAAGATCTACTATTTACGGTGATTGCTAAGTAATTATTCATTATATTTATATCTTCTAATAAATTTATTCAAAAGAACCTGTGTGGATTATTTGATTTATTTCCTATGAACTGAAATATTTTTTCGACATTTATCAATTGTGTACACAGACATCTTGTCGTTGACAAGTAGCGCAATGATAGAGATGAAAGTTGTTTGTTGTATATATGATTCCATGTTCGAATCAACGATATGTTCGAGTTCAGAACGATATACAAATAGAAACATGCAAATAAATTTTTCCTTTAATTTCTTTGCGTATAAATAAACATACAAACGCACTTAATGAGATGACGATACTCAACGTATTTTGTTTTAAATATATTTGAACATTTCATTTAGTATTAATATACACTGCATATGCACACTCCCTCTGTTGCTCGACCAGAAATGGATATAAATTATCGGAAAATGAACACTAGACGATTCAGTACAAGATTTGAACATAACAATGAATAATTAACTGATCAAACCGAAAGTTACAGATTAACAAGATTGTAATTTATCTAATTGACTGTTGGTCAGATCAATCATGTAAACATATCGAGTTCAAAAATAACCACGTCTGTTGCCAGATGGTGTATAAGTTTTATTATTCATATATATATATTTAGAAATGCAGTCCACAATGTTGCTCTTTAAAAGTTCAATCGACTGAGTTTTATATAGGATATAATGAAAAATACTATTCCGCTCAAAAGTCTATATTTGAAGAAATGAAGACATTCACCAGCTGCTATGAACATTTGGTGGGTAAACTTTCGACAAAACGTAAACTTGTTTATGTCTGTAGGCGAACCTACGCAAATAGGTACCGATGTGACGTGGTTCTAATGGGATTGTAAATCAGAGTCAATTGGACAAGTTATTGATTCGAAATTTGAGTTTTTATTAATTTGATATAATTGATGAGAATGACTAAAAAAATATTCTATAAAGAACATTGTAATGAGACATGCAAAGGTATCGAGATTCATACAACACAACACTGGTCTAGAGAATAGGTAATAAATAAAAGACACCTGATGTGTCTTTAAGAGAAGAAGTTTTGCGAAAAAGAAGATATAAGAGTACATTGAGAGAAATATTGACTTGCAGAAAAACTAGGAGACAAATGAAGAATAAATGTAGGGTTTTCAAATAAAGATTAAATTGTTCTTTGTTCTCGTACTGCTGACGTTTAATCAGCGTAGATAACGCGTAATGTGTTTGTTGTACCATAACCTGGGCGCTAGAAGATCAAAAAGACGAAGAGTTGCCAACAAAGTCATGAATAATTATCGATTATTTACCCATCCGGTTACAACGACAACAGCGTCACCAGTTGAAACAAAACCACGGCGTTTAGCAAGGGTAATTGCATCAATGACACGAGCATCGACATCAAGTAACCAATCACTCATAGCTAAAGCTTGAGTAGCTGAGATATGATGTTGTTTGAACAAAAGTTCATCATCTTGCTTAGAGTAGTCAGTAGCTAAAATAGACAAAGCGAAATGTTCGAAGCTAATACTAATGAAATGTTTTGATATTACTCTCTTGATTATTTCCAGCAACTAAAAGAGAAAAAGAAAACCATGTAGATGCTATGTAAAGCTGTAGTTTTAGAAGAAATGTCATGATTATATATACATATACACACACACATACACCATCTACTGCTTACTTTGAAGAAGATTCGCTTGTGAACTAGTTTCTATATGAATATTAGTGAAAGAAAAGGAAATGTAAGTATATTATCGAATCAATTCGAAAACGAAACAGTCTATTATCCTGTGAGAATAACTTACTTCGTTGCGCTAAAAAAGAAAATATCGAATCAATGACAAGGTATCTTCAAGTGTAGAAAGCTTACTGCAAACGAAAACTGGACAGCAACCACGATATAGATGTACTTGTCTTGCTGTTTTCAAAGATCGACTGACAGTCATGATGACAGCTCGAGGACGATATTGGGCAATAAGGTGAGCCGAACTATTGAAAAACATCCAAATAAAGTTACTGAACAATCATCGAAATACTGTTTATCTATTCTCCGTTCTCGGACCATCTACCACCAACTTATTTGTATAGTACACCTCGATACTTTTGAGTGGAAAAAACGTTCGGGTCATTTTAAGTGCGACCTTTCTTATGTATAACCTAACTGCAAGAATAGCATTGTGTAAATACTACCTATGAGCACTATGATGTACATGTTAAATGCGTGACACTCAGCAAGAGAATGTGAAGGAGAAAGGATTCGAAAAGGACAGATCGTTGTTTAATTGATTTTTCAATTTGTATAAACAATCGATGTTAAGAAATATTATTCAAATGTGTTTTTGTGTGTTCTTACCGTCCAGAATGAGTTAACACAACAATGAGTGAAGCATAACTTCGAAAGGCAGCTTCGACAGCAGCAATAGCAGTTGATTGCATTTGATCCTAAGATGAAAATAGAATTCCATTTAGTGTATACAAAAAGAAACAACATTGTAAGTTGTTTACCAATGGTGGTTTTGTAAAGTAACGAAGATTTTCAAACAATTCTCGGTGAAATAAGCAAGCTTCAGCTTCACGAGCAATCTAAACCGAACTGCTTGATAAAACTGTTTTTCTTCCTGGCAAAATCGAACCTCATGCATCAATTGAATGCATTGAATAGGATATTTGCCTTTTGCTGTTTCACCCGACAACATAATACAATCTGCATTATCCAAAACAGCATTCGCAACATCACTAACTTCAGCACGAGTTGGACGAGGGTTCTTTGTCATACTTTCTAACATCTAGAAACTCGCATCAATTAGAGACAATTTGATTTTTTACGAAAAAACTATTTACTTGCGTAGCGCAGATAACAGGTTTGCCAGCTTGATTGCATTTAGCAATCATCATCTTTTGTGCGACAAACACCTTTTGCGGTGGAATTTCAATACCCATATCACCCCGAGCGACCATAATGCCATCAGCTTCTTCCAAAATTGCATCGAAACTGAAGAGGAAGAGAATGTGTAGAGACAATTTCATGATGGAGTGCAATTATACTTTTGAATGCCTTGATGGTTTTCAATTTTAGCGATGATTTTGATGTTTTTTCCTGCTTCACCTAGAATTTTTCGAATGACGCGAATACCTTCAGCATCACGAATAAAACTGGCAAAAACCATGTCAAGCTACAACACAATCTTCGTATCGATTCATCATAGTCCAAGAACAAAACAATGGCTTACATCATTCTTCACTGCGAATTGTAGATCTTTTTCATCTTTGTCCGAAACAGCAGGTAAATCAATGGGTACACCTGGTAAATTAACACCCTTTCGACTACCCAATAAACCACCATTTTCAACTTCACATACAAGAAAATTGTTTCCTACAAATGTATACAACGTACATTGAAATGAAATCATATGATTTAACCACTAACCAACTTCTTTAACAAGTAGCGAAAGAAGACCATCATCAATAAACACGCGATTTCCTGGCTTAATTACTTGAACTATATTTGTATAGTCAACATATAGGGCATCTTTCGTGCACTTCTCAGCAAAAGCTGGATCTGTAGTTATACGAACAGTCATGCCATTTTGTAAATCAAGTTCACTATTGACTCCCTTGAAAGCGAAAACAAGATAGTTTGGGTTTTTCGAATATCAATTTCGATAACTTACATCAGCTAAAACACCTGTTCGAATTTCTGGACCTTTGGTATCTAATGCGATAGCAATTGGTCGAAATTCATCATTTTCACCTGTTAATTTTTCAGCCGCACGAACATTATTAATGCTTGTTTGATGATACTAAACAAAAACAAATGATATTCATATACTATCATCGACATTAACATACTTCGTAAGATCCATGTGAAAAATTCATTCGAGCGATGTTCATTCCAGCATCGATCATTTTTCGAAGCATGTCTACGCTTTGTGATGCAGGTCCTAGAACGATACTGAAGATATATATCCAATGTACTGAAAAATAATGCTTTACCTAAGGTACAAATGATGCTTGTATGGCGAGTATTCCATCTAAATTTTGGAAGAAACAAAGTCTTTCTTATGGAAACATTTAGAGTCCTCACGGTTCAGAATCGATGTCAAGTAATGTTCGTTGTTCAAGAGCATTGACGGCTGTTTCAGCAAATGATTGATGTTGATAGAAGTTTCGATCTTTGGGATCTTTTTGTTTGAGTTCACTTTTGATCTTACCACGAATATCCATCTAAATGGAAATATTTTTTATTTAGAGAAAAGATTGTTTCTCAGCTAATCAGCGTTTCTCTTAACCTCGACTTTTCTGTTAACTCAGCTGAGTTGTTCTCGCTTATACAAATGCATCAAGTTTTGTTTGGCATTCGAGTTTTTATAGGAGTACATACACACAAAGGACAGTAACGACAATAACACCATCATCAAGAAAAAAAGAAGAAGAAGAAAAACAAACACTCCGTACAGCTTGAAAGCATGTACAAAGTTTCGAAATCATTGGCAAGAAAGAAAATTTTTCTAGGGTTCAATTTCTCCAAGATAAACCGTTTTATCTGATGAACAGGATGCGACGATAGGTTCTCTCGGATGAAAGTCAACCTCGTTGACGCTTCCGAGATGACCTGGTAAACGATAAAGTATTTGTCTTGATGCAACATCCCATATGTAAACATGTTTATCGGCACTTCCACACGACATACGTTTGCCGTCAGGTGACCATGCAACACGTAAAAGATTCTTTTCAAAATTATGTTGATGGCCTTGTAATAATTTGATACATCGATCAACCCCATTGAAATATGGGCGAATATCCCATATACGTATGGTCGAGTCCATTGAATTTGATGCTAAATAAGATCCATCATGACTTAATTCGAGACCTGTAGGACTGTCAAGATGACCTTCAAGACGTAAAGATACATCTTGTTTTCGTAAATCCCACATTTTAATTGTATTGTCGATTCCACCGGAAAAGATTGCATCCGATGATGCATTAAAACAACAAGTTAAAACTTGATATGTGGTTGAAAATGTCATCACTTCGCCACGTTTTCGTCGATCCCAAACTTTAACAGTACCATCATCCGATCCGGTACACATCATATCTTTACCAATACGTGAATAACCAATAGAATTAATGAATGATTGATGGCCTTTTAATTTTTTCACACGCTGACATGTGGTAATGTCCCATATATAAGCTAATTTATCTAAACAAGACAAAATGGATGGATCAATATCGATCATTGCTTTCAAATTCTTAAGACGTACCTGTCGAACATGAAGCAAGTTCACTTCCATCAGGACTCCATTGAACTTCCATAATAGCCCCTCCATGACCAGTTAAAACGGCCCAATTGAAACATTGATCATAAACATTCCATAAAAAAATCTTTCGATCGAAACCAGCCGATGCCATTATTTCGCCATCAGCATGGAATTTACAGGAAAAGATTTCTCCTTCATGGCCTTGTAATAACATAATTGGTGCTGCTAATTTTGATGTACGTCGATGGTGTGCAACAATTTGATTGCTCTCACTCGTTCGAGCTTGTTTGTATGGTGGCTGAGGACCAATGGGAACCAGACTTCCATTTTCATTTGCCCGTTTTAAACTCATTATTTACAGAAAAATCACAGTGTATTACAACAAGAGGAAAAGAGACAGAAACAGATATAAGATTCAGAGAATTCAAATCTAGAGCAGTGAAGAATTTGTAAATATGTACATGAACAAAATCAAAATAATCACATGCAATTTCTTTTCCTAGCGTTCGTTCTTGCTCGCGCATTTCTGTAAAAAGAAATTTAAATTATCTAACCTTTATAGCTCGATGCCAATCATGAGGATGGGAATGGTTAGTTCGATGATTGGCTAGTGTTGTATGTTCCTTTGGAGAATGACCGTTCATGATGAAAATAAGTTTTGAGAATGGATGGCTGGTCAAGGCACGCAGTACAACAGTATTGTGTGATGAATAATGATAGAATGAGACAGAAAGGGACGACGGCGAAAGTAAATTTTTTCTCTCTCTCTCTCTCTGCCTAACTTTTTTTTCTTTCTGTTGACTTCATCGTCCACGATTAAATCTAACTATACTTTTACAATACACACGTCAGTTGTTACTTCACTAACAAGAAAACGGCCAGAAGATGTTGAGGGGAAAAGAAACGTGTGTGTATGTGTGCGAACGCGATCGAGTCCTAAATAATTCATCAAAGTCTATGAAATTACTATATATGGTCAGAGAAAATAAGTATACAAAGGGATTATTTCACTATCACGCATGCAACGTCGAAACTATTATATACGAAGAGAAGATCAAGGGTGGACAGATAAACGAAAAGCTTAAGTGCATATTTTCATTCACACAGTCGTCTTATTTCTTTCATTGTGATGATCGAGTACAAAAAAAAAGAAGATACGACTTAACTGCCACATCAGTCTGTTTCTTTTGCAGACACCCCGGTACATTCATAGAGGGCGTTCAGCTATTCTAATAATATCTATATATAAGTGCAAAAAGTGAAAGTAAACCTATTGCAGAATTAAAGAGAAAAGATCAAGCGTAAAACCTAGTACCTTCGTTTTTATGTGATTGAGTACGTTTACGACTCGATGTTGTTCGTTTGTCGGCTCGAAGTGTAAATATCAACTGAATATTCTTCTGCTCCTAGTGCAAAAACGATGTTGTTTTTTCCTCGATATATCGTTTTCTTCTGTCGAAGGGAGAAGAATCTCCTCGTACTCAGAAAAAAAGAACAGAACAGAAAAAACCAACACGATATTCTCTGGAATGTATGGACTATGATTTCTGATCAAAACAAGAAACAAATGATTTGCTCATCAAACCTTTTTTTTTATTCCTTTTAGTTAAAAATATAATTTATATGCATTTGCTTTGTTTAAAATTGAAAGAATCTTATCTTTCCATTCAATTGAATCTTTGTATAATCGCGTGTTGAACACTTTGTAATTGGGTAGAAACTTTTGATATAGCCGCATACCGATGTAAGCCTTGGATATTCTGTTGCTGATCTAGTTGAAGAACTTTATTGACTTGATCGATCTTGCCTGTGATTGTTTGATCGAGTATGCATGATATTAAAAGACTTTCGACATCTTCCGGTTGAATATTTAATTCTTGAGCAATGAAATCGATGCGAATTTTTGTATAAGGTTTGATTAGTTTAACGAGTACTTTAGTACGTATCGTGCGTAAAAGGATTTCGATATGTTCGCGAATGAATTGATCGTCCATGATCGCTTGGCGATTAATTCGAAGAATAGATTCGAATTCTTTGATGTCATTGTTTTGATAAGCACCAACAAGATTGGTCATTGCTTGAATTTCCGGATCGGTTTTATACGGTTTAGCTTCTTGAGAATCGAATGGGTTGATTGTTGAACGCATTAACATGTTCGCTAGGACGAGATATTTCAAACATGTTGTACGACGTGGTGAACCAGATTCGTCATAGCTTTTAAATGCTTCAAAGAAATCTGTATGCGCTTTTTCATATTCTTGCTCTCGAAGATGCATCTTGCCCCCACATTCTCGTATCACACCTAAAGAGAGTCGGGTTAGACCAACAGACGTTGAAATTATGAGAACAAACCCATAATAAGTGGATGGGGAATGGCAGCTTTGATATGCAATGATAATTCATACAGTTGTTTTAATTTTTTGGTATTTTTTTGCGAAGTGTGCATTTGAATTTCTAATGCATATACTTCAAGTAATTGGGTGCCCTTACGTTGATCATCAATACCTGGAAAGTCAATCGTAGAGGATGTGCGATCGAAGTTAATTTAGTGGTTACCTTCAGATGTTTGACATGACTTATGTAATTCTTTGAGAATCTTTTGTAACTTAGCATGATCTTGTTGTTCTTCATATAATTTACCTAATTTCAGGTTGGTTTTGAACCAAAGTCGTTCGTTTTTCGTTTCCTTCAAGGCATCCAGAGTTGTTTCATAGAAATTTTGTAGTAAATTCATTTTTTTCGATGTTGAAATGTAATCGAGAATCGAATTGATTGACTTTTCACTAACGTTCCGTGTAACAGCAGATTTGATATATTTCAACCTAAGAAATTCAAACAAACAATCATTAGTAGATGGATTCGAACTCATGCGCTTATATTGGCAAAGAATTGATTGAACATCGGTATTTATTGCATGGCGAAAAAAAAAACAGACTCTGCTCAAGTAATGAAAACTGCTGCTTCTAATATAATTACAATTGTTCTATCTATGCTGGCCACCCCAGAGCGCTCTATGTTTGAAAGTGAATACTCACAATTTGTTGTAGCACTTCAGCATTTCTTCATGATTTTCCATTTTGAAATAAATCTTCATCATTTGTTTCAGTGCTTTAAATCCCCAGTCGCCCTTTTCTCCACTTTTCTCTTCTAATTCTAGCACTTTTTTGAAACTTTCAATAGCAGCAAGTGGGTCGTCCTCTTTTAAGGCCTTCGAGTTGTAATATTGATTTTCCAGATCAGCATCGGGCTCTTCATCGGTATTTTCGTAATCGAGATCGAAATCATCATTGTCACACATATCGTCATCGTCCGACATTTTTCTTTGCTACTAATTTGTTTTAGATCTGAAACAAACAATGTCACATGTATTCTCAAAATTTTCAATAAAATCAAACTTGTACAACTCTAAAATAATGGTACGAAAAAAGTAATCTGACTTCATGCGACATTCAAAGACGTTTCCATGAACGTTTTCATCGCTATGCGAATATTTTACTGTCCAAATTCGCTGGAAATTACGTTAAATCCATCGGAAGAGTTGAACAATAGTTGATCAATGCAAGCAATCATTTTATGAATAGCAGAAATTTGTGAAATGAGACAAAAAGAAGAAGAAAGAACGAATGGAATAAAATATGGAACGGCTAATATTCCATTGGTGCAGATCATCAACAAATCAAATGTATTCATTCAATAGATAGATAGATGGATGGGAGGGAAAAGGGCCAGAGATGAACTGACTTCTTCGATCTGAAATTCATGATCATTGACAACATTTTATATTGAATTCTGTGTGCTAAACATTTTTGCACACAGAAGACATCTGTGAATGAAAAAATCTCGAATTTCTTGAAAGACAAGTTCTTCAAATTTCACAAAATACGGTGCTTGGTGCGACGCCATGATCGGAATATTCTACGCGAATTTATTATGAAATTCGTTTGCACATTTCGAAGCAATCTCATCCTCCTATTTCAATATGTCGATGAAAGTCCTACTGGTTCACAAACACTTCAATTTTTAAACCAAGAGCTGAATGAGATGCATTCAACATGAAGACAAAAAACATGGATTTACAAAAGGCAAATATGAATGTTTTTCAAATGTTTCATCGAGTAGACGTGAATGACTTTAATAACAATTGTACTTCTTTTATGACGAGAGAAAATGATATAACCTCCTCCCTAGATTGAAAGACCCGGGGTCTTCTAGAATGTCTTCGCATGTAATACAGACAACAGGATCTTCTAATTAGGAGAGTCTTATTTAGTACCATTTGGTAGAAAATAAACATTAAATAACGCAAAACTTCTTCGATTTGTTGAATTTCATCAAACAATTACAAAACTGTGAAAGTATATAAACATACGGTTTAGCATAAAATCAGTGTTGCAGGAAGGCAATTTTATTTATTCATACCTATAATTCATATTTAAACATAAATACACCTATATAAGTGTGTTATAGTTAGGTAAGACCGAAACAAATATTTTCTTATCTATTTCTACCAATTCTTATTTTTACGGGAAAATGTATAAATGGACTATAAATTTATCAAATCAAAACTACATTTAGTCTCACTATATACTAAGGCTTTAGTGTTCTTTTTGGTCGTATCTTCTGAAGTTACAATAGACAGTGGAATCTTCATTTATATCCGAACTCGAATTAGGCAACTCATAAAAGAGACATGTTTTAATGATTTTTCCATAACTTCTATCGAACTTCCTTTATAAAGGGGTCTTCTAATTTAAGAGGATCTTTCCATATTTGGGACGGTTTAGTTTAAATCACGCATACGTTTAACCAAATCTTCATATGAGTGAAACATGCATTTTTTGATGAATGATTCTATAATGATGAACAAAGTAAATGTTATATATTTTTCGTTAAGTTCGGTCTTTTCATATAAAAATATCGATCGAAAAAATAGCCGGATTCTGCGAACTACTCTAAAAAAATGAGACAAACATGTAAATCTCATTCGGAATCGAAATGCGTTCATTAGTACCAAAAATTTTGGATTTTAAGTATTATTTAATGAATTTGTATGACAACAGAGAAATATCGGACACCGTCAAGGTTTATAATATCTTATATTGAGTATTATATACAGATGACGCCATAGTTGTAAATAGCATCGTCCGAAAAGACTAAAACCAAGGTTGTAGACGTCACTTTTCATATCCTGTCGAATGGACCAACACATTTCGAAGTTAAAATTTTGTCATATGCATTCTAAGTTGGTAACATCATAAAATCTCTCTCAAAATAATAGTCGACAAACTCCACAACATATTCTACTTAGCAACAAAAAATCATTTATTTGCATGGTCAAAGTGAACCTTATGAGAGAAGACATAGGATGTTTGGAATAATATATTTTCTACGTTTCAGATTCATAGTTATCAATGAGCACAAGAAATTATTGTATCAAGATAGAAATTTACGAAATAGAAGCAAAAGGGAAGTAGATAAGATCCTATTGGTGTAAATGCAACGCGAATCAACTTTATTTTGACAAGAAAAGAAAGAAGAAAAGACGGATATGGTAAGAACAAGAGTAGAGTAAAAGATTCTTTCTCAGAATCAGACTAAATCTCCTACAGGGAAGTAGCATAAGTAGTTTGCTCATATGTATCGGGAGAAAAAAAGAATGACTAATAGAGCTTTCGTCGTACGTCATTGCTTTTTCTTATAAAACTCAATATATATTTGTCATGGTCATGTAGATGCATAACTTCGATAAGTAAAATATTGCTATGTCGCCTATTATTGAATGACGGAGTATTTTACTGATTAGTTCTTTTTTTTTGAATCCGATTTAGTAGTAAGACAAATCGCCTAAGAAATTTTCAGTACCTAAAACATGTTCGAGATGATCTCTGATCAATGTAGGAGTTATGGTTATATTTAGTAATCTTTAATGATACATCATCAATCATTTGTGATAAAAGTCATCTTAAGAAAGAAACTTCAGTCGATCGTAGATCAATACAAAAGGCGATTCAGGTAAGTCAGCGTCGGGTGTCGCGACACATTTCTTTATCTTCCTTTCCTTATTTAGCTTTTGGCATATTTGAAAAGTTCAAGTAGATTTTAATCGACATCAACCTCTCACTAAGTAAACAAACAAACAATCTGAGGATATTTTCTCTACTAATCTTGCCAAGATATTTTTAACCCTAAACCACTTGATGTAATTACCTAAAAATAGTCCGTTCTTAGACAGAAGAAATTTCTCTATTTATCGAAGATCTCAAGTAGTTCAAATTTAGACATGTACGAGACGAAGGAGGTCGAACAAGTAAACGATCAGAATAAGTTTAATGCACTTTTTTTCATTGTCATGATTTAACAATTTGAAAAATAAATTAGCCGAGATATTTTCTCATTATTCTGATTGGTCACTTGGACTAACTAATAAAATAGAAATCGCACGCGTTCGTTCGTTATAAAAATAAAAAGGTAAAAATAAAAAACATCGACTTAAATTTTCTTTTTTCTATTCTCGGCATCGTTTCCCCCCCGAAGTGAAATCAGTTTCACGGACTTTATCATATTCATCATATGCGAAGTGCATAGATGTTTAACGATTCACTTCGAGCTGCTTCTTGTCATAAATTTTCGTTTTCGTATATACATACACATCAATCGTCGAGTACACTTGTAAAACCCTATTCAATAAACATCATCTGATTTGTGTTTCTGTTATTTTAGATTCCTTTCACATCTTATTGTATTCAGATATCGACTTAGCGAAACAAAACTCTCACTTTCAAACTTTTTATTTTTGTCCATGTATGTTTCGTTATAAATGACGAATCGGCCATACGAAAACGATAATAATACAATAAATAAATTACTTGAAAAGAACAAAATGCCCAAATGTTGGGGGTGTGTTAAGCAACAAGATGAAGAAACAAAACGAAGTAAACAAATCAACAAACAGATCAATGCGAAATTAAAGCAAGATCAACGAATTTACAAGGCAACGTATCGTTTACTTCTATTAGGTCTGTTCGTTGATTCGTACATATCTTTCCTTCTTCAACACACGATCATCTTTTATTCAGGTGCGGGTGAATCAGGCAAATCAACAGTGGTTAAACAAATGAAGATTTTGCATAATCCATTTACTAATGAGTAGGATCTTCGTACTTGTCCTATTCTTCATTCTATCACTGTTCTTCTAGAGAAAAACTGGAGAAAATACCAGATATTAAACGTAATATACGTGATTCCTTAACGGTACATTTCATTTCGTATTAATTCGTCGTTGTTGTATATGTTTGACATATTTCAGAGTATACTACGAGCTCTTGACACACTACATCCACCTATACAATTCGAGAAAGAAGAAAATCGGGCACGTGCAACATATATTCTAACGCGAGCACATGAAATTGACTTCGATTATCCACCTGAATTTTTCGAACATGCTCAAATTTTATGGAATGATGCAGGTGTGCAGTCATGTTTTGAACGATCCAATGAATATCAACTGATTGATTGTGCGAAATAGTAAGCGAAAGCGATTTGACAGTCCAGAATGATAGTTGTATTTATGTTTTAGTTTTCTTGATCGAATCAATGAAATCAAAAAACCAAACTATACTCCAAATGAGCAGGTATAGATTCATGAATGTGTACTAGTCAGTTTCTGGCAATGACTCATTGAATAGTAAAGAGATTCAAATGTTCTTCCCGAATGTCTGAATCTATTTTGGGATTTCTGTTTAATTTAACACTCTTCGCGTACAGAAGACGCAGAAATATGGCCAGGAGTTATTTCATCAAACGAGTTTACATAAAACAAATCGTCTAGGCATTGAGAATCTGACAAATCGTTCATATCTGGTTTTTTTAACAAGAAGTAATTTCTTTCGATGCATTCAAATGTCAATCATCAGTAAAAAGTCAGACAAAAACAGATAAAGATCCTATTTTTAAATGAACGAACACCGCTTTCAACGTGGGGAAACTGAACTCTTAGTTCTGATTGATTAAAACTAAAAAAAAACCAACAAGAACAGTACCCACTATTTAGAAATGACGTCAGTGTAGATTCGTTGATGTGGATATGTTGTAATTACGTGTCCTTGTGTGAGAAAAAAATTATCGCCGATTCTTTATTGTACGTACTGATGACTAGTGAAGCACATTCATATGATCAAAACATACCTGGACATATTTTGTTGTCATAAACGTCAAAAGATTCTATCATAAATCAATGATTGTTTTAGGATATTCTTCGTTGTCGTGTGTTGACGTCAGGCATCTATGAAACGATTTTTACTGTTGACGGCGTGCGATTTCAGTATGTATTGTTATTTGAATGTGGAAATCATATAGAAATTGTGAATGTTGAAGTATGTTCGATGTTGGTGGACAACGTGAAGAACGTCGCAAATGGATTCAGTGCTTTAATGATGTCACTGCAATAATATTCGTGACAGCGTGTAGTGGATTCAATTTGGTACTTATTGAAGATGAGAAACAAAATCGTCTGAAAGAATCGTTGGATTTATTTAAAAATATTTGGAATAATCGGTAGAATTGATTTGAAACATCATGAATAGAAACATTCTTGAGAGTCATGTTTCGTATTTTCAGATGGTTAAAAGCAATTTCGGTTATTTTGTTCTTGAATAAACAAGATTTGTTAGCTGAGAAAATCAGATGTGGTCGTCGACTTGAAGATTACTTTCCTGAATTTGCTGGATATACGATTTCCAATGCTGAATTGAGTAAGAGTTGTCTTTTCAACAAGCAGAACATCCCTTTCATCGTCCACATAAATTCGTTTTTCAGGTAGAGCCGATCCAGATGAAGATCCAGAAGTAACTCGCGCTAAATATTTCATTCGTGATGAATTTTTGGTAAGTCGAATTGATTGAATTAATCGCTATGACTTGATGGTTATTCTTTCTGCAGCGAATCAGCACAGCTACCGATGACAAGCGTCATTTTTGTTATCCACATTTTACTTGCGCAGTTGATACGGAGAACATTCGACGAGTATTTAATGATTGTCGGGATATAATTCAGCGTATGCACTTGAGACAGTACGAATTACTGTGATTTGTCTTTCGAATTCTTTTCAATTGTGCTTATTTTTTTCCTTTCTCGTTTTTATCTGCTGTTTTTCCTAACGAAATTCAAACTAGTTCTTCGTTCTCGTTTCTTTTTTCCTGTTATGGAGAAGAAACCCAACTGCCTTATTATTAATACGTTCTATTTCAAATCAATCCGCCTTGTGCTCAATTCTTTTCTTATTTGAACAAGAGAAAAAAACACTGTCTAACAATATGTAAATGAATTCTTCATGGTGCTGTTCATTTTCTTGTGAGTTCGATTCCTGCCTTAATCTGTGTACAATTCAAATCATAGTATCATTCTCTCTTCTTCTTCTTCTCGTACATACGCTTTCAGTGACTGTCAAGACGAGATCCATCCAGAATTCGAATCTCGACTGACGTGTCTTCTCTCATATATTTTGGACGCAATAGTCATCGGTTGTTTTGTGATCTGTCAACATGTGTACGATGACCTAAATACCACTGAAACTGTTTTCTTTTAATATTATCCTTCTGTTTTTTTTTGTATTTTTCAAAACGATATTCACGTGTTATATAGAGAACATTATCTAATTAGAATTCTACTTTCATCCTTTTTTTAAATTCAGCGTCTACGATCTTCTGCCTTTTTCTCTCTTTTGCTTGCTCACTTGATCTCGCTTTCTTTTTTTTTACTGTCGCTCTTTTTTTCTCTCAAGAAAACAAATGTATTTGTATTTTCTTTCTCTTTACTCTTTTCGTGCTGTATCTGTGAATGTGTGTGTCTTTTTTAACTCCTTGAATGAAGTTTTTTGACACGCACAAATAAAGAAAAACCAGAAAATAAGATATTAGTAATAATAAAACATCTATTGTAATAGAACATATCTTTTTTTCTTTTTGAAAAAGTCAACTATGTACAAATTAGATGAAGGCATCGATCTTCTCTTGCATATGTTGACGAAGTTCATATGCCAATGCATTGGTTAGTTCGAATGCCGTTTGCAGTGCCATATCTCGTTCATCCGGTTGATGTTGGGCGCGTTCGGCTTGTTCGATTAAATGAGAAATGGCTGCTTGTTGTAAATAGGTAGATAGTAAATGTTTGTGGAATACTTTCACGAACATAGGTACATTGTACAGTTCCTGCATTGCTTCAACGTTTGATTTGTCAATACAGTAGATGTAATAGATTGTATTGAAGATGGTCAGTCGTGTGTCAACAATCGCATGTTCGGATTTCGGGAGAAAGAGGTGTAATAGACGACTTGTGTTAAGACGAGATGATATATGATGGAAACATTGATCTTTATTTGTATATCGACGGAATAATTGAGAATCAAAAAATCTTTCGAAATCTTTATACTCGTTTTCGAGATCGAGTAATACAATTAGAGATGGATGAATAGTAGACATTTATCTAGAGTTAAAAACATAGAATGTCTTCTTAACGAATACGTCGTTTGTCATTAAGAAATACAGATAAATATTCATACAGTTTAATCCCTTCTTCAAAACAATAACGCGCTCGAACTTTATCACATTGTTCTATGTATCGATCACCCGCATTTTGGTATTCATTTATAGTGTCAAGACTCCATTGGACCAGAAGGCGTTGTACATTTTCAAACATTGCTCTTATTTTTGGATAACGTCTGAAGACATAACTACGATCTTCATCGTCTTCAAATGACTTACCTTGGATATATACAAGAGAAATACTGTCGAATTGACACAGTTCATCGAGTAGAGAAATTCGTTCATTTGCCGATGAATTAGTTATATCGACAAAGACTGTTGTTTGTTCCATGGATTGTAATTTATTGAGATAATCGTCTCTTTGATTGAAAAGTTCTATAGGATGTTTGGTTAGTTTTGGGAGAATTTCAATTATTTGCGATTGATTTGTAGGACATAAATGAAGAACGGCGAGATGTTGACTTTTTGTTGGATCAAGAAGAACTTGTTGTTCATGGTTCGTTTCTCTTTCTTCCTCTTTCAGTATTGCAGCTGGTTCATGAATTTCTAAACAAGTACGTTGAGGAATCACGTTATCATTCGTATCAGTCATAGTTGATTGTGTTTCATCAAGTTCATCATCATAACTACAATGGACATTTTCTATTTCACTGCACGACGCAGCGGTCAATTCCGAGATTGAAGATGGTGAAAACAATACTGGAGCTTGTGTTATGGCTACTTTTAGGAAATAGATCGGTAGTATTTGTTTGTCCTGCATCAATTTGATATCAGCTGGTGCTTCGAATTGTTGTCGAATAGTTTGTAACTGTTCTTTCCATTGATTAAGTTCTATTTCTGTGAAATCATTCTCCTGTCGGCCATCATGAAGTTGCTGAGAAAATTGCTGCAACACCGTTTTCATTCGATTGTTATACTCATTCAGTAACTGTCGGAGTTCGTCACGAGCTATCTGTGCCGAATGTTGGATTTTGAGAATAGCATCATGTTCCCATACGTCAATCTGAGATAACAAAGGATGTTCTTGCGGTTTTTCGTGAGGCTTGAACGATTGTTTTAAATTCTCATACTCCTGTTCGATATCATTCAACTGTGTTGACAACTCAGTACGATGTTCCAAGACATGTTCGACACAATAGTATCTATGACAACCATCGCATAGTAGTACCCAATTTTTACAACCACATTTGATACATGGCTTTTTCTCGACAGACATAATACTTCTGAGGTGTTCGCGATGCAAATGAAGTGAAATGAAATTTGACACTTTTTATGTTGTCAGTATGATTGAAAAAGAACCAAGTTCTTTTTTTTATTCTGACTGTGAAATAATAAATTACTTCAATATTGACATCGATAGCAGAGTAATAGGAGGAAAGACACGAAAGATTTTGTGCAACACTTGGTTTTTGATGTACAAGTGGCACACTTGTCTTTTAGCTATTTGTTCGTTTTTCTCTGCCAAGAGAACAGTACTGTATTCATTTCAGGCGTATGTTTATGCAAAATAACTGTTTCATTCATGGTCATTAGTTTTGTATCTGGATTAAGTTAAACCGTGAAAAAACAAAAACAATTGTTTCGCTTGATTAGACAAGATTATTAACGTAAATAATGTTTTTTCTACTATGAACGAACTTAGCTATCGTTCTACTAAGGTGCATTTCAAAATATATCAACTCCGTCGATAGACTGATGATGTCTTACAAATATTTACCTACATATTGAATCGTAATGATTAAATGCACTCAAATATTGGTCTTTTGTCGATAAGGAATGTTTCATTTTAATATTCTGAAGATCAACCGATCTTGTGTTTCATTAATACTGAATTATTAATTAGAATTGACAAAAAAAACGAGAGATTATACACGTTATTGATACACGGACGTGAAAATGCGAAACGACATACCATCCCGAAAACTATATGCATATATATTTATTGAAATTTAAGAGAAAGAGAGAAACAAAACTTTCGAGATTGAATATCATAGAGAAAAGAGAGAAAAAATCTTAATTATATCTAATCGATGATTGCTCTTGCATTAATTTTGCAGTGATATGAAGCTTACCATCGGGATGATATTGCGATGCTAAGCTAGAGAAATCCGTATTTGATGGTAAGGTTATTTGTTTGTAAAAATATGCTCGTGTCGATGATGTAGGTGGTCGTTCAATATTATGTTCAGCTTGAACAATAAGATCATTGCCATTAACCGAGACTTTGATTTCATTGGGTTGATAGTTATTTACGTCAAGTTTCATTTCAATACATTTCTGACCGCGATCATCGGTGTAGATTTGCGGTTGAAATGCACTTCGATAAAATGCTTCCGTATTGAAATCACGAGCAAATAATGACGTATCACTACTAGGAAATCGATCATTCTTTTGATCGCTTTGACCGCTTCCAATACGTCGTGAAAATTCGCGCACTTCAAGATTCCGTGATGATGCTGGTGATAAATTTCGACCGCCAAGACTAAGGCTTGTGCGAAAGCGGTCTTCATCGAGACCTTTAGCTATCGATGGACTACCAGAACGATGGTGTTCAACTTCATGAGAGGATTGAACGCCCGATGTTGGACTTGAACGACGGTGATGTGTTTCACGGTGTGTTTCGGTAAATGTTTGTTCTGTTACATTGTCGAAATCACCACGTGTCGATGAAGGAAATGTTGTTCGCGGTGGCGAATAGTTTCTTGAGACGCGATATGTATATGTTGGCTTACTCGGTTGGTTGATCGAATCTGCTACAGTAGAAGTAGTAAAAGCTCGATTGAATGGAATTTCATATTCGTGTGATTGATTATTAGTACTCGATGAATACGTATTGGTAGTATTACGACCGAAGTCACTGTTACCAAATGGTCGGTCAAAAGTTGAAGTACGCGGTGGACCTGAAATGATCAATGTTTGTGTTTTGAAAGAGCCCAACAAAGAAAGTATTTTCTTTACTTGGAATTCGTTCGTAAGTATTCGTAGTACCACCACCGAGTCGTCTTGTCGATGTGTATTCGGTTGAACTTCGTTGCTGTGTAATTCCTGGTGTTGGTCGTTGAGATATGTCATAATTTGATAAGAATTTCGACGATGTTCGACCATCGTCGATCAACACGTTCGAATGACGTGATGAAAAATCAACTTGCATTTTTGTTGTCGTTGGAAATGTTACATGCGGACTAAAATGATTTCAGAGGTAAAAAGATGGCAAAAAATGACATTTGAATATGTTTCTACCTATGTGAATCAACATCACGAGGTAATTCAAACGATTTTTCAATAATCTTTTTGGCTGTACTCTAAACGATCAAAAATATGTAAATTATCTTTCGTCGAAAAAGGAAAATAACATCAATTTATCTTACGTCATTATGATTTTCAATATGTTCGCCATAGACGACCAACTTATTTCCATCGACACGGATGTTCACCTAGTTTAGAAATGAAATGCTTTTTTCCTCGAACAAAACCAGTTTATCTTCACATACTTCATTTTGACTAAATCCTTCAATATTAATATGGACTCGAAATTTCTCTTGACCGCTGATTGGATCATTCACCCATTGTACACTCGTGTCATGATTGCGAATACGTTCCTGTACACGTTGTTCGTTAGGAGTATTATTAAAACTGTTTATTGAACGTTCAATAGGGACCGACACACGTTGACTGAACGGTGCATTGAATTGATCATTTCCTCGACGAGTTTCTTCGTGTATAGTTCGACTTTCTGAATAGCGTTGTGAACACATACTCACTTGATTCTTATAACTCAAGCACAAATCTAGAGAGAGAAAAAGTAACCGTTTCTTTTTGATATCATTTGTACAAAATGTATGACTATATGCATTGAATATTTGGCCTTGTGTCTCTTCTTTTTTTTTACTCAATGAATATAGGTAAAAATAAGAAAGAAAGAAAGCAATAATGACGATAATGATAGATTGATTTTTATCATTGCTTGTCTTTAACCCGATTAACAACGCTATAGATGGGCATACAAGTACGCAAATAGTTTGCGAGCGATTCATACACTAGATACAATCTTTTCTTTCCCTTTAGCCGCTCGTTTTTTGCTTAACGATAAATAAACAATGAAGAAAAGTTTTTTTTTTTTGACAAAGACATCTTACCGCTCATGTTTGTGCTTTGCATAAAAAAAAATAACCAAACGGTATCTTTTGCGTCTACATCGAAGCCTGTCGAACAAGGGAATAGTTTTACCAATCACTGCTGATCAGTCAAACAAAAACCTACACGTATAAGAATAGACTATCAGTATGGATGCATGTTTTTCATTGATAATACATAATAATAATAATTTCTGCGTATATATACATAGGTTTATTGGCCAATAAACGAGAAAAAAACAAGAAAGAGTTGTGTAGGCGATATATTTATCATGGATTAGATATTGTATTTCAGCCGATGCTAGAATTTAGTCATACATAACTCATTGATCGAGAGGTGATGAATAAGAAAAATTATAGTTAAAGAAAAAAAAAGCCAAATCGATTCTTCTCACCCTTTTCTTTCTTCACACTTACATGCCCAACATTCACCACAAGAAAAGGAGAGAAAAAGAAAATAACTCCATGGCTTTTTTAAACTCACAGCAGAGGATACTTTATTTATTCTTAGTATTCGCGTTCTCTTTTCTCTTCTCAGTCTTTTTCACATATTCAATACTCTAAACTTCTTGCTCTATCATTTATTATAAAGCATTGTTAGAAATTATGACTTTCGAATGTATCTGAGCGAAGCAATAGCGACAGCATGTGGTATGAGTCATTTATTTTTCTCTATTCGAGAAATTTCGAGAAGTAAATTTACATTTCATCAATAGATCAATGTCTAATAAAGCAAGTTGTATGAATGTTATTAGAGTCAATAAGACCATAATTTAAATATGATCATCGGCGAAATGAATCGATAGTTTGTTTTGGATGCTTACTTTGATATATAGCAAGATTGGACGATAATTTTCGTAGAACACTTTTACAATTTGCCTTTTCTCTTCGTAAGAAAATAGAAATGAAAGCAAAAGACACACACTCGGGTTAATATTCAATAAAAATCATCACAGATAAATCAAAGTCTTAAATAAGAAGAAGAAAAACGATGCACACATCCTTGATGAACATGTACATGATTCACCAAAATAATTATTGTCGATTCGTTGTTTTTACACCAATGTGGATTCTGTTAAAATACGTTGAACTTGTTCTTGGACTGCAAAATTAACTGTGTGATGACGGTGTCGATAGAGTAAAACATATGCATCAGATCGAATAAGATCTTTGACATTTGCTAACGGAGAAACACGTGTATCATCGAAGTGACGCCAACCTAAAGAAAGATTCATATTCGTGTGAAATTCGAGAATTATTTCTTACCTATATCAGTCTTGGCTGGATCATTATTCGCAAGCAATCTAGCGTGGGATGTGTAGTGTCCGAACCATGCTGAACCTCGATGATTCACAACTCCGTAAAGATCGTAACGAGATTGAGTGGTATCACTACTATCTTCGGGTACGGATGCACAGTAAGGTGTCATATCGAGATTACTAAAAGATATGTATGTTATGTTTTCTTTCTCTATTGAAATTAAAGTTTGAAACGTACTGAATAGGAAATTTCACCGTTGTATCGATCTTTTCGCGTGTACTCGACATGTAATACGATGTTGAATATTGATTGTATTTAAATCGTTTCAGATGAATAATAAGTATTGGTGGTAAACGCCAAACCGACATACATTTTTCGGCTTGAATATGTTCTTTACAACGTGGACAATACCATTTATCATCCGGACCTAAGACTTCAGGTTTGATAAACAATTCCAAGCATTGTTGAAGAGTTATATCTTGCTCTATTGCACACAATATCGATGGTTTCTGTAGATAGACGATCACAAAGAAGTGTTCAACTTACCTCCACCAGTTGAATTGAAAACACTATCATCTTCCACGAGACCATTGATTCGATTTCTATTTAACGGTGAAGTAATACGAAGAGGCGCATCTATTTTATTGTCCGTGAACCAGTCAATTGAAAATGTAGAATAGCAACGTAAAATATAATCTGCATCTTCACCTGCAACAAAAGACTCTCCTTCGTTTCTGAATCTTTCTCTAGAGATAAAGACGTACCCGGTTCGATAATTGATTGGGAGTTATTATGAGAAACATTCACCGTCTGAGGTATTAAACGAAATAAAGGTTGATTACCAATTATATCATCGAGCATATCAAAATCATCCGTACTACTGTGGCTACCACTGTCATCACTAACAATCATCGGTTCTTCCTCTTCTTTTTCTATGGTTGATATGTTTTTCGCCAGTTTTTCCTTTCGTTTTTTCTCTTGATTATGACGATTTTTGTTTTTATTTGTTTTAACAAAGTAATCGCCGATACGACAAATGGACCAAGAATCAGATGACGACAGGGTGCTTTTGATTGTTGGCCAGTCAACATTTTCAATATCGCTGAAACTAATCAAATGCAGTACAAGTTAGAATCAGAAGGGAAACATGTCCAATAACTTACCTATCATCGTCGTTATCGTTGACCGTTTCATAGTCCTCGAAATCGGTATGGATCTCAATGGATCGTGGGGTTTGTTTTGTTCGTTCTATATAAATATCCACATATCGTCTTGAAACGAAAGAAGTTAGTTCGAAATTTATTTCAATGATTTTAACTTACTTAGCATAGAGACTGATTTGTTCGAAGATATATTCGCAGGTTAATTTCGATTTTGGTACAGAAATAACGAAGGGAATGCCCACAACGTCATAAGTGTTCGATGCGCTATGTTTACACCGATGTTCATGTTCACTTTTGTGAAGTCTCAGACATTGTCTATAAAAGTCGACATGTATAGAAGGATGACGAAATGATGTCAATCAGCTTACTCATCACAATAGGACGCTTGATAGCAATTCTTGCAATACTTTGGTGTCGCATGAGGATTAGGTATGGCTTGACAATAGGCACATGGCAGTACGTACTCAATTGGTTTGAAGACTCGTTGGAAAAATGTTAAGGTAACGATTGGTTCATCATCACATTCTGTACTTGTTAAAATTTCGGTTCTAAAGGCAAAGAGAACAATCATTCAAATGTGCCTTCCGCTTCGTATAAGCATTTTCAATGATCAGATGTTATAAATCACTTACATATATATAACATCCGAATTGTTCCATGAGTACCCACCACTTGGTACATACATTTCATTAGAAAGATGCTCGACAGAAGAACTATCTTGAATTTTATAAGCTAACATCTAGTTAAATATATAATGTTCATAATCAATGGTGCCAACAATGAAAATGAATAACTAACTTTAGCGATTGCCAAACCACATTTGCTGAATAGCAAACGTTTCAAATCTGCAATAGTACCATCTGACGACATGGTGATGCGGTACTAGAATCCGAATAGGAGTTTACAAGAAACTTTGGATAAGAAAATGCTCTGTACTTTGATGGGTGCTCTTTCTTCGCTTCGGAAACTAACGACTGCATCGACAGCGATTTGTTTTGGTAGCGGTACCGAGAGCGACGTGAACGGATCGAATGTAGTTGATTCCTAGAATGAACGAAATATGGATTTATTCGGTTTGTTTCCTTGACTCACCTTGTTACACTGTGGGCATTTTGTCTTTGATTTGAACTGACCTGTAAATAATTGTACAATTAACGAATCGTTACGAGATAAGTAACCACGCCAAGCCTCATCAGCAACTTCCTATTTTAAAGAATGATCTATTAGTAAACAAGAAACGGCTTTTCAGATATACGCACATGGTCAGGTCGATTATCATCTTCAACAGGTGGTACTTGAGGTTTGTTTATAACCCGATTAAGATCCTTAAATGAATGAGATTAGAACTATTTCCAATCTCGAATCTTATCTTTACCTCATGAAGAGAATCTAGTAAAACTGTTAAGTATTCTTGTGCATCATGTTGTCCATTGCCAGCAAATTCTTGATGTCGTTTACCAGCATACTCCTAGAGTAGAACCAGATTTAAAATGTACAAATTCATTTCTTAACTGACTCGCAATTGATTAGCGTCAATGTAATTGTACGCTCCACTCCATAGTTTCTTCAATACATTGGCAAATTCTTCAGCCATGATACCTTTCATACCAAGTGGATTTGATCGATTTATTTCCAAACAATAGTATGCCTCTATTAAGAGAAATGAATCTTCTTCCGAAGAGTGACAATTTTTTTTCATACGCAAGAAGTAATCTCGTAATTCACGTGTGTTTGCTAGACATTGAACGACTGCATTCATAAAACACGAATTCGCGGGATTGAATATACCAGTAAAACCGATCGTGGACGTCGTGCTACTCAAACTTGTAAGATCTTTTCGATAAAGTGTCGAAATGGATGGATACGTCTCTGACTACAATAGCAATACGATCAGAATTTCAAAAACACATATAATCTACATTACTGTTCTCATCGGAGGTGATGATATAATAGCAGCTGAAATGAAAACAAGAAATAGTGTAATTTCATGGATGAAAATATTTCTATTAACCTCGGTGGATATCATCTGTGAGTGTTGGTTTTGTTGATCCTAATGGATGTGAGTGCACTGATGATAATTGTACCGATGGGCGATTTTCTGAGAATTCATTTGGTTCGAGTTGATTCCATTTCATTCCATATGGGTTATCTTTGATAAGGGTGATTTCAATACATATTGGGGTGACTACACAAGTACATCGATGAGGTCTAATTCGTTCTTTAACACGAACAAATAGTTTGACTTGCTTTGTAGATTCGATGGAATGAGAACGAAGAAAATCTTCATCGCTATAAATAGAACATCACGATCAAAGTATAGATGTCAGAAAAAAACAAGAAGAACGAACTTTGTTTGAAAAATAACTGTAAAGTTCGTATCAGTAAATTTCGCTTGGCAATTGAAAACTTGTTTTATGTCCAGTCGTGAGATGATTCGATCATCATTTGTTTCGATAAAAGTACTGTGTATTTTTTTGAATGATATTTCTTCTGGTGCTTCTTGCTCGATAACCGAATTGATTTGTGGATTAGTCGTGGCAATATTTGCATCGTTTTCTTTTGGAATTACCGAAGCGGTTTGTCTACTGCAAAGTTGAGGCCATTTGATTTCTGTTTGTTGTTTGTGTAAACGAAATTCAATTGTTGTTTGAGTTCTACTATCGTTAATTTTATAGTCAATTTCGACTTGATCAGCGTAGATATGTGCATATAATTGAAATTTCCACTTTTGGCCACCTGAAAACAAAACAAGATCCATTCTATTCAGATATTTTGTCGAATTACTTGGTGTCATCACTTCAAGAGCATCAGAATCACAGTTTACGTCGACTTCTTTGATCTCAACTGCTCCATTTGCATAGAGATGTACAATTACAGAATCGTCTGCATCCTCGAATTTATATGAAGGCAATTGTGCTTCCTCAGTTAAGCTAGGAGCCATCGCTGACGGTTTTTATCTAAATAATAAGTTTCACATGTATTTTTCAAGAACGTAAAACAAAAATATTTAAAAACTCAAGATTTATTTAACTTGGGAATTTCTGATAGGAAGAAATAGTTTCACCTTGTCTGATTAGTTTACAGAACACACCAATCAGAACACCCTTTGACTTTGTCTATAGGTTTGAATATTCTTACTTCCTACTAAAACCGGTTATGCTCATATGTAAACTTTAATTGGGCACGTTTTAATAAGAAAATGAACGAATAATGAGGAAAGATAAACTGTGTCATAGCTATGAACATAAACGCAAGATAACTTGACGAAGTCGAAGAGCATTAAGTGTTAGATATACTTCTTATTCTCTTAAATTATATCAAAGTCGCTTTGTAATATTTTATTCATATGATTACATAGGATTTATATCAAAGTTATCGCTAAAGAATTTTCCAACATGTAGCATAAGATGAGACAATGAAAAAATTTCCTGTTCACAGCGTAAGAGCAAACATAGAATGGGTATTTTCGAAAATACACATTTTTTACGTATTCTATTAATGGAGATGTCGTCCGTTGACACTATTATCTTAATCCCATTGATACTGCATCATAATTATTTCACATGATGAAGTTTTGGAAAGTTAGCGATGAATACTAGTCGAACCCTCAAGCAATCCATAATCACGGCAAATAGAAGGAACAGATACTCATTACTACTCCATACACTACATCAATATAAAGACTGGTAACTTGAAATATTGGCAAATAGCGAGATACATTGATCATAGGATACGCGAAGCGAGAATGGACATCACATGGATAAATCCTTCTACATCTACAGTGCTAAGCTTTGTATACCGTAGCGACATCTATAATGTCATTATCTTAACTTCTATTCATCGTCATATAATACTTTTCGCTTAATATAGAATTCACGAATTGTAAAATTCAGATCGAAATTTGCAAGGTTTATTTGTGTTGAATTAAAACAAACAAACAAAGTAACACACGAATGCATTCTCATCTATCAACTTAATTGGAAAGGCACTCTCTCATCAGAAAAAAAATGGCGACCGTTTATTGTTTCATTGAATTTGTTTTTTTTTCTTTCAGCCACATATTTACCTTCACCTGTCATTCATTCTTTTTATCGCTGAATCATCGAAATATTTTAATTAATTGTTTTCTTCTTCTCCTCTCATTATGAAAGTAAATTATTCATATAATAATATTAAACAAAAGTTCTCTTTCATATAAAGCCAGACGAGTATTAGTGGACCTTCGCGCATAATTCATGTCAAATTTTGTCTTGTGAAAAGCAAAACTCTACCATGAAGGTAAAAGATTGTTTATCTCGCATGGTTTATGTACTTTTCACGGCGATTTTCTAGGCAACAAGTTCACATTCTATGAAATTACCACATATACCCGCAACAAAGCGTGGCCGACAAACGAATCAATTGCAATACATGTCAAAAGTCTTGTTGAAGATTTTGTGGAAACACGAATTTTCATGGCCATTTCAAAAACCTGTTAATCCTACGAAACTTAATCTGCCTGTAAGCTCGTTTTTTCAAATCGTACGATTTTCCTTCTATGGTATATCGCATTTCTAGAATTATTACAAGATTGTACGATATCCAATGGATCTTGGTACAATTAAGAAACGTCTCGAAGCAAACTATTATTATAGTGTTAAAGAATGTATTACTGATCTAAACTTAATGTTCACGAATTGTTATTTGTACAATAAACCAGGCGAAGTAATTTGAAGAAAATTCCGTTTTCGTATACACGATATCCGAATCTTATTTAGGATGTTGTCCTTATGGGTTCAACATTGGAGAAACTCTTTTACGAAAAACTTGCTGATATGCCAGAAGATGTGAGCACATGATCAACGTTGAAGGTTTCATATTCTTTGATGTTTATGTAGGAGATTGAAATTGTACCACATTCATCGAAATCATCTGTATTAAAAACTGGTGGGGATGGAAGTTTATCGGTTTCTGTAGCTTCGCCATCAACTCCTAGTGAACATATTAGCTCACCATGTACGTATACATTTCTTTGCGCATCTCCATGATAACAAAGTCAGAACGGATAATCAACACAAAGAGAACTTGACTATATACAATCGAGTTGACCTTTCGAACTGAATTTTCATAGCTTTTTCTAAAACAAATGTGCGGTCAGTTATAAACAAAGGAATAACACACTAATACAGTGAGATAACATGTGTCTGAAAGGAGAAAAGAATGGTCGACCGGAAAAGATACGTACATATGTGCTAATTTCTTTTTTTTTAAATTTCAGTACACTCGCCGTCAGCCCATTCTGTAAATAGCTCTCAGCCCAATGGTACGAATATGTTATCACGAAATCGTACATCATCAACAACTAATCCCAATGCGATAACATCCCCATTTTCTCCACTAAACAATAATTCAAATCATATCGATCAAAATAGTCAATCGATGTCACCGAAATTGTCAGGCGAACATCAATCTATGTTGAATTCAACACCATTGGCGACTAATGATTTATTTGCATCAGTAAGAATTCATTCGAAGGACAATGGCAATTTTTGAATGTTAAAATGATTTAGAATTTCAAACGAAAACCCGATCCAGACGACGATGCAGCAACCAAACGTCCAAATAGCACTACTGGACCCTTGAAACGTATTAAATATGAGAATAATATTCCTACGGATGTAATATTACCTTTGATTTTCTTGATATTAATCTAGCTACATATATCTTTGTTCTGTTTAGGCTTCAGCTAAACGACCAAAGAATCGTATGACGGAACAGTTAAAATTTTGTCTCAATATTGTCAAAGACCTATTAAACAAAAAAAATATGGTATATTTATTGTACTCAATTGATTTCCTCCACAATTCTCTTCGGTTTATTTAGGCATTTGTGTGGCCATTTTCTAAGCCTGTTGACGTTAAAACTCTTAACTTATCTGATTACTACCAGATTATCAAAAAACCCATGGATCTTGGTACTGTCAAGGTATGAGAGTCCAATGTCCTAATTTAAAATACAATTTTATTAAATTATTTTAGAGAAAACTTGAAAATCGAGAATATGCAGCACCAGATGAATTTGCCGCTGATGTACGACTTATCTTTAGCAATTGTTATCTTTACAACGGGCCTCATACAGATGTTGTTGCCATGTGTAAAAAAGTCGAAGTAAGCAATCTGGAAAATTTTACCATCGATCGAACGCTCTATTGAATCATTCTAGCAAATGTTTGAAGACAAATTCGCTAAGCTACCTGATGAACCACCGATAACACACACAGATACTGATCCTACAACTTCCAGTTCGCGTAATAATGGATTAGGATCGTCGTCTGCTGTCAGAAAACGTAAACGTCATTCGTCGAAACATAATAGTAGTGCTGGTGGACATACATCATCGATGATTACAAGTTCAGACGATGGTGCATCAAGCGATGATAGTGCTGAGGAATCGGAGAATACACGGGAAAACACACTTCGACAACTGCATTCTCTTCAAGAACAAGTAAGACTTTCGAAATCGTGATGAATTTCGTTACAATCATTTGTCTATTCAGGTGAAAAATATTGGTAACACATTGACGTATTTAATTCAACAAACTAGTGATCGAGTTACATTGCGTTATAAACGGCGAATGAAACGTAATAAAGGCAAAGGTCTCGGTTCTGACCCATTACCTTTTATCAGTACAGCAAATGATTCCAATCGTTCTGCACTTGTATCGCCGAATATATTCTCTACTGTGCAAAGTATATCAAATAACTCTATACCACAGACAGCTACACGTAATCCTTCAACTGTAGCACCAGCAGCTAAGAAGTCATCATCATCATCACTTGCAAGTTTACTCACATCAAGTGCTGCTCCGACACCGAATGGTACTAGTCAATACAATACGCCATCCATGGATGCGTACAATTTCGGAGATATTAGTCCAACAAAACAGACGAAGGCAACTAAAGCAACTGCAGCGAAAAATAACAATACTGGCAAAGGTGTCGAACAAAATCGCCGTGCTGCTGGAACACCGGGCACAGGAGTTAAACGGTGAGTAAACTAATCATGAGCGATATTAATCATACATATAATAATCGATTTTTTTTAGAACACCGAAAAAAGCAACTGCAGCGGCTGCCTCTGCCTCTTCAGTATTTGACTTTCAAAGCGAAGAAAATTCTAAACCAATGACGTACGATGAAAAACGACAATTGAGTGTGGATATTAATAATTTACCAAGTGAAAAACTTGGACCTGTTGTTGAGGTTTGTCGACTATGAAATTTCTTGTTTCATTCACATGTATATTTGTCTTTTTCTCAATTAGATCATATACAAACGAGAACCGTCATTACGTGATTCGAGCCGAGATGAGATGGAAATCGATTTTGAAATACTTAAACCATCAACATTACGAGAATTGGAAGCTTATATCAATCATGTCATGAAACGAAAACCAATTAAACAACAAAATACATCTGGTAAATGATATCTTGGTTTTACTAGTCATTTCGTTTGTTTTTCCTATTGTCTCATTATTAATAAACACACACGCACACACATTATTATTATGTTATCAGGTGATTAAGATCAATTGTACATATCTATACATATATAAATATATATATATAAATTAATGTATACCTTAAATTTGTTTAATAAATAGTTTTATATCATTAGAATTCAACAATATATTCGATGCATATTGTCTGTTTGTTTTTGTTTGATATATAAATCAAGCGCTGTTCTATTCTGTTTGCATATATTGTCAATAATTGATTTTCAATGCTGTGTTTTTTATATAAATCTTTCTAATATAAACTTTTGAATAGAATTAGATGAGAGGATATGAAAAACGTCTATTTATTCCATGTGAATAGCAATCAAAGATCTCTTATACAATCGATACTGGAAGCAGTATGTCAATAATAATGTGATTAACAAAAGATCATTGGAGATTAGAAACTAATTGTTTTCCTTTTCATTAAGTAGTTTGTATTGCTCAATTGCTACACATCGAGCATTTATTTATCCTTCATGCATCGCGGAAATGATAATAATATTGCACACACAAGATTTAAAGTTTTGTGCATGAACTTTCAGTTTAAGAAACAGATAAATGAATCCATCTAATATAACAATAAATATGCAAATAGGCTATTACGTCTTTAGTGATAAGAATGAAAAACGATCGATCGATGACAATACTCGATTGTGTTACAGAGTGCACGTTACCGACGACAACGATATGTCATTCTTTGATAGTATTACTCGTCTACTATATTTGGACTGAATTTGTGTAAAAACAATTATGAGTCACATCTAAATATTTCTATTGTCGAAATATCAGATGTGATGTTTATTGGTAATAAAATATGTGTGCAAAAGAAAAAAAAACATGATTAAAAACGACGATAATTGTTTGGTGTTGGTGTATTGTACAATGCTGAGTTGACACGTGGATTTGGTCCAGGTGCGAATTTCACGGACGATTTACATGGTCGGATTGTATTCAATTGGCCACTGGAAAAAAGAAAATCTTCCTAGAGCATGTTTGCACATTGAGCGGCAATTAAGCTTAGATCGATAGAACTGAACGGTAGAACTTGCCTCAAGGTTTTTTGTTAATACAAAAACAACTTTTTCCAAAGAAAATTACCGGTAACTAGAAATGAAATGTATTTGAATGAATACTATTCAAATGTCACTCGCTCGACTTCACATCTTTCAAAGCGCAATTAATCGCATTGTATATTACGTAAGCTTGTTTCCACACCCTTGCTGGTGAATGAAGGTCAGAGAAAGCTCATATCAAAGCATGTCTGGAGATGTATGCTAACAAGTCGTGAAACTAACACTGAATGTCTTCATGTCCAACAGGTTTTATTCTACACGATACATCAGATGGCAAGCAACTCTTTTTTGAGCTCATTATGTTCTCTTTTTTTTTAAATAAAGGCTTTCAATTGCCATACAAGTTTTAGAGATTGACCGATTAAGCATACCGTCGAAGAATTAGTTGTAATCTTAATGAGTTTCGCATTAGGGCTTGTGCATCGTCGTGTTTCATTGAAGTTGCGTCTTGTCCATCGATGAAAAGAAGACCATCACCTGGATAGAGTTTATTATGTGCAATAGAGTTAGGTAAGATCTAAATTGAATATGCAAACATTGGGAGAAGTCATTAGATATTTATAATATTAATGAAATACGAACTTTCTTGATTGATAGTGGTAATCGAAAATCGGCTCCGCCTTGCAAACGGAAACCCCAATTTTGATCTAAATTGGACCGTTCGAGTAGAACAGGTATGGTTGGATATAACGGATTATCCATTGTCGTTCTCAATTGAAAAATTCAATTTTAAGATCGATGTTGTTGAATTTCTTCGTTTTCTTAGTTAATAGCTTGACACCCCACTCAGTTGTGCATTCCGTATTAGCCTTTCCTCTGTTTCTGCTTGTTCTACTTCCTTCTTTCCTTCTTTCTTTTCTCTCTTTTCTTTCTACTTTTGCTAACATAAGAGAAAGAGAGACTTTGTCCTTAGTCATGTCCACATAACATTGCTGGATCATCGCTTCCATACGTGCATCCGTAAGCAATAAATACAACGCCCGCGTTCCACTATCTTCTGATTATTGTTTACGTTGAGTACTACATCAATGCATATGATAGATAGAAGTGCAAGAAGACGAACCGTTGAAAACGTCAAGAAACAGATAAGACATAATATTATACATATATAATTTATTTTCTTCCTTCTCCTCCTTTCTCTCTCTCTCTATCCCTTTGTCATCGACGTAATCTAGATGAATAAATAGAACAAGCGTTCTAATTCCAGCATAGTGTGCAATCTGATTACGAGTATTTAATAGCAATTTTAGCTGTTATTTCTATTCTATACGGTCATGAATATGACATCGAATCATTTTCCTTATGAAATATTGTGTGATAAATGAAAAACTATTATTTATCGATTTTCGAATCTTGTGAACATTGATTTGAGATCAATTATTTCAGTCACACTGTCAAAATGCATTCAACATTCGTAAGAAGTTCTACATTTCTAAATGATCTATGCACCAAAGTACACAATTTCAAGGTATCGATACATAGTATTCAAATAAACGACTATTCCTATTGCTTCATTATTAATGTAGATGAACAAATGTAAGATTTTCTTGTTAATACACTAATAAAACGATGATGGCAACTGAATGACGTTGTTAACCAAAACTTTCTTTGTTCTTACGTAACGATCTGTTCCGTAAAACATCATGTGTACATATTATCTCGACTTTTTGTATATTATACTCTCCGTACACGTTCGCGGAAACAGTTGGCTATGTCAATCAACAAATTTGCATAGATTGGAATGCATGGATTCATTCTTTTGCTAAAAATCATTGTTTTACAATGAACAAAACATAATCTATGAACTCATTCGAATAAGAAATCAATGCAATGATCAGTTTCATAGAGGTCACTAAAAGCACCGTTCAATCGATGAAGATTGGTTCATTCTTTCATTTTTCGCGCAAAGCGTATTGGATGGATAAGCAGTTCTCTGTCTCGTACAGTTGTCTTTTCTTCTAAGAAAATTCAAATTTGTGTTCTTTTATCCGTAAATATATTCCAGATTTAACGGATATTAACGAGGCTTTATGTGTTCTACGTCTATGTTTTTTTTAGAGATGTTGAAGTATTTATAACTCTTAGAGATATTGACAAAGAAAAGATGCGTAATTTCATTACAATTGAAGAGAAGGGAGGTGTTCGTGAATTTATCGTCAATGATCTTAGTAATATTGGTTTACGCATCGATACTCACAAACATCGGAATGTAGCTCTCGGTCAAACTTCACCACATATCGCTAACAATCCCAAACATCAACATGGAGCTCGCGTATTCAATGTCCCACTTCATCAAATGGATACGATCTCGGTCAGAGTCGATGATCTCGAATTGACAGTACCAATATTTCTACGATGGTGTTTCGATTGTATACGTCGCTCGATAAAACATGAAGGTCTCTTTCGTAAATCAGGTGGATCTCAACGTGTCAAAGAGCTTATGGTAGATTTTCGAAGAAGTATATTCACTCAATCTCATCTTTTCTACTGTTTCTAGGCTCGCATTGAAGATGGATCATTAACGCCCAGTTTATCATCTTCGAACACGGTGTTCGATGTGTGTTCATTGTTTAAAGAATTTCTCCGTCGTCTCACATTTCCATTGATTACTTATCCTTTGCAAGATCTTCTACTTGATTGTTTTTCCATGCGTTCTCTGCCGTCAGATAAAAAAGTCGATATTTATTTTAATATTCTTTTACTTTTACCCGATGAACATTTACATGCACTTATTTATATCCTACGATTTTTACATGAAATTACACTGAATGAACGTGATAACAAAATGAATGCGAAGAATCTAGCCATTTGTGTCGGTCCTGGGATTATGCGTACAGCTGTAGATGGTAAACAAAACATTATGACAGAACAATGTGCAACGAGTGTCAGTGATATTGTCGAAACATTGATCATCAATGCAACTAAACTTGGCTACGTTGCTGAATCAATCTATGAACGTTCGCAAATGCTTTTAGAAATGCGACAGAAGGAAGCAGCACAAAATCCAGATGACAGTTTCGCTGTGGAAAATGGCGTCAAGCATGGCATTGGTGGGGGAAGGATGAATGACCCAGCAAATGCAAAGAAACGACGCAGTGGCTCAGTGAAAGGTACGTTCGAATAATCAGCAACCTTTCGAATAAGTCGATCTTCTTGTTCAGAGTTTCTTGTTCATATGACCAATCGACTTCGACGTCGATCCGGTTCGAACAACGATAGTCGTGATCAAACAAATGCATTTTTGGATCAAAGTGGCAAATTATCATCATCTCATACACGTGAATACCGTCATCATTATCAACACTATCAACAAAATAGTATTCATGGCCATTGTTTATCTTCATCAGCAACATCAGGGCCAACAACAACTAAACGAAAATCGAGTGATGATCCAAATGGTTGCAATTCAAAACGAGGGTAAGTCGAATGGGTAGCGCATGATGTGTAATAAAAAAATGACGTTTATTTTCTAGTAAAACTAAGACATCATCGCAAGAGAAAATGTCACTACCAAATTCGAATCGTTTCACCAGTCCAATTACCGCTTTTCGACGTAAGAAGAAGACGCCAAGTCACACGAATGATCCTGGTAATTTTCCTCGGAAATATGAAATGACTGTTTTATTGATAACTGCTTCGTAGGATTTCCATTCAAAATAGAACATTCACATCTGCCACAATTACTTCATTTTACAGATGAAGTGCCCGTTCGTTTCATGAACACAATTGTCAATCCAACCTCATCTGTTTCGTCAGGATCGATTTCATCTTTGTCGACCACTACACCGAGTGGTTCGATGACAACACTGACAACTTCAATGATTAGTAATGGCTCAAATGTACATGGCACTCATCAGCCACTATCGATCATTCCACATGAAATGCCACCTCCGCTACTATCAAATCTTGGATCGAATCCTTGCAACAATAAGTCACTTGATGCAAAAAAGTATGTACTACTCTAGAGTTAGACAAATTGTAATTGATCTGCAACCTTTAGACTTAACTTGCTGGATTCATGGAAATGGCCCAAATCAAGTCGAGTTAGTATCCCGTATTCGTTCAATTCTACATATGAATCATGATTTTGTTTTTAGAAAGCCGAACGTAAACCTCTCATTGCTATACATGCACCGATGTTAGCTACATCAACTGTCGATTCGACTTCGTTCACTGAACTTTCACCTTCACCAATAAAAGCAGGAAATGATTCGATGCAAATGTCAACTGAACAAATCGCCGGAACATCTCTACTCATGCATTCAAGTTTCGGTGTTCGCCGTCATTCGGATGATGTTACTAGTGCTTCCTTCACAGCGACGACGACTTTTCGTCCTCGTCGATCAATATCGTCGAGCGGTGGTCAGCAACAGACACGTCATATTAGTTGCAAACTTAACAATTATTCCCATTCATTACCCAATCAACAGCAGAATACAAGTGATGATGAACAACAAAACAAGAATCTCAATCAAGATTCCTTTAGTGACGAAGGCGATGATGACGATGTCGATGATATCGTCGATGAACTGAATTTAGCTGTTGTGGATGGTAATGAAGATGCACATTCATTGAAAGGCTTTACTACAGAGCCGATAGCGAATGAAAACGATCCACTTGATGTTGCATTTATTGATGAAGCTGACTTAGAAAGAAATCTAAGTAACAACAAACTCATCCCTGACAATCAGCAAAGCACATCAATAGCAACAACGACAACAACGGATGTTCAAGTATCCAATCCTCCACAAAACGAGAACGATACTCTTTCCCAAACTATGACAGTTGATCATCATTCAATGGAAGTAAAAGTCAATAATCAACAGCCCATAACGTCGACGACATCTGTTTTGACCGAGAAAACATTGAATAAAGATGATGATCTCGATGAAATTTTACGACGTAATGAAAATCGCGGTGTTCGATTAACGGATTCAGATGTAAGAAACAATCCAGTTGAAGAATATTCTATCTCACTCAAATTGTTGCTCTCTTTAGGATGAAGAGTATGAAAATTTTGATGTGAAAACCATTCCAACAAAAACAGGTGAGAAAACACGATAGATCGATTTTCTTCCAATTTCTTCTTTCTTTTCCTCGAAAAAGATGATGCGAAATCAACAACACCAAAAATGCCAGTTCGTCTTTCTTCTTCTATTTCCAATCTCATCTCAACGTCTTCTCTAACCGCTCTTCCATCATCCATCTCCAAAGAACGTTCGTTATCATGTTCATTGTCTCAACCATCCAATGAACTGTTTCATACTTCAGTAACAAAATGGACATCATTAAATCTTGGAGAGAATGTTGAGGTAAACAAATATACTTAATTCATTTCGTGTAGATAATTGATTTTTTTGATGTTATGAAAAAAAAACAGCAATAATACATTTCTGTGCTTTTTGTTTAATCTATATTTAATAAAAAACAAATCTATGTGTCAATAACAAGTCTGTAAGAAGATAATGTATCATCTTTGTCGTTTGTTTAGAACATCAGTGTACTCAATAGTGGTCGAGAAAGCATTCTCGAACTGAAATATGAATTGAATGGCCGTGTACAACAGCAAGTACGTGCTTTTGAATCGCAATCATCGGAAACTATTCATAATCGATCGATCGCACCTCGGATATCAGAAATAACATCACAATTAAACCAACCTGATGTCAAAAATATCTTCACGAGTTCATCGGTACATACGCCTGAACAGCGCATTATCGAAGAAGCTTTGACTCGTGGAGATAAAGTTGTGCTACCGAATGCTGGACTCGGTGAGCAAACACGTTCAGTGAAACGCTTGCAAAACACTCCAATGCGACGATGGAAAGAACGAGCAAAAGAATATGAAAAACGTCATCAAATCACATCACCATATCGATTGATAAACAAGAGAAAGAAATAGAAAGTACACATTCGAGTCGCGATCTTTCGTTTGTTTGTTTATTGTACATTTCCCCTTATACATAGATTTCATATAGAAATTGATTTTCTATACTCTTATGCATAAAATTAATCTTCTTTTGTATTGTTGATATTTCCTTTTGAATCTACGATTATTAATAAATATCACGATGTCATCAAAGTAGAGTCGATGAAACATCTCTCGAGGGATTCATATATGGTTACACGTTTCACGATCGATATAGAAAAGAAAAAGAACTGAATTCGTCATGCATGATGTTTATTTTATTTGTTATAGACAGTTGTAGATAATTCGTTTGTTGTGTTTTTATTTTGGAACAAGAAAAGATAATAGAAGAAATATAATCATATTGTATTTTCTTTCTTCGCGAACGTTGATATATATTCACAAAATTCAGATGGTAATGGAGGAGAAAAAAAGGCGGAATGAGACTGTACATGGTAATAAGAGTCGTTTGATCTTGGCTAGACTATGTCTATGAATGAAATTCTCTCATTTTATTTTATTTTGCTTTGGTTACATTATGATTTCATCATCACTTCCCAAACGTTTCTGATTATCTTGTTTCAATAACTTGATATATTTGCTCTTGTCTTGAAAATTATTTGCATGAATTTCTTTCGTTATGGCTAATTTACTTTTGTTTTCATGTATGGCTAATGGAATTTGATCCGCATACGGGGCAGTTTTTGTTCCATGTAATACTAACGACCATTCGAAGAAGTCACCGGTAGTTAATTTCTCGCTCTGCTCTTTATCAGAAATCGTTTGATTTTGTTGATTGGTCAATGGCGCATTAGCGTTATCTTCGTTATCGAAGCGAATTTCAAGTGTCCATGTACCTTGAGCTTTTTCTGCCCATGCATGAGTGGTCATAAATGGCCATTTGAAGAAACCTTTAGTCGAGTCAGCATCCAATGGACGACGACTCAAGATCAATGATCTAAACATGACAAGTAGTGATTTAGCTTGAAGAAAAGAAACAATCGTTATTGAATGTACCTTGTACCGAGTGGTGATGTAATAAATATAACCGTGTTACCGCGACGACTACCTTTTAATGTAACAAATGCTTGGACATGTTCAAGGTAGTTTATTTCGTCTTTCGTATTTTTACAAGCATCTGTATTGATTGTTAATTTCAATGTACCTTTTTCGGGTATTGGTCTATGAATCATCACATGAGAAGATTAACAATCGATTAAGAGATAATTATTTACCGCTTTCCAGTTACGTTACCAGCTGAACAATGATATCGAGTTGGCAATGGTTTCCATTCTTTAGCATGTCGAACCATATCACCAGCTACAAAATCATCTCGAATATAAAATATCATTCAATGCAAAAACAAATAAACAAACCATCAAGTACACCGAAACCAAACAAATGATTGAATTCTAGTCCAGCTCCATTAACGTGCCATAAATGTTGCTTCGAAGGATCGAATAGTTGATTACGTTTTGCTGTTAGAACAGTTAGGTGTTGCATATCTCTCCATGTCAATTGACGACTATAGAGTTGAATGAAGAACGCAATTACATGGAAAACTCCGTCGTTTTACAAATGACATCTTGTCTTTACTTTGCTTCAAGTACAAGTGCAAATACACCGGCTGCTTCTGGTGCTGCTGCGGATGTTCCTGAATGTTTCAATGTGCATTGACCGTACAGATCTGTTGTTGCTACACCTAATTGAAGCGAACAAAAACAGATAGACATGGCTTTGATCTTTTTTTCATCGAAATATTCTATTTTTACTCATTGATTTGCGTTCTTTCTTTCTCATAAAAAAAAGGTAATTATTTTTATGGCAGAATACGATGTATTTTTCTCTCGAGCACGCAATCGTTTACTTCGAAGTTGTACTCAGTAGATTATCGCGGATAATCAAATAATATTATAAGTCGACAAATCTCGTTAGAACAGCATTAATCTGCTAGAGAAATTAGTAAGAGTTTCGTAGTTTTACCTGCTTGAGGATCTTCGCTTCGACCATTGCTGAACGTTGATGCTAAAGTTGATGAACATGATTCATCGTAAAGTGCTGTTCGACCGTCGTTTATTGCTGAATTGATTGAAATGGTCCACATCGAAGCAGCATAACCATCACAATTGCAATCGTCATTGGCACCACCATCACCACTAGCCCATACATAGATTGAACCTAAAGGGGGAAAAGGTGATTAGCATAGACTATCAACTATTAGACAATTGTCAATTATACCAAGGCCATGTCGACCCTAGAAATAGAAGCAAAGATTTCCGATATGTAGATGTTCGTAGAGATAATTTATTCGAAGTAGTGACGTACTTCATTGATGCCTTTAACAATAGCTTTCATTGTTGCATGTCGCGGCCCATCAACTGTTTTGCCGTCATCGACTGGTCCTAAAATAGATCATTAACTAACCGAACCCTTTCAACTATGTCTACGAACCCCACGATGCTGAATAGATATCAATCATGTCAGGTTCATGTGACATCGAATTTGCCTCGATTAAATCTATGGAGAAGAACAACCAAACAAATCATTTGAATTATTCTATCGTGGTCTATTTCTCATTACCAGTCATATACGGTTGATCTAACATCCGGATACCTAATAAAAAATCAAATAAAAAATATCAAATATGATTATTCTAATTATCTTTACCAGCCACCATGGAATCATAGGCAACACCCACGCCGCAAATGTTATTATCTCGAGCAGCAGCAATCTCACCGGCACAGCGTGTTCCATGGCTAGAATTTATGACTTAAACAAAATCCAAGCAATCGTTTCCCTACCTATTAAACCAATCGTCTGTGTAGCGTGGATATGGATAACGATCATTGCTACTGAAATCATAACTGGCCGCAGCATTCTACATTAGAATTCAAACTAATAACATGAGTTTATATTCGAGTCGATTCACGTACGTAATTATGCATAAGATCCGGATGTGTGTAATCAATACCGTCGTCCATAATAGCTGTTGTTATGTTTTTACCCGTATATCCAAGTGCCCAAGCTTCTTCAACATTGAGATCAAGTCGTGGCTTGCCGCCGGCTTGGCCCACATTTTTCTAATGAACACAAATTTGTTTTTGAATTCATCTCGTATAAAAGAATAACTTACTAAATACCATTGGTATTGAAAATAGGGATCCGTCGGAGTTTGATACTCAGGAACGTCTTTTTTCAGTTCATCAGGTGAACGATAACCACGTTTGACACGCGTATGAGGAATTTGATGAATGGCTCGTTTAACCTATAAGATACACTGAATTTGCATATAAAATGTACTTAAGTATGATTTACAAGTTCGTGTCGTTGAATAAATTGTTCTTGTGCGATATCTCGTCTTTTTCGTGTTTGAGGGTGTGATGGCTTGAGATCGACAAAATGATATAAACGTCTGTCATTCAATACCTAGTAGAGTAACATAAAATAGAGAACTCGTTCTTTCATAAATATCATACCGGTCCACGAGAAACCATTGCGTACCGTTTCGCAATCCGCTTGGCTGCCTCTGGTTCAACATGTTGATGAAATTCGATTAGCCAATCCTTGGTCATAGCTGGCAAAATTGTGGAATGAACAGTGGAAAAAAGAAATGTTAATAGACACAAATCGTAATAGAAACCCATTTATTGAATTATTTGTCTTTATTACTGTTGAATGTTAATGAAACTTATCGTTGACTTGTTTCGTTGAACTAATTTCGTAACATCATTTCACGGCTTGTTCACTTCCGTTTAGATCTTGATCGAGTTCTTCTTTTCGTAAGAAAGAATCAGGGAAGGAGAAGAAAGAGATGATGTTGAATAGAAACGGAAAAATGATGACGGTGTTCTGAAAAGAAAAACAATAGCTCAAATGTCGATTGATAGCTATGAGCGAAGCCGAGAACCTAAGGCGAATAATTTTTTCCTTTGTCTTTTTCCTCGCTTCCTCTCTCTCTCTCCCTCTCTCTTTCTCTCGATTTTCTTCATTTCTTTTTGTGTTGTGTTGTTATCGTCATCGTTCATTCGCTCTTTCATCGACAGTGTAAGAGTGGAATGAAAAACAAGTCGAGAAACGTCTATAACAACATCGTCATCTTGTGCACCCGAACAACTTTAAAGATCTCACACAGAGGGAAGAAATAAGAATAGGATGATATATATGTGAGCGTTCTAACAAAAAAGGACGAGGCACAAACGAGAAAAAGAAAGAGATTTGTTTGTCGCGCTTCTTATTTGCCGGAAATAACAGCAAATGTTGAAAATACCAAAATATCTGCGCACGCTCATTCTTTTCCTCAATCACATTAACGATTTTCCTCGACGATCACTGCCGAAAAATATCCGTGTAAATCGTCTCTTTCAGAGAACCGATCTCACTAATTGTGGTGTGACATCAAACGAGACTTTTGCTGAGCTTGATGAAACAAGACTGCTAATCAAGCATAGTAGGCATAAAATCAAAGAAATGTCAGGAATTACTTGTGCTACCTTCCATCATTAATTTACCACTTGGCGTGCTTGTCAACTGAAGAAGAAAAAGAGAATGAAAAGATGTGAATCGTCTTCTATATTGAGAAAATATTCAAAAAAAAGGAGACCAAGTCACTCAGGGATATTTTCTCATTTAGTTTATCAATGAAAACCTAGGAGAGCAGAAATATGCATCCTTCCTCGAAACTTTTCTCTGCTCATCAGAAGACATCTAATGTTAAATGCGGAAAAAACATGTTTATGTCATAAGTAAAATCATGTCTATATGCAATCGTTTCATTTACGAAACAGAAAAGCAGTGGACTTGTTTTTCCTCCAACTTTCATGATTGATTCATTGTGTCCTGTTCTAAAATGTTCCTTTGAACTCAAAAACTTCGAGTTCAAGATGGCAACCATGTTTGCTCAACTATCTCAAGTTTAAGTTCCATAAAAGAAGTTCTACTTCGCAGTAGAAAAAATTTTCATCATTAATTATTTATTCTAATGAAACTCTTGACTAGTCACAGTTCTCCGTGTCAGTCGGCAAGAAAATATCGTTCGTTTTGGTTCCCTAGTTAATAACAAAGAGCTTGCCGGAGGTCAATTCGTACGACGCATGATATTTTCTTTGAAAAGAGCTGAACGAGAAGACATTTTTTTGACATGTAAAAGCATTCGAATGTTTCATCTCGAGAAGAGAAGTAAGTTATTAAACTGAAGTAGAATTTTTCCTCGGAACCAGTCTCTTGAAGACATTGTCACATATATTTTTAATAGGAAGTCTTTGTTGAAGAGGAGACTTTTCTTCGCATAGCAAAAACAAAAGGGAAAGAAAAGTTCTCCTGGATGTTTTTCTCTCACTGCTACATTGAAATTTCGTCGAAGTTCGACTATGCAAAAAGCAAAGATATGGTATATCCGGCTTGCGAAGAGTTCAATGAATATCATCAAATTTCATCATTGCCGTTGCACGAACGAGTCTTCTATCCAGGCGATCATTTCGACTTGTTTTTCTCCGTGTCATATGACAAGTCTTTTTTTCTTCATCAGATGAGATTACATCTCACACCAAGTCTAATCCTATATCTCTAAGAATGAAGAAGAAAGGGTTTTGGTCGATCTAATCAAATATGATTAAATATGAGAAGAAGCAAAGTGCACAATGGTTCGGACTATTTTGATAATGCGACAAGATCGATTGAGTACGACACCAATGTTCAATATGCACTAAACAATAGTCGATCTTTTGTCCAGGCCATTCGATTTGAAACATTCCACGGCGTCTCAAGCAGAGATGATTGATGAGCGGCACGTATTTGAAACAAAAAGAGAACGAATGGCACCGTGCTATATTTCTAGTTTTATGCTACGGTTAATCTCAATTGAGTTCCTATTCAATTCTTATTTGTCTAATCAGACAACGCCCTTCGAAGGCAGTCGAGTTCAATTTGGTGACTATCATGCCATGTTTCTTGTTATTTGGCCGAATAAATTATTCGATTCGATCGTGACTAGCACGTACTAAGCTTTACGATGGATACATGTCTTTTGTTACCAAATGATTAATATCGGTTAGAAACTCGACGGAAACGATTTATTTTTTATTTATTTTTTGAATGAAAAAGAACTTTCGTTGATAGAATACGATCGATTTTTCATCATCGAACAAAAGGAGGAATGTTTCTTATTTCTTTGTTCGCAATGTAGATAAAAAACATTGCACTCATTATTCAGTTACTCTAGAAATCTACCGATCTATTTCGTTTTTCTAGACAAACTAAGTAGTCCATTCTTTGTTTTCTAATGAATTCATCACCACAACAATCAGGTATTCCAATTATTCTCATCACTGGCTTCGGATCATTTCGTTCAGTACTAAAAAACCCAAGTTGGGAAGTTGCTCAAGCATTGAAAACATATGCGGAATGGACACGTCCATTGCATATCATTACTCATCAATTACAAGTCACTTACGATGATGTATCAAAGAAAATTCCTGATTATTGGATCGATTACAATCCCACAGTAAGCAGATTTTGTGTCACCAGGCGACTTATTCCTTGTATTTCAACAGCTAGTTGTACACATCGGTGTAGCGAAAGGATCAAAAGAAATCCGAATGGAAAAATATGCTTGCAATACGAATTATTGCCATACTGACAACAACGGTTCGGTACCGGAAACAGAACAATGTGTTAAGAACGATGCACCGAAAGTTCTTATGGCACAACTTCCATTGAGTGATATCTGTTCTCGAACACGGCGTCGAACGCATTTAACCATTGTCGTTTCCGACAATGCGGGAAGGTGAAAAGCATAGTGGATAAAAGAAAGATTTTCACTTGTTTCTACTTTAGGTATTTATGTGAATATATTTATTATCAATCATTGTTCATTGATTCTAAACGAACTATTCTTATTCATATACCTGATTTGGATAAGAAATTCACTGTTGAAAATCTTGCTGATACAATTCAAATAATCATCTATGAAGCACTTCGATACGTTCCACCGCTACCAGTAGTAAACCAACCCCGAAACTATTTGATTCAAACAAACATGATCGTTAACAACTTCGAAAAACTTAATTTAAATAGACTATCATAGATTCTTAACCATTCATGTGGTACCATGTATTAAATAAATGTAATAGCTAAAACAAAATCTACTAATTAACGTATTAAGACGATGATCGAGCGGTTTTTTTTTAGCATATAAATGCCAAATTTTGATATTGGTACATTTCTTCAATCGACGTATCAATCCATCGAACGAACCTTTATCTGAATCTTTTCACTAATGTAACAAACGCCAAGATTTCGAAGTGGGTCCGTTGGCAATTTGAAGCAATAGTAAATAGATCCGAGTTGTAATGCACTTGCCGTCCAATGACATCACTCATGTTACTACTGCGAAATACTGTAGATTCATATTTTTTCAACTACAGTATAAAACAATAGTAAGAATAAGGAGCCCGATGTTTGATATTCATTCAAACACTTCTTATACCGTAACTTACCGTTGTTGCTCAGTGCCTGGGAGCTTCCTCTATGTACTACGACCTCAATCATCACAATTTTCATATAATTCCAGTGACAATTGAGGCAATAGTATGCAGAGAACACTCTTTCCTCAAACTTCGTCCACAAAACAATCAAAGTGAATTCTACTGACCTTCCAATCAGTTCCCTGTGAAAATCACAAGTAGCACTTAACACTTCAACTTGGTCTCCACTGAATCACGCACTGGGCATTAGCATAAAAGCATCCTTCATCTTACACGAGACCCTACATCATCCCTGCCTCTCAAAAGTTCCATTACTACAACTGTTCACAAACCAACCAGTTAGACTTTTTCTTCGCTCTTCTTCATCAGTTCAGCATTGGATAGATTTTCAGTGCCCATATTCTATCAAAAAGTGTCCGCATTGCATATCATTGCTAAACAATAAGCAAAACTACTCTCATTAATGAAAATCTGAATAATAATTTTTCTGTCTCTACCAATCTCATTATTGTTTCACATTGCACTGCAACTACACAAGCTACACATTCAATATCATTGTCAGCTTACATCTGACACGTGAACCGCTTGCTCCATATTTCTACAAGCGCGGTAAATTTAACACACGTTTTTCCGTAGGACTGACCAAGTAGTCTTCTACAAAGAGCACTATTAGGTAATTTAACAGTCAAACTTATTGTTTCCTGCTATCCCCGCTGAAAAGCAGTTTCAATTACCAACATGTATCCAAAATTCTGCAAAATGGGTATCTTTGAAGAAAAACCAATTATTCTTCAACAAACAATTCAATGTTTACTGTGTAGTACCATCTCCATTCCAATTTCTAAACAACATCATTCACTCCACAACAATATTTTTTCATCAAATCATCTAATAGTTCTTTGTGCGCAAGCACTAACCAGAAGACGATTGATCTCTTTATTTATTTTACTCTTATCAATATAAACGAACAATTCTAATCGAAATGTTTCATTGTGCCAAGATTTTCCATCATGCTATCCTGAATCGTGTGATGCTTCTCGTAAGCTCAATCACCGAAACACAGAAATGCACGTAGAAATTCTTTCATGGCGATCTATCGCCTACCCGAACCATAAATCAAATTCACTTTTCAATTTTGAGATGGATCTAAAAGTCAGTAATATTCGGTTTTATTTGAAACATGGGATTAGATCGATATCATACCTTTGACCCTAATATTTACCGAGATAAACCATATCGACTGGGAACAGGAAAACTCGTCTGACACGTGTATTTAATACCACAAATTGACTCTTCCATTCTGTTTCAGTGTTGATGCCTACAATATTGTCGAGAGCGATGGGGTCATTCGAAAATGTATAATAAAGAAAACACATACAATAATATATTCTATATCTTTCCACATATATTTATATATATATGTATGTATGTATGTACGTATAAACGAACGTATAGACGAGCAGAAGGCTTCACCGCACGAGCGGTCGTCGGATAGAAAGAATAGAGAGAAAAAAAAAGAAGAAGGAAAAAACGATGCTGTTTGCATAGGCCGCGATGATTTGATCATCTTGTAGTTGATGGTGATGTTGGTATTGGTGGTAGCAGACGGCGACGAATTGTTAGAACAGAGAATAGGAAGAAAAGGGTGAAAACAGAAAGAAAAGGAAGAAGAAAACGATGAATCATAGGACGATTCTCTCGTCGACGAAAAAGCATCAATAGCAACGATACATTAGACTTGTAGTGTTGCTCAAGAGAAAGAACGAAGAAAAGCAAACATGTTTGCCCCGTCACATCGGACGCTATCATGCTCACGAAGAATGAGAAAAAAAAGGGTTGTCAAGAGGCATACATAAAAAGGAAAAGAAAGGGTCTCTGTTCTGTCGTATTTCGCGTAACCTCTATCGTTTCGAGTTTGGATAAACATTGCAGATAATTGAATAAGGAATATTAAAAGACAAATTCTCCTTGAAAAAAAAACTCCGAAAGAACAACTCAAAATAGAGTTTAATAAGTTTTTCTTTGTTAATAACTAGCACATCGTTGATTGGCGATTGTAAAAACCAATTGAAAGTGATGACATGTTTCGATTCGTTCTTTGCGTAAACCTATCATAAATGTATGTAGCTGTTTGACTTATTTCTATATTGTTTGTTCCTATCCTATCCTCTCATATAGATGTTTATCAGATTATCTCATGAATAGAAATCTATTGGAGAAATCAAACATTTCCGTTTGTCCTGGAAAGTATTGTGGTTATGAAATTAATAGTACAAAATGTGGGGTGAGATAAGACAGATTTGCAAGTTGTTCTCGTATGTACATATTCGATTGAATTTTGCAGGCGTGTCAGCGTGGATATCGTGTAAACAATGAAGGTGTATGTCAATTATGTGATGAAGCATTGTCGTTGTACGATTTTATGTACATTGTATTTATGGCGTTGTTGGCGTTGAGTTTTCATTGGTATTTTATTAATCGGCTGCAAAAGAAAAAACAACGAGAATTTACTTTAGTCAAGTATGGTTTCAATTGTGACGAATAAAAGGAGATGCAATTGTTTTCATTTAGACAAACAATTCTTTATTTTTTGTCCATATTGGAGATTCTCCTGGCGTTTATTTTCACGTTGTTAACATTTCCACCACTTGGTAAATTGACCATGAATGTATGTCAAGTGAAATTACTCAGTGATTTTTATCCCATGTTTCATAATCCAATTGTAAATTATCGAAAAAAACTACGTTGTTCCTATGAAGTGGTCTATCCATTGTAAGTTTGCATTCCTTTTGCGTACTGATATTCTAATCGTTTGAAATTTTAGGCAAAGCGCAATTTTTGTTTTATATACATATGCCAGTTTAATCATGTTGTTAATTCGACCATTTTTCCTTTCGATTATTCACCAAAAGTTCATTTCGGCGTCGATTTATAGTGCTCTTCATTTTTATCCATGTCTACTGATCTTACACGCCCTATGCGGTGGACTTATTTGTAAGTAAAATTTCTATTCGAATTTGTTTGCAGTATCGCTTTCTCTTCTTTAGATGTTTCCTTTCCAATTTTGACCATAATCAGTACTGTACTACTGAATGCCATTCATTTCACTCTGATTGCCAGTGGCGAAAATGAATGGATTCCATTCGTCAGGAAGCTCTGTGGAAATATTCAGAATTGGATCATTTATCTCGTTCATGTGATCATTCTTCTTTGTGGTCTGATCAGTTTAACACAATTTGAAAACGAATATCACTTGATCATGTTACCTACTGTTTTTTTACCAGGTTTACTGTATATTTTATTGTATAAATTCACAGCAACAAGTACAATACGAGTGACAACGAATTGAAAGCTCGAAAAAATAAATAGACTGTTGTTTGTTGTTGATGTTCACTATGTTTCTTTTTTTAGATGGTGACCGATTTGATTAAAATTCCTTGTGTGAGAAATCTAGTTTTCCGTGATCATCTACAAGCGTATCCGGAATCGATCATTAATGTTACACTACATAATGTTATCGTTACACATAAACAACCTGATGGAAATTACAAAGAACTATGGGTAAGAATCTGTTGTGGGAAAGTTTAATTTTTATGAAGTTGATCATAGATATTTTATACGAATATGGATGCTATTCAACCGAAATTTCCAATGAAAACTGAGTTTCGTTCTCAATTACCATTATCACCATCGCTTGCTTCGGTCTATACGATAGTTCTTCGCCTGAAAACGTTGGAGACATGTTATTTTGACGTACCAGTTTTAGATGATGCAATAAAACTAGCCGAATCTTTAGATGCGCTTATAGCCAATACAGGTAGGCATATTCACTCGCCATGAAAATGTGTACTTGAACAGCAAATCGTTATTTAGATGGACTGACATGTGACGTGACATTCTTATTTCCATTTTGTTTTTCGCGTGATTTTGATGTCATTCAAGATGGTTGGACAGCTTTTTCTGTCGAGTCGGAATATAGTCGATTACAAGCAATAAGTGACGAATGGCGTATCAGTGATGTCAATAAAGACTTTGCGGTATAATCATCATCGGAAATCTTGCTGATTTCTCTTTTAAATATTTTCGTTCTTCTCATTTCAGATATGCGAAACCTATCCAGAACGTTTAGTAGTTCCAAAATCAATCAGTGACGATTATCTTAAACGTTCAGCTGCATTTCGTGCTCATAACCGTTTTCCACTTCTATGTTATCTACACAAATCATCTAAGTCATGTATTATTCGAAGTTCTCAGCCGTTAGTAGGTCCGAGTGTTCGTCGATGTAAGGAGGACGAAAGTCTTGTCAATGCCATGCTTACTCAACGAAATAAGAAAGGATGGATACTTGACACACGTCATCCGAATATTATCAAAAGCGCGCAGAGTAAAGGTGGTGGATGTGAACCGGATCAGTATTATGCACTTTGGAGACGTCTCAATTGGAATTTAGAAAAACACAATCTTTTACAGGAATCATTCATGAAACTAATGGATGGTAAAGACGTTGCATTATTCGAAAGGAATTTTTTAATAATAAATTCGTCTTTTCTTTTAGCATGCATTGATCAGTCGGAAAAAGATCGATGGTTATCAAAGCTAGAAGGTAGCAATTGGCTGCTTCATGTCAAAGAAACGTTAAGAGCTGCATGCACGGTCGCACAAACAATAGATCGCGAAGGTACAAATAAACAAGAAATATATAATGATTTCGAGTGAATTTTTCTCTTCCTTTAGAAACGTCGGTTCTTGTTCATGGTAGCGATGGATGGGATACAACATTACTCGTCACAAGTTTAGCACAAATTTTACTTGATCCTGATTGTCGCACCATAACAGGGTAGAAATAAGCGATTGTCTTAGAGAAAAATCATTTGTTCGTTGTCTGTTCACAGTTTTGAAGCGTTGATTGAACGCGAATGGATTCAAGCTGGTCATCCATTTCGTACACGTTGTACACGATCTGCATTTGGCAGAAGTTCACATGGATATGAATCACCGATATTCACCTTGTTTCTAGACTGTACTTGGCAAGTATGTCGATACACTTCTCGTGAGATTTCATCATATTTCGTTTGAATATTTCCAAGCTTCTACAACAATTTGCTTGTTCGTTTGAATTCAATGACACATTACTAATCGAGTTATTTGAACATGCATATTCATCAAAATTCGGTAAAACTACAATCGAGAGACAGATTCTTCTCTATTCTAACTTTGCTCTTCTCCTTCAGGCACATTTATTTTCAATAATGAAAAAGAGAAGAAGAAATACAACGGGATTAAACAAACAGTATCACTTTGGTCTTATTTTAATCGACCTGAGATTCTTCATACATTCTTGAATCCATTTTATGAACCGAATCCAACTGTCTTATGGCCGAGTGTTGCCGCACCGAGTATTGTATGTAAATTTCTTACGTAAACTAGTTCTTAATATCGAATCTTTAGGTTCTGTGGCGTAGTTTATATCTACGTTTTTACGAGAATCAAACTCCGCAGCGTGAAGCTTGGGATGAATATTTATTAATCAAAGAAAAAGAAATGCAACTTCGTTCCTATGTCAATAAACTTCGACAGTACGTATACCGAAATTCAATAACCCTCTGTAAACCTCGTCTGTTTCTCTTTTTCCTTCGCAGAGAATTACTCGAATTGGAACGAAAATGTACAGAAAAAACTAGCAATACAACAAGTATGATCAAAACAGAAAAAGATCCGGTAACAATATAGAATGATTGAAGAGAATATCTATTGCATTTACTTCCTTTTCTATTCGCTAACAAACTTTTTGATTTGATTATGTTTTCTTTGTCTTCGTATATATATATATATATTTATCTATGATCAAATAGTCGTCGACCTTGTTCAAATGATTTTCTTCTGTGTTTTTTTTTTGTATATTTGCATTCCATAATTATTATCGAGAACAAATATATATCGATGTCAAAATCTCTCAAAGATTGTCTATACTTTTATGCAAAAGACACGAATGAAATGTCCTTCTTGACTTTATAATCATCAAATATATATGGATATACATTCAGATCCTTTTGCAAGTTGTCGTTAGAAGAAAAAAAAAGAGAACGACAGAACAGAACTAGTCGCGCTGTTGGATACTTTTTATTGATGTCTGTTCAATTGACATAGAAGTTCATCATTTCATACTCCTTTTTTATGATGTAATGAGGCGGATAATTGTACAACTCACGACAGAATCACGTTCTTAGGCAAGTTATGTACGAGGATTTATGTATTAAAAATAAAGACAGACAGAAAAAATTTCCACTTCCAGCCGAAAAAGAGAACGAAAGAGAGCTCGTTTTTTAATACTCATATTACTTCTCCTTCTATTAGTCGACGTTGTGTGAACAACTCATACGAAAAAAGATTAACCAAATCGATTGTATTTTGATCCACATCTGTTTTGTCAAAAAATCCTGGTCATGCCACTTGAACACGCTGAATGGTATTCGAAGCAATCCGCACATGCTAATGATAAATTGCAGGCTCGACAATGCTGCACTTATTACTCAGTAGTCAATATGAACCAAAACAATCATCCGTTTGTAAATTCATATGAACAACAGCAAACATGGACATTATCACGAACTATGGCCACTCATAATAAGCGATATCAATCGTCGATTGAAAATATTTTTCTAACGACACCAAAATTATCGCTGAAAGCCAAAACTCTCGAGTGTGAAAAGATTAGACCTGAAAAGGATCGTTTAGTTCCCTTTCTAGCATCATCTCGTCCGTCGTTTTATAATACAATTAAATCGTATCATCATCAAAATGAAAACTCGATTCCAGTCAAATCGATACTGAACAACAATTCGAAATTGAGGAACAATGCCAGTTTGAGAAGTTCGCCAATCTCAATTCGGCCCATGCGTGTTATTCATATGAATGGTGAATTAATCGTACGAATTTAGAATTTTCTAAACATTCGTTAAGACTATGAATGTGACACTTTTGTATTTCTTTCTTGAATTCGATCATTCGATTTCTCCATTCTTCTGTCAATATTTTACATGTGCACTATTAACAATAATTTTTTTCTATCGATTGAAATTATATTTAACGTACTGAATAAAATTGCTTTATGGTTCACATAACATGTTTTAATAAATTCGTCCGTAGAAAGATTATGTAATTTACTTCTCTCCTGACTCAAAAAGCATAATGCCATTCATTCGTCGAATACTTTTACACTAACGGAAGTAGTGATTATTGACTAATTACTCTTGAAAGGAGATATGTATTATCTTACAAAGTGACCTCTCTATCTGAAGCGGATTGGTTGTTCGTATAGTCAGTAGAGGAATGTCATTGCTATTCTTTCTACAACAGATGATGTGATCAACTATAAACTGATTGCAATAGGTTTCATTCATCTGAATGTCATCATCACATTGTCTTGGAAAAGCTCGTGATTCTCGACGCGAACGTGTGTCAATACGTCGAGCAACAGTATCGAATATTGTCAATGGAAGTCGAGGTAAACATCATCTCGAAATCTTGTTTCAATCAAAAATCGTTTTCCTACTTTCAGAGACACACAGTTTATTTGATGCTGTAAACGCTCAAGATTATGATCGAGGTAGACAAACACGATATCAGAATATTCCTCTACTACAATCTTCCATTTAGTTCTCGATCTTCTTCAAACAGGTGCTGATCCACGTATCGCTGATAAGTATGGCCGTACTTCGCTACATATTGCATCTACAAAACTCGATGCTGCCATAGGTAAATATTCTTTTATAGGAGATGATGACGATGTAGAATAATGTCATCTTTAGCGAAAGGGTTGATCGATCATGGTGCGGATGTCAATGTTGAAGATTCACTTGGTAATACTCCATTGCATTTGGCTTGTATTAGTGGTCGAGTAGCGATTGTTGGTGTTCTGCTTCGTGCTGGCGCAACTCTATCAGCAACGAAAAGTCGAGCAATGCCATTAACTCTGACATTGAGTCGTTTACAATCAATGATGAATGAAAAACGTACAATATCTTCTCCTGATATGAAAACTGAAATACTCGAAGTAGATCAAATGATATTCGATATTTCTTTCAGTATTCCTTGTGTTTCCATTTCTAGTTAATACGTCTACTAAAAAATCGCGCGTCGTCATCACATAACAACAATAATGATGCAATTTCGGATCTTTGTTCTCAATTAGAAAATTTAAACTCCTCTTCATCAAATGATTCCACACTAGATCCTTCATTATTTTCTAATCTAACAATTTCTATATATAAAAATGTACATTTGTAGATAATAATGCCAGCGAAAAAGCAGACAACTAATGGCCAACAAACATCGTCGAAAACACTGTTTCTCATTCGTCATGGTCAATCGCTTGCCAATCGTGATTACGACGAATCTGCTGCCTATCGAGATGCTGGCTTAACAGACCAAGGCATTGCTCAAGCCAGAGCTTTGCAAAAGCAACTCGCAGCTCTACAAATTGATCTTGCTGTGGTCAGTCCGTTAACACGGGCATTGCAAACATGTCAAAATGCACTACCACCGTCATATACCGGACCAATTCTTGTCCTACCTGAAATAGCTGAAATTTGTTCCTCGCATTATAGTTGCGGACAAAAGCGTAGTGTAGTTCAACCCAAATTTCCAGTCTCGTTCGATTGGACCAATGTTCCGGAAGATGAAATCTGGTGGTGGCAGTATGATAAGAAGCGCTGTAGTGAGAGCAATGATTACCAATCGGCACGAATGGAAAAATTTCGTCGTTTCATTCAAGAACGACCTGAACAACGTATCGCAGTTTTCTCACACGGTGATTACTTATGGGAACTCTTGGAAGGCAAATGTCCTTATCCAGCTAATTGTCAAGTGACTACGTATAAGATGTAATCGCGTCTATTTTTACACAATTGTAGTCAATAAAAATTTTGCGATTTTTTCTTTAATACGAACCATAAACAAGAACTTCAGATCAACAAATTCTTATCTCGATCAATGTATGTCTGTGTAGTCGAGGAAGTGAAGTCATGTTGTGCATTTATTTCTGTCTTCGATGTTCTTCAACAAACTGTCGCCGAATGAATCATAATGCATATAACTGATAAGATATTTCCATGCTACCTACAGTAAAATAAAAGCAAAGGAAGGTAGAAAGAATTACTCAGCGAATAGTTATTATCAAGAAATTCTTTTACATCAACTGCGAAATATTCTAGAGAATGGCTTCAACAACACATCGACGGCATCATCATCATCATCATGATCATCGACGCAGAAAGGATAGTTCGTCATCTGAAGAAATAGATTCGATGAAACTCGACTCTATTCCATCAAGAGCAAGTGCGCATCAGTCAGTCGTTATTTCACTTCCATCAGCAGAACGAGTATGAAAAAAGAACGAAAATATTTTTCTCAGAAAATCATTTTATATTATGTAAGGAGCGTAAAACCGTTGACGAATCGTCTTTACTCAAAATTATCAAGAAAAAACGACGAAAAGAATGGTAAAATATGAATTAGATAATGCAAAAAATGAGTAATTCTAAAATTTTATGCGTAGGGCAAAAATTGTTGCTCCGGTCGATGGAAATAGCATTAAAAAAGTAAGCGATTACTGCAAATACTTGCCAATATCTGTGTCTATCCATCTATTAACAGACGAAAGAATCTATCACAGCTAAATTTACAAAACTATTTCCAACAATCCCATCACCGATTCAATTTTTGCTAAACTCCATTGAAAGTAAAACAAATTGATTGTAAATTGCAATGCATCACTCTTGCTGAATACTTTTAGATCGTCATGGTTTTACCATTCGCTCCTATTTTCAATTCATCGTCTGGTTATTCTACTTGAATATGTTCACATTTCTTCTTTCGTTCTCATGTATCATAATGCCTACTTATATATATCCGAATTCGATTGACTACTCTTCATATGCAATGGATCAGTATTACCAAACTACGGGTAGTTCGAAAGATAATACATCCGACGGCATTTGTACACTATCCGATCCTCGATGTGCACTCTTAGATAAACCCATTTCTGACAATTATTCTGACATATCGGGAACGTGTATTAACAACACATTCACAGCGAGTAGTTGTTGTTCATCGCTTACCCATTCATATTTTGTGAATACGTCGCGCGATGCTGAAAATGTTTGGACGGAGTTTCTTGTTGATCTCATCGATGGAACTGTGAGTACACTTTGCACTCTTCCTAATTCCAATAATAAGTTATCTGTTGAAATTCTAGGGAGTTTTGTCTGTCAATCGATTATTTATCGGTTACTATCAGAACTTAACCAAAACAGCAAAGAATGATTCTTATGTGCAAACATATAACATGGGTTTAGCTGTCTTCCTTACCACTTTTGCTTGTCTTTTAATCACAGGAATTATCATTGTTCGAAAGTAGATCGATCTTCATAGTTGAATTCGAATCACAAGAAAATCGTTTGATTTTTCATTCTTTAGATTTGGTAATGGAATGAGACGAAGTTATGTTCAAAGTGAATCCTTTGAAAACAATCTGTTCCAATACATATTTGCTCGATGGGATTACCGATCTGTGGATGGAATTATTGCACATCGACACGCAAATCGTTTTCGTACAGAAATACGGAATATTTTCTTCGAGCGAAGTGAGAAAGTCAATTTCAAATTTGATAATGCAAAAGATCAAATTATCTTTCAACTAAAACGTGTCTGTGTATGGCTTATGACTATTGTTATCTTTGGTGGAGCAGTTACGATTCTATATTTCACGAATCGATTCACTTTTCAAGTTTGTCCTTTTACCATTGAATTGTAATAGACGAGAAAAGTATACTTTTAGAGAAGAGCAGAGAAAGAATCGAAGGGTGGTGAACTTCGATCAGGTCGTTTCGAAGATATGCTTGTAGAATATTTACCTTCGATTGTTGTATCAGTGATTAATTTGACATCGCAATTAATCTTCTATTTTATGAAAGATTTTAAACTCTATACACAAACAACGGCTGTTCGACATTACTTAATCAGGTAGGATTTCTTTCGTGTTATCAAGATTAGAAAATGATTTCTTTTTTTTTCTCTCTTTAGAGTCATTATCATGCGATTACTTTTGTTATTTACGTTTGTTTTCATTGTCATTTTACAAATAACATGTAATAGTCATCAGTGTGGAAGACAATCGGAGCTGATCAGTTGTGTGGAAATTCAAGGAAAAGCAACTTTTATACATGTAATGATTTTAGGTCGAATGCTTAATCAGTTCGGTTAATTTCATTACGAAAATTTTCTTTTAGTGTTGGGAAACTCTCATTGGGCAAGTTATTTACCGTCTGGTTCTCACTGATACAGCTGTGATGCTAATCATCCATCTTATTGTCGATCCCATACGACAGTAGACTAGAAAATATTCGCTTTTCACAATTGTGCATTTCGTTCTTATTTAGTCTTATAAGACGTTGTTGTTTTGCAGAAAGGGTTGTTGAAGAAGATGGAATTACAATGAAAGTTCATGCACCGCCATCGACCTGGTTTCTTTTTCAACCATTGGAATTCGAAGTTGGAGATTATGTTTTGGACTTAACCTACACACAAACATTATGCTGGTGAGAAGAGAAATTCGACGCGTTCCGCAAGATTGATTCAGATTTTTCATCTTTTAGGCATGGATTACTTTTCTGTCCATTTCTACCGTTGATTGCAGCAGTGAAGAATATCATTATCTTTGCTGTCAAATCAGTGAGAAAAGAAAAGATTTGATCAAATAATTTCTTTCTGGGTTTCAGCTAAGCTTAGCCGTATTTCGAAGAAGATCTCCGTTGGAATTAAGTCCTGCTCGAGCACGATTCATCTTCACAAGTGTACTACTGTTTTCTTTCGTTTGGGCACTTTTACCCATCGCATTTTTTGCGACATCGTAGGAATAATAATCTATTCTATTCTTTTGAATTTTCTTTTCGTTTTATATTAGACTTCGACCATCACGTGGCTGTGGTCCATTTCGTTTATACAGTCATGAACCTGATTTTTATATTTACTATTCTGTTCGCAATCTATTTACCCAAGTGCAAAATCGAATTCTTGTTAAACTTCTATTCAAATTGACAAGTGCAGTTGTGATCGTTCCGTTGGTATTAATATTAATGTAAATATTCTATTCTACTTATGCGATAGATCACACAAAGACTAAATATTTGCTTTTAGTTTACTCTCTTGCATATTATTCATTCGACGTAACAGTTATCGAGCAGCATCCGTGGAACTTTATAAACTACTTTATTCTGTAAGTTTATGATTCGAAAGTTGATATTTGTAATCTCTGACTAATTTTTATCTTCAGTCTCGCAAAACGCATCAATTAGCTGTAAAAACTGCACCAATGGTGTCAGCACATTTTTAAGTACATCATTTACTCAAGAACAGCCTTGAATAAATACATATGTGCAAAGAGAGAAACACATGTATTCCACCATGATACGTGTTTTATTGTGACATTTATATATATTTCGAAATGAAAGATCAATTGAATGAATATAAAATTTAGTTCAATATCACTTCGTCTACATCGATCGTTTGATATTTGAACGAAAGAGTCAGTCTTATCAACGACTATAACTATAAAACTATTATTATCAACTCATCGTCTATACGACGATTAAAGCATAAGTTTAAAACCCAATCTGTCTAATCTAATTCATACGTATATTTAGGTCAATTGGTCATCTTTTCCTAGAATCAACATATCTTGCGACTTCGTCAAACGAAATATGGTTGAATAAATCAATCTCTTCTTTCACTCATTTGTCTCACTATTCATTCATATTTTTAATGATAGATGTCGATGCAAAATGAAAGGTATTATTTGATACTCGCTTCACTTCATACATACGAAGAAAATCGTATCAATTGTAAATATACCCTTCGAAGGTGTGATGACTAAATGAAAGATATCTGTTACATTAGGCATAATAAATAGGTGTTTTTCTTCTTCAATGATGATTATCCTAAAGAATAATACAAAAATATGTCGGAGAAAACAAATACAACAACAAAGATATACAAAAACGTGAAGATTATTCCAGGGTAGTATCCCAACTAATACTTCGCCGTTTAGCTGTTGGACGAAAACGCTTCGTTGCTTTCAATATCGATCGAGAACTGATACTTGTCGTTTCTGTTATATTTACATCAATGGTATCAGTTTGAGTAGTAACAGGTGACGAACATAGAGCAGTTTCTTCATCAGGTGTTAATTGCCAAACCATATTGGCGAATGTACGTTTGCGTGTAGCGAATATATGTTGATTTGAAATTAATTGTTGTAATTGTGGAGAATTAAGGTCAACACCGAATTGATTAGCAATTGTATTGGTTAACAATTGTTTATCAACATTGAATATAGGATTTGTCAGATGATTGGCGAAATAAATCGGCTGATTACGATGACGTCCGACAGAAATAATTTGCGGCTTCTGTGGTTGATATTGCATAGATTGCAGTTGAGCATCGGTACCATTCGTATCGTTAGTGGGAGGTGAATTAGCAAGCAGTTGGCCCGGCATAAGATACTGTTGTGGAGTTTCTTTTTCAGTATTGTTTGTGAGTGTATAATAGACATAACTTTCTGATTGATTTTGTTGCTGCTGTGGTTGTGCTTGTGTTGGCGCTTGTTGTTGTTGCTGTTGTACTTGAGTCTGTGTTGGTGTTTGTTGTTGCTGCTGCGATTGCTGTTGATCTTCAACATTGATAATCGGGATGTTATAAAATGATTCTCGTTTCACTTTTGGTTGTATTAAAATAGGTACATTTTCGTAAATATGATCCGTAGGAGGTTTACTGTTTTCGGCGGGTGCACGAAAACTACTACCTCCTGCTTTGATCATGGGTAATTGGGGTCCAAGAAGGTCGGTGTTTGAAGTAGGAATATTGGTAGAAAGAAATTGATCAATTTCTTTCTCGAGGGTCACAGGTAAGCCATGTGATGAGAGACCTTCTTCCGTCAAATTCGAATTCGGTACTATTTGATTGCCATTCGTCATTGTATATGCTGTTAAATTATTTAAAGAAATAAAATTACTTTGATTTCTTACTAAAACAGGACGAGGTGGTGCTGATAAAATGACTGGTTGATATGGCTGGTGATTAAGTGAAACAGTTGGAGTATCAATTGACACATCATTCACTTGGGGAGAAACATCCGATGCTGCTTCTATATAAAAGACGAGTTTTTCTCATAGAAATACGATTAGAGTCGGTGAAAACAAAAGAACACGTGAAAATAGATGATGTTTGGGTGCAGATTTGCAGATTTATTATGTGTTACAAATGAACGAAAAAGCTAACACAAGTTGATTTGGAATCTAATGTTTGAATGGAAAAGTGAGGAGAAGTATATTAAACACAAATTGATATCTGTGAAATTGATTTTTTTCTTTTTTTTTTCTCTAGAGTTATTTACCTTCTTGATCCGAAACTGTATTTGTTGAACTATTCGAAAATGTTCTTCGACCATTTCGTACAGTTGCTTGCTGGGCTGTTTTCTTGCTTAGAGACGAAACGACGCCCGAGCCAATCATGGTCTTCTTATTCTTTTTCAGTAATTGTCGCCGTCGATGATTAATTAAGCTAAAGTCGGTTTGCGTTTCCGCATCAACTTCAGACTGGGAGGTTATGTCAGGAAATGACGATGACGATGTTGTCGTCGTTGTATCTAATACCGTTTTCGGCTTGTCGACTTTACCAGCTAATGGACTAGTACTCATCGAACGCGTATCATGTGAAATTCTCTTTTCTAGTTTTAATGAAGCGATTTCATTACGTAATTCTTTTAATTCACGCATTAATTCTGCTATTTGATCACCTGATAAATTATTGCTAATCGTAGTCATTTTATCATCATCTTCATCGTCACCATTGCGTGACGGCTTCTTTGTATACGATAAGATTTCTTTGGTTGAATTGGTCGTTTGTGAATCGATCGATGATGCTGTATCACTATAGGTTCGATGATTTGTTTGACCACCTTTAGAATCGTTCGTCGACGATTTACCTGGATCGAATTCTGCACGTGTCACACGGCGAATAGTTGCTGACGATGAAACAGGTGGTGGAGATGATTGATGACGATTTGACGATGATGATGTTTTTTGAGTAAACGCATTCTGTTCATTGATAATTGAAAGAGATTTCGTTTTCGTTTTGTGATTTGTCAACGTATTATGATCAATACTATGACTTTCATTTCGTGGTAATTTATCAACTGATTTGTATCGAACGGGTTTAGCAACACTGGAAGCACTTACGGATCCCGAGAGATTGACAAAGAATCGTTGGGCTTGTTGGAGAAATGCTTGGGCTGAATCGGTACCACGTAAACGAAATACCGACGCTGAATACGGTTGATTGGCATGATGGCGTGATCGATTGATCGTTACGACAACAATAATATTCATATAATAAGGGTCACGCCAAAAGTAGAGTAATTCAGGTGTTTTAAATATCCATGATTGAGATGGATCAGTGATATTGTCGATGATCAGACCATCATCCGGCAATGATAGTTTTACTTTTAGACCTATAGCAATAAATACAAAGAAAAGCGATTGAATCATTTTCATTGTGAAGTTTTATTTTTCTATTCAAACCTTTTGATTTTGTTTTCGATAAAATATTCTCAACAGTTTGTTTTAATGTATGTGTCGTATAATTTTCTAAATCAACTCGATCGAGAAAATAAGCTGACGATTGATTTGATGATAATGTTGGTGTTGATGTTGATGTTGGTTGAACATGTATATTATTATTATTTGAATTCAATCGATGATTGGAGTATGATGATAAACTATGATTTTGAAATGTTGGTGATATACGATGCGCAGCATGATGATGGTGATGATGACGATGTATTGTTAATGATTGTTGCTGTTGTTGTTGTTGCTGCTGTTGCTGTGGTGGTTGTTGTTGTTGTTGTTGCTGCTGCTGTTGATGGAGATGAAGTTGTTGTGGTTGATGTACTTGAATCGGATAATTGAAATGAGTTGTTGGTGTTGGTTGCTGAGGTGGTTGAACGGAACTATAACGAACGCTTGTCGGCATATTCTTTAATGATAGAAATAGAAAGAAGAACGAGTTAGATCAATATATTCGATTGATTATACATATAATTTTTTTTCATTGATGAGAACAATAAAAAACGAAAAGAAAAAGTAATGAGTATAACTTGAATATTACGAACGATGATAGAATATGCTTTATGGAGCATCAATGTTTGTTTCTCCCGTTAGAGAACACGACGAAGAAGAAGAGAAATGAAACAGAGAATAAGGGAGGGAGAGAGAGAGAGAAAAAGCCGATAGATAGGTGAGGATCATTGATAGTAGCGACGGTAAACGAGAATGGCTTCTTATTTGTAAAGTGACAACCATCTCTATTCATTCGTTTAGTTTCGTTTGTCTCATGGACACGCTCGAATGAGTGCTTTAAAGTGTCCCTCGAAAAGACTTTACCAAATGAAATTCAACTTAACCGAGACGACATCCAGTTACATTCAGCGCACAGATTGCATATACATACGCACACATCTATCCTATATGTATCTGTATATTTACGCGTACATTGCATTATACTAGTTGAATTGAATTCATCGAACGCAGAGTAAGAAAAAAGAAAGATGATGAACAGCGAGACCAATAAGCGTATCTTCGATATTCTTTCGTAACCTTCGAATTTATATAAATAACCGTGATAAATACGTAACTTTCTTATTTGTTTATATTCGATTTACTTATTTGCCTAGGTGGGAGATACGTTCCAGTTGCTTTTTCTTGCTTCGATACCTTTCCTATTATGTCAATACACGTTGTCAGTTTCGGAATGATGCATTCGATGTCACCCGGCAGGTTGTCAAATAGCTTTCGTATCAAATTTATTTGTATTATCAAGGAAACATGTTCTGTCTGAAGAATGATCAAGGCAATAGCTGTCGTACAGATGGACGAATAGATTATGATAAATTTGACAGTTTTGTTTTGTGAATAATTGTAAACAAGACCTGAAATAACCTTAATCTACAATCAAGTTTTTTCTTCTTCTTCGTTCTCGTCGACATAAATATACGTTTATTACTCAATATCATATTGAATCTTTAATTTGGAGGAAATGAAGTATAACGAAAAAACAAATAAACAATGATTTAATTAATAATACTACCCGAAAGCGTGACACTTCTCACCCTTGAGATAACGATAATAATCGGCAAGTTTGGCATTGATTCGCTTGATAATTTCGCATATTCCTCGACCAAAATAAAAGCAAACCTTTACGTAGGTTTCCTTGTAAAGCTATTTTCGTAACAAATATTACAGACAACAACAAAAGAATAAGCGTAAATATAATTTATTAAATGACGTAGTCACTGCAACGCAAATTAATGTTAGAATAGAAAATGCGCATTCAATCCGATTACTATAAATAGAAGTTCTATAGATCTGGGTGCAAATCAAATATGTGAACGTCTGGGAATCTTCTAAGAATGAGTTCAGGGATACTGTCGTGCTGTTCGCGAAAATTGATTAAGCAATAGTTGGTAATTAGATTTGATTCTTCTTTTTTTTTATTTTTCGTACATCTTCGAATGCACATACAATATGAGGAGAAAAACAACAATGATTAATATCGTCTAGATGATTATTAAAGGATCACAAGACGCACAGAGAAAACGCTTGAAGCAAAAGAAAAACAGAAAAGAAAATTTCACTGTGTCATCATCCTATCGTGTAATCGTTTACAAAAAATAAATGAAAGTGACACACAAACGAAGAAGAAAAACGTGACGTAACAAGAACGTTTTCGAGACAAAAAGAAAAACAATGGAAGAAGATGAAAAGTAATGTTTTTGTTATTCGAGATATACTTATGTATATAACAATAGACTAATGATATTCTTGTTCAAACAAGAAGCACATAGGCAAACTTTCTTCTCATGAGTTCATTTTAACAAGAGATGACTACGCATCCTTTCATATGTACATTTCAAAGCATGTTAATGATTTGTGTCAATGCGATAGTTTGTTTTTAATTTTCACTATTGAACAATAATAGCTGAATCGGCGAGTGTTTTACTTTTGGATGTCGAACCACAGTATGAGCTCGATGTCGGTCGAGAATGAACTTCATTCGACTCGGTCGTACTTGTCGCTAATAAACATTTCTTTTCCCAATCTTGTAATTGAAGCATAAAGCTGATATTCGGATCAACTATTTGCCGTAGTTGACGCATTGCAGTAAATGCATCGTCTAATTTCATGCGATCTTTTTTGATCATATAAGCGAGTACTAATGTTGGACTTCGACTAATTCCAGCAGAACAATGTACAAGAATATTACTCGATTTATCATGTAAAGCTTTATCTAAATTGATCTTTGTTAGAAATGCATTCAATCGGAAATGAAGTGAAACGAACCAATGAATTGAAAAACATCTTCGAAATGTTTTCGAATATTTTGAGACGGTAAGTCAAGAACGTCTACGCGAAGGTATTTATATTTTCCTTCCCATTTACATGGTAAATCGGGTGTGCAATTGATGATATGTGTGATGCGATTTTGATTTAAACGATCGAGATTTTGTGAATCAAGCATGTTTCCTAAAGTAAATAGGAGATAAATATTTTTTATCAGTTTAACCTTCGGAAGATGTTCTGCACTATTTGTTGAATGATGTCACGAACGAATCTAATCTTTAAATTCAGTACGCAGAGTTTGATTTGACTGCTATGACAACTTTGTTGACTTTTTTCTTTCTTTTCTCAGACTGGTAAGAACTTGAAACGAAAGCAAACAACGCATACCCACGAAAATATGAGGCACGATTTGTGTCATAGTGAAATTTTCTTTATCCAAAGTATCTGGTGTTGATGGAACATAACCATCAGATGTATCTTCCGGTAAATGTTCTGCTGTTTGAATTATTTGCGGATACTGAGATTTAATTGCATCAAAACGACCTAAGAATGTCACATTGAAAGGCGATTTTCCTCAAGGAACCAGTGGTTTTTACCTTGAAGAACAAAAACTTTTTTATTGGATTTCTTCGCCGCTTGAACAACGAGATTCAACGGTGATGAACGTATTTTCTCTTCACTTGGCACATCTATTGATTGATCGTAAAGAAGAACACTATCGGCATGTTTTAATGATAGAGCTAAATTAGATTCAATTTCTTCTAAAGGTTTCGACGATAGTTTTCTTGTTAAGAGCTTCGCTCGACAATTGATATTATGTGAGGAAATAATACGTTCAACACTGTAATCAAATTGTGAACGGCAATCAATAATCACCGGTAGAGATTTTCTTTCATGCACTGACGAATTCGTCGAAATTAAGTCGACGAGTTGTCTCGATGTCAGAAATGTACAATAGTCATTAGAAGAATTTGTTGAATGAACATCGGAACCCGAGTGTAACCTGTTCGAATGTGTTGATGAGTTGATAACGGTGATGGGTTTACTAAAAGTATTCGGATTGGTATGTTCAGTCTTCGAGAGCATATTTAATTTCTTCTCAGCCAAAACATGATCGGTAACAAAAGAAGTCATACCTTGAAAAGAAAGAACATTTCAATTAATGGATTCATATCCAGTGAAAATTGGATTTCTCCCTTTTGACATCTTTGTTTATTTACCAGCAAGTTTTATTACTTATTTTGATAGATAATAAAAGGAAATGTATCGAAATTTTCGTTTTTTCATGAATATCTGATAAAAATGTACTTTTTTCAGTCAGACTAAAAATAAACTATCTAATTTTCGATAGATGTCATCGGTTCATACAGAAACGAAGTAGTACGAAAACAGTTCGTATATTTACCTGAAAGCTATCTATTGCTAATTGGGATACAGTCTAACTTTTGATGATTAAATACTTCTTTTCTGCTACTCGACTAAAAATTTGAAGGTAAAAGTTGAGTCAAATATATACGCAATACCTCGCCCACTTTATTTTTCTCTTTTTCTCTTTTTTCTTTATCTCGTTACGTTCTCTTTTTTTTTGAATAAATAGCATCGTCTGCGTTACATTGCTCGGCATGAATACGTAATACAAATTCAGCAGAAGTTTAATAATTGCCAGCTGGCGTATAAGGAAAAGGACGGCTCTTTACAAAAGAAATGACGAATATAGCTGTTCACCTATGATATTCTTGCTCTAATCAGCAATTTCTATCTCTGATGTTGGCAGAATAGCGACGCAAATCATGTATGGAGTTGCGGCCAAACTAAAAGTCATTGTTTGTACTGTTTTCAAGAATATCACGGGCCGAACTGAATGATCTATGTTCTGTTTACTTTGACGACAATGTCGAGTACCTTGACGAAATCGTATTTTTATTGATTTTTTTATCTGAGTAAAACCTTGTCATGACGATAAAGAGAAACTGATGCATTAATATTGAAATAAAGGGCAAAAGGCATGTAGGGATCTTTTATTTATGTCAATATTAACAAGATAAATACCTGATTTTAGACTTTGATAAAACTTGATACTCGGCGATGAGTCGAAGTACGATGGGTTAATGAAAAACAACGAAAGAATATGTCTGATTACGAAACTTTTCCTTTCTTAGAATACTAAGATATGTATCCATTTATAAAAAGCCAAAACGGGGCAAGAAAAGAAAAGCGAGGGCGCACATAGAAGTGCGGAAAATTATTTGACTCATGATATTTTTCTTCTTTCTCCCCTTTTCATACTTTATAATGTAATAATTTACATTTGGTTTTCTATTTGAGGACATGCGTCAAACAATCTTCTCTCGTTCGTGTTCGTTCGAGATGTTGCAATGGATTGATACTTTCACGCACATTCGATATGTCATTACACACTTCTAAAAATCTTCCACTTCCGACGTGAAAGTAAAAAAAACTAACAATACTTGTACCGAAAACTCTTTTTTCTGTGTCAGACATCGACCTATAATATATATATGAAGGTAGATAAGATTTCTTCCTGTATAACCAATGAAAATCTGTATTTATTGATCAGGTGTGCGATTTTTTTCAAATATTCTGATTGAAATCAAAAGGGTTTTTTTTATGAGGATATGCTTCGTTGAAATTGATTATACAAGATAACTATGTTGTTGTTGCAATGGATTTTGTTCACATGACGTCAATAGAGCTCGCTTTCCTTTCTCGTTCGCTAACTGCACACAGGCAAAAATCGAGCCATTTGATTGTTGATTTGATTTTTCTTCTTTCTTACCCAATGTCTAGTAACCGAGATCGTTAAGAAAGAAAAACGGAGTGCTTTTGTGTGTAATTTTTTAAATGCATTGCAATGTCTTGTTGCTACTGATGTTGTTGTTATTGTTATTGTCCGAACGCACCGTCATTTAACGGAGGAGAGGAAAAAACGATTGATTAGCAAAGATTTGTGATTGAATAAGTTCGCTAATTTGAACAACGGGATCATGGCACCGCCATCAACTAACGAAGAAAAAGTGACGTTTATTTTGTTATTTTCTCGTAATCGTTCATCGTGTGACGTTCCTTATTTAATGGCACAACGAGATGAACATATCTATCCGACATTGATGACAGCAACATTCTATTTTATGCGTGATCTGATTGATTACAGGTAGAAAAGTTTAGATCTTCAAATGACATACATCGTTTACTCTTCTTCTTTTAGAGCCATTTCACTTGACAACTGTGTGTATATTATCGGAGGTCGGTATGCATCGACTGGTCGTCTTTCAAACGCTGTTTTTAAATACGACGCGCACATTGACTTCTGGCGAGGATGTGAGCCAATGAAGTCAGTACGGTACAGTTCCTTTTCTCTGGCAACTCTTCCGTATTTGACTTTTCCGATCATTCTAGCGCTAATTTCGCAGTTACTATATTTGACTCAAAAATTTATGTACTCGGTGGCGAAGGCCAAAAAGGTATTATTGTTCAATCCGTTGAAGTATATGATCCGACTACAAACAAGTGGAAAGAAGCAGGTACATTCATGAAACCAAAACGCTATCATGCAGCACTTGCAATGCATGGGAAACTCTGGTCGTCTGGCGGCGCAAATTCCTTGATCGAAGCTAAATCAACGGGTGAACTGATGTTAGAAACAGATCCGCGAAAGTTCAAATTCTTAAAATAAGCTTCTTTGAATTTTTCTAGTCTTGTCGATCCTCAACCAAATGAATGGAAACGATCAATAACAAACCATACGTTACCTGTTGCATGTCAACAACATTGTATGACAGTTATTAATGACAATATTTTAGTTTTTGGAGGTAGGTAGTTATAAATGATTCTGATTGTGACGTGTTGTGCTTTATTTAAATTGAAGGCTGTCAAAAAAATGGTGACGAAGCTCACAACATTCAAACAATTGCTCGTGCTATTAGTCAATCGTCTGAAAGCACAACAGAGTGGGAAGAACTTGATATTCAATTAGAACACCCCCGTACAGATTGTGGTTATTTTCAATTAGGTAAAATAACAACAACAGAAACATTTTTTTTGGAGAAAAAGAGCAATTCTCGCCTGTCGTTCTCACCTTTCAGTAAAGAAATAGTCGAATGTAACACAACTAGTTTAATGAGGAAATGACATTCAAATGCGGAGGTTTGTCTTTTCTCACCTGGTCAATAATTCTACACGAGAGAAAACAATTATTTTTTCAGTTGGATTTCAAGAAATCACAAGCGAGCATTTGTCATTTATTGATAAAGAATTCCAACTACGCAAATTTTTATCTGAAGTATTACCATCTGTGATAGAATGACACTAATATTTTAAGATAAGATGAGTCAGATTGGAATTACAAAACGCATTACGTTGTAGTTTTTTTTTCTCTCATGTGATCAGGCAAAAAAATTTATATACATGTTTCGAAAACGACGTGCAATGAATCTGAAGAGGTATCACACAGATATCTCGAATGATGCCATAGCGATTGTTCGTATTCACATGCAAATTGAAAACACTTCAAAAATATCTGAGTGAATGGACGTTTATCTATGGTAATCTAGTTATAAATATACAGCTGGCCAAAAAGTCGACGTTCTTGTGCTTTTCCCCTTTGCAGGTGTACGTAGAATAGAACCGGCGCTTTTCGAGTGCAAAAGTATTACATAATATTTTCAATAAGCAATTCAAACATGTTTCTGACTAATCAATATACCCTAAAATGATTACGAGATGTGTTTTGCGCATATTTTTTTTTTGTAATAGGAAGAAGAATTAAATCACGTTCAAAGCATGACAATGATTTCATTTAATCAAACATAACGTGTCATATGCTAAATTATCATGTTTAGGAAAACTCTATAGCAACATTTTCTCTCTCTCTTTTTTCCCTACAGGTTCATCATTATACATCATCGGGGGCCATAATTGTCAAACAGGTGACCCAACAAAAGTCATCGAACGCATTGATTTCAGTAACAGTTCCAAACCAACAATTGACGAGCAATTCGAAATCGACAAGGACTTCGCTGCTGTGGATTGTTGTGTAGTTCAAACGAATCAGTACAATGAACATCTTTTACCGTTAGCTTCCTATTTAGACCGTTGGATTGTTTGGTAATTTGATTAGATTTCTTTTTGAGTTCTCATAACAAATAAATTTCACATGTCAATTACAAAGCAAAGGAAAAAGAAGAAGCAGTATTGCTTTTAGATAATACTGCCTATCAGACAGATAATTGGAATAATGATTACATATGAAAATTAGGACAAAAAAAAAAAATTGAATGTATTTTTTTCTATGTGGGAATGGTTTCGATCAATATGCTTTTGCTAATTCCTTACTGAGCCATTCAGCAGAAATATCTTCACGTAATTCAATAATCTAAAATGATGAAAAAACATTTGTTTTCGTTTGTTCACTATGATGACAACATACACGAGTGATACCAGATGAAGCTGAAACCGCGTTCGCTGTCGATGCATATGTAAAACGATTGTTCGTTCCACATCCATCAGGAATGTATAAAATTAAATTCAATGGATATTGAACACGACCATCCGCATGCTTCAATTCATGGCTATGTAAAATAAAACGAGGTTCACGACTTGGTAATTCCTCAATTAATTGTTCGACACTGATGTCCTACAATACTTTCGATTTGAATTGAGAATCTCGGGGAAAAAGTCAAACATACTTTTAATTCTTTGTCAATCACAACTTGATTGGTTTTCATATCACAACGTACTAAGAATAATGATTAATTTGATTAAACAGATGCTGTTATTCACTTACATATCATAGCCATGGTTGATTTGTTCGATAAACGTCGAAACTTTTTCATTGCATCGACTACATCTTTTTCAATGGTACATGGTGACATTGAAGCCATGTTTTCTTTGTTTTATATCAATCTGAAATCAAAACATAGTCATATGCATGATTACTGTTATAATTTATTCGATCAAATTTGTCCACTGAGGTCAATAACTCGATATACATTATATCAAATAATTCCAATAAAAAAAAACATTTTTTTATTGTATTTTCTACTGATCATTACATCCACTGTATGTGATTCCACGGTTCATTATTCAATAACTGATTGATTAATAATTTTGATCGAAATGTTGTGTAAAACAAATAGGCTTGAAGAGTTTTTGGTAAACAATCAAACTGAGACATCATGATGAGCATATTCACTTGTCGACGTTCACAATAAACTTGAGTGCATTGACGAATTTTCGAACGGCAAAGTTCTTTGAGTTTGTACAATGGTCGCGAATGTGGCTTGTGTTCAACAATTCGACGATAGTGTACACCGAACAATACACGTAAGAAATTATTATCATAAATTTCAATGATATCATCAACATATGGCAATGACATTAAGTGTTCATATAAACTTTGATCAAAAACGAAGTCTTCGTCAGAAAACCACAGTTTCATATAAGCAACAACACTTGCCATCGATGATAAACGATCGTACGTTTGAATACGTAAGATTGTTTTTGCGTAGGAATCAAATAAAGTACGTTTAATCCGATTACTCGATACTAAACGAGTACAAACCGAGATTATGTGGAATAATGTGTAAGAAAAATGATTTCTCGACGAAGAAGGCGTTAAAAAATCAATAGTATTGTGTAAAAGATTAATTGGACATAAATTTGCTAAACAATAATATACCATTGGCATATGTTCATTCAATAGAGCATAGTAAAAGGCATATCGATTGGGTCGAAGAGAAAAGTCGATTGAAACATGAGAGAAGAGGTTCTCAATGGTTTTCATTGTCGCATCGTATCTGTCCGGATGAAATATCCATGAAGACATTCGTGCAAGAGCTAAAAACGGAGTCATCTGTTGATCGTAATTAATGTATGTACACGGATGATAGTATTGTTCTGGAGATTGACATGATTTGGTCGAATCAAATGGAGATGTGCAACAGCGATCGAGATAGCCTAAGAATTCCGATGAATTTGTTTCGTCTAAAACAGCTAAAATACAAGCAAAAGTGAACAAATATATCGATAGACACATTCGAGATGTCTTACAGTTTGACACATTTGTGCAATCTCGACTGATCATTATTGTATTCGGATTAAAACCAAAATCAACTAAAGCTTTGACAATATCAAAGAATGATTTCGTACAAGCAACGACAAGTGGTTCAATAATATCAAGTCTGATGTACGATTGGGCATATTCTAAGATGGCTTGAACCAACAACAGATCACCTGTTTGTACTGCAAGTAAGAACGGATAGTTTGATCCGTAATTATACATGGCATAGATATTCGAATCACTTTTGATTAAACTTAGTGCATGCTGTTTATGAGAGGAGTGTTCCGCGATGATATTACTATCATTACTTTGACACAAACGACGTAAACATATATTTAATGGATGATCAAGTGAATATAATAAATGACTATTTTGTTTTTGATGAGAATTTTGTGTTTCATAACGATTCCATCCCAGACGATTGACACTACATTTGTACTTTAATAACAAACTAGTGTAGTCATAGAGATTATCATGTGCAAGACTGATACATAATGGATTGAGTCCTAGAATTCAAGAAAAACAAACTTGTTAGGTTCATTTTTCGGGAAGAATCAGTCGTACCAAGGTCAATATTACAATTCGGACTTGTTAAAAGATAATTAACAATTTGAAAACGTTGCTGATTACTAATTGATGAATCGAAACGATTTTCAACAGCACCTAGAATTGCTCCGTGCAAGCTGGTTTCATAAGTACTTGTGAGTTGATTGATATCACAATGTTTCAATTCAATAAGATATTTGACTAGACGAAAACAATTTTCTCGACAAGCATCTAGAGAAGAAACTAATTAGAACAAGATTGATTTCAAACATGTGTATTTACGATAGAGAGGATATTGATATCGTTGCTGCTCGTTATGTTGAGTTTTACAATGTTTACAATTCGATTGAACACAATCATTCGGATTGATATGACCATAATCAGTTAAATATTCGATAATATTAAAATATCCACGTTTGACAGCTAAACATAACGAGACTACTTCGGTATGTTTCCCGATTTGTCCGTAATCATGATAATTAACGAGTGTTTGAACTAAATTGTAGTTATTATTTGACACAGCCATATATAACATACTATCACTAGAAAGTATCGATGCGAAAAGACTTGTTTCGACATAGTAATTTTTAATTTCATTATTATTTTTGATTAGATGCGAGAAAAATGTCTTATGATCGTGAGGTATATAATCAGGCGAAGCACCATGAGATAACAATTTTCGCGTTTTGTACACATCATTTTCGTGTACTGCGACGTACAATTTTTCGTTTAATGTTAAATAACCAAACAGCGACGATAAAATGAGATCATGCAGATGCACATAGCAAAAACGATATAACGATTGAATTTGTTCAACAAACCAAGAGAAAAACGATGGTGGCGGAGCTGTTGTGATTGGATTCACCAATGGATTATATTCCGGCTAGAATGGTTCCATGAAAAGTTGTTTTTCATGACGGAAACACTTACTGGTTTCGCCACCCTCATGTATAACCAAAAGTCTCGATTGTCCATATTTTAAATCGATGATGAAATATTCTACACTTGAAATGGTCTATTTTGTGTTCGTTATTGTCATTCCAAACCAACACTTGTAAATGGTTAGTCTTAAAATAGAACAAAAAAAAACACGCGAAAATTCAATAACCAGGTGTTTTCATTTAGCATTGAAACGCCTCCTTCTTCTCCTTCTGTCGAGGTACAACGTTGATGAATGAAAACGTGTTCTTACGAGCTGATAGAACAGGACATCTATCTCGTGTTATTTGTTTCGCGTACTTTTGAGTAGAATATAGAAATGAAAAAAAAAAAAAGAAAGGTCCTATCTCGATGACAGATACTTCACATTTCTCTCTTTGTTGTCAAGGCTGTTTAGCCGTTTTCACATTGTGAAACCAAGATTTTAGGGTTACAGTAAACCTAACGAAATTGCTGTTTACATAATCAGATACTGTGTTCACTATTTGACATGTCAATCTTGATAATTTCAGCTCGGGTATGCGTGCAAAATCAACCGATCGAAACATGAGGAGCTTCTTACCTGTACGAACGATTTTCACAATAGAATTAGTCAAAACATTAATCACCGGCTGATTACATTGTTAGTACTACATCCAGAATGTTATTCAACAATCTACAATAGAAAGTTCGTTGAACTTAGCAGTTTTCCGAGTTAGTTCTAAGAGCATGTTACATATTTCATTCAGTTAAAATGAAGATGATGCTTGTTTTTACTCAATTCTTATTTGTCGTTTTTTTTTTCAATCTGAATTAATTCTGTTATTTTATAAATACAGATACGAATGCATAAGAATTCCGAAGAAGACACAAAAAATCAGAATTAACAGAAAAAGAACAGATTTTCCTTGGTAATATCCACAGGCGAGACTAAGAAAGAAGAATTCACCAGAGCAAAAGTCGTCCATACATGATTTTCTTCGTTCCAGACATAGACAAACGAGAGAAAAAGAGAGCGAGAGAGTTGAAAGCGATAAAGACGAGATCATTTTGAGTCATACGTATTAACAAAAAAAAAACAAAAAGGAAAGACAAAAGGAGCAGATATTTTATTATAAAAAAAAACAACCAGTTCAACAGAAGATGAATCGACTTGAAGATCAAGATTTTATACTATGCATTTCATTGTTATTATTCGCTATTGATGAATTATCATCACTCGTTTGAGAACGATATGATGAAGCATTTAATAATCTGAAACAGAACGAGTTCCTTTCAACGAACTCATGTTTTTATCGATTCGATCGCATACCTGCTACTATGCAAAGTAATTCGATCTGTATTTGACTGAGTATCCGACAGTAATGTGTTGCCATTAGGACCACCTAGACAAACGCAAGTTACATTGAACCAAACACTCATGATACGTACCTTTACGGAATACTTTATGCGAAAGAAATCTGACAAAACGATCACCGTAATGACTTGGATTACAAACAGATATTTCTTCCTAAACGAAATAAATTCATATAAAGTATTTGCTTCGCTTGGCATATGTTAATACGCACTCGTGTTACTAAGGTCGATTTGAAAGCATGTTCTAATTTTTTACGTAGTCGATAATTTTGAAGGATATCGATGATACCAACGTATAACAAGAGTAAATCACCATTTTTATTAACAGCTGGAATGCCAGCCCTAGACGAAAAGGAGAAAAATGCCGAATGACGTCTTTTCTTCAAGGAAAAACTGATTAGTTCTCCGTCTTTTAGAATGAATTCAATGCATTATGTATTCTTCAAGCGTCATTTCAATTGAGCGCGGGTATATGAATATATTTTATCTCACCATTTATTCATCGGTATACTCCTACGTGAAAAGAGAAAGAAAATTGATTACATACATAGCAAGACGTGAAAGGTTTTGTCGATTGTACCAAAGATCACCGCCAATTAAAGCATTAGTAACATGGTGCGGTGATGCATCATGGATATTTGTTGGACTTTTACTATTTCGACGAAGTATTGGCTGATGATCATGAACTGTAGGTACGTTCGTGTTTAACAATGGCGAAGCATCTGGCTTGACTGTTTTTATACTTGCTGTATCGAGATTATCAATTACAGAGTTCTCCACATTGGAAACCGATGATGTTCTTACTGAAGGTTCTTGTTGATTACGTATGAATTCAATAACACGTATGTATTGAATATATGTCGGTAGATTCGGTACTGTCGTTACTGTAATACCGGAATCTGTCGACGTTGTTGTTCGTAATTCTTCATGAATACTTAATGCTGAATTAACAGTAATGTCGGATCCTGAAGGCGTTCGTTTGCATGGAGTTGGAGATACTATAGATAGTGGTGGTGGTGGTAAGAGAGATAAATTCTGCGTTGATTTCATTTCTTCGGTGATATTGTGAACAGCAAGTAGAAGAGAATAATCCATGATATCGAAACTACCAAGAACCTGACATGTAAAGAAAGAATTTTTGATGAGAAGAATGAAATTGCAGATAATCACATACTCGAACATCGTCTTCAATCGTTTGCATTAATTGATCGTGAAAGAACGGTTCTAGTATTAAACCATATGGATGCAATGATTTAAAATCATTATCTTTCAGCGTGGGTAGATCACGTTTGCGTTCTTCTTCCGAAGCTTTACGTTTATAAATTGATCCTTTTAGATCATATTTTTCATGCAATTGAACATTGGTTGGAATTAGATTGTTCATTATGACAAAACGTATATTCTTATTGGCACTTTGATAACAGTAGAGACCGAAAAATTTCGGTAATAATGTAAAGGGATTTTGAGTCAGATTCATATAATATCCGGGCAAAAGACTGAGTAAGAAACGAGCTTCTTTCTTTGAGACTGTTTTTATAATGTACGTATCATCAGCTGTGATGTAGAATATTGAACCACTCGCACCTGGATTAGGTAAATCACGTAAATCTTTAGCACATAAAGACAGCTAGAAGAAAAGAAAAAGCAGATGTAAATGAGAATCTCAGCGGGAGAAAATAGATTTTGTCCAGTCGAATCCTATCGATTTACTCTGAGACTTAGTCGTATTAATAGGCATTTTTGTCAAATAACAACAACAACACATCCGTAAGTGGATAGCAAATGTTTTCCAGCCAGTCGAATGCGATACTCGTAGATGGATAAGATATTCTGCATGTGTTTAAACAGCAGATACCAAGTATTAAAACACTGAGTTAAGTGTTGACAGACTTGAGTAAGTCATGTCGACATTTGATTACCGATCGTAGGATTGTCGTCCTCGTATGTCGTAAAGAATTCTTTTCGAGCCGAGTTTTGTTCTTTGAGAAAGATCTTTTCAAGGCTCAGATTCTTTAGTAACAATTATCATGATTTTCAGCATGAGCTTAAAAACTACAGGAAATGAAGAGAAACTGATTAGAAAAGAGTTATCATGAAATAGAATTTCATCAAGCAAGAAAAGAAAGGAGAAATATAGTTAATGCCATATTGATTTTAGCATCTTTCCTCCAAAAACTGCTCTATATGATGACGTCATTGATTATCCTATCTATATTGATAGAAGTCTAGAATTGCTCGACGTCAGCTTTCTCATTGTTGATTTTGAATCTAGACGTAAGACGATACTATTTGTTTTTGGTTTATTTGAATAAATAAATATCTGAAGCGGGAAGAATTCTCGACTGCATTCTGACACCCACTAGAAGCACTCAGGCGTCATTCCAGATGATTTCAAAGTTTCAACAACAGAAAAGAGATAATGATCAGATCTTATTAAGTCTAAATATTGATTTTCCTGTTGGTGAGAAATAGCTGATAATCTAATTTAATTATTTCGTGTTTTCTGCATATTAAGTACGAGAGTTTCCTTTGTCTTAGTTGAGTATACACGTACCATAAACGAAGAGGGATCAACACCGAATGCATTACGAAAAAAGCGAAACGCCGTTTGAGCATAGGTTTTCAGTCGAAATTCGGCATATGGATGTATCGGTGTTGCTTTTGAACCTTCTCTATAAAGAAACAAAATTAAATTCAGAATGTTTGACGAAAGCAACTATTGAAAAAGAGTTTACGGAGGAAAATCTTGATATTCTATCTGTTGAAAATCTTGCAAGAGTACTTGTCGTTGAGGTTGATGATGTTTACCAAGAACATAATTAAGACCAATCTGTAGGGATTTCATTAAATCATCCACCATCACACGTTTGTAAGTTACATTTCCGGTTTCATCAACACGACGATGTCCCAGCTTCTCTTTGTTTCCTGCACTTGATGGTTCCGTATCACTTTCGGATACCTATTTTTGTATGAGAGGAAAAAAAAGGAAAATTGAGAGTTTGACGATTTTTTTCTCTATTGAAATGCGAAGAAACGAATACTCACGGTTGTTTGGTTCATATTCGGTGTCGTTTGTTGATTGATATCAAGACATTGTTCACTTGTGGTATGTATGAGAATTTGTGGTGGTGATGACGGACATTCATCAGTCGATTGTGGAGATATTTCATTTTCTGGAATGTTCGACGAAGGCGTTAGAGTGGAATGTGGTGATGAAGAAAAAAGAAAGTCTGTTATTGAACCAACGTTAGCTGAAACGCATGAAACTGTGGCTGGAGATGTTCGTCCGTTCTGATGAGGAAATAAACCGGTTGTTCGTTGTTCAGTAGCCGTCATGTAAAAAGAACAAACAAAGTTATGATCTAAAACAGCAGATCAATATTCACTTTCTCGTCTCTGCAGTTTTCTGCCGCAAGAGAAAAATCTCGTTGACGCACACACATGAAGATTATTCATCTAATCGGTTTGTTTTTCTTCTCTCATCTAGTTGAGAAGCGGAAAGAAACTTGTCGGAAATAGAGGAAGATTGTGTTTTTCTTTTCTCTTTATGCTCCTATCTATTCGCCTTTTTCCTCGCTCTCTCTCTCTCTCTCTCTCTCTCTTCCATCCTGCGCTGCTTCTTCATCTTCTAGTTCTCTAATATGCAGTAAGTCAAGAGAAGAAAAGAAGTTGAGCTTGGTCAACATGCCCATTGTGAGTATATATATATAATCTATATACAATCAAATCGAATGTGAACGCGTAAGCATGCACGAATGAATACTACATTCCGTTTCTCCTCCCCGTCTTCCTCTTTTCTAATACTCCGCCTTTTTTTTCTTCTGCTTAATAACAACACGAATGAGATATGCATTCGGTGTTTTATTATAGATTTTCGAAGGTCAAGGTAGGAAATTGTTAGAATCAAATCTATCAATCAATCAATCGTCCGATTGATCTAATCTATTGATGACAACGAAGAAAATTATATTTTCGTTCTTCGAACAAAACCTTATTAGTCTACAGGGACCTGTAAGTACTATCGACATACTTGAGCATTCTCTCCTTTCTCTCTCTCTCTCGTGAGAATTCTTTTTTGTTCGAAGCATCCGAGACACAAAAATGTGTTAATTTTACGATTATGTTCGCAATATCGTCATTTGATCTTCTATTTTAATGTTACATACACAAACCAAGCGAGAGAAAGAATACTACTAGTTATTACAACTGATAATTAGTAACAGTTGTTAAATGAATACAGCTAAGAACAGTTGACAAGTTTGATTGCCTTAACAATCACTTGAGAAACTCCTTGAAAAATATTCCTCAATAAGATTACAGGAAAAGTATGATATCAATCCTTTTTATCCTGGTCTAAACATAACGTGAAATCTGTTATTTATATAATTAATAGATAAAAAAATTGATTTTACTTACGATTCTTTAATTCTCATCTATACTAATGTTTATATATCTAAAAGGAATAAAAGAATTTTCTTCATTTGACTTTCAATTATATTAGTTGATACTTATTCGCAAGATTCATTGTATAAATATATAGATATATATATAGATATATTTATTAATAGGATTCTCATTAGATAGAAAAAACAAACTCCTAGAAAGAATATGAGACATGAAGAAGAGAAGGAAACGAAGACAGCAAGATCTCTATTTGCATAAATTTTATTCCAAGGTAAGAAAAAGGAAGAGAATTGTTACAATAAAATAGTACGTGCGTGTGATACCCATATGAAAAGATGACCACAGACGAAAAATAATGCAAGAGCAGGACGTGTTGAGAGAGATGGGTGAAGAAAACACAGGTCAAAGACAACGACAAACGAAAAACACCATTTGTATAGATAAAGTATAGCGTGCATAAAGTTTATTTATCGCTCATAAGAAATAAACTGCTAATTAAGTTTACAAAAAAAAACACCGGGGGAAAGAGAGAGGGGGGGAGCAGATCTGTGAACGATTATGAAAAAAGGGTATCGCATATCATCGTCTTTTTCTTTGGTTATAAAAAAAAAGGAAAAACGAGCTTTTTTGTTTTAAACACATGACTGACGAAGAGGTATATACAATGCGCACAAATATAATAATAAAAAGAAAAAAAAAAGTGAAGATAGAAAAGGTCAATCGATACGATCAGAACCTTTTTTGTTTGTCAAGAAGGAATGTTTCCGTGCGGATTTGTTTAGATTAAAGTCGGGTCTAAATGAAAAGAATAACAATCAGAAATTACCGACAATTTGAATATAGAAAGGTTATTGTTTCTTTTTTTGTTCTTTTTATGAGAAAAAACAGAAAGAGAAAGATATTTAGTGAATCAAGTGATTAAAACTAGAGTACGCATTCTGATGAGTGTGGATTAGAACAAACTGAAAGTCATGCACGGGAAGAACATGTCGCATACAAACCCGAATTATAAAGGGACTGGTCTATTGGATAGAAGATGAAAAGAGAAAATCTAATTAAGAGGTTGAATTAAATCATATGAACAGAGAAAGGTGAATGTGTATGCAAGCTGAGAATAAGAAATAATTCGATTAGGAAAGCTCGTTTCTTTATCTATACATACCGATTCATCTTCGATACCACTGGTTGAAGGATTACGACGTTGATGGTGTATAGGCGAGTGTTCATTTGAGTTGCTACCTAGAATTCGACGAAGAATGGAAACAAAGTTAGAAGGAATTTGATTAGATGCAATCGATTCTATTGCTTATATAATCGTCTTTTATACTCATAAATTCTCGAACGAAATCGATATAATTGATTCTAAGTTTCCGACTTTGATTACTCACTAACAAAAGAGATCTCCAGGGATGTGAAATCGAAGAACAAAAGAAAATTGCCTGAAGTATGATATACTACCTATCAAAGTAGAATATTGTACTGAATATAAACATGTTCTTCATCTAGAAACTACTAACTGTGAGTGAATTCAATTAGTCTAAAGTGTTAGAGACTACTTGAAGACTTTCTCGGAAACAATGTCGACAAGAGTATTCGATCACTTCAAGTAATAGAATAACTTACGATAGGATAAGTTCGTTGTTGATGATGCTAATTTTCCTACGATTCCTCCACCAATGGGTAATAAAATCTGACGTGGTTCGTCATGGTCATCATCTTCGTTATTGTCTCTCGTCTTCGGCGGTGTTAATAGAATTCTTCTAGTGTATGATGGACTTTGAAAAGGTTTATTGAATGACGTTGTTACAATTCTCGCTGAATTTTGTCTTGTAGGCTCATTATAGAGAGAATCTGATTGATGTGAGCTTGAATAGAGAGTGGTCGAACTATCGCGTTGATTATGTTCAGTTTCAGTTTTGCGCATCAGTGCATGCGCACGTGCAGATGGCGATGAGGAATAATAGGATGTGATTTGACTATTTGTTGTTCGAGTTCCTGTGCTCGAACTTGAATTTGTATGATCGGCATAAATAGGGAGATTGTTGCGAAATATCTTTGTGTTATAAGCTGTTTTTGGTGAGCTAAAATAAAGAGAAATGTATGACAATAAGTAGTTTTTTTTCGATCGGACGGTTCTCATACCTAGTATCTGATTGATTTGAATTCAACGGTGTTGTATCATACGATCGCCGCTGTATCGGCGAGGTATTTAAACCACCACGGTCATTTCTAACTGTGACTGGCGTCGTCGTCATCATTTCTTTTTCACGTTCTGATCCTGGAACCATCTTTGATAACCTGGATCGACGTTTGACTGGTGATTCTCGTAGAGCTGCAAGAGAAAAACAAAATTTTCCTCACATGTACGATTATTCATCACAACTATTCGCTAATACAAAGCATGTAACACACATAGCATATATCCCACACCGAAACTTTCCGAGATTTTTTCACAAACCCTAGCGCTCTAATATTTTTCAGACAATAGGAAACGAAGGGTTGGGTATGAAAGTATAATATATATATATATATATATGAGTACAGCACAACGATAAGAAAAAAACAAATTTGTTGCGTGTTCTTTACCAATCAATGCAATTGTGCGAAATTTCTTGTTATCACCTAAGATCGATGAAGAGAAATGTTTTTTTTATGTAGTAAATCATTAGAAAAATCATCATGTTCGTTTAGAAGTAGTAATAAACCCGAAAATCAAAGTTTATAATCGAACTCAACTTACATACTTCATCCTGAGATCGTAGAAAGACTAAATTTATACATTCGAATGTGTATGAAAAGAAGAACCAATGGATGGGAAAGAAAATAGGAATAAAATATTTACGTGGTGCTTTTTTGAATACAGTAGTAAAGAGAAATTTTTGAAATCGTTCAGAATAAAAACTTGGATTGGTCACTGAGATTTGCGTCTAGAAGAAAAACTCATTGGATTAAATTCAAACACTATATTATGATCTTACCCCGTCGGTTAGGACAGATTTGAATGTATGTTCTAATTTCTTCCGAATATGATACGATTGCAAGATATCGATTATGCCTACGTAGAGTAATAAGCGTTGACCACTTGCTGTTCGTGCTGGAATACCACCAGTTCTAGAAAAAGAGATACATGAGATACAGAATGCTTCGTTTCTTTCTCTTCGATTCGAAAATTTCATGTATGAATCATACATATCCGCAAATATGTAAATCATTGGGAATATGTGCACATGTGTTTACTCCTCACACTTCAAAATGTACCAGAAAGTTCACATACTTCACAAGATGGTCATCAGGTTTATTATGTTCGTCAAATTCTACTTGAATAGTGTCCATTGGAGTTGAGTACATCATACGTTTTGGTTGTACAGATGTTTGTTCTACAGAGAATTCAAAGATCTTATGATCAATAGTTTGCAAAACAATATTCGACTTACCGCCAGGTGTACACACAGGATTTAGCATAGTGCGATCCTTAAGCAATGAACATAGGAGAAAGAACTCGAAATTTTTATGCCTTACTCCTCCTGATTCCGCAGCTGCATCAACTTGATGAACACCAATGAGAAATGAGTAATCCATGATTCGAAAACTTTCAAGAACCTAAATCAATCGAGTTTTTTCAGTTCAAAAGTCTCAACAATCGATTGAATGAACTCACTCGACAATCTCGTTGGACAGTTTTTGCTAATGCATTGAAAGTTTCAGTATCTAATAGTAGTCCGTCAGGATGTCTTTCCATGAAATCTAAATCTTTCCATGTTGGAGATTCTTTTCGTCTTTCCGCACTATTTGCTCGTCGTTTGTAGGTTGAACCTTTGAGATCATACTTCTCATGCATTTGCACATGAGACGGAATTAAATTATTCATTACAGTTATTCGAATATTTTTATTTTCGCCCTAAAAAAAACAAAGATGCCTATTGAAGCAATTCGTAAGACAAGGAAAATAACCAATCGGAATCAATTAGAGCAAAATCACAGAAGCTTCACCTGAAGACAACGAAAAATCTTGTCAGACGATGATTTAGTTGGAATATTCAAATATTAGAAGAAGAAAGTTCAACAGTTAGACATGGAAATACACACAAAATGACTGTGAGTTAATCAACTAGAAAAGAAACCTTTGTCTTCGACACTTACACTCCCGTTATACTTATTTCTCGGCATGAATTCTGTAACCTATAGATATATAAATATCGTTATTCATCCTTTTCATTGATTAGTTTGACTTCGAACTCGTCAGAGAGGACACTCTTAGAAAGGCAATTTTTTCCGAGCATACCTGATAACAGTAGAGACCGAAGAATTTCGGCAACAATGTTCGTGGGTTTTGAGTGACGTTCTTGAAAGAAAAACAGCAAAAGAATATGAATAAATTGAAAGAATTTTATATCCCACCATATAATAACCGGGAAGGAGACATTTTAAAAACTCCGCCTCCTTCTTTTGTACTGTTTTAAGTATGAATTCATCATCGGATGTTAAGTAAAATAAACTTCCACTTGCACCCGGATTTTTCAATTCTCTTAGTGGTTTACAAATCGAATACTGAAAGCAATAGAAATCAATCATGTACAAGAAACTTCAAAACCGAACAGACTTACCAAAAATTCATCTGGTTTAATATTAAATAATTCTCTGAAATGTCGAAATGCCACAGGAGCATACGAACGAATAGTAAAATCATAGAATCGATGTGCCGGAGTTGTTTTCGTTCCTTCCCTACAAATCAAACTCTGCATTGCAGATACAATTCAAACATGCATCATACTTCGGGAAATGTATAATCTCAACGGTCAAAAAGTCTTGATAAAGTACGTCGTGTGCAGCTTTGGCTTGAAGTCCGCCAACCGTATACTGAATGCCTAATTGTAACGCTTCGACAAGTTGAGTTATAGGTAGACGTTTAAAGGTAACATTTCCTTGAGTGTCAACACGTAAATGGCCAAGTTTATGTTTTTTACCTTGACGAAAGGCAAATAGAATCGTTTCGGTTAATTCAAAATCGAAGAAAATACTCTTACCGATATCAACACCTTCGCCATCTTCATCTTCGGGTGAATCACCTTTTGCCTAAAAGGGAAAAAAAGGAGTTTTATCGTATGGAACAAATGATTTTCTTTCTTTTGGAAATACCTCAACAGGTTGTGCACTTGACGACATAATTTAGACAAAACATAAAAAATAAATTTTTCTAAATCAAAACAAATTGTGTTTAGTAATGCAATATTGACGTCATTCTTGACAGAGATTGTATAAATACATGTGGAATGATCGACTAATCTGGCTTTCGTCTCCTCTGACTAAGAAAAGAGAAAAAAAATCAGATGAGAAAAAGACGATATGCATATGAAAGAACAATGATGAAAAAAACAAATAACAATAAACAACAGAACAGAAAAAATATATTAGCAACTGATAAAAAAGAAGAAAGGGAGAAAATACACACAACAATAATGAACCAATCGATAGGAGGAGATAGACAAGAGATTATGTACACTGGAGCCATCTTCTGGAGTTAATATTTACGCGACATAGGCAATGAAAGACATTCAGCGATCATCAAATATTGACTGGCAATTGTTTTTTCAATGAGAAAATTAATGAGTGCACTATTTTGAGAAAAATCGACGAGACTTTCTCGTCGGCACGGTTTAAGTTCCAAATCAATGCAACAAAAGACGCACGTTCATATGACGATGATTTGTCGGATGAATAACACAAAGCAAAAACTTCATTTTTCTGTCGTCATGATAACAGGTTATATAAAACATGGAAAAAATCACACTTTCGCCTTGAAATACGTTCGGAAATGAAATACATTCTCTCGAGCATTTGCTCTTCGAAGTTTAGATTGCTTTGCGAATCACACGATCGGATGCTGTTCGAAAATCGTACTATACTTTTGGAATATTTACCCTTCAATCTTCAGAAAGTAAAGTTCACACAAACAAAACAATGTTCTATAAATAAAGTGAAAGAAAAGAAAACGTATTCTGCCTACGATTAATAAAATAATCAAATAATTGGCTGACGAGAGAAAATTTCAAGTATACAAAAGAAGAATTTTTTGTTCCAGTTCATCGCTAGTGACTTGCGCAGGCATTGTGAAACAACTTGGCCTTCAGTTGAAAGTAAAAAGAGAAATAGTGTTTTTCTTTTCTCACATCTAAAAGCCGAAAAAGAAAAGAAAGAATCGAAGAAAAATTCAACTTTGCTCAACGAGTAATTTTCGCGAGAAGAAAAATCAAAAAGATAAGATAAATCACTTGATGCACGAAAAGCGAGACAATCAAAAATTATTTTTATCAACTGCCTCTGTTTCGCGTTTGATATCAAATGAAATCAAATTAAATGAATCTCGAATTTCGTCTTCTCTTTGCTTCAATTCTACTTCCAACAATCATTTGAGAGATTCTAACATACAATGTATCAGGTTTTCTTCTCTGTTTTGTTTATATTAACAATCAGTCAATCAGTTCATTGTTCATACCGTTATGCCGGCTGTTTTGCGCACGTTTTTCACGATACTTACTTCAGCAGTTCGTTCATGGAACCAACAATATGTTTTCGTCTATGCGATAGACCGATAATTTATCTTCAGAAAACAGTTTGCCGATGTTCAGGTGGAGGACTCATGGACCAAAGTCGCCAGAACGATAAAATGTGCTCATTTTCATGTACAAAACCTGTCGACCGTGCAGTGAATACATTCAATACATGTGGTGGCCCGTCGGCGTATTCCGCTTATGTTCAAGAGAAGTTCTACAGCTTACATGGACATTTATTTAACTATCGGATCGATTTTTCTGCTTGTGAACTCTGGAAAAGCTCCGATGTTTACGATACTTATTCAATTCGATTAACTGGTGTTGCTGTTCGATCCTCCTTGAACAAGTTAGAACAGTGCGCTGCGGCATGTTTAGATCAGAATGCAACCACGAAATCCATCGGTATGATCTACTTCAAATTTTCATATTTTCTTCAGTGAAATTCACCTTACTTTCTCTTCTCTCTTCAGCATTCAACGGTGATAATGATAAATGCCTATGCGTATTGCCGCTACAATCCAATCGATACTTCCAACGCATGCATTACACGACGTCTTTACCAAACACTTCGTGCGATCTTTATTGTAATAATACAGCTGAGGGTTCGAAAACAATGCCGAAATATAAATGTGGTTCGACGAACAGTTCTCAAATTTGGGCCATTTATGAACTGAACGGTACGTGTCCGTTAAATTTTGCTTATATCAAAGATTTGAACAAATGTATTTATACGTACAAAAACTTCTGGAATCAGTGCACACCCCCGGCGACGATATACACTTTCGATGGGAGTGTAAGTTGGAAACGATTTTTAGATATGATTTCAACGCTTAATTTGGCTAATTCCACTGTAACTGTTGATTTCGATGAGGGTGTTGTGATTGATCCGTCGTGGAAATGTTCAGTGGCAATATTAAATTCTAATTCTTCAACATCAATGTCATTATCAGCCTGGCGATCGTATTTATCACATTCACGATCAAGTTTGTATGGATGGAGTACGAGTACACGATACATTTTAGAAAATGGATGTCTAACTGAGAGTTCGCATTCATCCTATTCGCATCGGTATTCACATCGCATATGTGTAGCGGATCCGATTGATAGATATTCATTGAACGCTGATGAGGGTAATGAAACCTACATAGCTGCCGTGAATCCGACACAGAAATTCTGTCCAACAAATTGGTTCGATCTGAATGGACGTTGCTATCGAATGTCAGATGAACGAAAGACAATTGAACAAGCACGAAATAGTTGTATTAGTGTGTCATCGAATCCATCGAAATCGACAGATAAACCTCAAATCTGGTTACTAGATAGCAATGGCAATGTCATTGGAAATGAAGAACAAAATGAATCGCCTTTCGGTGAAGTTGTTGAATATGCCTCGATCTGGCAAGCAAGACTCGGATTCTTCCTTCTCGACACAGATCCTGACAGTGGTAAGAAAAGTGTTCGTCCAGCATAGTTCTTGATTGAATTCATTTCTTTCGTTGATTAGATGATAGTAGCACTGTGTCGACATCGACAGTACATAATCTTTTCTATGATGACTCTTTGATTTCCTCGGATACGAACGAAACCGTAGATATCGATCACGGTGCCATCAATGAGTTTCAGGCAGTTGATGATTATGATGATGATGAAAGTACACGCGCTAGTGCGAATAATACATGTGTTCTTATCACACGTTCAGTTAGTGAAGAAGAAGAACGACCAATCATTCAAAGTACTCCAACGAAGAATTGCTCAACACCACGACATGTTTTATGCGAAGCAAATACATTAATTGTACAAAACTTTCAATACAATTGTTTAAGTAAACCACAAACTCTCGATGTACCAAGTTTAATATCGAATCAATTAACACATGAATTGTGTTTATCAGTATGCCAAGAACTACAAGCTAAATTAGCAGTTTTAAACACTGATAAATGTTACTGTTTGAATGGTGCTGATTCAGAGTCAATGAATATAACCGCTGACTTTCAACAATATGAAAAAAAGTTCTGTGGAAAACCTTGTCCAGGTCTGTTTTTACCTTCTAAAATATCTTCTCAATCGTCTTTCTAGGCAACTCTCATGAGATCTGTGGCGACGATGATACAATTGTCGTGTTCCAAATTCTGAATTCGCGTCGTACGTTCACATTCAGTCGTACACCTGCTGAACCCCATCCGAATTATATTTACGACGGTTGCGTACAGTTAATTTCATTCAATCGATCAGTCACATATCAGTTCGCTTTGAATGATGTTCGCCATTATCATCCAAAGTATTGTTTAGCATTATGTACGAAATATAAACAGAAATATGCATTGATTAACAATCGTATATGTCTATGTACGAATAAACAAATGAAAGGTGAACAAGACGATGTGAAAAAATTAACTGGACAAACTTGCAATCGACAATGCCAGGGAAATTACTTTTACACATGCGGAAGCAAGGAAAACTCGACTGTTTACTCTATGTATATCTTGAAACCAAAATGTATCCATGGTAAACGATTTCTGTTCCATGGCAAAATTTCTTTTGTATTGATTCGTTCTCGGTTTGTTTGTTTAGGTTTTGAAACTGCAGAAAACAATCAACAATGTGTGTATACACATTTTTCGACGAAAACGAGTTCTCTTGTCGCAGCACAAACCTATTGTCAATCACTAGGTAGTAAATTGGCAAAAATCAATGAACTTGTTGAAATTCAAGACATTTTGCCCGAATCGATTCTGCACACGCGTCTTATGCGACAATTACTTATAACCTATAAATTTAAATTTGTTAATGATACTCGCTACTATTGGATTGATCGAACAAATGATACGCCCGACCCAAATTCCATATCAGAACGCTTACTCGGACAATGTGTGCAAATGCCTGAGATTGTTGATCGCAACTGTATTGCTATACAGTACATACCCAGTTCGAATCAAAGTAGAATAAGCCATGAAAGATGTATCAGTGAATCAAATGCTTGTTCAACACAAACAGCGATGCCCGTGTGTGTTGATCAACATTTAGAACCACAAATATCTGCGGTTCCACCGATAACCAAGGAGGACCCAGCAGATGTATCAGCAAATATTACGACTTTTCATTCATGTGACGATGAAACAGGTGAATATCATTTGGTCGATGACTACTGTTACAAAATCAACCCACATGAAGTTAGTTGGAATGATGCCAGAGCGGAATGTCAACGCGATAATGCAGTACTGTTTGTTCCGGAGAAATCCGTCACTTTACAATATATCAAATCCTTATATATTCGTCAACGATCCTATACATCATCCGGCCATGCACATGTCGGTGTTTTCTATGATTACAACAATCGAACTGTGATTCAGTACAATGCTGATGATGAAGATAATCGACTGGTTCTCCCAGATTCAAATGCTATTTATGATCTATGTGAAAAGACATTTCAAGAACGGTATGAGGCAGTGATGTCGTCATTCAGTTTAACAACAACGGAAAAAAACCAAATTAAAAAACAACAAATTGGTTGTGCATATATTGATCTAACGTCAAGTGCAGTGCCAGCAATTCGATGCGATGAAATTCCCTGTAATCGAACAGCAGCTATCATTTGTCAAAAGGCGCCCATATCCATATCGAGTATCATTGTCGCAAAACGGTTAGTAAAAAATTCATTCAAAACGATCTTCACTACCGTTCCTATTTCAGTAAATATTCAATGAAGCCTTCAACTAGTAATGATACCAAATCACCATCAGCATCGACAATATCAACAGGAAGTTCTGACGATAACAAAGACGACGACGACGACGACGACGATGACGATGATGATCAAACATCAACAATAGCATCGTCCGGTGCTCAAAGTGATAGCACTGCATCATCACAATTGAGGTCAATTGGGCGAGACTTTGCTCCATTGTTTTTCATTTTAGCTATTCTGTTTGCCTTCATACTTCTCGGTTTTCTAAGTGTGATACACAATCGTCGTGGTATGCTATTTGGTCGTTCTAATCGTCGTCCGACTAATTCTGTTTATTCACAATTAACCTCTGCGAATGAATTTGATTTAAATTGAAAAAAAAAAGAATTCAATAAATATTTCTAATGATTCGATTTCTTTTCTTTTGTTTGATATGTTTATGAATAAGGTGAACAATTTCAAAGGTTTCCGTGGACAATGGATGAATAGAACACGAGGGAAGAGACACACCATTGCATATTTATAATCATGAAGATGTTATTGTTTATCGTCAAGTATACTCGAGATGGAAGGGAAAGTAAATTAGAATGAAAATTGCTCATAATGAATTTCATTTCGGATTCAAATACGAATCAATTCCGTTTTCATACATCTTTCTTCTGCTTGATTTACATTGTGCTAATACGAAGAAGAAACGAAAAGAAAAAAAGGATTTTCATTTTTTCTCTTTTTACCAATTTTATTACATACAAAAAAAAAGAGGCAACAAACTCCATTCGTGTGTCATTTGCAATATACTATTGATATTGTGTCTGACAACAAACGATAATCGGATAAACACACTTGAGAATCTCTTCGGTTTAAAAAACCAACAAATTCCCATCATAATTGACTCAAGTAAGTTTATCTTTGGGAGTATTTTTTTTCTTGTTGTCTATATCAACGAGACAATTCTAGTTTCTTTTTAATCAATAAATCATGAACCGAATGATCATGGTCATACGTTATCGAAAAGCCACACATGTTGGTTTAACATCGTCGTTTACTCAAAACTTCATTCAAGTTGTTTATCTACCAATCAACGAACGATACATTCAAACTTGTTTTTAATTTCAACATGTAAGTCTTCGTTCATCTTTCATCTCATTTCATTTTTTCTACTTCGTATACGAATAGGTAACAATAAACAAGCTGAACAAATGAAATAACGCATGGGTAATTATCACAGGAAGAATACTAACGAAAGACAACACACAGAACGAGTACAGTAAGAATTTTCAATGCATAGAATAACCTGGATATGCATAATTTATATCTAGCTGAATAATAAATCTCGCTTATAAAACTAAACAAATATGATTGCTTCGTGATTATACGAAATTCGTGTTAGAAATGTTCGTATTCATATGTAAATCAGTTTGTTCTACTTGCTCTACTTGTCAATCTGAGAAAAGAAGGACAAGTATCAGGCATATATATTCGCTCAGGGTTAACTTTTTCTCCTTCTGTTAATCCAATGTCAACGGTATAGTCGCTGAATTGATCGTGTAGAAAAACTTGTGGTCACTTCTCTTAAGATGAATGAACAAAAAGGAATCTGTTGACTTCAGGCTTCTGTTTTCATACAGTTTGAAAATAGAATCGAAAGTATAAGAAGTCGGTCATATAAAAGGAAATTCTGCTTGAGTACTTATTCGAATTAACATTTCGAGTACTTCGATGCGATAAGCATGAAATCACTTTGATTTTTTCACTGTTATTCTCTTGAATTTGATGTATCTATGTGATTATTTCTATCTGAATTTCATATGTACGTGTCATATCCACGATAATAGATAAGCTTTGAGGCTTTTTATCAAATACAAAAGAAGAAGAAAAAAAAAGCAATACTAGAAGATCAACAATCAATTGATCAAATATCTGCACTAGACATGCACACATGTAGGCATGTATATTTGATGTATAAAGATTATACGAAATGAAAAATGAATGACTAGTTTGAACAATTATATACAGATATACGAGTATCTCCTCATCTTACGTCTTAAGGTTTAGAATGTATGAGATTAAACATTAGGTTAACATCATTATCTCAGTTGTAAAAAACGATCGATTGCTGTTTCTTCATGAGTGACATTGAGAGAGACTCAATTTCAGTTACAGTCGTAAAAAAAATGTAAACTTCAATCAGTGAATAATGAATTCATTTCAATTTTTACTTCTTCTGTAATTTCACATATTGCTGATGATTTATCAGTTGAAACCAACAGTTCTATCATTGATGAAATCTACCCTTGTTCGCGAGTTTTTTTTTCTTCTCTTTTCAAGGATGCACTTGCGTGTTCATTTCGAATACATTAAACGCGCAAGAGTGATATTATCTATGACCTATGTGTTCAATCAGTATCTTGTACAAGAACGAAGGCTTAATGACACATTTGTTCACACCTTGCTGTCATTTTCATTTTTTTTTACTAATTTAGTTTTTCTTCTTCGCTCTCCTCAGCCAGTTTTCTTTTCATTTCATTCAAGTTTACAGTCAACAGGCAAGAGATATTATCTAGGAAACCGAACTGACTGACATAGATTGTATACATTGGCAAAGAATAATTGCCTCTTGATCAGATAAAACAAAAGCGATGAATGATGCGTTAAAACGTAACATTGATATTCGCAGTTTTAAATGATTTAAGATGTAATCAGATGAGAATCAAGTCAATGACCTTACTATCTTTTACATCATTTATTTATTTAGGTACACGCGTACTCCATCTGGCCATTATCCGACGAAGGAACTCCACTAGCGCTATATCAGTAACAGCCTTCTGTCAAGAGAAACTCATTCTCGATGTATGTATGTCCTATTGTTGAACTAAGAAATGGATAACAGAAAGAATCTCTTCTCCTTCGCTCAAAGTAAAAACAGACGACATCATTGGTAATCTATATTTTTTTAACAATAGTAATACGTAGGAGAGGAGAAACAGCGAGAAAAAGATGGTGATGATGAACAGAACGAATTGAAATATATGTGTTTATTGTGCAAATAAACGATGAAAACGGGCTCCATCTGCATTTTTTTCTCGACATCATCATCATCATCTATATGTGTATATACGCTATGGTCTATTGACATATCGATCATAGTACATATATATGTGGTATATTCTGTTCAATAAGTGTACGCGTAATATCCATTTCCCTCTCTCTCGTTTTTTCTTCCCTCTTTGTAACGCGTTTTTTTACTCTTATCTCTTAGATCGAATAACGCTCTGCTGCTTCTCGGCTTTTTCTCTACGCTATTTATATTCATTGTTCTTTTCGATATATGGAGATATTTTAACGATGTAATCGAATAATGATGGTGACAAGCTCATCAGTTATTAATCCATAGCAAACGCTACAATAGGTTTCGATTTCGACATTTGGAATTGATATCAGACAAACATGCACCGAACAGGTAAACGAATAAATATGTGTGAAATCAGAAGAACAGTCAGTTACTAGTAGAAATGATGACATTTTCAGACTGTAAAAACTTTGAAATGAGATGAATTCTATATGTATACATATATACATATTCACTTCATGACTTTTTTTTCAAGTTGAGAGGTCTTTCAAGTGGGATGCATAAACATACGCACACATACTACATCATTGAAAATGTGAGATCGTATAGATAGACTTATTTTGTTTGTTTCACTTTCAACATGTGCCTGTGTGCGCTCTCCCTCTCTCTGTCTCTCTTCGTTATTCTTTCTTTACCTTCTCGCTTGTCTAAGTAGTGTCACACGTACACATCAGACTAAGATTCTTCTTTATATTTGCCATTCTCGTGTCGGGTGTAAGTGTTTTGTCTGTTTTACCGTAAAACTTGCTTTTTTAAACTGTCAGTTGAGTGACCTTCGGATTTAATTTCATAATAAAAAAAGAAAATTCAAGAGGAAACGATTCAGCAGAGTATTGGCCAACGTGTTGATGAGTTTAGAAGTGTAGAAATCAGAAAAGAGGAGAGAAAGAGTCTTTAAAATATTTTCATTTGACAAGACAGCATGAATAATGAGCGAAAAATACATAAACCAGACAAAGAGAGAGAGAGAAAGAGCGAGAAAAAAACTTCTCGTTTTTTCTTTGTTGATCCATTGTGAGACATTTATTTCAATAATAATGTTTCGTATCGATGAAGAAGATTTACACGATACCGAGGAAACGACAGGTGAGTCTATAAAACCGACTTTGTCTTTCCTTTCGTCGAGCAGAATTAAACACATGTATTTAATTGGACAGATGAAACAGAGACCTTTGTTTTAGTTGATCAATTTCCTTCTGTTGTTGGACCACCTCCGGAGTACAACGATTGTGATCTCGGTAACACCACCAACATTTGCTCAAGCAAACAAACCAGCGTCCAGACTGAACGTACTAAATATCATCTAACGAATCGTTCGGCGTCTTTACCGTCTCGTCAGTCATCGTCTCCTCCGAGTATAAACACTGAAGAAAACATTAAACAACGTCGACGATATGCTAGTGATTCCTGCAATAACAATAAACATCTAACAGCTTCAATCGTAACTTCATTTCTTCAATACTTACGAAGTGAATTAAGAGCGACAACACACGATCAAACAAATGATTACGAACGAATTAAAACAATGGTAAAACTGCTCAATTTTCTTTCTCTCTCTCTTTGTCCTACTAAGTCATTCATATCCATATCTAATCAATGAAGTTCTGAGATAAATGACCGAGACAGAAAGAAAGAAAAACTTCCATTTCTTCAAGTATTCTTTGACATTCTCTTTTTTTTTTCTTGACTGAAGAATAATTGCCAATAATCATTTCTCGTTCTTTTCTTTATTTCTGCTCCATTTTCAACTTGTTAAAGAGAAGGAAAAAAAACTCATCTCTATTTTCATTTTCAACGAAGGCAATGCAAATTGATCGTGCCGAGATGTTTTAAACTTCTAGAAAGGAACACATTTTTATGGTTATTCTCTATTTTTTTTTACGTCATCATTCTTCATATGTCAACTCTGTCTACACTTCTAATCGTACAAATTATTAGATTTCTTCTTCTTTTATTCTCTCTTCACTTTTTTTTTCTCACAGGAATCATCTGATTTTCATCAATATCGACCGCAATCACTTTCAATGGCATTAGATTCCTCATCTCAATTAGCAAATGATACTTCATTGAATCTCCTGCATCACGACGATGAGAACAAGGAAATCTCAACGTTAATCAATCTGCTTATTTTACGTGTTGAATGTCTCGCAAATACGACCACATTGATCGAAACAAACAAGAAACCGAACATCTACCCGTCGATCAAACAAATTGATCAAAATCTCACGGAATATCTCTATTATCTTTTCAATAAATTTACAAAAGACGATCCAGAAATCGGCGCATCAATGATTGATAAAACAAATTTTGTCAATGTATGTCAAACATTAGTGCGTAATGGTTGTTTTAATATGCCATCATCGACGTCACCTGATCAATCATATTCAGAAGCGACATTAACAAATAGTAATGAACTAACATTGATTCAACCGGCAGTACGTGAGTATAAGCCAGATGCCGACGAGATGACATTAGACAAGTCGTCTATTGATGAAACAATTTCATTAATACCAATGAGTGATCAAGATACTTGGCTGGTAGTGGATCTCGAACCATTTAAACCACAATATTCAATAGTTAATCCTAATGAAGCAAAAGTAAGATATTTGAACGCGATATTGCAGAGATTTAAGTCCGACAGGTATTGATTCTTCAAGCGAGAAGACAATTTCTGCTCAAGGAACTATATTTGATTGTGTACCTATTCGTTTTCGATCATCACTTTTCAACATAAACTATATACTTCATCAGTTTCTATTGAAAAAAGAGAGAGAGAAAGATGACAGTCTGGGGCCTTCTCCTGTCAGCAATGAAATTTTATAAACGTCTACGACAGATCTCTTTGAGCAACAAAGAAAGAAAAATTACAGGTAAATATTTACATATATTTGTCCATCCGACTACTACTTTGTCGAGTCATATTACAGATGCAAATATAAAACTACAAGATAATCATTTCTTTAATGATCTATAATAAATCTTCATAGAAGAGAAGAGAAGCGAATCTTTCGTACGAGAAAAAAACACACCTTTATGTTTGCTTTAAAACAAAAAACTAAAGTTCAAAATGGCAAATATCAACAGATTGTATATTCGAATGAAGACATTTCAATCGAAGAAGTAATCTTATCTTTTTCACTTGCGAATTTGTCCTTTAGAGATCAATTAATTTAATTCATACATTTGTTCGATGACAGCTAAAGTGTAAGAATAACAAAGAAATATAGAAGATTTTTGTCTTGCATAGTTATTCACGCCTACTCGAACACGAGAAAGTTGCGTCACATAGACAATTACCACTAAGAGGCGTTACTTTTTTTTTCTCTCTCTGTTTTTTTTCTCCTTTGGATATGCAAGAGAGCAATAGTGTATACTCGAGACACGCACGATACATGTATCAAATAGGTTATATATTATTTTCGTCTTGTTCTTTTGCAAGTGTTTATTACCAACATCAACGTCCGATGATCAATTACTATTGACAAATGAAAATTATTTTTCGTTCGAAGAAATCAAATCGTCTTGTGGTTCGGAATCGTCACATAGTAATTATTTTTCGCCCAACTCGTCATTAGTTGATTTACAAACTATGGTACAAGAATTTGATGAAATAAATAATAACAATCATAATAATAATAATAATAATTCATTATTCAATGAAGGTAAATATCGCGGCTTGATTTCTTTTCTTTCAATGCTTTTCGTGTTGTATTTGTGCAATCTTCTGATCAAATAGCAGAATAGGCAAAGAAGTAGTTTATATGCGGGTTCTTTTCTTCTTTCGAATGAAATAGGAATATAAAAGAAAAAAAAAAAGGAGAAACGAAAGCGAAAGGGAAGAAAAGAACGAGGAGAGGCAGAACGTTCGTGCCTTGGATATGTTGAGATTATTTCGAAAGACAGGTAAACACACTCGTAGGTGATCAAAACATCAAATAATCAACTCGAATTAATTATTCTGATTTTATTTAAATAGATGGATCAACATCAATTGAACATGTTTCAAACAATACTAACGTCATTATAGGAGAAAAAGATCATCCAAGCAATAATGACATTTGTACAGGATTAACTAATGAGCAAAGTACTATTAAGAGCAATGAACAAGTAGCATCTTCGTCATCATCGCCAACGATGGAGACAGCTGAGCAAATGACAATCAATATCAACGGGACAAAATATCGACGAGATAAAAAATTACAAGAACGGTGGACAATAACCACAAAAAATGAAACTCCTAATCAGAATCCGCCAGTAAACAAAGCAAATTTAGGTGTTGAATTTCCGCCCATCGCGGTTTTACGACGGAAATTCTCCACATTACCGGCGCCAACTATTTTAAATCCGGTACCCATCAAACGTAAAGATAGTTCGACGATAAAATCTAAAGGACATTCATATAACACTGAAGTAAATAATCCTTCAGAAGATAATATTAACAAAGCAAATACCTCAAATCCTTCGATATCGTCAGAGATTCAGGTTAGTGTGCATCATGTTGTTGTCTTTAGTTGAGTGTGAAAATATTTTTTCGCTGTTTACTTTTAAACATAAAAGAGACGTTTATGTAATCGACGCGTTCAATTAACATAACAGAAGACATTCATTGAGATGTCGATGAGGTTTCTGTCATGAATGGCATTCTTGATTATTCATATTCATTGAGCAAAACTATCATTTCGATTTTCAATTTCTTTCGTTTATGTTCAGTATGTAATTATCAGATAATTTAAACCCATCGACTATATTCTCGAGTGGCGTGTTGCATTGATAAGATCTTATCATCGTTTCTTTTCTTTCTAAACTTCATCAAGTTTCATTCGATGAACAAAAAAATCCCTTCGGATAACAATCAGTGTTGCTTGCATGATGAACTTCAATAGTTATTCTCACGTGATACACTACAAGGTTCTTTTCTAACAACAAGACAGCTTGTTGTATGAACTTCGAACGATAACTGAAGAACATTATCAGAAGTCGCATAAAATCATGTCATTAGCGTAACCGAGATATTGAGTTTTTGTTTGTGTAATGCTATGTAGACAGACTGAAACTTGCTTGCTTGTCATTATCAAAATTGAACGGCTCCTTCGTTTATGTAATTGATACGTAATACGATTGTAAACGAGTGATTATATGGTATAACTGTACTCTTTGAAATTTTTAGGAGATTCGGGCGACGCCAACGACACCGCCGATAATTCTGATCGAAGATGTACCGAAATCTGATCAACAGTCGAACGGTAAGTCATCTTTTCTATCGAATGCAGATCATATGAGAGCACGAACGAAGAGATATTCGTTTCATTATTCACAATTAAAATTTCATTGAGACGAGAAGAAAATGAGGTCAACAAAATTCTTTTTTATTACATCTACTTCATTTACTCACTTGTCTACCATGTGATGTATCATCAATTAAATAGTGGCTCATTTCATAGATTGTTATCTAACACATTGATGACATCCTATCAAAATTTTAGTTTCTACTTTCATACATCGTTTTGTCTGGTCTACTGATGTCATTATTTCATTTAGATGCAGCATCATTAATAAATAATCAGGAGACAAAACATGATACTGATCATTCCATCGTCGTCGATCAGACAAACAATCCGATAACTACTCTCGAAATGAAGGAAGAATTAAGTCCTTCGTCGTCTTCACAGCATGGCAAAGAATCAACTGACATTAGTGGAAATCAACAGAAAACGACTTCTTCTGACATCGTCACGGATTTATTTGCTTTGAACTCAACATTTTCCTCGTCATCTTCTTCTTCAACAACAAACACAGATGAGACAAAGACAAACGAGTTTTTATTAAAAGAAACTGTAGTAGAAGAAGAAGAAGAAGAAAAAGAGAAAAAAGAAGAAGAAAAAGCATATTATCACGGCGATAACATTGATGTAAAAGAAAAGAACAACACTACCGTTGAACGCAATTACCACGCGTCGGGAATGTTATTAATAAACGACGAACCAACGCAAACACTCTTGTTAGGGCAAGAGAAAAAAGAACAACACTCGACACCGTCATTAACCGCAGAAGCTTGTAATCAGCAACGACCTCAAAATGATTGTTCGATGGAGATTTTATCAAGCGAGTTAGACACAATGATAAATGTTAATGTCGAAGATAATGAACAACGTTATAAAACAATCGAAATTGAAGAAATACCTGACGAAGAAGAAGAACAAGAAGTGCTCTTAGCACAGAACAATCTGTTGATTGAACCAATTGATTACATTGTAACTGATGACGAACCGAGAAAATCAGCACAAAACAAGATTAAACCAACAGTAGTAGGACGCGATAATCCATTGGAATTCGATCCCGTCATTTCTTGTTATGAGAAAGTTCTCTCGAAAGTTGCTGAAACAATGGGCGATTCGACAAATACCACATTGTCGGACTCGTCTGTATCAGCTCCAACAGATCGCAATCGACGTGCGGAAGAAGATCCGATTGCACTACGTGCATTACAACGTTTTGAACAACGCATGAGTGCTGCTGTTGCAGCGAAGACAACCAGTGAAGAAATCGGTTCTACATCTACCCGGAGTAAATCTTCCTGGTCAGGTACATCTACAACCCCTCGAAAGTCAGTGGAAAACTTGTTTAAAAACAATCCACAACTTCCTCCGACTTCCGTGCCATCGAATGAAGACGATTCACCAACAAAAACGTCACCTCGCCAACGCGATACATTCATTCGTCCACGAAAGTCAATGTTAGACGATGTTGGACTTAGTTTCAATAGAACGATGAATATCATCAATGCACCTACAGTCGATTCGTCTAAGGATAATCATGGTCAATGTGAAGAGCAACAACAGCCGATGGATATATCAGAAGATGCCAATGATCGAGGTAAGTGTATGCAACAAACAGCTGGTTATAAAGGCTCTTAAAGCTGATAGGCACGTTTACATGACCCATTTGAGTTGTCAGTGAGTGATAACAGCTATATTTCTATCTATTACCTCGTTCCTAACTACTTTTGTCATTTTTCTCTCTTGGCTTCTTTCACTCATAATATGTACAGAATGTTGATTAGAGATCCAATGAACTTATTCAGGATTACATGAGCAGAAATTCTTTTGTGTGTCATATTGTGTAAAACACAAGCTAAAGAGAAAGAATGAATGAATTCATATGCGACAATTATGTTTATAAATCATTTTTGAAATATTCATCAAGGTTTGTGCCTTGTGTTCAACAATTGACCAATCATCAACGCTCAGTTGTATAGATTGAAAAAAGATTTGTTTGACTATTCGAAAAAAGAAAGTGAGAGAGCATAAACGCGTGCATAACGAGCCTCAAAGCAATCGAAAAAGTTCATATTTGCTTTGTACGGTTGTGGTCTTTATCATGATTACAATGGCAGCAATCGAATAGTCTCTCGATTTCTTTCTCTCTCTCTTTCTGTCTTTCGTTTTTGATGAATAGAAACGAAGAGAGTAATAAGAAATCCTTAGCTACCATCACATCTACTGCTAAAGATGAAAATAATAAACATAATAAGAATGAGATCGATGATTTCTTTTCTGCGGTTTTTTATGATTGTAATGTAGTTGAAAGATGAAAGAGTAGAAGTTCAAGGATGTTCAGATTAGGCTTCGTACATGAGTGAAATAATTGTATAATATAAAACAAAGCTGTTCTTCTACTATATTTTGATTTCAGTTATTACCAATGAGACGATGAAGGCAGTTGACTCAGACGATCACCAACAACAGGAATCAGAACCATCAGTTGCAATGGATCCATCAGCGACTATTGAAACCGGTTCAAATAATGAAGTAGAAGAGTCCAGTGTGTTACTCATACCTCCAATATTGGGGAACGTATCATCGAATGCGTCAATGACTGCAACAGTGGGACAAATGCCATCGGAGCAGCCGTCTCTTGTACCTTATCATCTTCAACTGGCAAGTCGGCCTCGCTTGAATACGCTTGAACGTTTCCGCGACTATCGTCAGAATTATGATGCAAATTCTGCCGCACCGCAACCACAACCACCACTATCCTATCAGACTAACTACAATGTTAAACCAGAAGATCTTCAAGATCCAATTATTCGTCGCGCACTTGAGCGATTCGATGAAAAAAGTCGTTCATTAGCTCAATCAAAGCCAATGAATTACGATGACATTCAAGATCCAATCACACGACGTGCATTAATGAGACTCGAGACAAATTTAAAACGAACTGCACCCTCAAATCCTCCACCCATTACTAATGAATCTAATGAAACATGGTACACAAATAGTTATACACTTGGTTCATTACAAACGAATAACGATAACCGTTCTGGCCGCTATCCTCCGTCATCGCTACCTCCAACCGGCAACCCGAAAACAATGCACACTTCTGTGCATCAACGCTTGTATTCAACATCATCCGATATGCCAGAAGTGCTCGCAGGTAATATGAACTCGGGCAATGATCAAGAGATACCGATAGTTCGCGTTCCAACGCAACCAGTCTATGTCACATCCAATCAACAACCGATTAGTTTGCGTCAACGCTCACGTTCAGAAGATATGCTTTCATCAAGAGAAATGTCAATTGCTCAAGTGACAAATGTCGACGAAAACGATATATCTCAAATTCAGCGAAATCACTCATCAAATCAACTTGCACCACAAGAAACACCAGTCGCAACCGAAGTGAATTCAAACGAAGAAGATCTCCAATTGCCACAAACGATTACGAAATCAATCGATCCACGGTTTGTACGAACACAAGAAGCAGCTGTTAATTATGCGACACCGACGCAAAAGTATTCAGCCTATAGCTGCGAGTACACACGTCCGCATCGCACTCAGTCTGTCGAATCAACTCGACCGGAATTTTCTCCTCGAAACTTTGAACCACAACAGCAGTTTCTACCGGTAGCGGATAATCTCGTTCAATATCCAACTTCATCGTCATCATCTGCATTTACACCTGTTCATCCTTCGACAAATAACTATTATCCTCAATCGCAACCATTGACTATGCCATCTTATAATTCAATGTACACATCAAATAATCCTCAACAAACACCTTATTCAGATGATCCAATGTAAGTTGAAATAGGATGCGTGACGAGTGAAAAAAAATAAAATAATATTCTCGGTTTACCTTTCAGTGTGCGACGGGCACTCGAACGATTCAATTCACAAATGCAAAATAGTATCATGAACACCTCGCAACATCAACATCAACCAAATTTCTTACCACGTCAGTTCTCTAGTGAATATCTACGTCACGGAGGTCACGAATCCTTTTACCCTCCTGAACCTCATCACTACGATTCCTATGTAAATTATAACCGTGCTATGCAACCGCTAACCGGTGCTAACACAGGTTATCAATCAATCATTGGACGTCGTCGACAAATTCGTCATGATGACATTTACCATGATAATACAAACGTTGGAAGTGGTTATACAACTCCTCTCTTTGCTAATTCTCAGAATCCATACCCTTCTGTGAGTCCTTATGTGAACTACAACGACGAACCACCAGCAATTCCACCACGTTTACATCGTGATCTCTACCATGAACATCAAGAATATCAATCAGAAAATGTGAATACGAACAATAATAATAATAATAATAATAACAATAATAATAATTATATCCACTATGGATATCCACCACCATCATCAACAAATGGATTTCGATCGACAAATCATCATTTGATGCCATCCGATTCGTTTCATCAATATCAAGAAGAAGAATATTTACGCCATCGTGCTCAGTCAACATCGAGCACAACTTCATCCGATAGTATGAATCAAATTCGTTTAATACAACAACGATTACCACCCACATCTCCTCGAACAAATCCACAACAGAATAAAAAGAATTCACCTGATCACTCGCAAGCGCCATCAGGTTAGTAGCTGAGAAAGATTTTCCATTTGAATATCATGTCATCTATAGGTCGAACAACACCAAGCAATGGCAGTCAAACAGGCGATTCAGTATTTCAGCGTCTTTCTCATACAACAACGAAATCTTCCTTGTCCAAGTCAAGTTCTAATCTATGCGCAAATATACTAAACAAAACTATTCATTCGCCAGAACAACAGAATCAAATCAAATCAAGCCAGTTAAAAACTCATGAAATCGATCTCGATGATTCAATAATAACAGAAAACAACCAAGTATCAGTCACATCACCAACAAATAATTTAAGTAAATGTCAACGTTCAAGATCGGTCGATGGTCGTGCACGACTGAAAAGTGCACAAAACCGTATACAAAACGCCAATCGCCCAACGAATAACGATGACGATGATCATCATCACCCACCCTCGATCCCATCATCAAAATTTACATCTGTTCAATCTCGTTACAATGCTCCACCACCACGTGTTCCATCAGCACCACGGTACACCCATTCGGATCGACCAGCCATAACGAAACGGTTACCTAACGGACATCATCCGATCCACGCCAGGAATAGCAATGGAGTTCGAACACGGAGTAATCAGGGAAATTTAGTTGATACAGAAAATGATGAAAACTTAGCTACTAATGATAATTATCAACCGAAAATTGTCGATAATAAAATACGACCATCCGCTTCAGGTCATCGATACGGTAATAATAATAGTATTCAAACATCGGCATCAACGTCGTCTGTCACGGCTGCCATGTCTCGAACAAAAGCGCCTGTTTCCACATCAGCAAATCTGTATCGAAGGGATTTAAATGCATCTGGAACTGATTTAAACAGGTCAGACGAAACATTTTGACGTTTGTCAAAATTTATTACATTTACTTTTCAGATCATCAAAACGTGTCGATGATCAACGACTTCTATCTCCTCCTACTCAACGCCGACAGATCCCAGTATCTGTTTTTTCACCAGCAAAAAATGAAACGAAACGACCGGCACCCATTCAGTCTTCATCGACCACGCCAATCAATGAACCCGTCTCAACTTGCAATGGTGAATCTCACGAAGAAGAAGAACAACAACAACCATCCCAATCGCCAACAGGCGACAGTAGTTATACTACATTAAACAATGAAAATGAAATGAATAAGAAGATTTCAATCACAGGCACAAGTTTGAAATCATCAACAGAAAACATCTTGAGTGAACTTGCCTTTTCTAACGACAGACACGACACAAGCAAAAAGATGAACGTTTTCGAACGACTCTTTCGTGGTCATAAAAAGAAAGTTTAGTTTTCGATCCTTATCATTCATTCATTCTCTCTCTCTCTTACTCGTATAAAAACAATAATTCTATCAGTGCATTATTATCTCCGTCCCCGAGAATGACTGATAATTACTTTATATGCGCACGGGAATTATTCAACCGGTTGTAAAATACTTTGTTTCATAGGATGGATTTTCTCCTCGAAAAAGAAGTTCTTCTTTAGTTTGTTGCTTTTTTCTTGTTTATTTAGCCTTTGGAATTTCATTTGCGTCTTTTCTCTCTCTCTCTCTCTCATGGTCAGGTTTTTTCTCATCATTCATTTCATCTTTGTGTTATTTTTGTATGTGAAAACAAAAGAGATGTCTTTTGATTGATATTTAGATTAATAAATAGATCGCATTGGACGGCTAGTGATTACATTTACCTTTCATCCTCTTTCCACACATTGAAAGTTAGAAGCGTTCTGATTAGCAGTTGAAACGTACAAGTTATTTTTATAAATCTATTCCATTCTTTGAAAATGCCATTATATTACTATTGCGTTGTTTCAACTGAAAAGAATTTTTATTAGTTAAATTTAGTTTCTACTCTCCACTAGAAACGTCTTGTTTGTTTCCGAGAATATCTTACCGAGAGACATTTTACTCTCAAGAATGACTTGACAAGTGCAATTAAACATAACTACACACTCTGCAGTCTGATCTAACGAGTGTTGAACATTTTATGGAACACAGAGACGTTCACTTTTCGAACTCGATATTCCGAGCCGGAAAGTATTTTAATCGAGCCAGCAAAACATTCGAATTGTTCTTCTCACGAAACATATATCAAATGATACAAATACTATCTGACCGCTGGGAAATTCTCGCACGTTCGTTGAAGAATGGCAATATACAATTCTGGAATAATTATGAGAATAACGACAACGATATTGTCAATAATTAAACCCTACAGACATACGGAGCTACGATCTTTTAGTTTTCATTTCCTCTAAAAGAAATTTGATTAATTACGATAGACGAAATCAATATTCGCCTATATTAAAAAAGAATGCTGGAAAACAGGAAAAATAGAACACTTCATTATGAAATTGAGACTCACTTTAGAAAGAGATTCATTGCAGCAAACATTCCCAACCAGTAAATTTGCACCGATATGTTTCAAATAAATGATACCCACACACGCCGACCAAACTTCTAACAACTTCTTTCTTAATTAGAAAAAAAATGTTTTCAATAATAACACGCAGACTTTATTTATATCTTGGAATCTAAAGAGATTCCATTTTGTTTGTAATTATAAAATGTCATATTTGATTTTACTGACTTTTCAACCTATGTACGTATATCGTCGTTCTATTTTTCCATCTGAATTACTGTCAATCATGAATAATTTCATAGAAAAACTACGTATCGACGACAGGTTGAAGTATGCGTGTATGGATTAATATAGTGTTTAACATGCTGTGTTCTAAATGCTCTTCAGTACAAATCTACATATGCACACGGGTAAGAATGATCGATCAAGGTTCGAGGTACTTGATTCAAAAAGAAAAAGTGCATATCAGTCTCGCTGATTTACTGAAAGATTTGTACGAAGACAATTTTGAATAGGTCAGGCACATTAACGTATTTTCCATTAAACAGCTGTTTTCTCTTTCTTTTTTTCCACATATGACCTCGATAATGCATATTACAATTGGATGCGTGACTTTTAGACGTGTATTATATATATATATATATATTCATCTCTCTCNGACGGAACAGTGAGTTTCATTTGAATGATTTGAAACATTGACAAAAATTCTTTCGTAATGCTATTTTAGGTGTGTGTTCTCGATCTGCGAAAATAAAAAAAAACGATTGGAATGAACTTTGATTAAACGTTAGGTCAATGTATTGTTGTTTCTCTCTTTCTCTTTTCTTTCTTGTTCGTTTATATACAAAACGCGAAATACTCGTATTGTTGTTATCTGTTGTTTTTTTTTTCTACCATCATTATCATCATCATCATCATTACGATCATCCCTTCTTTCAACGACGATCTCACAGAAGGAAAAACTTCAAACTAAACATATGTTAATCTTTTTTCTGTCTCTCTCTTTCGCTCCTTTTTGTTCATCTCCTTGCACATGTGTATTTTTCTTCTCTTGTTTTTTTTTTCTTTTTCCCTGGATTCAGTCTATGTTGGACTTCTTCTTTCTCTCTCTCTTTCTTTCTTTCTTTTTTCGGAAAAACGTCAAAGCAGTGATATGTATGTGTGTGTGAGTGTCTGACTTTATTTCTCTCGGTTTTTACATGCACTTGTACGTGTGTGTGATGATGAGCTCGTGTTCCATTATAAATATTTCATACGGGCACACAGATGATGACAAAGAGACAAAAAAAAGCAAAAGATGTGAACTTTGTAATTATGTTGTTTTCTTTTTTTTCTCTAAGAAATCGATTCGAGGAAGACAAACCTATTGTGCAAATTTTCAAGCGAAATCTTGATCTAGTTGTTTCTTTCTTTCGTGAGAACAAATTCTTTGTATTACTATTCATCAGGTGAAATGATTTGCTAGTCAATAGCGTCGAAAAATAAGTTTTTTTTCTCGTATATTTTGTAAGAACTAAATGAGTAGAATACGAAAACATATTAAAGCATGATTTTACAAAATTTCGCTGAAGTTCATATAGTACCAGCTTTCATGTGCACTTTTTCAGCTTTTCAGTCACTTCTGTTTTCATGGCACTATCAGCGTTTGTACATTTGTCGCTATCTAAGTTCTTCTTTGCTTCCAAGAATTTTTCTTTGGCGCCCTCACGATCGCCTTTGTCTAAAAGCGCATTACCCCAATCTATATTTGACTGAGCAACGTCGATGGCCATTCGCGGTATTAAATGTGCAGCATCATCGTTACAAACAACGCGCACTTTAGAATATTTAGTTGCCCATGGTATGTGGTAGGAAAGATCGGAGCAAAACACATAAATGGCATAAACGTTCGGTAAATCATGCACTTTAGGTACAATGTCTTTTCCCAATGCACCTGATGCTACCAAAAACACTCGTCTCTTCGTACATTTTGTTCGAATATATTCCTCACAACGGTCGGTTTGACTTTCACACATTTCCCATTCAAATGTGCCAGTAATTTTTTCATAAATATCAAGCATTTCAAGAATTAAACCGAGAAGTGTAACAAATTTGAATCCTTTGAATTTATCTAAATCAGTGATCGGTTTCGGTGGCAATGGTCTTATTGGTGATCTATTCAATTTGTCGGTATATTCTTTAATTTGTTCTCGTGTGGCTTGTACTGTCGACGAAGTTGCAGAGGTGGCAGTGGTTGCAGGCTGTGCACTAGTTGCTGATGCAGTCTGAGGGACAGGTGCTGTTGTAGCCTGAGTGGCAGGTGTTGTTGTAGCCTGGGTGGTGGGTGTTGTTGTAGCCTGGGTGGTGGGTGTTGTTGTAGTCTGTGTGTTTGACTCTCGGACAGTCGGAGCGTTGTATTCTGATGCAGACATTTGTGGCCGTGGTGAATATCCAGCTGCAGTTGCAGCTGTAAACTGAGCCAGCTGATGAGGCGATGCTATGGTAGGTGGCATTCGCTCCGGTTGTAATTTAATAGGACGTGGGCCACTGGGTTTTGGCGGATTTGATTGGTTTGACATGGTTTTTACAATATTTGTGTAAAAGAAATTTCTACAATAGAAATACAAGAAGCAATAAATTGAATTTGTTCCTCTGCCCTTTTCTTTACGCGTGTTGCGATTGAGACAGTATATTATTTTTGTGCATTTTTGCTTTTGTAAGACTATGTTGGAAAAAACCCACTTACGGAAGGCAGTACAGAACGTAAAAATTATTTTTTCTCGAATTCAGTTTTAAAAACAAACGACAGAAAAAAATGGCAACCATACGTGTTCAACCTCAACAAATAAATAAAACTCTAGATTTATTTTTCAACCGATTTGCATGTATGTACATAAAAAATACAAATGCAAACTAGAAAAAAAATCTCCATTAAATCATTTGCATTTTCTGTGAATAGTCGATTATTTGATCTCCATTGCCCATGATATACCTACCTTCTTTAAATGCGGCTTGCTCTACATTTCTAGTAAAAAACATAATGATCGATTAAAATCTTTCGTATCAGTCGGAAAAACCGATTCTCGTCCCTATATGTTAGCCTTGCTCAATAGCACCAGCGCCATCTGTTGAGAAAGTTTTTACATTACTGGATCAAGAATTTACCTATCTCGATGAGTACCTTGATGCATTTACGTTGTTTTATACCATGTTCGAATCAACGCCCTCTATTTTTTCTGTTCTCGAACAGGACTATGTGCGTTTTTAAATTTCAATATAATTACGTTCATTGAGGATCGAAATATTTATCGCGTTAGCTGTCGCTCTGTGTGGCGAATAGAACGCCAGCCAATGAAAAGACGAGTCTATTTTGTCATTCATTCTTTGAAAGAAAAAAAAACAAACAGCTTTGTATTACACGTCAATATTTTTTTTACTTCAAGTGCTGATAGTTAAGCGTACACGTTGGTGGTAAATTCCAACATGCCACGATCATACTCACGTTCGCGTTCTCGCTCCAATTCGTCGAGTGTGTCACCCGACCGTCGTTCACGCTCGCCAGCTCGTAATAATGATCACGACGACGACGATAGTAATAACTGTCGATTACATGTTGCTGATCTCTCATCCAGTTGTACAAAACGTCAAGTCGAAAAAGCGTTCGAGAAGTGGCCCTTAACTGAAGTTTGGCATGCACAAGCATCGTGTTTTGCTTTTGTTGTGCTACGTAATCGGGAAGATGTTCGACAAGCAATCGACGAGTTAGACGGACGGTAAGTGATTTTCACTGGGAAAAAAAGCGTTCATTTAGAAAGATGATATATTCGTTTAGATTCATTGGTAACGCACGTGTTCGTGTTACTTTAGCTCGACCACGCATTCGCTCCAGTGGTGCTAGTGATGGTGGTAGACGATACTTTGACGCAAATAAGTAAGAATCGAAAGATTGGATTCTAAAAAAAGTATTGTTTATTATATTAGACGGTGTTACCAATGCGGTGTCCGAGGTCATTTCAGTCGTGATTGTGGCAATGAACAACGAAGCAGCAGAAGATCTGACAATGAATACCGGTGAGTTTTCTGATAAATGGAGCGGCCGAACCAATGATTTGGAGAAAAGTAAAATATAAATATACGTAAAAATGTCACACTGGGATCATCAAAACGGTCTTGGATGGATTGAAAATTTAAGATGAGATGGTTGGTTTCGAATTTGACACAAATCTAAGGTAAATTGTTGAGAAAAAACTCCTTATGAATGAATAGATATGAAAAAAAATCGTAGATTTTCAAGAAAGTTTGCCAAAAATTTACTAATCTACTTTATTTAGATCTCGTAAGGACGAGCGTCGACGTGAACGATCGTATTCTCGATCGCGGTAGGTCCAATTTCAATATTATCAGGTGATTCACACATATCTATCTCCATCAACTTTAGTTCTCGATCGCCTCGTCCGCGTGTTGTTCGAGAAACTCGTCGTTACAGGTAATTAATAGTTTCATGACAAACACTCAATTAATGTCTCTCATCATTAAGTCCTCGCCGATCACCACCAAGCTCGAGTTATAAATCACGTGAAAATGGCTCTGGTTACTACTCCAGGTATACCATACTTGCTCTGTGATTCGCCGCAAAATCTTATTTTACTTCTAGTCCACCTCGAACGAAATAACTGCGAGTGAATAACATGCTGATTCGAGCATAAATATACGGCAGACATTGAATTTCACTCTGTTTTCTTGTACTTGATCGCTTAGCGTTCTTTTTGTTGTTTGATGTATATCGTTTCTTGAATTATCTCTTCATCTGTTGTTTTGTATTTTTCATTTCAACTTTGTGCTTCTGTTCTACAATTGCCTTTGTTCAGTAACGTGAAGCATTTCAATTCTAATCAATAAGCTCTTGTTTTATTTTAGTATCTCATTGAATTGTTTCTTCCTTCTTCTGTTCAGTATGCCTCGGTCACGGTCCCGATCACACACACGATCTCGTAGTGCAACGCCTTCGTCACGACGATCCGGTTCACCATCGTCAGAATTTGATAGCCGAGGCGATCGAGCAAACGAATATCGTGTTCACATCGCTGAATTACCAAAGGGTGCACAAGAAGGCGAAATACGGAAAGTCTTTCAACGTTTCGGCACATTAGTCGATGTTTGGGCTGCTAGTGCATCATGTTTCGCCTTCGTTACGTATAAAAACAAAGAAGAAGCACAAAATGCTATCGAACAAATGGATGGAAGGTATGCTATACAATAAAGCTATCTACATAGTTTAAACGAACGATGATAAAACTGACACAAATGTTCTCATTGGATTAAGATCATTCGGAGATGCTCGTGTACGAGTGACGTGGGCTCGACCACGAGCGCGACATCGTTCTCGACGTTACGATCCCAATATGAAATGTTTCAAATGTGGACAACACGGACATTTTGGGTAGGAAAATCCAATCACGGTATTTACGGTATATCTATTAAATTATTTCTCATAGTCGAAATTGTGATGGTGCCGCAAGCGACTCACGTTCATCACGCCGTCGAGAAGATAACTATAGTCGGCGCTCGTCACCTCCCAGATACAGTCGTCGTTCAAGGTATGAATGGTTGCTAATTTTGCATGCCAGAATGTGCGTACATATGTGTACTTGGTATATATGCATAATATCTCTTGGGATGTATAACATGCAAACCAAATTTTGGAGATAGATAACCTAAAATAACTAATAGAAAGAAAAGTCTTAGAGAAGAACAGCGTTTTCCTTGGAAATTGGATGTTGTCGTGGATGAAATTTACGATTGGATAAAGAGAAATGCTTATAAATTTATTTATAAATGGATTTGGATTTGGTTCATGTGGAACTTTAGGTCTCGTTCACCACGTCCATCAGATGGTTTGCCAGCTCCAGCTTATTTTCGTCATGGTATGCCAGTTTATCCGTCATACTCTCGACGAAGCGATGATCATTCAGGAAGTTACTATTCTTCATCGGACCGATCTAACGGACACGACCGACGTTATCGCGACCGAGGAACACGTCTTACGCCACCGTCAACAAGTGCCAGATACAATCGGAGGTAAGAAAACACACGTTCAATGTGTTGACAAACAAATCGTTTTTTCAATTACTTCGTAGATAATCAATATTGTTAACATGGAAAATACCTACTCGTAAGTGTCAATTATGGTTTCAGTTCTCCGATTGATCGTTTTGATGCATTCTAGATAAAGTAGAGAACAACATTGCTAAACGTGATATTTGTTATGTTTTATAATCTAGAAGAAAACTACTCTTCGTTTTTTTTTCTTGTTTCAGTATACTCATAATCTTATTTGTTTCTTTTTTGTTCGTGATTATTTGTATTGTAATTCTTTTTTCTCTCTCTCTCTCTTTCAAACGTAGTATTCTTTGCATTCTACATATATATTTATCAGCCATTTCAATCGAGAGTTTCTTTTCTTCGTTCGAAATTTCAACTTATTACATGTTGATGTCTTTCACAACTTGTGGAACCAATTCTGATGTTCTCTCAATCAAAAAGCAACAATTAACCATACACACCGCAGTGTTCATTAAATCGATGTCGATCTCAGTTTCTGTTTGTGATATTACATTTGTATTCTATCGCGGAATTTTTCTGTTATGCTTGTGTGCAAATTTACGTGTATCGTATTTATATTCATTGACTCAAGAAAAACAAATTGAATAAAAAAAAACACAAAGTTACATCAACAATGATATGTAACATATGTTGTTTTCTACGAATTATTTAGATAGATTTATCATGTCGGCAAGTACAGAAGCCAGTGCAATAATAGATTTTTTCAAAAGAAAATCAATCTTTATTACTGGTGCGACAGGGTAAGAAGAACATATAGACTTTCTCTTGCCATTCATAGTAAATTCTTCAGATTTATTGGGAAACAACTCGTAGAAAAACTCGTTCGATCATGTCCCGGTAAGCTTAGATCGTAAGAACGTTTATTCCTATGAAATTACTCCTTCCCGTTTAGACGTTGAACATATCTATCTGCTTGTTCGACCAAAACGTGGTCATGCTGTGAATGATCGATTGAAAGACTTATTTACAAGCCCTGTAAGCTCGAGAAAGTCACAAAGAATGGTATTTTTTACTTTCGTCCTAGTTATTCAACACTGTACGAGAGATGTATCCTAATTTTGAAGAGAAAATATCTGCTGTACAAGGCGATATTCTCGATCCGAACTTTGGTCTTAGCCCAGCTGATGAAACAATATTAATTGAACAATGTCATATTGTATTTCATTCAGCAGCAACTGTTCGATTTCATGAACCACTTCGGTAGGATATATCGGTCAGAACATCCGAAAAAAAAACTCTTCAATGCTCTTACCAGACTTGCCATACAAATGAATGTTGCATCAATCAAGAAATTACTTGCTCTCTGTCATAAAATGAAGAAATTACAAGTACACATCATTATTCTCGTTCATAAAAATGATAAATTCATTGATTTTTGTTTTCTTTCGCAGTCGATCGTTCACGTATCTACAGCGTATGCAAATTGCAACCGTAGTGACGTCGCTGAAATGATCTATCCACCACCTATTCAACCAGCGAAGTTATTAGATGCTAGTGAATGGATGGACGATCAAGTCTTTGATGTCTTGACCAATAAAATCATCAACGATCGACCGAATACATACACATTTACGAAAGCATTAGCTGAATATGTCATCTCGCAAGAAGCTCGAGATCTTCCATTAGCGATCATACGTCCTTCCATCGTTGGTTCATCATGGCGTGAACCAATAGCTGTAATTTTGAGAGAAAAGAAAAACAAGAAAGATTTGATATTTTCTTGCATTTCTACGTAGGGTTGGATTGATAACTACAATGGACCTAGTGGATTAGTCGTTGCTGTATGGTCGATATACTTATTGATATAATCAGAGTAGTTTCTTTTGAACATTTTAGACAGGCAAAGGCATGCTTCGAGCTATGCTTGGTAGTAGCACAGCCATAGCTGATATCGTACCGGTTGATGTATGTGTGAACATGATGATTGCAATTGCTTGGAACACAGCAATAAAACAGTACGAAGACACCTATCATCATTCAAAGATGACATATCTATTAAATCTTCTGTTACTTCTAGCCCGAAGAACATCCCAGTTTATCACTGCTGTACTGGTCATTTGGGTACTTTAACATGGGGTAAAGTTACCGAATACGGTTTACATCATCTATATAACATCAGTTTGGAAAATGCTATTTGTTATCCATATTTGCAATTTACTGAGAATCGGTATGTCGCGGAAAGCTCAAAATTCAAATGCACAAACTTCTTTTTTTTTTTATTAAACTAGATTTCGGTATCACTATCTTCGAACATTACAAGAAGTTGTTCCGGCTTTTATTCTTGACTGTTACATGCGTATCATTGGTCGTAAGCCGATGTAAAACGATTCCTGCTATATTATCCTCTTACTTAATCGATTGAAATTTTCATTTTAGGTTTTTAAAATTGTCGGACAAGATTTACAAAAGCGTTCGAACATTAGATTTTTTTACTTCGAATTCATGGATATTTCCCAATGATAACAGTGTTCTTCTGCAAAATGAAATGAGCGACATCGATCAAAAAGTAAACTTTTATTCCTATTCATTATTACCAAGTAACATCGTTCGTTTGTTTTTAAATAGATATTCAATTTCGATCTTAAAGAACTCGACTGGTTTCAATATTGGCGTCACTACTGTACCGGTGCAAAACAATTCTTACTTCGAGAAGATCTTGCACGAACGGCTAAATGTCGTACAAGATATTTACGGTAACGGAAAATCCGAGCTATGCAATAAACTTATTCATTTGCTCTGATTTTAGACTAAAACGTATTCAAAATATTCTCTATTTTACAACAATCGCTCTGGTTATAAAACTAGTCTTTTTCAAATCATTTAAAATTCGTGGAATATTTCTCGCAATCTTTCGACTATTTTTTGCTGCTTTATCATCACTAGTAGCAAAGCTCGGTCTTCGAGCCAAATAATATAGGACAAAAAAAAAGCAAGATAAACTTCTAGAAGCAATAGTGTTGTTTTGTGGATTTTTTTAAAAAAACAAAAGAACAATAAAAGAAAAAGGAATGAACGGAACGGAAGAAATTCAGATGATTTTATTGATGAGAAAATTCAGTTGTTTGGTTCGATCAATGATTCTATTTCTGCTGGACACGTTGTTGACAAGTGGTGTCATCTATTCATTGAGCGCAGTCGACTACAGGAGGATTTGCCACGGCAACGTAATTTCAACCGAAGAATAGAGTTCTTCTTCTTTTCTTTCATTTGTCTTGCAAAATAGAATCTACCTGATTGTACACGATGCGTCTCAAACGTTTTCTTCTTCGATATTATCCACCAGGTACATTCGTGAGCCTTTTTCATAGTACAACGACTGTAATTTATTTCATTGCAGGAATTATTCTTGAATATGAGCAGAGTAATGTTTTGAAAACAAAATCAATCGATTTACTTGATTTGAAATCTGAGTAAGAGAAATGTGCGTGATAATTTGAACGCATTTTATTTGCTCTTTTGTTCTAGTACTGATGTGAATAGTGTGGTAGAGGAAATTGTCAAGAAAGAACCATTAATTACGGCAGCGAAAGTTGATAAAGTCAAAGAATTAATCGAAAGTAAATCTTTCAATTGATTAATACTCAAATATAATGCTCGACGATATTTTTAAGGATTACAAGAGAAAATCTCTCAACAAGATGATAAACGCTTCTATTTATTCAAAGTACTTCGTGCTCATATACTTCCATCAACTTATGTTGCATTCAACAAATCCGGTTCAACGTACGATTGAGAGAAATAGTCTTTCTATATTTGTGACTTGTTTTTACTTTAGATTCATCACTGCTTCATATGATCGAACATGTAAAGTATGGGATACAGCATCAGGCGAAGAGTTGCATACTCTTGAAGGACATAAAAATGTTGTCTATGCTATCGCATTTAATAATCCGTTCGGGTATGTTGATTTTGTCGAGCAATTTTCTTTGGAAACTGCTGAGGATACTTTCTCTTTTTTTTTCTAGCGATAAGATAGCCACTGGTTCATTTGATAAAACAGCTTGTATTTGGAGTACGGAACGCGGTACATGTTATCACACACTTCGAGGTCATACTGGTGAAGTCGTACGTATAAAATATATTGTCTGATAATGCTAGTAAATAACTATCTGATATTAGGTCTGTCTAGCATTCAATCCTCAAAGTACAGTTCTAGTGACTGGAAGTATGGATCATACAGCTAAATTATGGGATATTGTTTCTGGCACGGAAATCGCGAGTTTACATGTATGCTATTCAAATGAAAGTGACTTTGTATGTTTGAGAGAAATTTCCAAATGAATTTCAGGGTCATACGGGTGAAATTATATCTGTGAGTTTTAATACGCGTGGCGATCAAGTCATTACAGCTTCATTTGATCGAACTGTAGCCATATGGGATGTTCGCACTGGAGAGTAAGAATAAAAACGGTCTATTCAAACTATTCTTATTCATTTTTGTAGTAAAATTCATACACTAATTGGACATACAGCTGAAGTTAGCAGTGCTCAGTTTAATTGGGATTGTAGTCGAATTGTAACTGGTAGTATGGATAAAACTTGTAAATTATGGGATACATTATCTGGTAGATATGACAAGACTTGAGTGTATCTAGTCTTCAATACTTCTTCTTCGTTCGTAGGTGAATGTGTAGCAACTTTAAGGGGACATGATGATGAGGTACTGGACGTTGTTTTCGATTCTACCGGTCAATATATAGCAACAGCATCAGCAGATAAAACTGGACGTGTCTATGATGCATTGAGTCACATGTGTATAGCAACATTGATTGGACATCAAGCTGAAATATCTAAAGTAGGAATGAATTTCACTCATCATTGATTTTGGAAAATCATCGATGTACATTTCTACCTTAGATTTCGTTCAATCCTCAAGGTAATCGGTTGATTACAGCAAGTAAGATCATGCTGCAGATAGGTACATTAGAATTCTCATGTATTATTGTGCTAAGGTGCGGATAAAACAGCTCGTATATGGGATCCACTGACCGGCGAATGTAAACAAATACTTGAAGGACATACTGATGAAATCTTTAGCTGCGCTTTCAACTACGAAGGAAATACAATTATAACAGGTATGTACGAAAAACTATGAATATATTTCAAAACTATTTTGCTCGATTGTCTTCATTTTTTAGGCAGTAAAGATAATACGTGTCGAATTTGGCGATAGAGAAGTGATATTATTATGGTTTCTTTTACTTTTCGTTTTGTGTGATTCACTTATTCTCATTTTTCTTTTCTCTCTATCCAATTGTTTGTTTTGCAATATCTGTGTTTTATGAAAGAGAAAAAAATACTATGTATAATCAATACTCACGATCCTTTTCTCTTCTAGATTAAAATCTTGACTATTGAAAAATGTCTCGAGTTACTCGCACTTCAGTACCATCGTCTACGCGACGGCCACAAGCGTCCACAACTAGACCACCTCACAGACCCACTATTCCTACATCAACAGCCAGCCGATCAACGACGCGCGGCACTCGAATATCAGCACGTGCTGGAACAATGCACAATCAATTATCACGGCAGCAAAGATCAGATAACGATCCATATCGTGAACCTGTCGAGAGACCACAGCAACCAGAGCGTACAGTACATACTGGGTAAGACGCTTTCACGTTTCAACTATGTTAGTCAATGAAAAACTGAGTGATCGCATCGATACCGAGACGTACACTTGTTTCTTAAATTGATTGTTTTGAGAAGTTTTCGCCTTAAATGGTTCAGAGTGTCAACTTTGAATCTTTTAGTGGTGGTTATCAAATGTTTGTCCCGTCAACAGAAAAGCGTGAGCAAATGAGACTACAAGCTGAAAATGAACAGCGTCAATACGAAGCGCATGTGGAACGATCACGCATGCATCAGATTCACGAAGTACATCGACTAGGTAGGAGTTAATCAATATTCAGACAGCAATTTTCTTTGGTTGTGAAGGTGGTGACAGATTGAGTGAAGAAGAAGTTCGTCGACGACAAGCAGAAAAATATCGATTAGAGAAGTTCACACGCTCAGTAACGCTCCAACTTTTATTATCTGTATTTTCTTATGAATTTCTTCTAGGAAAAGTCTCATGAAGAACAATCTCGGAAAAAACACGAAGAAGAGAGAGAAATCGAAGCAAGAAAACAAGCAGCTCGTCTTCAAGTAAAATACCTTCCTATTGATTAAGTCACCAACATCTATCTCAACATTTAGGCACTAGAAAATGAAAAACACACTCAAGTCTCTCAACTGCATTCGATGAGACCGTATTAGATTTGAGATGTTGTGTGACAATATCTAACTAATTATCTTTTCTAGAGAAAGCAATCAGAATGAAGACGGAGCAACTGGGTGGACAGATGAAGCTCGCGAAGAAGATCGACGAGAGTAAAAAAGAAAACCAGTCAGATCTCTTATGCTTCTTCTCTTTGTAGAACTATGAATCGATTTCTAGATCGTTTCACTCAACAATACGATAACATGACTATTTCATCAGATAACAAATCTAGTAGATAGTCTTATTCTAATCTATCATTCAACTTTGTTCGATTCTTCATAGATGGCAACGAAACAGAGGAAGAAAAGCTTGCTATTTTACGCGACATGCTTCCACATATTGATGATCAAACACTGATATATTATTTGGAGATCTACAATGGAAATATCGATGCGGTTGTTCAGGAACTTCTGAATTAAATGTGATTGTGTGCAATAGTTTTATAATTTTTCTATATCTCGACTCGATTTATTTTTGTTGACAATCAAAGTGTATCGAAATAGTATCTCGTACCATCCGTGACGATAGAAACCCATGTATTGATCTTATGTTATATTTGACAAATTGTTTCTAGTTGAACAACAAATCGCGCTTTGGAAGCGAAAGTTTCTTTGGCATGATCATAACATGTTCGTAGACGAAAATCTAAATTATTTACTGGAGCATTCTTTTCACAATAATCAACCGAATGACGAAAGCTTGAACGAGTTGGTGTTCGATAAAGACGTTGCCAAACCGATCTCTTACTATTCTAGAGTATCAAATCAAAGCATCAATTTGGATGATTCTATGCAAAATACGATACATGATTATAGACGAATGGAAAACGTGATTCGTTCATGATTGCAACTGAATCGAAATGGTTGCTGAGTAACGTTTGAATTATATTTTAAACAAACGAGTCTAAGACTAAGAAATTTATTGAAACTGTTAGGAAAAACGTTCTGTAGTTCTCAAATTCGCACTTTTCTGGCAAGTAAGTACGCTCTTTGAAAATGCTGTACAAGCTTTTTATCTCCAATCAATTGGGCAAGTTTAAATAGAGTCTCCGAATCGGCCAAAGAACCGCGCTTTTGTTTCCACATGCGCAATAGAACATCGACTTTTTCTTCCTGCTTGACTTGATGATAATTCTTTCGAAAATAAGCTATGTCAGTGTCTGGCAAGTTCAATCTTATCAATAAACGTTCGAAATCATGCGTTGAGAGATGTTCCACAAATATTCTTTTGTAGATTCGGAAAAGTTCGTTCTCGTATTGATCATTGACTTGAACGAACATATGTGACGCTACAGAACTCGATTTTCCTTCGAGAAAGTCATTCGGCGGAGCTAAGCACAATGCATTATCATTGATACGAAATGCATCGATTTGATAGAGTGTAGATGGAAACGAAGGAAATAGATTTCCATTTAATTTCACCATTTTCAAATTTGTTAATTGTCGTAAGCGATCCGTGTCCAATGCAGTGAGAAGATTATCGCTCATATCGAGATATTCCAATTTTGTTAAACTATAAACACATGGAGGTATCTCGCGAAATATATTATAAGATAAATCAAGTTTTTGTAGATTGTACAAATGAATGAAATCATCCGGTAGTTTGTCAATATGTATTCCATGTTGTTGGGAATAAATTAGACAAGTTAGTTGATCGAGATAGATCAATGGATCGGGAAATCGAGTAAATTTATTATTCGACAGGTCAAGTGTTTGTAAATTCGTCATGTGAACGATTTCATCAGGGATGAATTCAACTAGATTATCATTCATATATAACTCGGAAAGTATTTCACCTGCGAATAATCGAAGAAGGTGAGAATGAAACAAACTACAGTTGAAGTCTTACCGATATACGTACGATTGGTTGTTTCATCCATTTCGTATAACCAAGCCGGAAAGTTTTCAAATTTATTTTGACCTATTTTCAAAATTTTCAAACATATCAATGTCCGAAAGTTTTGATCGAGTTCGGTCAAGCAATTGCCGGATAAATCTAAATAAGTCAACGCTTTTAACACTGTTAATTGGTGTAAATTCGTATGTAAATTATTATATGATAAATCCAGGAAGTTTAATGTACGAAAGAAATGTTTTTGAAAGTAACTAGTCGCGTTCAAATCATGTAAATTGGAATCATTGAATGTTAAGTGATTTAAAGAAGGTAATTGAAAGAGAATTTCAGGAAATTTACGTAATGGATTCGAGGAGATGTTTAAAATTTGGAGTTGAGCACATGCGAGGAATTCTTTGGGAATATTGGAGACTTGATTGTGGTCTAAATCGAGTTGAATGAGGTGTTGCAGATGGACACAATCGGTCGAAGAGAGTTCAATTTGATTTGTCGATAAACGAAGAACTTCTAATTTGGCGTGAACGTCTTGCGGAATTTTCGATAGAGAATTCGAACTCAAATCGAGTAGTTGCAATGATTTCATATGGGAGAGAAGTGAGAATATGTTGGTCAATTGATTCGAGTGAAGGTATAGTTCTTCAAGCAAATCGAAGAATTGTTTGATTGAAGAGAGAAAATCATTTGTCAGATGGTTTTTCGAAAGATCGAGTCGTTTTAATTGAGGAAATTGAGTGAAATAATCCAGTGTAATCTCGTTGATTCTTTGTAGTTGAATATTTGATAGAGAAATATGTTGTAAATTCGAACAAGTGTATAAAAGAAGTGGAAATGTTTGTAAAGGATTGGAATTCATGTAGAAGTGTTTCAAATTCGACAAGTTTTTGAATGTATCAATTGATTGAAACTGATTGAAAGACAAATTCAAGGTTTCTAAATGACTCAATCGAGTAAATGTATTTGGTAGAATTTTCAAACGATTATGATCGAGAAGTAAAACGCGTAATTGTTCCAGAGCTCCGATACTCGTCGGTAAAGTTGTTAGATAATTATAAGAAAGATCTAATGTATGCAGAAAACGAAGATAGTGAATATTTGCTGGCACAGTTTTGATGTGATTGAAAGATAGATTGATGATTTGAAGAAATGGATGTACCAGCGGACGCGATGACTAAACAAAATAGAGATTTTTCGACTGAAAACAAATTTCGAGTATTCACTTTCGGTTTATCATTCTCAGATGCTTCTGTTCGGTATAGAATCCATTCGATAGTATTCAATTCGTTATGACTGCCATTCAATTCAATCAAATTCGTGTAATCCGACACGAAATTCGGCATTTGGATCAAGTAATTCCCTGCCACTGAGATGCCGGCAACACTTTTCGGATTTGATATCGACTCGATGATGTAATTCTGTCGTAAACATCGATGAAGATCAAGATAGTTCACCTGTTGATTTTCAATTTGTCGAATCGATAAATAACTATCCAATGACACAGTATTCATCCCTTTTCTATGTGAATTTTTCTTTCGAATGTCTGAAAAGCAAGTTGTTGTTATTTTATATCTGATTCTCAATTCAATTGAAGAAACCTTATTGACTTTCGCGCATTGATTTACTTTTCTTTTATTAAATCTAATCAGAAAACAGAGCAACCGATCTCCATGAGAATATTTCACCTCAGTAGAGCGTAATAATATCCCAAACTATACTTCAATCTTCACATTGTTGAATCAAAGAAAGCATTGACAATGTTCCTGTCTTCGCAATTACTTTCGAGAGAGAAAGTCATTACTCATTGACAACATTCTATTAGAATTCTACCTGGATATGTACGGAAATGACTTTAATAACAAGCACATGTGGACCAAAGTACAAATTTTCCGTAACGTTTATGTCTGACGAAGCAAACAAGTGCTTCGATAACCCCAAAGAGATGACGCACTACTTTCATAGAAAATTCATCATATACATGAAGAAACATTATGGAAAACTTTGAAGATAAAAAGAGCACTTTGATGATTTTCAAGGGAAAAATTCATTTTCCTCTGCTTTTTATATAATCACAGAGCAAATAGAGAGAGAGAGAAAAAAAACTATTGTTTATTTCCATTCTTTCCTATTTCCAAGAATAATTTTTGTTGGAACAATAAATAGTCAGCGTTTTCAAACAATAATTACATTAGTTTTTCCTTCTCAAATTCAATTTCCATGACAGACGATAGCAACGAGGTTGATTTACCGCTCAAGGCCATCGCACGTCGTGGAGCTATTTCATCGACGACATCATTTGAATCCACTGATGGAATGTTCAATATTGAAAAAGATTCTCGGCTGGTGAAATTGTTCAACAAAGCAGTCGAAAACAATCTTCTTTTCACGTACGGATCTCGAAAGGAAAACCACGTCATTATTCTTTGTCATTTTTAGTCATCTTGATGAAAATGAACGAATACAAGTTTTCAGTGTGATGTCTTGTCGATCGTATTCATCTGATGAGATTATTATTGATCAAAATAACGAACATGAATACTTTTATATTATCGAAGAAGGAGAAGTTGATGTAAATAGATCATTGTTCAATACAATTAACTGAATTTATATTGGAAAAATAGGTTTATGCTGATGACCAACTGATAGCGAGTTTTGGCGAATGTTCGTCTTTCGGTGAATTAGCTTTGATCCAAAACGCATCACGATTCATGACAATCAAAGCAAAAACGAATGTCAAACTGTGGACATTGCTTGGAGAAACTTATCGAAAGATTCTGATGGATATAACAATGAACAAACGAAAAGTGTATGATGAATTTCTCATCCGAGTTCCTATCTTACGTAAGATTTCACATTCTCATGTTTTTGTTTGATACCTACGAATCTATTTCAGAAACACTGAACGAAGTCGAACGTTTCATAGTAGCTGATTCGCTTGAATCAGTGCAATATGAAGATGGTGACATTGTCGTCAAACAAGGTGAACTAGGTGATGATTTTTTTCTTATCGTTGAAGTGAGTATGCTCATGTATTGCTAACTAAATAACACTTAGTTCTCTTTCACATTCCAATTAAACTAGGGCAACTGTATTGTTTATCAAAAGGCATGCGAATACTCTGAAGGAGTGGAAATCGATACGCTTGGTCCAGGCGATTATTTTGGCGAAATCGCGCTTTTATGCAATCGAGCACGTGTTGCGACTCTTGTTGCTCAAGGTGTTCTGAGATGTGTGAAGATCAATCGCGAACGGTTTGAACGTGTTCTCGGTCCAATCCGAGAAATCCTTCAACGAAATATTCCACGATATAATTCGATCATATCCCTTGAGCAATTACACATAATCATCGACAACAAAAAGAAAGACTGTTAATGATGTAAAATCTCTAAGCGGATAACTTTAAGTTTATGTCAATGTGCAATATCCTCAAATAACATATAAAACATTGCTTTTGTATTCGAAGAGATTTAACATGCGTCCCGACTTCGTTTTGTGTTTCAAATTTAATCAAAGACCTTTTCTTTTTCTTCTCCTCCGTTTCTTTCTCTTTCTTTCGTTCGTTCGACATGTAACACCTGTACGAAATTCGAGACATGATCGATGTTGTGACCAGAGAAGAAAAACTGATCGTAATTGAATCATTCACTTATTCATACTTCACATTCCATAAGTGTTAGAAAATAAACTAATAAATCACATTTACTTTATGATTATGCATCTATTTATCCTTTTGTTAATATTATTCACTCATCAAATAGAAAGTATCGAACAGGAATTTAGTTGGAACATCACGTAATCTATTCTGAACTTTCAATTCCATCTTGTTCTTATCTTGTCTTGTTTTCGTTTAGAAATACCACCATTGAAAATGATCTAGAATTAACAACAGGCTTCTTTGATTATATCAACGCAACAAATGAGACAGCTGTAGAACTCGTTCCTGATGTGGATATCTCCGCACCAGTTGAACGTGTTCTACGAGCAGTCTTTCGCGCATATGAACCTTACTGTTGGCGTCGATCGTACGGTCGTGGCGTTGGTCGTCCGCTACACGCTTGTCCTGATCATGCTTCGGAACAGGATGGTCTTCTCTGTTATCCAACGTGTCGGGAAGGTTACAACGGTGTTGGTCCCGTTTGTTGGGAAATATGTGATAACATAACATCGTTTGGTTTTGCTTGTATGGACATTCGTAAATCTGCTCGTTCTTGTCCTTGGTATGATACATGCGGTGTGTTCAAACGCTCATGTTCGTCATGTCCAGATAATTATACTAATTTTGGCTGCTTATGTGGAAGATTTTATCTCCGTAATAGTTACGGTCGAGGTATTGGCACACCAATGATATGTTCAAGTAGATATGAACAAGATGGTGCTTTATGTTATGATCAATGTGATGAGAAATACAATGGTGTTGGTCCTGTTTGTTGGCAACATTGTCCATCAAGTCAGCCATATCCATGTTTCGCTGGATGTTCAGTAAGCAAACAAGATTGTCAACTTGCAGTTATTAACATGATTCAATCTGTCGTTGGTGCTTCGATTACACTTTTAAATGTTATCGTCGGTGTTCCATTAGTGGATTTGACAACATTTGATATTCTTGCAAATGCAGCCAAAGGTGATTGGCCATTAGTCGCCAAGCACATGGCAAACTTAGCAAAAAAACTAGCTGATAAATTATTACCGGAATTGGCAAAGAAATTCCTCGACTGGTCATTAAGTACACTCTCATCAGCAACGAGAAACGCAAGCATCGCTATCACAGCAACTGCTTTCAAAGATAAACAATCATTATTGCCTTTTCTCAAATTGTTTCGCTTAGACTCCATCAACTCTGCCTTCAATCACGGAAAATGTGAACTGAGAAACGATTTGGATGAAGACAGTTAATTGGTTAGCTACATACTATTTCATTTATCTCTTGTAAATATAGAAATCATGACTTTTTCTCATGTGTTCGAGTATTATTATAACATAAAAAGCCATTTCCTCTAATAAATACCAAATCATTTCTCTAATACATTTTTTGTGACAGTTTTCAATTAAACATCCCCTTTTTTTTACAACGGATTAATTAAGAAGTTGGCAAAGATTTTGTTTCTACACGTTCGTCCTTTATTAATTAGATCTCAAGGATTTAAGTAAATCTTCTTTGAATATCGTGATCAAACGAGTTTCAATTTACTAATGATTCGTATGCTTGTTAATCACCTGGCTTTTTGAGATTAAGTAAAAATAAATTAAATTTCACAAGTCTGCGCTATTCAAATCGCGAACACAAGATTATTAATGTGTTTCTATCGCAGATCTTTTTTCATAGTGCAAAAATCTCATTTTAGCAAGTATAATCATGTTCACAGTTTGAAGAAAACCCTTCGTTAACCCTTGCTCCCACTGAGTACATTTCCATTAAAATAGATCGAATCGGAAGTTACTATTTATGTTGACAATATCCAGAGACTTCGCACCAGTATTGATGTTATGCAGTGCACTTTGTTGTGAAAGCAACACTCGGGGGATTAGAGTCATACAAACAAACTTCGCATATAAAATCTGCTTGACGGATTAGTATCGAAAAAAAAAGATGTTATTAATGACCTTTGTGATTCCATTGAAAACTTGATTAGAAAAATTTACATGATAAGTTTCCTTTTGATACCTATCAACACGTAAGAGAACTATTTAGCTTTTAATCTGATGATAATGTCATTGTACTTTCGTTTTTCTTCGATAACCTTTTCGTATATTTACATTATAATAGACTTCTTTTCTTTCTCGATAATTCATGTTTTTGTTATTTTTTCAATCAGCTTAGAAGTTCATTTCGTAGAGAATATATTCAATAATAAGCTAGGCCTAAGACTGATCTTCCCTCGTTGCTTGAACGACTTGTCAAATGAGAACAAAAATGCTTGAACTTCATTACATCCAACGAAATTAATCATGTTTGTGATTTAATATTGACAAGTGTTTTTCTTCGTATACACAGAAATGAATAAATAATAGTTTTCTAGATTGAAAGATTTATTAAGCATGGTATACTAGTCTTGAGTTAATTATTTATGAGAAGAAATCCGAATCTTTATTCAGATGTCTAATTCGTCATGAAATACAGTTATTTTTCTATTTGATCAAAACACAATTTTTCTTTATATCTGACAAGAAACCAATGTGGGTTTGATGTGTTTAGACAACCAACAAGGAATAAAGTGGTTTTTTTGTGTGAAGGTTTCACAAAAGACGCATTCATAAGCTTGATTTGCTCTTTCAAACAAAATTATTCATCATAAGTGCTAATACTCATTAACGATTATGTCAAAAGATTCATTTTCGTAATGTGTCTTACCAAAAGAGTTAGAAGAAAGAAATTATTCTTCCGAGGTATGAGATGCGATACATTATCATGTAATGAAAGGCGGTTAATCGATATAAAAAAATTGTTATTGTCAGAAAATGTCCGTACATATATATTTTCCCCCCTAGTTTCGATCTATCTGTCAATAATCGTTTCTCAGGTGACGTTCGAGAAGAAAACAATCGTATATTCGCATGATTTTTCTTTTCTTTTTTTAATACTTATAATGAATGAAAAGAAAAGAGAGATAAAGAGAAAGAAAACAGAAAATTATGAAAACAGTGATATACATATACAGTCCCACCTACGCCACACGTCAGGAGAAAAAAAGGAGAGATTTTTCGATGTGTAGACAAGTTTTTGACACTAAGGAAAGGAAAGATGGATTACATCCGACACGAGAAGAACTGTTCTACTAAACCGAAATGACCAAAACATGAACATCTTTCGAGAAAAAAAACACACACACACATAAGACAGATTTATCACAAAAGACAATGACAGTCGTAAAGAAAAAAATAAGAAAATAAGGATAACAAAACGACAAATGACGTAAAAGTTACGTTTTCATTTATCTGCTCGTATGCATGAAAAAATGAATGTTTCTTTATGTTAGCTTGAGTTGCTTTGCATTAGAATGCACTGCATAACAGTGCAAATTCGCTCTTATCTAAGAGTCCGTCGCCATTCTTATCGGCGATACTTATCATTTCTTCAATGTCTTGCTTAGAAAGTTTCTCTCCGGTTAACCGCTTCATTACTTTACGTAATTCTTTGGGTTCGATAAAACCATTCTTATCTAAATCGTAGCAATTGAATAAGGTTTCCACATCGAGTTGCATTTTTGGTAAAGCGAAAGGATTTGTTTCTTGGGTTATTGATGCACGAGTCATTGTCGTGGTGATTTGATGTGTTCCATTAGGTTGCAGACATAGTTTTGATTCCAAAAATTCAACGAATTCATCGTAACCTAAGGATCGACCGTTGCCGTTGCGATTAGCTTCTGCAAACATTTGTTTGATGAAGCGTTTATCAACAGGTTTATAACCCAAATCCTGCATGACTGATTTGAATTCTTTAATACTTAATCTTCCATCGCCATTTTTATCAAAATAAGCGAATGCTTTGCGCACATCGAGTTGTTGAGTCGTTCGAGAACCATTTGATGAGAGAGAACTTGTTGCTAGATTCGAAGATATTTGAGAAGCAAAGTGATTCGTTGAATGTAATTCAGTATTCATCAATGCTGGAGATGTGGTCGAAGACGTTGAAGATGCCAATCGACTTCGATTTAGTTGTGGCGAAGGCGTTTCAGGTAGATGTGGAAGTTCTTCAATGACACCATGAACAGCTGACGCTAGCGCAGGTACGATTTGGCACTTGTCTAGCATGATTATTTGCGTCAACAATCGTATTTAAAATAAATTACAAATGATTCGATCAATCTGAAATCAAAAGTTAAATTAGCACTTAACAAACTGAATCGAACGAGCGAAAATAAAATGCTTCCTCTTCTTTTTACATTGAAGACTTTCAATGTGTGTTAATTACACGACCTATCATCAGTATGCCAGTACGTAATCAGTGAGTGTTGGTATTGCTAAGAAAAAACAAACGAATGTTCTTTTGCTTCTTTTCATCAGAAAAAAAGGCAAGAAAAAACGGTAACAGCCGGTCATAGAACGAACTATGCATAAAGTGAGAACTCCCTCGACGATATCAAACTTTCTCTCAGTGATGAAAGGCATGAAAAAGACCAAGTGGAATCTGTTTATTCGACGTAAACAGATCGCCGTCTGTTACCCCTGATTAAAAAGGACAAATTATATATATATACACACACACATACGTATACTCAAAGAAATCAACTCGAAAACTTTTCCCCTCTGAATGTTCGAGGGGGGGGACGAATACATGAAGTAGAAGAAAAAATATCATCGATATCAATCAAGTTAACTCTCCGCAAAGCCGCTGTCATATGGTTACCCACGTTAATTTACCTTGACGGAGAGGTTGAAAAATAAAAGTACGTGCAGGTTATTCTATTTCGCTCATACGTCATACGAGCAATGCTTCGTAGTATTATGCTTCGTTGACGACTAGAGTACCCATCTGTTTTTCTCCTTTGCTTTTTCTCTCCCTCTCTTTTCTCTCTCGAAATCGTTACACAGAATCGATAATTTTTTGCTTTCTATTTATCATGAAGATATCTGTATAAATTAAAAAAAAATAATCAAAATAAAAACAAATTTAGACTTCGTCTCGTTCGATAAATTCGATCAGAACTTACCAGAAGAGAGCACTCGATGCAGTTCACACGTCTTTCTCTGAAATGCTTACAACTGTAATAGGGATAGTCATGAAAAAAAAAAAGAAAATGAGGACGATAAAACAGCGAATGACCGGTAAGGAAGAAGAAGACGACGAGAAAAGAAAGCAACATATATGATAACAACAGGACGGACGGTTCAAGAGAAGCAAAGTCGACGTCACTATTTTTCTTCTTCCATTCCTTATGTTATTTCTTTCTTTTAGTTCATGCTAGCTGCCACAAGAGCAATTAGTCGAAAACACGAGTTATCACAGTACATTAGAAGTGCATATATTGCGAAAGATAGTAGAAAATATTGATCAAAAGTGATTAATAGATCCTCGAGAAAAACATTTTTTTTGCCATATTAATATTCTTAATAGAAAGAACTGCAGACAATACTCGTGGGATCGTTATTTCATTTATTTTTCTCCTCTAAAAAAATACTAATATTACATGTCATCGGAACGCATTTCTTTACACAGAGAAAAGCATGCATCAGTAAATCCTTTTCGATTAAAACAAAATAAAACGCAAACAGAGTATTGACATACTCGTGTTAATATATTAATAATTGAAACCAGTTAACTAACATTATTTAACCGACTGAAGTTTATTCGTACTTCTCGGGGTCAAAACCTTCGTTGAAGCTCATGACACTTGTCATAGCTATCTCTCGCTATATGCTTATCGACGTCTAAGGAAAGACAATCTTATTATTGTTATTGTTATTCTATGTGGTCATGGGGCAAGCGATAATTTCGTGACATGTCTCAATAGTTATTTTTAAGTAAGATACTAAACATAATTTATTAGGCTTCTAGCTGATATGTACTTCATATGAAATAGGGATATTTCGACTTGTGTTCATGCTTACCTGAGCTTCAAGTACATCCGTTGTCTTCACCCTCTTTTCATTTCTCATATTAGAATAGAAATTCGAACTCTAATCATTCGTTGTTTGCGTATGTGTAGTCGTATGGTCTACAGTTGTTCTTATTGCGGTATGTGCGAAGAAGAAAAAGAGGAGCAATTTAACGATAAAGAAAAAAACGACAGAGAATAAGAGTAGTGTGCACGAGTTTCATACACACGCGCATGCGCCCAAAAAAAAAGAAATAATGATGATTCTCTACTCTTCTCGTTTTTTCTTATGTGATTCGAAAGCATCATCGGAACGGATGACACGCAAGTAAAACGAAGAATAACGAGCAAAAGAAAACGTGTTGGCACTAGAGAACATCGATGTAACCATACATGATCGAATCTTTTTGACATTGACCTATAGACATACTAGAAAGCGTATATAAATAGAACGATGTTTTCCCATGTTGCTATTCCTTCCTTATTTTCGATACATTTGTCGCAAGCTATGAACGTCAATAAAGTGTGCTGTTCCTACAAGATGTTTGTTCTGATAGAATCTTAAAAGCATTTGCCGTTTTTGACCTAGACATTTATCTCTCCTAGTAAGTGTTCGGAAATAAAATAAGAGGAGCAATAGTCAATATAAACGGCACTACCGATCGATCGATTGATTACTTTCGTTCAATTTTCACTCTTGACTTATATACATCACCGATCGATTGACTGCCCGACGGCAAATGGCTCAACAACAATCAGTTTAATAGTGTATACATACAGACTAAAAGAAGATGAAGACGATTTTCCTTCGGAATTAATGATTGTTTCCTTGTATACTCGTCTCGAATCCGACGTTAAATAGTAACATACATTGATGAGTTCATGTGGTAAAGAACGGAAATGAAAGAATAAGAAAACAACTCTCATTTATTCGACTATCACGTTCTTATGAACGACAGATCGCTGTTGAAAGAAATTAAAACGATCGTTCAAAATCTAGTCGACAAGAGAGAGAACGAGGAAAACAACAATACATTTGTCGCACTATCCATTGCCAATAGACTCTTACCAAATGCTTTCTGGATATTGATTGTCTCCAGACAAAAAGAAAGAGAACTTTCATACATATATCTTTATGTATACAAGTCTGTAAATCTCTTGTGTAAAACAAAGATAACAATAAAAAGGAAGAAAAAGGAATTTTCTGAGAGATAACTTACGTAATCATCGTAAAATGATAGTTGACATTGACTAACAATGTCGTCAACATGTATTGACGTCATACATAGCTATTTCCTTCATTTTTTCGGCACATTGTTCATCGATCTATTGACGTCATAATGAACCTTGACAATCTTTTTTCTCACATTTTTGTCAGATGCTCGCAAAGACCATCATCATCATATACATTATTGTCTACATGCTTATCCAATAAATCATAATAACAATGACAAATAAAGATCATCGCAAGAACGTAAGAAGTGCTGAAGGATCATTTTTCTACTTTTACTTATCTTCAATTAAGAACGTTCCTACGGGCCATCATTTAAAGAACTTACTCGATTCATCTCGAGAGCAGTGGTTTAAATAATACTCACAAATCCTAACTGACAGCTTGAAAAAAAACACCCGGAAAGAAATGCACTTACTTACATTGATCATTTATTCATGTAGTACATAGTGTGTCGAGACGAGAGAGAGAGAGAAGGAGATGGCGATAACAAAGATTATTCTGCGGGTTTTCATGACGAGGAATAAAACTATACAAGATATACCTTAATTCGTCTACGCTTAACTGTGACTGATACTTTTCGTTTCAAAAATACTGACGAGGGATAAATTTAGCACAACAGAGTATCTACAGATAGCACGAGTTACTTCGACTTTTCTTCTTTATCAAATAAGCAAGAAGAAGGAAAGATATATTCAAACATATTTCGAAAATAAATGATGATTACCATAAGTATTCACTTACTTCCAAGAAGATAAATATAGATAGTAATAACGATCATTATTTATCATTAATAATGATTATCAAGAGGAGGGACTGATCTCGTTACAACACGAATTTCAATTCCTACTCTAATCTCGATTGAGTACTTATTTTTTTTATACATGTTGGGATCAAATGACGTATATAAAAAGCAAAAATTGATATGTTTTTTCACATGACTTCCATTTTTTCGTATGAATGATAAAGTAACATGACATTCATGAAATAAATAAAGGCGTAAATATTCCTTTTCTTAGGTTTTATACAACTTGATTTATAAAAGAAGAAAGTTTTCTTCCTTTTTTTTCTTTTCTTTATTAACAATATACAGACATTCGATGTGGATGTTGTCGAATGGCGTCGTTACAAATCAATTACCGACGAAAAGAGAAAAAAAATGCATGTCGATATAGATGAAATACAAAATTGATCTTTTAAGTCTTTCTAACTGTGATTGTCATTGAGGAGTGACGAGCATTTTTCCAATGGATGTCTGCTTCCTTTGCCTGGATTTGAGATTAGTCACATCGATTGTTTAATTTTTCGATGTGATGAAATGTTGATGCGTCGTACAAGGTTTAATCGTCAATCACATTGTGATAAAGCGAAACTATTTTCAAATGTATTTTGTTATTTTTATTAGACCTCGAAGTTTATCATTTTTATAGTTAAATCTTGCCGTCGTGCTGAGATGTGATAATTCCTTATCGAAAAATACATCCGAGCAAGCAAATGTTTGCGCTGTGCCTTTGAATATAAGCGACGAATAGAATTCTAGGGAGAATCGTGCGCATCGCACGTACATACATTAGGAGCTGCATGTGACAGCTAATATCAGTCTTGGTCTAGAAGACTATTTGTACTGAACAGCATTTGTAGAACGAAAAGAGATGTCTTTCAGTGAGTGATAAAAGAAAAGGAATTTCATTGATACAAATGACCGAAAAGGAACGAGATCGATTTATGAAGAATGTCGGAAATGAAGAGCAGAACCTGGCACTTCTACTTCAATTTGTCATCGAAAGTTCATCGGAAGACACAGGAAGATATCTGAATAGACAATTAGACGTTTTTGCTCTACGAGTTCCCTCGGAAGATAATTATACATTGAGCAAAAAATTATTTTTCCATATATAGTAATCTAATCAATTAGTGTATTTTTCTCTTTCAATTTCACCCGGTTAGCCGTTAAAAGTACACGAGGGAACGCATTTTGTACCTAG